TGACAACAGCTGAGAACAAACACGTGTCGCTTAAATGCGACATTTTGACAGATCACGCGCGGATATCATTTAATCCGGAGACTTCAACCGAGGACTCATACCATGGGGAGCGGATACTTGGGGCCAGCCAAACACCCGTCTCGGCGATTTTGTACAAGCCATCTCTATGTAGTTACCTGGTACCCACCAGTTGAGTGGTTAAGAGAGGAAGGTAAATAATAGTAACCGTAGTTCGGCGTTCTGTACGTCGGGAAGCCTCGGTAGAAAATCACTTGGGCGGGCTCGCCGAGGCGACCGTGCGCGCTGTGAAATGATCGTGCGACACCTCCTGTTCGTCACCTGAACTCGGATGAAACGTCTGCCTAGAGCCATGTGTGCACCAGCGTTAATTGTAAAACTTCATTGTCCGAGGGTATGGCTACCACAATCCATATCTCGAGATGAAAAGGTGGAATTAGCTCGTGTCATGGCGTGATAAGTGAATGGTGGCCTGGTTAACGAGGCGGACAACGAGGCGCGGTTTGATAGGTGCGGTTCTCGGGTTGGTGAGCTCAGGTAACGCAACCGGCAATCGGGGGGCGGCCAGGAGCGCCTCACTTCCGTTGTGGTTGTTGCTGGCGATCAAGAGGCCTCCCTGCGTCGAATCCGCTGTAAATCCTTTTGGGTGACATTTCACTCCCCAAAGTACAACAAGGGTTATTTTCTCGAAGCTTCCTCAGCCATACTCAACTCGATCGCAAACCTCAGATCCTCTTCTTCCCTCCTCCTCATCTCCTCCTCCCGACTCTGTTGGATACCCCTCGTCAAAGCCTCGTCCGTAACCAGATCCGCGGGGGTTAACGTAGACCCCTTCAACTGCTGCGTCAGCAATGAAGTCCACCATGTTGACTTGCCGCGAAGAGCGAGCTCGTGGGTCGAGTGGAAGGATGCAGAGGTGAAGGACTGGGAGAAGGAGAGGGGACGTCGATCCGGCCCTGGCAACGACGTTCCAACCTCGTTTCGTCGTGGTGCTACTCGCTGGAGTCGCGGGTGCGGGACTGAGGGTCGGGCTAACGTTGCTCTTGCTGGCTTGGGGTCGGCGAGTGGGATGTCGAGCTCGAAGCGACGGGCCAGAGATCGGCACTCATGTCCGGAACATGTCCAGAGGGAGGATAGCCTCGATTTGTTGCCGAGCCATACGTAGGTGCAAGCCTAGGCGACAACTGTACTTTGGCATACGGGGACGTGGATGAAAGATGGTAGGACGAGAAGGAAGGCGACGCGTGTTGAGGTGAGTGCGAGGCCGGGCGCCACGTGAAAGACGTCGAGCGACTTGAAGGTGAAGGGGATCCATTCGAGAGTGATGACCCTCGCAGCGTGGGAAAAGTAGGGACAGAAAGCGATAGCGATCGCGAAGCACCGAGACTAGGTCTTGATGAGTGATCCTGGTCGTCGTCGTCGTCATCGTCGTCGTCATCGTCGTCGTCATCGTCATCGTCATCGTCATTGTCGTCCCAGTCGTGCGCCAAAGACGATGACGGTCTCCGGTTGCCAAACGATCGGCTGGGTCGTTCGTAGTACGCTTCTGGTGAATCGTCGAGCGACATCCCCTCCATGTCGAGAAGCTCTTCCGGAATGGGCTCAAAAGCCGGCGAGTTGACTGCCGAGCTGGTTGCTGACTCAGTAAACCACCTCGCCTCCTCTTCCTCCGCCGAGAGCATCAAGGCAAGAGCGACCGCTTCATCCTCGGTCATGTTGTCCAATGAAGACGGTACTCCAAAGTTGACGGCAATACGATGCTCGTTCGTCAGCCGCTGGATCCGATCGATGGACTCGTTCGATAGCGAATCGATCGACTCTTTGATCTCGGACCTCAGCTCCATCCCGGACCTGAAGCGTTCCGTCCGAGCCGACATCTTGCCTCCTACGCCAGCGACGCCCTTAAGCCTCTTTTTGCCCAGATCGGCCGCGATCCTCCAAGCGAGCACGCGATTACCGATTGCTGCCACTACGGCTTCTCGATTAGCTCGGATGTGAGAGACACTCCATCGCTCCTCGTCGTTGGCATCGATCTGGCCTGCCGCTAGCATCCGAGCCGGCATTCGCGGAGCCGTTCGATCCTTAAACGTTCGCAGCAGCGAACGCGTCAGCGCGTCGTAACAGCGGACCGTTCCGTCGAGTGATCCGACAAAGATCATCGCCTCGGTCACTTCGAGCGCCGTCACGCGAGATTCGGAGGTCGTCGTCGTTTGATGAGGGTTGACCTTGGCATCGGTCGAGTCGACGTCCCAGTCCCACGTGTGCACTCGGCCTGAAGCGTCGCCAGCAACGACGAATTTGCGTCGACCGAAAGAGCTCAAGCCCCCCGCTAGCGGGATATCCGCTGAGGGATGACTGAGCTCAGCCTCAAGCAGTGATGCTGTCGACCCTGCGAATGAAGCAAGCGAAGCCTTGCTCGAAGATGTCGGGAGGTTCTCATGGACGGGAGTCGAAGGGTCGTTAGGGGTGAACCCCGTGATGCGGCCTTCTCTTGGTGTCAAGTGAACCAGCGCCAGAGAAGCGGGAGGTTCGTCAAAGTCGAATGCGAACGCCGTCAAGTTTCCGAGGTGCTTGAACGGATGCGTAAAGACTACGCGCGCAGGTGGAGATGGTGCGGCATCGAACGAGTACTTCAAGAACTCGGATTGACCTGCTGCATGGACCAACAATCGATGCGAATCATGCAGTGAAGAGTGATCGAAATGGAGGACATCGATGGGGTCTGTAGTGCGCGAATCAAGCTCGTGGAAGGAGAAAGTCTCGGCTGATTCTTGCACGGGCCGGGTCTCAAGGTCGATCTGGGTCCAACACAGCACGGCGCCAGTGCTCAGGCCTAGAGCGATCGCGGCTAGACGAGACTGCTTACCGCTCCAACTGGGATCGAATGCCACTGCAGTCACCTTGGGAGGTTCAGATCCGAGTCGTGCATCGTTGACAACGGTCGCTCGAATCGCCGCGTCGACGCGAGTGGACCAGATTTTGATCGCGGGTGCCATCCGATCCCTCGCATTTGAGTTCGAGCTCACTTGCCAGACGGCGACTAACCCATCCTGTCCCACCGAAACGAACACATCGGCTCGAATCCGTGAGCCCGGCCGACCAAAGGCGAGCGCGACAACATCCGTTCCTTCTCGATGGGCGTTGTCGATGGCTCTCACTTCACCTCGCTCTCCCACACCGGCTACTACACCTCGGCCAGTCGCTCCACAGCTGACGATTCGGATCGTTCCATCCGCCATACCAAACACTATCCGCGTCCCATCGAGTGAAATGACCGAGCTTGTGACCGGGATTGGCGCAAAGCCGAACGGGCGACCTAGGTTGTCCATGGGCGTGGCGTGCATGGTTCCTCGGGTCACCTTGCCAGTGAAAGGGATCGAATGAGCGGCCGAACCGAGCTGCTCGGACAAGGAGAGCAATACCGGCGACAGAACCGCGTGCGGTGTGCGAGGTGAGGATGAACCTGTGGCAGCCCCCTGCGAGAAGGGCAGATTGATGTGCATCGATGATAAGGGCCCGATGTTAGGGTTGTGGGTCAGAGCTGGAGTACGAGACTTGCTCCATCGACTGTTAGATGTCCATGAAGAAGTATTTTAGTCGCCGAGAAACGGACTAGATCTAGTCTCCTGTCAGCTCACTGCAGTAACAAGACCCGACTGCGGTACTCTGCCTTCCATGACGTCGGTTCGATCCGGCGACCCAGCGAGACCGATCCATTCGGCGCTACGAGCCCATAGTACGTTTCAAAGGCGCTCTGTGTTCAAAACAAGCGATTGATCAGAACGAACGCATTCGGGAGAATTTCGGATTGCGTTGCATCGACCCACCCTCCAGCTCGCTTCGTCCGAAATAACCTCGTTCCACCTTCGACAGACGAGCTGTGCCGCATTGAGGGATGACGGTGAAAGGTGGGCGAAAACGTGGGACAGTAGTTCGGTAGGTAGATGTTGTATCGGAACCGATCTGAGGAAGGTGTAGTCGGGTCAGCAACTTGACATCTTGGTCGTTGAAGCGGACTCGAAGCTATTCGTCGAGTATGACGTCGCCACGGAGCTCGATCGCACGGAGCAAGACATGTTGCAGTGTGCTGTGTGCTTTAGCTACAAGCTCATCTCGGTGAGAGAGTTGTAAGGTTCGTCGCCTCCAAATGCAGGGCGTCGATCATGTCCACACCAAATCCCGAAGGTCGGTCTCGAAGTTGCTGGCAGCTGAGGCGACTTGGCGGCCCCCACACGCTTCATGCACAGCGGTGACCGGTGACGACCTCGAGAGTGCAACACGGATGACCCTTACCCATACGCCTCTTTAGCCCTCATCTTACCCTTGCCTCCAGAAGGCCCAGCACTCCTCCCGAGATGCCCATTCGACGTCGGCGTCGAGGCTACAAAGCTCGAAGGTCCACCCGCGGTCGGGGACGTCGGAGACGCTGCAGCTGACGTCGACGACACCGAGTCCGAAGGCCCACCGCCGCCACCGCCGCCACCGCCGAGAGTCCATGATCGCGGACCGTAGGACGTGTCAGGGACGTGGTTGACCATGGTGTGGAGCGATACGGGTAGGCTATGGATGGATCAGGGCCCTGATGGTGGAGAGGGACGCTGAGCCGAGGCGCAGAGCGTTGGGAAAGAAGCCAAGAGTGGAACGTGCAGCTTCAGCCGATCGAGGCAGCAAGGCAAGCTCGAGTCAGACGCGTCGCGTCGCCGAATCCCGGAACGGCAACTGGCACCGGCGCGGTACCACTGCACTCACTCAAAGGCAGGTTTGTCATCCCCACAATAGGGCGAGCGACCTTTCAAGACTGCAAGGGTTCCTCATTGGGTCGTTTCAAGTTGTCGAAATACGCGTCAGCGAGCCAAAATTGCTCAATAAACAGATCGCGCCGTTGATCGGAGGACCGAAGCATTCGACCCCCTGTGTTGGCCGCCGCCATCCGCCCAAACCACCACACTTCGGCCAGGAAGGATCCAAAAGAGTCTTAGTGATTACAGCTCAAGCAATTGGCAAGTAATGGCTCGGGAACGACAACATCTATTCTGAAGAGATATGGTATGGTGTACATCATCAAATGCTAAATGCCCCCCTGAGACGATCATCATCCTTGATCGCGCCGGTTCCAGCCCCCCGTCGACGGAAACATCGATCCCGCCAAGTTTCAGTGAATCATCGTCCAGCGGTGGTTCAGTGAACTCGTCGCCATCTTCGTTGAGCATAATCACCGCTTCCTCGGCTTCTTCGCGATAAGCGCGCCATTGACGCGCCGCCTCCTTCTCTTGTCGATCTTCCTCGATTTCCTCTTCCGCCTCGTCTTCTTCCTCAATTCCATCCTCTTCTTCATCCTTCTCCCCGTCTTCGTCTTCATCCTCTTCATCTTCATCCTCTTCATCTTCCTCGTCATCGTCTTCCTCTTCTTCCCCCTCTCCATCTTCCTCATCCTCCGACCCGTCCTCCTGATCAAGCGCTTCCATCTCCTTCTGCCTCGCCGCAATCTCCGCCGCCACACTCGCCGACCTCGCCGCGAAATCATGATCGAACTGCTGGTTCCTCGCTCCTTCCCCTCCTCTCCCCAACGTGAATTCGCTCAACGCAATCTCGAGATTCGATCGTGCTTCATGTTCAGTGCTGAAGGGGGTCGAAGCGTCGAAATCGTTGAAAGCCGTCGAGTAATCGTCTGAGGGATCGACCGACGAAGCGGCTTTGGAGGACGCGGCGGAGGAGAAAGTCGACGATGCGCTGGAAGGGTAGGAAAAGTCCTCGTCGTGCTCGTGGCGATAGCCTCCGCTCGAGGTTGAAGGGTGCGGATCGCGACCGTAGATCGAGCCGGTGCCACCTGCAGAGCCATCAAAGTTGAAAGCGTAGGGATCCGCAACTTCGTAGAACAAAGGTGTGATGGTCTCGCAGCGGTCATCCATGCGGAGGGAGGAGCTAGATTCGTCAAAGCCACCCAAGTTCTGGTTCGAAAGCGTCTCCTCGAACGACGCTCGGGTGGACAGGACGGGTGCATCGGCGAACGTGACCGAAGCTTGTGTGAGTGGGGTCGTCGTCCAAGCATCGGCGACTGAGAATGGTGGGCCTGACAGGGCTTCCATATTGGATGGGATCTCGAACGAAGTGGTTCGCTCGATGAGCCCCTGTTGAGGATCCACAAAGTCGTTGGCTTCGAAATCGGTCACTTGGCGCCATCGATCGATCTGAGCCTCCGTGTCAAACGTCGGCACGAGCTCGAGAGCGGGCCAAACCGGTCGGTCTTGAGAAGGAGAAGATACGACGCTCCCATTGCCTCCAACTGACGACGAAGCTGACGAGGGCCAAGAACTCGAGGGCACCTGAAAGGGCGCATTCACGCTGCCGAAGGCGGAGTGGGGGTGTGAGCCGTTCTCGCTACTGATAACGTTGGGGTTGGCGATCACCGACGGGTCGGGCGTGACGTGTGTACCTGCACCCATCAAGTCCCAGTTCTGCAGCTCTTCAACGCTGAGGGGCATCTGCCATGCGTGGCTCGGGGGTTTCGTAGACGTTGGAGTGTAGGCGATCGCATTCTCCTGCGGGGGCGGTCCAGGCACCTGTGGGCTGTCTGCCAGATGCCAAAAACTTGGGTCGAGCGAGGCAAGGATCCGTTCGACCGCGGCATCGGAAGTGTCCTCTTCGGCTTTCGGCTCCAAATTAGGAGCATCGCGGGCGATATGCGCAGGCGCGGGAATGTACACTTGACTTTGCTGAGGAAAGAGCTCGCTCGGGGACGGCTTTATGTCGTGCGGTGAGACTGCGGGCTGCGGTGAGATTGATTCGGCCCTCGTCGAAGGGGAAGGTTTGCGCGAAGAAGCAGAGGAGGCTGAAGAGGAGGCGCGCGTTGAGGCAGAGTGACCGTGCGGTGGGTGCCATCCTACGACGGGGTACGGCGAGTAGGTATGGGCTACGTGAGTCGTCGTGGCTTCATGTCCATGGGCCAAGTTGTGGGGCTTGCTCGCGGCGGTCGAGTCCTTCTTGCGACTGCCCGAGACGCTCTTCTTGCGCCCAAGGGTGCTCGTATCGTGTGGGTTATCCGTCGAGGAGGCCGATGAACGCGTGGAAGAGCTTGACGAGACTTGGGATGGGTTGCGCCTCAACAGCGAGAAGGAAGGGTTGTTGAGCAGTTCTGTTGCTCCATTCGGTAGAGTAATGGGCGGAAGGCGTTCTGTGATGCAGATTCGGCAGAACGTCGTACCGTGGTCAGTCCAAGCGGTGGGATATGAATCATGCTCATGGGCCCCATCGAACTTGCCCTCGCCAGAACAGTGGCACTTCATATGAGTGTTGGTTTCCTGGCGATGGCGCTGACATATGGAGCATTGCGTCTTGGGTCGACCTTTCTCTGATGGTAGAAAGGAGCCCACGCGAGCGTCAGCTTGCGCGCCTCGTGGCAGCTCGTGGCCGGCGCGAGGTCGCATCCGGGAGAGGGCCCAAGAGCTGGACGTACTCTTGACCTCGGTGAGCGGACGATCGCCGTGGGCCTCTGGACAATTGGCACTGCGGTGCCCCTGTAGATGATGCAGCGGGAACTGGATCGTCAGTTACCGCCCCCCATGCGACCCAAACCCACTAGCTCCGCACGCAAGCGAGTCGCCGCGCGGATCGTGCCGCCGTTCAGCGAACACGACGACGCGGCCCGGACGGCGGACAGCACGCAGCGGAGACAGAGAGGAAGGCGAGCGCACTGACCCTCAAGCAGGTCTCGCACGTGAACTTGATACCGTCGATGATCATCTTGACTGTTCCAGCGTGGTCGATCTCGAGTTACAGGTCCAGCCGCTCGTTCGTGTCCGAGGTAGAAGGCGCCTGGTGCGATGCACGGCGACGGTTTCGGCCACTGCCCCCGACGGAAACAGGCCTGAGAGGGGAACGGGTCCGGGAGCGGCGAAGCACGGCGGAGATGAATGTGGTGCAGCTGAGTACGCTTTATCCTCCAAGACGAAGAGCCCGTGGATCATCCACTCGTGTTATTGGCGCGAGCTCATGGTTCGACGGAGAGATATGATGGCGTCAACAGCGTCTCGATCGCCCAGTGGTCCTGCGGTTTCAGACTCCGAAGTGTATGCGTCGAAAGCGGAGGGGGAAGGAGTGAAGCGCGTGACACCGGTCGGGGCACGCCACTGGCACGCCTACAGATGCACAAAGTCGCAGACGTGTCTGATTGGCCAGAGTCGCGGCGGCCAATCATATCACGTACAATGTACCCATCACAGGATGTCTACTTCTGCTCCAGTGTGATAATACTGCAAAATGTGTCGTGAAACGTAAAACAAAGTGTCTCAAGACTTTGTTGCGCCAGGTGTGTATGAGCTGAGGGCGCGGAAGTCCTGCTCGGAGCGCCCCTTGGTTTGGTCACGGGGCACTCGCCGAGGGGGTGGGATGGAGAAAAGTGTTACAGCATTACAAGAACGCAGCTAAGCGTCCCAAGAGATTCAGACACAAACCCCCGAACTAGGAACATATTAAAGCTACATAGATGGCCAAGGTCACATTCCAAACCCACAAAATTCCGTCTTCCTCGAACCCCACCGTCTAAATCTCGTCCGAGAACGACTTGGTGATGTCGCCATCGCGACGGGTGTAGCCGTTGGTGCGGAACAAGGCCGACTTGGTGAAGGCCTCGATGTCGTAAATCTCCAACTCCTTGGCACGCGTCTCGAAATCGGCGACCTTGATCACCACGCTCGCCGGGGCTTGTCCGTTGCGCACGGTGAGGTAACGCACTCGGTCCTTGATGAGTTGCCCAAGCAAGAAGGCGAGCACCTCCTCATGATCGGTCGCGACGCGCAAGTACTTGCGGAACCCTCGCTCGAGCTGCCGCTTGATCGACGACTTCTGTGCCGACACGAATGATCCTACCATGACCTGGATCGCGAGGTCAATATCGTCGCTGCGCACGTACTCGCGTAGGTGCATCTTGGCGCTCGCTTCGGCCATACGGATCATCGACTCGAGATGTCGCACCGTGATCGGGTACGACCCCGTCGACAAAGACTCGCGGCGCAACTCCGAGTAGAGTTTGGAGATTTTGTCCTGGTCCATCATGTGCAGCTGCGGCTTGATGCGATCGCGAGCGTATTGGATGTACTTGCGCAGCAAGTCCTGGGGGATGAGCTGTTTATTTCGCGATTGGACGGCATTCAGTCAGCAAGTTGGACCTGATGCACTCATTGTATTAGATGGGGGGACACTCACATCCAGATCGAGCGCTGTCGCGATCTGCACCTCGTCCACGGCGGGGTCAAACTCGGGATGACTGCGCAAATGACTTCCGACGACGAACTTGGCGAGCATCTCATCGATAACAGGGTCAGCCGTATCCTTGACGACGCAGAGGATATCGAAACGCGACAGGATCGGCTCCGTCAACTCGACGTTTTGGCTGAACGGGATGGTTGGGTTGTAGCGACCTCGGATCGGGTTGGCCGCGGCGACGATGGCGCAACGGGCCTGCAACGTCGTCACAATACCAGCCTTCGAGATCGAGATCGACTGCTGTTCCATGGCTTCGTGGATCGAGGTTCTGAACCGATGTTTTGCCTCTATGTCAGCTCCTGCACATTCAAACTGTTTCCCATCGGCACTTACCGATCGGCGTCGTTCATCTTGTCAAACTCGTCGATCATGCACACACCCTTGTCGGCCAGCACGAGCGCACCGCCCTCGAGCGTCCACTCTCGCGTGACCGGATCCTTTCGGACACTCGCTGTCAAACCCACGGCGCTAGCTCCTTGACCCGTTGCAAAGACGGCTCGGTTCGCCGTCTTCTCGACGTACTTGAGGAACTGCGACTTGGCTGTACCGGGGTCGCCGAGCATGAGCACGTTGATGTCACCACGGATGCGATGTTTGCGATTGATATCCTTGGGTACACCACCAAAGAGCGACAAGGCGATCGCGGTCTTGATGTCCTCGTGGCCGTAGATCGAAGGCGCGATACTCTTGATGATGCGCTTGCCGACACGCTCGTCGCGCGACAACGCGCGGATCGCCGTCTCGTCCTCCCCCGTCAGACGGAACGAGGCGAACTGATCCTCCTTCTTGTTGATGTGATTTGCCTCGAGGATCGTCGAGAAGACGGGAAAGCCGTTCTTGACGTTCAACGACTTGTCAAAGTTGTTGCGGTAGATTCCCGTCACTTCGATCTCTTCTCCGGGCTTGGCCGAGTCGATCAAGTCCCAGAGCAGGATGACCTCACGGTGGCGAGGCAAGCGACCGGCGGGAACGGAGCCGGGCGATTCTTGCAGCGTCATCTTTTGGTAGTTGCGGTAGACGGTCTTGAGATGCGGAAGATCAAGTCAGCATGATTGCACGAGAAGAAGAGCCCAGCACAGCATCTACAAAGGACTGACCTGCTCAGAATTGACATTGAAAGGTCCTTTGGCTCCGCAGCTCGAGCAGAAGCTGATGCGAATCTCGGTTGTTGCTTCCTGGTAAAAGGGTCCAAGCACTTCGCCGCAACGTCCACAATCAAACTTGACGTACTTGAGCTGAGGAAATACGCCCGATCTTCGAGTGACGACACCAGCGACACGGACGAGGGCATCCAAGTGGACCTGGCGCAGATCACGAAGCGTGAACGAGGTCGGCAGGTCCGTGATGCGGATGTGAACCTCGGTGTGGATGCGGGAATAGTCGACGTAGAAGAGCAAGATGACATCGAGAGCAACCTCGTCAAAGATGGGGAGCATGGCGGAAGGGGAGTTGGCCAAGAAGTAGGACAGGATCGCCTTGGAATCCGCGAGGTGGGCGAAGGAAATCTCGAGCGATTCCAAGTTGACTATAGGGTAAGCGAGTCGTCCGTCAGAATTCGGTCAAGAGGGCCAAAGAAAGACGAGCGCGATGTGTGACTTACGTTCACCGAGCTGGCGAATACGTTGACCATAGATCGAGACACCTTGGGGGTCGGTGTAGGTCATGAGGAAGGACTTGAACTCGCGCATGATGGTGCGGCGGACACGAGGGTCCTCGATCCACTGAGCGATCGAGTCGGCTTGAATGTCGGCCAGTTGCTCAATGGGCATTTCCTGCAGAGCAGCCGAAGCAAGATGAGTTTGGTTCGATGAGAAGGATTTTCCTTCAAGCTGGTCTAGCTTACCTCTTCAACAGCATCATCTTCAAACGCCTCCTCATCGTAGTTGCGCCTGACACGGCGCTGGCCGAGCAGACGGTTCTCGTCCTCACTGTCCTCCTCGTCACTCGCGAGGAAGGCGGGCATACGTTGCCGCCGGCGCTGGCCACCCTGCTGGCGCGCAAAGCGCCGATCACGGTTCGCCATCTGGGCCTCGGCAGCGCGACGCGCATCGGGGTCGTCGGAGAAGTCTTCATCGTCGTTCAGGTCGCCAGCATCGTATCGATCGAGGCGATTGTTCTCGATGTAATCGCTGTTAAGCCGTGAGCGCGCGAGGATGGAGAGATCAGTTTCCATCGAGACGCGACGAGGGTCTGAGTATCAACGCAGTCGAGTACTCACTTTCCCATCTCTTCGCCGAAAAGGTCCTCGCCGTCACCTTCCTCACCATCGGTGATATCGAGCGGGATGCCATCCTCCTCGACATCATCATCAAAGTCACTAAAGCCAGGCGGCGGCGAACTCGCGGGCAATGACGAGGGAGGAGCCGACGAAGGGGGTGGTGACCCAGCACGTGCCTCGATAGGGCCAGTAGGGGACGATTGTCGGATCGGGGAAGGGGAACGACCTCGCTTCTGAGCGGAGGAAGGTGGCGCCGACTGCGCAAGGTGGAGGGAAGCGGATTCCAGGTCAGCTTTGGAGCCAGGTGGGAGGCGACGACGCGTCTGGTCTCGCCTGCATGTGATGCAGGCTGACGCGCGTGTACGATGCTGCACTCGCCATGATAAGCTGCACCGAGATGTTTCAAGCGTATAACACGCGTCCAAGAGAAGTGTATGGAGCTGTAGGGGGTGATCCATGGTGTCAGTAGCGGTTCATCACGCGTCGCTAGCCAGGAGCGGCATGGGAGCTCGGGCGGGCCGAAGGAGTGAGCATCACGGGCGTGCAAGACGAGCTCCGCCTATGGACGAGCATAGCAGGAAGTGTTGGTAAGACTTACAAGACTCTCTTTGGACTCTCCGTCAGTGATCAGAACAGAAGCGTTCAGAGTTGCGGGGTGGAGGTGAGAGCAGAAGGGTGCGCGTCCCAACTTGACGCGTTTATTGGGACCGCGTTTCATTTTTGATCGATGATCGTCACGCGCTCGCGCCCGACAAGCAGGCCCTACAGCAATCCGACGGCGCACAAGGTGCGGCCCCGGGAAGCTTCTTGACCGATGCAAATTACCTCAACCAAACATGCTTATTCAAATCATGCATTATTTTAGGTAGATATAGACTGACAGGGCCAAACCGTGGGAGTCTATCTTCAGCATCTCCAGCAATCATCCGCCTTGAAGCTTCTACTAGTAACCTGTCGCGCCGTCCTGGTTCTTTCATACCCAGCGAACTCCACGCGCAATGGTGGCACCCCACAGCTGAGATTGTTTCGGGGTCAAAGCGGAAAGCGTATTATACCACGCGACCTGGAAAGTGGCTGTAATTAATTTCAGCGTCCGTACCGACTTCGCGCCAATTGCCAGTCATGATGCAGTGCACGGCCCACTGCAACCTCACTGCGAATGGGAAATTCGACCAACGACATGGAGGGACAATTGACACCGGGCAATTTACGTGATAATAAATGCAGTAGCCAAAGCTCGCGTAGACGAGTGATTTCAAGATATCCGAAGAAAGCTCGATGGAACGTTTGACTGCCTACCGGAGGTCCGGGGTGAAACATCGACCTGACTCATAAGCTGACGGGTGCAACAAGTTGGGAGAAAGGAGGTTACTAGGAGGAGTCTTAACTCAGTCCGGGCTGCCGATTGGACCATCTTCAAAGCCGATGTATCAATAAAAGCGAATCACGAGTGTATGCATGTAAAGGCCGCAAGGTTCAAGGTGTACACTGCATTCGACTCGGAGACATGTACACAGCTGCAGTGAGAGCGGACCCCGGCGCCGCGCCACTGGTGTGTTCCTCACGTGATCGCACCGCCGGCCTTAGTCACGGCGCGCAGGCTGTGGCCATCGAATAGCAAAAGAGCTGCTGATCCTATGTAGCCGAAAATGATGGCTAGCTGAAACGAGGGTCAAGTGGTGACGTATGCCCCCGCTGTGAGCTCGAACTTGAATCTTGATGCTCGAGCAAGAGCAGACTCGGAGGCCGGTGACTGAGATGGCAGAAGATGGCACACCAGCCTGGCTGGCAGGGCACCAGTAGGGCACCCGAGGCCACCAGAGGGCACCCGGCCCGAAAGAGCGCGACTGGCGCACCGATCGTGGTTGGCGTGCTTCTCCTCTCCTCCTGTGCTCGCTCGCGCTGGGCCCGCATCGACGAACGATGGAGTCACAGCCAGCGATCAAGCAACTGGCGATCCTCCTCTCTCGCTCGCTCAACACACTCAACCCGAACGAGGTGCTGGCCAAGTCGGTGTTCCAGCTGTCGCAGTCGCACACGCTGACTTCGTTCACCCAAGCGATCAGCGCCTTTGGTCGTTTCTCCCCGCACGACGCCCACGAGATCTACGAGCTCTGTCAGAAGCAGGACTCCATCAACGAGGCCTTCCGTGCGCCTGGGAGTGGCTTGACCGTCGTGGATGCGGATGTTCTGCAGCCTGACGCACCGCCGGCAAGGCCGGGGCTGTCCGTCGGAGGCAGCGGGGACGGCCGTGCGGAGGACAAGCACGTCTTCAGGGCACCCTCGGTACCCCAACGCAGCCAATTGGGTCTGGATCGGCTCGCACAGGAGAAGCGTAGGGAGAGGGAGAACGCCACCGCTTCCAATCGCGCCTCGTCGAGTGGGGGCGAGCACCACCGCCCGCCCGTCAAGCGCCTCAAGTACGACGAGGAGGACGAAGTACCCCACGACGATTTCAAGAGTGAGTTCTATACCCGGGTGGTAACTTCGTCGCATCGCTGACTCTTTCCCCTCCCCTAGTCCCGTCTCGAACCGGACCGTCCAACCTGCGCGCCCGACCCGACGACACCCCTTCCCACCCTGGAGGTCTCTCCCAAACGGCCCGACAAAAGCTCGAAGAGCACCGAGCAAGGAAAACGGCCAAGTCACGACCCGAAGGTGTGGTCGACTCGCGCTACGAACGGGACCGCGACGAAGCCGGCAAGAGGGCGATGGAAGGCTTCCGCGATCGACTGAACCGCAATGATGGTCGAGACTATGGCAGTCGAGGAGGGCGCAGGAAGGATTGGGACGAGGAAGGCCGTTTGAGAGATCAGAGGGATGATCGATGGGCTCAACGAGCGCCGCCCTCGCGCGACAATGGCAGGACACCGCGCCGAGACGTCTACGACACGCCCAGCAACGCCGAGATCACGGCCCATCGCGTCAAGGACCAGTCGTGGGACTCGACACCTTCTTCATCGCGTGGGGGTGGTGGCGGTGGTGGCGGTGGTGGCGGCGGTGGCGGTCAGTCACGTCCTCGCCACTCGTGGGACTCGACACCCCGATCCTCGGTCCATGGAAGCACCAAAGGCTCGAGTGCGCGCGAGTGGGACACCCCTCGATCCGTCCGAGCCGGATTCGGCGACGAATCCCCGGGTCCTCTTCCACCCCCTTCGTCGGTCGTCGACGAGCAAGAATGGGCCGAAGAGCAACAGCGCCTCGATCGAGACTGGTACAACTCGGATGAGATGGGTGGCGAGGCCGGGGACAACTCGGCCTTCGGTGGCTACGACGACTATGATAGCCAGAAGGAGGCTGAACTACTGCGTCGAGCGAACGGAGGCGGAGGACCCAAGAAGCGCGTGACGGCTCGTCAAGCTGCTTACAACGCCGACAACGAGTCGTGGGAGGAGAACCGACTGGCGCTTTCGGGTGTCACGGGTGAACGCCGACAACTCGACTTTGACTCGCTCGACGACGACGAAGAGACCAAAGTCCATCTGCTGGTCCACGATCTCAAGCCGCCGTTCCTCGACGGTCGTCTCACGTTCACCAAGCAGCTCGATCCCGTCAACCCAATCCGAGATCCGACCAGTGATTTGGCCGTCTTTGCCAAGAAAGGCAGCTTGCTCGTCGTCGAACGGCGACAGCAGAAGGAGCGAGAAAAGGCAGCGGCCAAGGTTGCGCAGCTGGCGGGGACGGTGTTGGGGAACCTGACCGGTGTCAAGGAGAAGGAGGAGGAGCCGGAAAGTATGTCGATGAGAGATCACACCTTGGGTCTACTTCTCGGGCGCTGACTCTGTTCTTTCGGATTTGCAGAACTTCCGACCGCGTCCATCGCCAAGGGCAAGCAGCGCGCGCGACATGACGAAGACAACGAAGACACGAGCGCCAACTCGGACTCCAAGTTTGCGTCTCATCTCAAAGCCGCAGGTCAGGGCTCGAGTGCATTCTCTCGCAATAAGTCGCTCAAACAGCAGCGACAATACCTGCCAGCCTTCGCTTCTCGCGAGGATCTGCTCAAGGTCGTTCGAGAAAACCAAGGTGAGCCCTTTTTCGGACTCAATTCAGACATTGCGGCTGACATGGGTGACATCGTTGGGTCCAGTCGTCATCTGTATCGGCGAAACTGGATCGGGCAAGACGACTCAATTGACGCAGTTCCTGCACGAAGAAGGCTACAGCGACTTTGGGATCATCGGGTGCACGCAACCTCGTCGTGTTGCCGCGATGAGTGTTGCCAAGCGAGTCAGTGAAGAAATGGAGGTCGAGCTTGGGGCAGAGGTTGGCTACGTCATCCGCTTCGAAGACTGTACAAGCGACAAGACCGTCATCAAGTGTGAGCCTGTTTCGTCGGCCATAAGTCCGAAAAATGAGAGACTAAGCTTTGCAAGTGGGTTGTATTATAGACATGACGGATGGTGTACTTCTTCGAGAGTCCCTCAACGAGGGTGATCTGGAACGGTACAGCGTCATCATCCTCGACGAGGCCCACGAGCGCTCCCTCAACACCGATATTTTGATGGGTTTGCTCAGGAAGAGTGCGCTGTTGCACGTGTCTTGGCTCGTTCTGCGGGTGCTGATCTCAATGTTCTTTGCAGTTCTTTCTCGTCGACGTGATCTCAAGCTCATCGTGACCTCTGCCACCATGAACGCCGAAAAGGTGAGAGCTGTCGCGTGCGGATCCTTCCTGGCCATAGGCACCAGGACTGACGAGTCATTCATCTTGTGCATCTGCAGTTCTCCAAGTTCTACGACGACGCTCCCTGCTTCACGATACCGGGCCGAACCTTCCCGGTCGACATCCTGTTCAGCAAGACACCTTGCGAGGATTATGTCGACAGTGCGGTTAAGCAGGCTCTACAGATTCACATTTCGCACCCACCTGGCGATATCCTCGTCTTCATGACGGGTCAAGAGGACATCGAGGTCACGTGCGCCGTCATCACCGAGCGTCTCGCTCAAGTCGAAGATGCGGCCGAGTTAGCCGTTTTACCCATCTATTCGCAGATGCCGGCAGATCTACAAGCCAAGATCTTCGAGGCGACCGAAGATGGACGCCGCAAGTGCATCGTCGCCACCAACATCGCCGAGACTTCGTTAACCGTCGATGGTATCATGTATGTCGTTGATGCTGGCTACAGTAAGCTCAAGGTCTATAACCCTCGCATGGGTATGGACTCGTTGCAAGTGACGCCGATCAGTCAAGCCAACACGAACCAGCGAGCCGGGCGAGCTGGAAGGACTGGTGCAGGGTGAGCCTTTCCTCATTCTTCCTGTACGATGCGCTTTGACTTGACTCGCTCACGCGATTCTCGCCGTAACAGTACTGCCTATCGACTCTTCACCGAGATGGCGTACCGCGACGAAATGTTTCCCAACACGATTCCCGAGATTCAACGTACGAACCTCGCCAACACGGTCCTGCTTCTCAAGTCACTCGGGGTCAAGAACCTCCTCGAGTTCGACTTCATGGACCCTCCACCGCAAGAGAACATCCTCAACTCGATGTATCAACTCTGGGTCCTCGGTGCGCTCGATAACACGGGTGAACTGACCTCGCTCGGACGCAAGATGGCCAACTTCCCTATGGATCCTGCACTAGCCAAGATGCTCATCGTTTCCGTCGAACGTCATTGTTCGACTGAGGTCCTGACGATCGTTTCGATGTTGTCAGTTCCGAGCGTGTTCTATCGCCCCAAGGAGAGGATCGAAGAGAGTGATGCGGCGAGGGAGAAGTTCTTCGTGCCGGAGAGTGATCATCTCACGCTCTTGCACGTTTATACCCAGTGGAAGAGCAATGGGTCAGTACTTGTACGATCGAGAATTCTCGCAAAAGGACTCAAAAGCTGACCCAACCTCAACTTCACCATCGCAGCTACCGGGATGACTGGGCGACGAAGCATTTCCTACACCCGAAGACCCTGCGCAAGGCTCGTGAAGTGCGCATGCAACTGCTCGACATCATGAAACATCAAAAGCTCGACATCATTCCGTGCGGTACCGACTGGGACGTCATTCGGTGAGATTCTTGAACTGCATGGTCTTCAGGAAAAGCCAAGCTCTGGGTTCTCATGCCCGTCTTTCCTTTCTCTGTTCGAACAGCAAAACGATCTGCGCCGCCTATTTCCACCAAGCCGCCCGCGTCAAAGGGATTGGAGAATACCAGCATTGTCGCACGGGAGTGCCGATGAACTTGCACCCTACGAGCGCGTTGTACGGTCTCGGCTTCTTACCCGATTATACAGTGTACCATGAGTTGGTGCTCACTTCGAAAGAGTATATGTCCACGGTGACTTCGGTGCAGCCGGAGTGGTTGGCCGAGTTGGGTAACAAGGTGAGTAAAGTCGATGAGTGTTGAGTTGGTGTCGGATGCGGATGCGGGCTAACCGGATATGCGATGGGTGTTTGTGCAGTTCTACTCGATTCGCGAACAGACGTTCGGGGAAAGTGCTCGACGTGCTCGTGACAAGGGTACGTTCCATTGCTGAGCGTATCAATTACAGGGCCCCAAGGCTAACGATTGCGTTTCTATCTCCACAGCGTTTGAAACCGAATCCCAAGCCGAGATGGACCTCAAGCTCCAATTCGCCAAAGACGAAGAAGCGGCCATGGAACGAGCAAAGGCCGCCAAGAGTGTGGCGAGTACACCGAGGATCGCCGGTGTGGGAGCTCCGACGCCTAAGAGGACACCCAGACGCTTTGGGTTCTGAATGGCTATCAAAGTTTGCACCTTGCATCATGCGATGAAGTGTCTGAGTAGTTGTTGCTAGATGGGCGGAATTCACGTCGAGGTTGATGGCTTGTTCGAAGCGTGCTCTTGGGCTATCCGCATCACGTCGAGCCAAATCTGCTCGACCAATTCTCCGCCCCGTTGGGTGCCTTCATCCCAATCGATCTTTTGCACCTCATCTCTTCCTAAAGGCTCAAGGACATAGGAGGCGACCTCGGCCTTGTTCTCTGGTCTGCCTATCCCGAGTCGTATCCGATTGAAATCCCGATTGCCCAAAGCGCCTTCGACGGACCTGACTCCATTATGACCTCTTGGTGATCCTCCTCGCTGAATCTTGAACGATCCAGGCTTGAGATCCAGATCATCTTGAAGGGTCAAGATCTTCCATCCGTCCACTCGGGATTTCGAATGCACCATCGATGCCGATGCCGACGACCCCAAAAAACTCTTCGAAGCTTCAACGATCACAGGTCCACAAACGTTCATCAACCTCTTGGGAAGACAGAACATCAACTCGAACGGCAGGCAAGCCACCCCTCGGGCGGACGCAGCATTCTGAGAATGAACGGTGATGATCGTAGACCAAACGTGTTTAGAGGAATCGAGTTTGAGGTGGGGAGTTCCGGAGGAGTGGGGTAGGGAGGACGCTTTGTGGGCAAGGGCTTTGAGTAGTATCTGGCCTATAGAGTGGCGCGTGAGAGGGTAGGGGTAGTTGCCCAGGCCTGGCAGAAGGGAGACAAACGGTAAGTTGAGGGAAGTCACGTGTTGACGCCGCGGCGAGGAGGAGGAAACGGGGACTGACCTGCGATGACGAAACGACGAGCAGCGGCGACCATGAAAGGGAAAGATCCGCCGCTGGGGAGGGAAAGGAAGAGGCTGAGGGAAGTAGGATCGATGGTGAAGAGGGAGAGACAGAGAGGGGACCAAACCGGAAGCGAATAGTGGCCGATGCGGGTGTGACATTAGTCAGGAAACATCCAGGAAACAGACCTGCGCGCGAGCTTGGGAAAAGGTACAGCGGACGTCGTTGGCCTCTCTCAGCCTATCTACAGCATTCGCCTCTACCCACCCGAATCGGACGCTCGCCAGATTGATTCCGTTCCGACACAGGTTCTCAAGGGATCGGAGAAGTCGCCGAGAACGTCGGAACGGTCGCGTGGTCTGATCGGCGTTAGGAGAGCAAGTGGAGCTTCGCAGCCAGCTCCGCAATCGATCGGCGGCGCCTCACCACGGTCGCACACTGCATTCCACAAGCCTCTCCAACGAGTGCCCCATGTCCAGCTCCAATCAAGGATCCAACGGTCCCTCGACATCGGCTCTCCCTTCCCCCTCTCCCGACTCTCCCTCTGCGTCGGACATGTCGTCGTCCGGCATCTCGCTCGGACTGGCTCGCATTCACCGCCTTCTCTCGTGCCTCCACTCGCCCCACCTCTCGACACCGATCATCCACATCTCCGGAACGAATGGCAAAGGATCCGTATCATCGTACCTCTCCTCGGTGCTCACCGTCGCCGGTCTTCGCGTGGGAAGGTTCAATTCCCCCCACTTGGTCGACGAATGGGATTGTCTCACTCTCCCCCACAACCGGACCGTCCCTCGCAAGATCTACGAATCGACCAAAGCTCAGGTCATGCACACGAACAAGCTCGAGCAGATCGGTGCGACCCCATTCGAGATCCTCACCGCGACCGCTTACTCAGTCTTTGCCTCGACCGAACCCAAATTGGATCTCGCGGTCATCGAAGTCGGGATGGGTGGAGCCACAGACGCGACCAATGTCGTCCCGGCGGACAAGACGCTGATGTCCGTCATCACTTCGATCGAACTGGATCATCAGAAGTTCCTTGGGAATACGATCGCTGAGATCGCAGAGGTCAAGGCGGGAATCATCAAAAAGGGGACCGAGATCGTTTTGGCACAGCAGAGGCATCAGGAGGTACAAGACGTCGTCAAAAGGATAGCAAAACAACAAGAGGCGAGGTTGTACATTGCTGGAGAAGCTCTACCTCATCACGCCACCTCGAACGCTTCTACGCAAAACTCGTCGTCGCCCACTTCTTCCCTCGTCTCAATCCCTTTGGCTCCCATCTCCTCCCACCCTCCTTCCCTCCCCCCAACGCGCTCCACAATCCTTCCCATCTCGATCCAAGCGAACCTCCCTCTCCCAGGTTCCTACCAATACCAAAATAGTGCCGTTGCCCTGCTCGCTGTCGAACTGCTCCGTACCTCCTCCCGTCCTCTTTCCCTTGTCCCGGCTTTGTCAAACGTTTCTCCCCTGGCCTACCAAAAAGGAATTGAAGCGACTCGGTGGGCAGGACGATTGGATTGGGTTAACCTCCCCTCTGAAATCAGTAGGACCAAACACCCCATCTTGATCGACGGAGCGCACAACCCTTCATCAGCCGAACAACTCTACCAATACCTGCAAACCCTTACCGAGGACTCGGCACCGACGACGTTGATCATTGCGATCTCGGCTCCGAGACCACCGACGGTACTCTTGGAACCCCTTTTTAGACCCCGAGGATCGATCCGCAAGGTCGTGTGTGTAGGTTTTAGTGCTCCATGGCGAAATTCCCGGCGGCAGTGGCGAGCCACAAGGACCGTCAGTCGTCCTTGCAATGACCGGCAACTGGAGGCAGCGAGTTATCAATCAGGCTTGAGGTGTGCGAGTCCAGGGCAGGACCGGTTCCAAAGGTCACACGAATGGTAGACATGAAGACACAAGTACACGCGAAAGTCCGCCGAGTGTACAGTCGTACCACGAGTCGCCGCCAGCTGGAGGAGCCAAGTTGCATCGAATCCGGCTTTCAACTCGCGGTCTCGAGCCATTGGGAGCCCGGCCGAGACTTTTGGGCCGCCACCCATGTCCAGGGAGTTGCCGGCGAAGCGGAAAAAGAAAAAAAGAAAAAAGAAAAAAAAGAAGGAAAGGAAGGAAAAAATAGAAGAAAAGAGAAAGAAAAAGGAAGGAAATAAGGAAAAGATAAGGGAAGAAGGGGGAAGAAGGAAAGACGAACACATGATGTACATGGTCATAGTACTCTCTTGTAGCATAACTTGCCCAAATTTGGTATCTTTACACCAACACCAGGTACACGTAAAGATGGTATGCCTAAGCTTGAGAAACACGCTTACAGTCCCGTTCGCAGCCGCCTCACTTCAAATTAAAGCCTTTTCAAGGCTCGGACAGCAGTGTAAAGAGCAATGAAAAAAGCAGGCTTTGAACACGTGGATTACAAGAACTATCCTTTGTTTTACCAGAAATGCCTTCCACAGAAACTGTGTGAACATCTCACCGTGTTTGGAGTTCCAATGGCTAGAGTCAGGGACCGACCGGTCAACTGAGATCGCGGATTCGGCGAGGCCAATCGGAGCTGCCAACGAGTCTCGAGCCACCCTTCTTGAGGACCGTTGTGTTGCGCTCGTATCCGTCAGAGCACATCCTGAATGGTGGAATAAGTCGTAAGTTGAAGATCGATGGAATATCAAGATACCGAGGATGCCCATGGAAGAAGTGCAGGGAAGGATGGCGATCGATACCGATGCCGATACTGATCAAGCCGAGGTCATAAGATGTTGTCATATGGTCCGCCGAGCATGACTCATGCCCATCCTTCTTCTTGCGAGCTTCGATACAAAGTTCGTTGGTAGCGTGAAGTCAAGTCACGCTAAATGGCAGGTCCTGGAGCCAATCTGCGTCCTCCTTGTGTTCCGATCTTAGTGGTCGCATCGGTCACGATTTCGTCCCGCCGCAGTTCCAAAGCACATCTCGTCCTCAATCGCCGAGGGAGCACAAGACCTGCCACTCTTGCCGTTTGATGCTTGTAACGTGTGTTCGGTATTTCTTGAAAAGAATCGACTTTGTTGGTTGCTCTGCTTACTTGAAAGACGGCGTCCATTGGGATCTTCGACCATACGGACCAGGTGGGCTCGGTAGAACTATAATAGTCGAAGCGAAGGGTAGCTCGAAGTGACCGATAGATGCGTTGAACGAGTCGGGCTGGGTATCGGAACATGAATGTATTTCTCTGGTCACTCCTCTGGGAACGGGGAACAAAGAAACGCCGATTTCAGTACACGAGATGGAGCGGCACGGCAAACGCGCTAACGGTCGGGCGACGGGCGACGACTCACGGTCCCTTTTCTCGAACGGCCCTATTTCATGGCAGATGTTGTGACGATTGATGTCAGCATAGCAACGGAGATCACAGAGGCGATCCTTAGTAATCGAGCTATTACCATTGATCTGCACTCGTTGTGCAGTTCAATGATCGTGGTCGACCAAAGTTGGCTCCGACATGATCCTTATCGGCGACTCCTGAACTTGCCTTATCTGAAGGTATCGCTCAGCCTGTATTCCAAGTTTCGCTAATTGCTATTTCATCGGTCTGACCGTCTTCAAGAATGCTTTGGAGCGTTGTAGGCGGTTGACGGCGATGGAAGGCGGTGGACAGCGGACCTCGGGAGCCTGACGTCGGTGCGCTCGTGATGCTAGATTGATGGCGGTCTTGCTCGATCGATGGCTCATGTAGGTAGATGAGCATTAAATAGCAACCCGACTCCGTGTCTTCGTCGACCTAAAGTGTAAGATGTGCTAGTTCAGTGTCTCGCCCAGGCGTGCTGTTCGCGACAAATCGTTTCGATCGGCTTTGCTGAACGGCATCGGATGGGATCAACAATTGAGAGCGAGTCTTGCGGTGACGTGGCAGAATAGGTTGTGTTGGCTCGAAGGCCGAAGAAGTGCGGACGTTGGGCATAGATCAGGACAGGTAGGGGGCTGAGAAAGAGCTCGATGCGATTGTCGCGCCGCGGGCGACACGTGACTTCTGCTAACTTTCCGTGGGCCAATGCCAACTTCCCCCACGCCTCTGCTAACTTCGCCAACTTCATTGCCTAAGCGGGCCTCAAGCGCACGCGCGCGCCTGAAGTTAGCGAAGTTAGCACTCCCTGGACACCGCCAGCGCCCTAGACTTTTTGACTTTGCAATCTAGAGCGTCCGCAGAGTTAGCGCCTGCTCCCCGGGCAAACGCGTCGAGGGTTGCCTATGGTGCTAGATCTGAATATGTCCAAAAGGACTGGAGACTCGTGTGAAAGGACCATCATTCGAAGGATCCTCCGGACCTAGCGTCTGTAGTATGATCGAAAACACATCGTTGCTCCATTGCACGCTTGGAGAGGGAAGAAATATTCCGAAAATTGACAAGAGTGGTACTGACCCATCAAGAGGGCCGACTACTCAACCTCATATCAAGTGCCAGGTTCAAAGTACATCTGGATCAACGTGTTGGCACCACGAACAAATAGGGGGATCGACCGAGCCACGACGAAAGGCTCGATAAGACGATGCCGAACCATTGACACATGGATGACGGTCTCTCACATCTCGATGCGGACCTCTTTTCGAGAGCAAGAATGCTTCAAATCCATCTCTTCGTCTTCGTCGGAACGAGGATCGCCGAGCGTTTGCATTCGCACGAGCTGAGGCGTTGGGGCGCGAACCCGGCTGGCGGACGTGACTGAGGGGGGCGGCTTCGGCGAAATGCCGGCGCTATTGTTTGGGTAGCGTGTGGCGTAGACTCCGGGGGACGAGACATCGTTATTGTTGTATCCGTCTGTTTTCTCACGCAAACCTTGACGGGAGGCGAGGGTGACGATGAAGGAGATGAGGTAGAACGAGGACAGAGGTTGGTAAAACGCACCGGTCGAGTTGGTGAGGAGCGAATCATCCGAGAACGAGTCCGAAAGGATCGCCGCGATCAACGCAAAGGTGGCGGTGTAGGAAGCCGTCTCGATCGATAGGATGATGACGCTGCGGAGCATCGAGTCGGTGCCCGAGTTGAAGCCGACGATTCGTTTGTACAGCAGAAGCGAGAGAGTGACGGTGAGGAGAACGTCCATGATACAGCAGCACCACAGCCATAGTCTAGGGGTCGGCCACAGATCGAGATTTAGCAGATGTGCTACTATTAGATACGTGTTTCCCGTTCGGCAGACCCACCCGTTTGCTAAAGTGAAGGACAACCCTGGCGGTGGCGTCACGTTGTTGCGCAGCATGAACGACGCGGCGACGAAGAGCCAACTTCCGATAAGGCCACCCATGATCAGCAAAGATGCCATTGTAATGAACAAGCTTCGATAGAGGTTATTGTCGAAGAGCTGGTTGATAACGATGAAGTGTCTGGTGTTAGATATGTGTTCGGTACTGTAACAAGTCAGTGCTTACCGAGACCGCCCGAAGACCGAGAAAGCTCTGAACGAGCGCCCCAACGATACCGGTGGGCACAGTAGCGAAGCAATCTGCGAGCGTCTGAAAAACGTAGAACACAATTTAGCTTCGAGATCCAAGCCTTAGGTAACTTCGGCAAGTGGCACCCTCGTGTGACTTCCCGGCCCGCCTCCTAGGTTCTGGGCGATTTGGTGTGCATACTCACCTGAGCATACAGGGTATCGACGTCACGACGTTGGGAAGTGCCATAATGGAATATCGAATCAAACGTGATACTATCGGAAATATGCACCAGCAAGTAGAGGTATAGGGGTCGAGGTCAGATTGGATTATTTCCCCGTTCGGACCGAAAAGGACTGCTAATCGCGACGAACGCAGCTTGGCCCGTGGCGGCGAACACGACGGCCCACAGCCACAACTTGATCCTTCGCGAGTCGGCCTTATACTGCGGGCCTGTGACGTATCGCACGAACAACGATAGCCCGAATCCATAGAAGATGAGCTGTACCATCCACCCTGTCGAGAACATCTCTCATCGGCGATCAGTACTCTTGGGCGTGGGACTACCAATAGCGTCACGAACGTCCGCTCCGAGTCGGTTGCTTGAAATTAGCCGCGAAGAAAGGCCCGAATTGCCGCCTCGCTCCAGGAGCAAGAGGAGGTTGGACCTACCGACGAACACAGGTCCTAGACTTGCTGTCGCGATGCTCTGAAGGGCGATGGGACCGGCATTCGGGTCATTCCCGGGTGTGTCCGACATGGTGCTTGATGCTCTTTAGCCGAGTTGGGCGAAAGTCCCGCGTGGTGATGTGAGTGGTCGAGGGTCGGCGAAATTCTCCGGACGAGTCTAACGTATCGGAAGGAGGTCGGATACACACCGGCTTCGAGCTAGTCTGAGAGGAGACAGCGGAGGGAAGGAGGGAAGTACGAAGAAGGGAGGGCGTGACGGGTGGGAGGGTCAAGAGGGGAAAAAGCAAGCCTCGGGCCGAACCGATAATTCGCCGGAGGAGATCAATGAGAGACAGCCAGAGACAGCGCCCGGGTGCTAAGACGCGGGTTTACTAGCTAATCAGACCCGTGGGTGCCAGCGATATTTCGGCAAGCTCCGCTCTTTTTCCTTGTTCTGCGGGACGACGAGCCGCCGCCCGTTGCAACTTAGGAGACCTTGCACGGTACGTACGCTCCGGGTCGCCTGCCTGGTTTTCAGCACGGCCGTGGACCGCGGAACAGAAGTGGAACCGAGCAACCCTTCAACCGCTGCAGGATCACCCCTTGGCTGGCAGCTTTTCGTGAGGTGTGATCGCTTCCTCGAAGGTGCGCTTGGATCATGTGATTCGTATCGCACCGTCACATCCGCCCGAAACCCGACGGCAGGCATTGCCGAACTCGTTAGGAGAGGAGGGCTCGTGCGCGCACAGCCAACGACGACACGTCAGGGGCGAAAAGGAAGCACATTTCCGATCGTAGCGGAAGTGGTGGACATTCCAACAGAATATGTAGTAGCATACCTCACTGGTGGAGGCGATGGTGGCAACCTTGCCCCATCTACCCTCAGGAGCCGGGAGCTGAGGGGGAGGAGGGAAAACTGATGTAAGCCCTGAGAAATGGGGGCATCAGTCCTAATCCCAGCGAGGCAATGGCGCGTATACAATATGGGTGTATGATATATGACACATGTTATGGTGGTCCAGCGGATCTAGCGTTTGTTAGATTCTGTCTTTGAATAAGACTAGCTGTAATTTATGGCTTTAAACTTTAAATCGAAGCCGCACTGGACCGGCAATAAAAGCGTTTTCAAGTAGGTACTTCTTTCTACAGAGGTGTCACAATATCAAAGTGTGGAGACCTCACCGGCGCAGATGTGTCCGGGGCTCAAGCGCTCAAGCCCAAAGCTGGTTTCCGCGCCACCTAGGTCGAGGCAGCGGACTCGCGGGAGCCGCCTCGATTCTCTGGTTGAGTGAGACGACGCGTCTGGACAGCTTTTGACATCTCGCCACATCGCCGGCCTCTTGCCTCTCGTATCTCTCGCCATTCACGCCACCCGCATCCAGCTGCGACTCCCACCCACTGATTTACACCCCATCACCCGACCCATCTCATCATGTCGTCGCAACATTCTCAGGTGCCCGAGGAGGACGAGCAAGCCTCGCATGGGCTGCCGACCCCCGTCACTGCTCTCATTGTCAGTGGTCAAGACCACAGGCGCACAGCACCTTTACACTTCATGAACAATCTACTCATACCGTTCAATCTATCTTACTTTAAACCCCCCTTCAGGCTCATGGTATCTCGGCCAAGGACTGTGACAAGTTGAAGGACGCAGGCTACAACACACTCGAGTCGATCGCCTACACGCCCAAAAAGATGCTGCAGCTCGTCAAGGGGATTTCAGAAGCCAAGGCAGAGAAGATGCTCAAACTGGGTTCGTGATAGTTCTAAAGCTGCCGGTGTAGACCGCCGAGAGTGCTATGTCCTTGGGGGCCGTGAACTTTTGACGTTGTGCACGCCCTAACCTTCCAAACATTCGCCATCGTCAGCGTGCGACCAGATCCCCATGGGCTTCACGACCGCAACCGAGTTGTAAGCCTGTTATATTGGTGGGAGCTTGACACTGGTAACATAACATTCGACTGATACCCCCAACAAATGTCTCCACGCAACGTCAACAGCCACGCCCGACGCGCCGATATGGTCACGATCACCACGGGCTCGACCGCGCTCGACAATGTTCTTGGAGGTAAGCGACAGGCACCGCAGTCGAACCCGATGACGAACTGGAAGGGTCGGGCTGATCATACTGACCCTTATCTTCCGCACATAGGCGGTATCGAGACGGGCTCGATCACCGAGCTCTACGGCGAATTTAGGACGGGAAAGAGCCAGATCTGTCATCAGCTCGCGGTCACGTGCCAGGTGAGCTTGACGTCGCTGTCCTGCCAACAAGGCTACGTCTGGTCTAGTTACTGATCCTCGTGTCACCTTTTCCTGATAGCTTCCTTGCGATATGAAGGGTGGTGAGGGCAAATGCCTGTACATTGACACCGAGGGCACGTTCCGACCAGCGCGTCTGCTCGCGATCGCCGAGCGCTACGGCATGAACGGCGAGGATGTGCTCGACAACGTCGCCTACGCCCGTGCGTACAACGCCGATCACCAAGCATTGCTGCTCATTCAAGCGGGTAGCATGATGGCTCAATCTCGGTCAGTCGAGCCCGATTCTCAATCGACGCTGCGATCACGTGATGGCTGACCGCCGTTTACTCGTTGGCGCAGTTTCTCGCTCATGATCGTCGACTCGGTCACGGCCCTGTACCGCACCGATTTCAGTGGTCGAGGCGAACTCAGTGCTCGTCAGATGCATCTCGCCAAGTTCTTACGCTCCCTTCTCAGGCTTGCCGATGAAGTGAGCTCTAGCTTCTGTAGCGCGTGTCCTGACTAGGTGACTCAATGCTCACACTCTTCACGTTCGGTCTCATAGTTCGGTATCGCGGTCGTCGTGACGAACCAAGTCGTCGCCTCGGTCGACAATGCCCCGGGTGTGCAAGGTGATCAAAAGAAACCCATCGGTGGGAACATCATGGCCCACGCGAGTACGACGCGTCTCTCGTTACGCAAAGGTCGTGGTCCCGAACGTATCGCCAAGATCGTCGATTCGCCTTGCTTACCCGAATGCGATGGCAAATTCCAAATCACCGCTTCGGGGATCTCCGACGTCGATGGGAATGACGACGATTAGAAGAGCCGATTCCGATCGTCTCGTGCCTTTTTGATGAAACTCGTATCCTATCACGAAGAACCCCTGCATGTCTTTTTTTCCTTACCTATTCTCGTGTTGTTTTTTTTGTCCCCTCGGGTTCTTCCTCGCATATGTAGTCGATCACCATCATCGTTCATTTGTACACATTACGTAGCTCAGATACACTCGTTTTCCAATCTCATTCTGTATACTCTTTCTGGCTCGCTTTGCCCCCCCCCCCCCCCCCAGTTGTCAAAACTTTCAGGCAGACACAAAGCGCACGAGTGAATTAACTGCTTGCAAGGGGGATTGAGAACAAAACGAGTCGTACAAAAAAAAGGGGGGAAAGTAAACAAAAAGTTACCCCAACCCTCTACCCCCTACCATGGGTTCTCCCTGAAGCTGACCGTACTCGCATTACTCCCCGTCGTACCACCCCAAACGAAAGGAGTTCCCGCCGGATCAGGGACGACGACTTCCTCGTCCCTCCCGTTCGTAGGAACGGTTTTGGGAGTCTGCATCGTCCATGGAGGCATAAGTTCACCATTAAGGTCGTTGGCGAAGGTGAAAGTCGGTTCGGAAAGTGCCAGACTCGTCGTTCCAGCGATCGGTGTGGTAGGTGATCCCCAACCTTGATCTTCGAGAACAGCTGGGGGAGCGCGATCAAGTGAAGAAGGCGTCGTCGATTCATCTGCCCATTGTCGGCGAAGTAATTCCCGAGGATCCAACGTCGTATCGAGATTCGTTAGATCGGTTTGAGGACGCGAGAGGGCGATTTCGATCGCGGGCGAAGGGACGTCCGTGGGTTCACTCTCGGTTGTACGAGTTCGGCTGTGCGGAGGGAAGGGTGTGGAAGAGGAGGAGGAAGGGGATGATGGGGATCGTGCGGGTAGTTGAGCGACTTCGGCTCGGATCTTGTTGAGGTCGAAGCCGGAGGGAATGGCGGGAACGGCGGGAGCGGCGTTCGTCAAAGGTTCAGAAAGGGCAGGAGAGTCCCCATCGTGCGTTGATTCGCTATCATCGACGGTGGAGATGGACAGAGAGGACCGATTCGCCCTCTTGGACTTGAGGTCTCCAACACCGATATCCCCCGTATCAGACGACGCGCGATCAACCGAAGTCGAAGACGACGACGAAAGTCTCGGCGGTGTATCATCATATTCATCCTTCGACTGAGCTCTCGACATTGGTGCCGAATTCGTCGGTGTCGACTTCTTACTCCTCGAGAACAACCCGAGTACCTTCTTTCGCGATTTGCGTTCAAGCCGCTCTTGTTCTTCCGCGGCGGTGAGGACCTCGCGATCGGGCGCATCGGGTTCCATCTCTTCGGGTTCATCGAAGTGATCGGCGGTGACCTTGAAGCCGACGTACTTGAGCAAAGTCGGCATCAAGGTACGGTAACTCATGTGCCCCACGAGGATGTCGGTAATATCAACATTTTCGAGATCTGGAACGTGTTCGATCGGCCGTAATCCAGCGACGGTTTGCAAACCTCCTGAGGTGGCACGGAACAAATACCCGAGGACCCAATCGTTCATCGCGAAAGCATTGACGAATCGACCGGCGACGATTCCTCGAACTTGTCGCCACACCTTCATCGACGCCGTCACAGTCGCACCGAAAAGATACACCTCCTGAACGACACCGAACGCATTCGCCTTTGCTAGTTCAACGAGGGCGTAAAAGATGACGCGCGCGCCGAGCGAGAAGCCGACGAGGGATACGGGCCTCACACCGAGTTGTCGGTTGATGAGGATGTCGGCGAGTACAGCGCCGGCTTGGCGAGCGCGATCGAGAGCGTTCGACCAAGGGTTGTCGATGAGATAACTCAGTTTGGTGAGCACTGCAAAAAGACCAAGTATCCTTAATCAGCTGCAAGCGCACATAGATCGAGCTAGGTCCCAGCTCACTCACTCATGGGCCACTGCAGCGCGCTCATCAAAGCCGTCATCACCGTCAAGGCCAAGACTTGCTGCCCCGCCTGAGTCAGCACCTCAGTCGACAAGATTTTCAACGCATTCCCCGTATCCCCCATCATCTCCGGTTCCCATAACACGGAGAACACGTCCCCCATCAACGGATCAAGAGGACTGAACGGCAAGCGCACGTCATCGAGTGGACCATTCATGAAGCCCGGGATGGTGATAAGGAAGTTGACGCGCTTGTTGTTGTGCAAAGGGAGGAACTCGAACGTCTTGACGTGGCGAGTACGTTTGGCCATGGCTTTGCCTCCGATCGTCGCACCCGTCAAGGTCGCACCCGAGGATATGATCGCTGCTCCACCCGCGCCAGCGAGGAAGCCCGTCGTCCCGGACACTCCGACCGTCGTTAAAGCTGCTCCTAGACCGGCACCAATGACTGGCGCAAGTAGACCGGCCGACAATCCAATGACGAGTCCACCACCAAGCGTCGCCAATCCCATCATGACGTATCGCTTGTTCTGCCCCTTGACCCTTCGTTCCTCCAACACCTCGAGATGTTCCTTTTGCTTGACGTTCTCCTGAATCTCAAGCGCCTCGGTGAGTCGACGCTCGAACCGAACGACGTCGATCCATTCCAACCCGAGCTTGTCGGCGATCATGCACAAAAGGACGCGTGACCTCGCATCATAGACCGAGTCGGCAATCAAGGACAGGAAAAGGTCGCACAAGATCGTCCACCGGATATCGAGGGTGATCTCCTTGTCCGCGGTCGAAAGTTTGGTCGTCACACCGGGGAGGGAGGATGGCATCGGCTGCAGAAAGTTGTCGGGTTGATGCATCGAGAGTGATGGTGAGGACGGTTCCTCTATCGGAACGGCTTCGTTTTCGTCGGGTGCAACGAGGGCGATAGCTGGTGCACCGGCGGCGACGGTTTGTGAAGGCAGATTCGGCGGGGGTGGCGACGACGTGGAAGGCGCATCGTTCACTTCGCTATCTGCTGTTGTCGTACGACTCCGTGTCGTCGGACTGTCCAAAGCTCCTCCAATATCACCCTCGGCGCCGTCAAGGGCTCTCTGTCGACTCGATGGCGAGCCTGGAGGCGAAAATCGAGGCGAGAACCCTTTGGGAGACCCAAGAGATCGAAGTGAATGGGCCGACGACGACCGCGAAATGCGTGTGGGCGAGGAAGCAGGGGATCCAAACTCCTCAGCGAACGCTAGCGGATCCATCCGAGCAAGACTGGCCCGTCGTTCGAGTTTGGCCACCTCGCGCGCGACTCTGCCTTCACGTTCGACCCGGAGGTGCTCCTGCCGTGTCGCCTCGGCTTCGATCTCTATCCGCTCAGCTTCGGCCTGTTCCTCTTCTTGAGCTTTCCGTCTCGCTTCTTCCTCTTTCTTCCGCCGTGTCTCTTCCTCCTGCGCCTTTTTTCGCTCCTCCTCTTGCTCCGCTTCGTGCTCTCGTCGTTGCTCTTCGAGTTTCTCCTCCTCGGCCTGAGCGGCCTCGGGATCGTATTCAGGGTTGGTGACGGTATAGGTCGACATGAGGGATGGCGTGAGATCCTCGGCGGTCACGCCATGTTCGGCAAGTTGTTCGATCATGCGTTGTTCTGTCCGTGCGGAACCAGGATAAGTACGAGGGAATGAGGGCTCAAATTTTTAGCTTGTTGGCAGACTGACCAGCACCATCGACCTCCATGTGGCGATACAGCCTTCCCATAATTTTGTTGGACCAGGTCTTGCAACTCTCCCTCGCAGGTGCAAGTTCGGGTGCGCCCTTGGAAGCAAGCACGAGGGTCTGTACCATCTCGCGCGCGACGAGGCGACACAACCCGACGTAAGCGATCCTCTGCCCCTCGGTGAGCAAGGTCTTTGTCGTTTGCATCTGCGACAGAGGTGTCATGCCTTTATCCTGGTTGAAGAGGTATTGGGTGCGCATCGAGATTTCATCCTCGTCGGGATCGTCGTCGAGTTCGAGACGGGTGTAGTCCATCTCGTCGAGTTGCTCCTTCTCCTTCCACGCCTGTCCGCCGCTGTCGACGTCGATGAGCTTACCGGTCGCGTTGCCCCCTCCCGCGCCACCTGCGATCATGGACGCGGTCGAAGCTGAAGCCGACGGACCTGCGCCATTGGTATGATGGGAAGAAGACGCCGAAGCAGACGACGACGAGGATGGTGCGATCCACGAGTCATGGCGTTGGACCGTGGTCGGTGAGATGCGATGATGGCTCCACTGCGCATTGCGGCGATGGGGCGCACGAACGTCGTCGTCATAGTCGTCGCGATGGCGTAGGGGGGACAGACTTGTGCCGGTCGAGTGAATGACGGGCATGTCCTGCCAGTCATCGTCGTCGAGGTCGTTCCATTTCGTCATGGTGGTCACGCTGGTCTACGAGTGAGCGGGCACAGTCACACGGTTCAAGTTTCAAGTCCCTTCCCCGGCCGGGCTCCCCAGTCTCCTAGCGACGTGTGCAGTAATGTTACGAGCTCGGATCCACTAACTGTGGATGAAGAGAGAGAGTGTGTGGATGTCAGAGGAAAGTTATGGTCGCTCAGTCGGGGCAGGAGCGATCGCTTCAGTGCGAGTGAACCTGAAACCCGAGGCTGAGGCTGGGCGGGTGGGTGTACCACTACTACACATCAGACCCGCTACTCGGTACTGACCCCACGCTGATCCGTCTCTCCGAGCCCCGAGTGACTCTTCGCGCGGCCTAGCCTGCAGCAGAGCCGGTGCAGCCCGACCAAGGACAGAAGGTGGGGGGGGGCGGGGGCGGCGCCGCGATCCGACTGCGCGTGAACGCGATCGGTGCGACCGGTGCTTGCGACCCAGCTGACGATCCTGGGCCAGATTACGAACCCTCTCTGGTGAGGGATGGTAGGTGTGAGTCCCAACGGAGGAGTCGGGTGTTGTGACACGCTGTACAAGCCGCCGATGTGAGCCTACAAGGACGAGGAGAGCGGCCTCTGAGCGGTCGCATCTCGACTTTGCCCGCGCGGCCGGCCCCAATCGGTAATAGTAATAGTTCCGGCAACGCCAACTCGGCCGTTGTTAGCAATCTGCCCCAATCGAAGCCGAGAACGGTCGCGCTCGGTCGCGCTCGGCCGAGGTGAGCGAGGGTGAGCAGCGGTGAGCGAGCTGAGCGCGGTTACGCGGTCGAGCTTGTTGTACTGCTTGCTGTACATCGTCCACTCTGCCCAACACCTCCTACGATCGACGACCACTCGCCAGCCCGCTTCTAGCTCAGGCTCCGGCTCAGGTCCATCGAGCACCGTCCTCAAGCCAGGCCCTCGGGATCGATTGGTGCACACGCCGCCCACCTCTGAGCTGACGCGCTGACGCCGAACCTCTGCTCTGCACTGCACTGCACCCGCTCACGCGACACACCACCACCGGCACACGCACACGCACACGCACACGCACACGCACACGCACACGCACACGCACACGCACAGCAAGCCGTCGACGCCACTCGCTCCCACTTGTTACCGCCCACCGATCTCGCGCACTCATCTCGCTCCTCCACCTCAGCTACACCGACCGTCTCCGCCTCCACCCCCCACCCGCCATGTCCAAGTCGTCGGCCATGTCGCAGAAGCGCATCGCGCGCGAGCTGCACGACGTCGCCAACAAGTCCGAGCTCCCCCAGGGCTGCACGTCAGTCGGCACCAACCCGGACACATGGCCTCTCTCATTCCATCTTGGCTGACCGCAGGTTCCGATGGTCTGCACAGCGCTGGACCGGTGTCGGATCGGTCGGTGCACGAGTGGGAAGCCACGATTGGTAAGACCCTTTTAAACCCTTCTGAACCGGCCACCGAGGCGCCTCGCCGAGTCAAGCACTGTCAAGCAACTGACCCCCTGCCCCTGCTCCAACCCACGTGCTGATCCGTTCAACAGAAGGACCGGTCAGTTCAACAGTACTCTACAACTCCCGCTCTGCCCTTGTTCGGCACTGACACCCGACGAAGCACCCCTTTCTCCTCTCCTTTAGCCCGGATCCGTACGTCGCATCGACCCATCACCCAGCGACCAACGTACTGATCCAACCCATCCCTACCCTACAGGCCTACGAAGGAGGCATCTTTGACCTGTCCATCGTCCTGCCGCCGGACTACCCGTTCCGTCCGCCGAGGGTCACCTTCCTCACAAAGGTCTACCACGCCAACATCAATACCCAGGGAGGAATTGTGAGTAGACGCACAGAAAGCAATCTAATTGTTTTGACTGAACCCAAAGCTGACACGTTCTTGAACCTCCACACAGTGCCGTCAGTAGCTTCGGAGTCTTTCGTCGATTTGACCCTTAGCGAGGACTGAGCGTCGAATCTACATCTGCTCACAGTCGATATCCTCAAGAACCAATGGTCACCAGCTTTGTGCGTTATCCCAAGCCTCAGAATTGCCTTTTCAACGTCGTATCGCTGACTCTCACACAAAAATACCTTCTCTCAGATCCATCATCAAGGTACTTCTCTCCGTGTCGTCCCTTCTGGCGGACCCGAACCCACGTCAGTCCCTACCCCATATCGTGTGCCCAAACATGCCTTTTGACATCGTTCCCTGTTCCATTCAATTTTTTAGACGATCCTTTGATGCCCGAGGTAGGTCTCACACCGTATTCGTAGCGCAATTATGGTCGCCGTCTGACGCTCGTTGTTTTGACGTACAGATCGCGCAGCGCTTCCTCAAGGATCGGAAAGGGCATGACAAGACCGCTCGGGAATGGACCAGTAAGCTTCACACTTTCCAAGGCAATCATCGAAAGTGTACTCAAGCACCACGACTCACACGAACGAGCTACATTCACTCATCCGCAGAGAAACACGCACGCCCCAAACCGATCGAAACGATCGAACTCGACGAGACCAAGGCGCCCAAATCCAAGAGCAAGCAGCCTATCGAGGTCATCACCATCGACTGATTGGACGTTGGATCGTCGTTTGTCGTTCCAGTTTGCATCCTTTTCGGACATTTCTTGCATCCCTTCGTTGCTTTACGTATCCTCTTTTGGCCTTTGTCACTTGTACCACCCTTGCGCGAACCCTTTTTGCAAACTATCGATCCCTGTCATCTCTCTCCTTGCTTTGCGTGTCGTTGTACCTTCGTGGGCATGGGGTCACCTTTTCGCGATAATTGGGTACGATAATGATATTCCTTCCATCCACTAAGCCAAAGGATTCTACCAAGATGATCCGACGACTCATTCCTCTTCCCCCAAGTCCTCCAAAACAGATCCTGATCCCACCCCTTCTTCCTCCACTACCACACCTCCCCCGTCTTCGATCCCCCCCGCTTCTGCAGCCTCCGCCATCGTCAACCCCGAAGTCGAACCCGACCCCGAGCCCGCAAAGAAACTCGAATTCGAAAATGACCCCGATCCCGAACCGAAGAACGCCTCATGCTGCTGTGTGAAAGCCGAAGCCGAAGCATAAGAAGATGAAGCAGCAGAAACAGCTTTTCCTTTTCCTTTTCCTTTTCCTTTGCCTATGGAATTCGTAGCTCCGAGTGGTGTATGGGCATCGTCGTGGTGGGAAGTGGTTGGGTTGGGGAACTGTACGTGGGTTTTGGCGAGTTGTTCGGCTTCCTTTTCGGGGAGTATGACGGCTTGTAGCCATGCGAGAGCGACTTCGGCGCGGGCGGTATTGTAGGTCGCATCTGGGGAACACGGGATCCTATCAGCATGAAAGGAATCTACTTCATCTAAGGAACTACGACCCCAGCCCGTCACTCACAAGAAGGATCGATCTTCCTCCTCTCCGCATCAGCCTTATCCCTCTCCTCCTTCCAACTCCCCGTCGTGTTCCCCTGCCCCTTGGCCTCCTCCTCCTCCTCCTCCTCCCCATACGTAATCTCCTTCGCCTTACCCATCCCCAGGCCATTCTCCAACCCCAACAGCTTCCTCCTCTCCCCCACCGCCCCCTCTTTCTTCGCCACGAAAGCCTGTCTCTCCCTCTCCGCCTGCCTCACGAGCGCCTCCACAAATTCCGTCGAGAAGAACCCACACACCTGATGCAAACAAGCCAATTCGTCTTCCCCACGCGCCAACTCCACTTCCGTCACATCCAAATCCGGTGCTGCGATTCCCGAACTCTCGCGAGCGATTCTCCACGTCGCTGAAAGACGTTCGAGTACTTCGGCGTATTCGGACATGGTCAGCGAACGCGCGGGGAGGAAGACGGGGTATCCTTCGAGATGGTCCATCAATCGTACGGTGCGAGCGTGGGCTTGGACTAGGGTTTTGAAGTCGCCCAACAGGAGGTGGATCAAGAGGACGGTGAAGTGGGATTCGATGATCAAAGGATGATAGGTCGTCAATAGGGTTGGGGCAGGCATGGGCGCATCTTGATGACGACGTTGTCGTTCAAGACGACGAGGATCGGCGTCCCTGGTGCGTTGGGCCAAGGCACGATGGTGGATCAACCTTCGACCACGGAAGGTCAACGGTCGATCGGTCTGTTTCGCGCCTAGAGTAGGTCGTTGTCGATCTTCTTCCTCCAACGCGTTGCCGGGCGGTGCTTCCCACACCTTGAAGTAAGCCAAGAACCGCTCGTGATCGCGCACACTCTTGCGCAAAAGGGTCATCACGCGTTCGCGCAAGGATGGCTCCCCCATCCCAACACGATATCGCGCCTGTTTCTCCGGCGAGGCGTTGCCGTACAAACCACCAATCTCATCCGCGAGTACGATGCCGACGTTACGAAGGGTCAATTCACCGCCTTCGTTCGAGAGCCCTCCTTTGGGTTTCTGCACGCCTTCAACGTCCAAAGCGGCGTCCTCCATCAACCGACACGCATGGTGGAAGTGAGCCATCGCTCGATGGAAATACATTTGTCGCTCGAGGTCGTCGCCCGGTTCCTTACCCACCGTCGACGAAGGATCCGATGTCGGAGCCGTCGCTGCAGCATTTCCATTCGGTCCCAATATTGGAGCCATATCCGCCTCATTCCCGTCCCCTGTCGGAGCAGGCGAAGTTTTGCCCTTCTTCCCCCCCATTTTCCCATTCTTGCCTCCCTTCTTCTTCTTCAAATTCCCCCCTCCAACCTGCACCTCAGCACGATGTTCCTTCTCCTTCCTTATCGCCTTGGCCTCCGTCAAAGCTTGAGTAAAGTTACGCACGGCCGAGACGTAATCCTGCTTGAAGCCATGTACGACCCCTCGAGTGCGATAGTATTCCAGTCGATGTGGGTCACAAGCGATCAGGTGATCCAACTGGGTCGTATCCGTCGAACTGGCGAGTGTGCGAGAAGGGATCTTCTCGTGATGAAAATGTACGTAAAGCGCATCGAGGTGATCAGGTTCTTGTTTGAGCACCCGTTGGGCCAGATCATCCAGTCCCGTCGCGCCTTGCATGACCGCGACCGCAGCCGCGATCTCGTCGATTCGATAAGCCTCCGCCAACTTGGACACGGCCAATGCTCTCAAACGATGTTGTCGTACAGCCGACATGCCCGCATTCCGACCGCCTCCTTCCGGACAGGCGGATAAAGGTGGTGCACCACCCCCCGAACCGAACGAGCCTAGCGCAGCGGCGGACATGCCAACTGCAGCGCGAACGGCTAGATCGGAAGCGTCGTCGACGAGCTTGCGAATTTGTGAGACCCCTCGAAAGACAGCTGGATCTATTGGAGAAGGAAGATGGGAGTTGCCCGCTGCTTTTTCACCGCCTCGGTTCATCTGGGGTATTGGCGAAGGTGAAGGGGAGCGACGACGTTCATGGGGGCCGGCAGCGATCGCATGGAATCGAGCTCGGTCCATCGTCGGGGTCGATGAAGGGGGTTCGACAAGGCCACGAACGGTCGGGAGTGCGGATTCGTCGCAGTTCACGGTCAGGAGGGTGTCGAGTACCTCGTGGGGAAGCTGTAACCAGGGCCCCTGTGAAAATGAGGTGAGGGTGTCCCCGAGACGAGTCTCAGTTTCTGGTCTGGGCAGAGGACACGCACGCAGCAGAATGGTAGAACCCACATGGTAAGACGAGATGTACTGTTGGTGTGCAGATCAGGCGATGATCGCGTCAAGAAAGAGTCAGCCCCAGCTGATCTCCGGACAGTAGGTCCGCGCGCACACGACCTCGACCACGACCCCGGCCAGAACGACAGCTCAACACGACCCCTTCCCAACGCCATTAGCAATGCAGCCTCACCTTCATGTGCTTATTCCTCGAAATCTTGAGTACATGGGGTGCGGAGGCGGCCTTGTCGTGCTGTTGCTCCTGTTCACGAGCGGCGGCGGCGGCCTTCTTCTGCGCCGGTGTCTTGCGCTTCTTCCTCTTCTTGGCGGCCGTTGTAGAGGTCGTACCATCACCCGTGGGAGTTCCATTTTGCGCGTGCGTATTCGGTCCTACTTCGTTGTCAGTCGACGAGTCAGAGTCGCGCTCGTCGTTGAGGTTCGGGCGAGGTGAGGATCCCATCCTGAGGAGCGTGACCGGTGAGATACCTCCAGCTCGATAATTGTGGGGTGTTCCTATAAGATGGACGAAGCAGAGAGGCTGATAAAGCGAGGGATGGATCAAACCAGGTTGATCGAATCGGTCGGGAATATAAGGGACATCGCCCGGCGGCGAAGGTCGGTGTAAAGGCAGGAACGAGCGAGCGAACAGCACGAGACGGCGAATCGATCGCGGCAACGCGACTGTATGCGCTTGGCCTGGCAAGTCTTTCCGTGCCAAGAGGAGCCTCCTACGCGGCGGCCTTGAGGATGAGTGCAACAGTATGTAAGGGCTGGCAGCGTTTCAAGCAGGCCTTCTATTTCCATGAATACTGTCGAACAAACCGAATAACCCCGAGTACAAAAACTTGAACTCTCCAAGCCGCAAGCGACCGAGCCCCCACACCCGATCAATAATTCCGATCCCGATTCGCGAGCGGACTCGACTCGAACGGCTCGCTCTCAAGCAGTACACCACCATGCAGCGTATCCAAGTTGTCCGGACCAAGCATGCGGAAATTTTGGGTCGCTCCCAAGCCCGCGGCGAAGCTATCGTCCTCGTCGGCAATGGACTGATCCGCTACGGGCGCCGCAGCAGGTCGCATCCCGAACAAGGTGTCTTCTCGTCCATCGAGGCCTTGAATGGCGTTGGCGTTCGGCGCACTTCGTCCTGGAGCATTGAACGCATCCCTACGTTGCCCATGAAGCGCAAAGGGGGCCGCAGCGGGTGGTGCAGCTTTGGATAGGGATGCTACAGGCCCACTCGTCGGTAAATCATCCGTGAACGAATCGTCCTGAATGCTGACACGCTGCGTCCCAAAGTCATCGCCATCATCGACGATCCGCGCGAAACTGGTCTCGTTGAGTAAATCATCGATCCGCGCAGTCGTACCCCCTCCAAATTCAGCGAGCAAGGTCCCTTTACCCAGTCGAGTCGTTCCGAACGGCTTGGACAAATCCAGACTGTCCCCCTCGTCCTCGAGCGCTTCTTCTTCGAAGCCCCGACGCGATCCTTCACTCGGGCTCGGCGCAGGTAGGTCCTCGCCCATCATAAGCCGAGCGGTGTACTCTCTCATGATCAAAGGTGGCTCTAGAGGGGAGTCGTGCAGGGCCGAGTAGACGGTGTTCGTCATCCGCTGCGCCGCTTGCTTTGCCGGTACTCGGGACGGCGCCGGCGACAAGAGGTTCAGAGAAGCCAGGGAACGGTTGCCAAGAGGTGCCGGGGACGAGGTCTTGCTCGCCGCGACGCGATCGACGGGTGCATCCCAACCAGACTCGTTGGCCATGTCGCCCTGCCGCTTGATCGGAGACGCGAATGCAGCCAGTGAGGTGTTGGAGAGATCGACCAACCCATCCCAGTCGCGCGGTACGTCCGTCGGCCTCACCAAGCGTGCCTTGCCGCGTCCGGGCGTCGACGACGACGGCCCAGGCGAGCCGATGTTCTTCCTCAAGATCTTTTCCAACAAAGCGGGGTGGTTTTGTGAAGCGGCCGTCGAGTTGGCCGGAGTCGGGGACGCCGAGTGGTGATGCAAAGGTTGTTTGAGCTTGCGCAGCGTTTCCGGTGAGGTCGTTTCAAAATGAATCGACGACATGGATGGGGAAGGCGCTTCCAGCACCGTCTCGGCCACGGTCTTGAACCCCACAGTGGCCGTTTCCCACTCGGGTGTCGGCACATCGGGGGAGTCGGGGGGTAGATCACCTAATCGCACCCGTTGGACGCCGCTCGAGAGGTGATCAACCCCGATCGTCGTGGTACTCGGTCGCACTTTGTGAAGATCGGCCTGCAGTGACTGAAATGGCGACATGTCGTCGCTGAGGACGGCCTTTTCCTTCTTGAGATGAGCTGGCGCCGAGGCTTTCGCCGTGGAGGTCGTAGCTTGAGGTGCTCGGGGCGTAGCATGATTCGACGACTCGGCCGAGACTGCCGAGGCGCCTTCGTCGAAGGAAAGCGACTGATCCGCCGCTCGTTGCGACAGACTATCGTCTTGGCTCGCCGATTCGTCGTCGTACAGGAAGGGATCGGTGAGCTTAATCCTCGCCGCGTTTTCGAAGAAGGGGCGCCAAAACTGTCGTGCGAGATGATCGATACGCGGTCAACTATGCGAGCTGGCGGTGCTCTACAGACCCAACCGACGCGTCGCCGGGAAAGGACGGCTCACCTTCACGGACTCGTAGATGCGACGACTGTTTTCGCCATGTTGTTGGACGGCGGGGAGAATGCGCCCGATGACGACCTGGTTGCACTTGTCAAAGTTCTCCTCGATGCGTTGCAGCAGCAGGACCATGTTTTGGTCGATCTGGTCGCTCGCGGCTTGCACGTCCGACAGCGTCAGCCGCACGATTTCCTCGGGGCAGAGCATGACAGGGTTGTTGGCATCGTAGAAGAGGCGGCTTCTTGCAGACATGTCGAGTTGATGGTTTGGGGATCACGTTGATAACACCAGGTCAAAAGATGGGCAGGTTCAGGCGATGACGCGCTCAGCTGAGAGGTCGCGTAGTCACACGCCAAGTATATACGGTCGGTGCGTGGAGCCGACTTGACGGGTACGTTGGACTGTGAGTTGATGCGGAAAAGGACCGAGCCGATGAGGTGATGTAGCAGAGCGGCGAGGACGCGCAAATGAGGAGGGAACCACGCGCGTCGACGCTTCTCGTCGCGTCTGCCCGCAAAGTTCACGAGAGCTCACGCGCTCTCACGCGTCCGACTCAGCGACGCTGAGAGTTGTCCGACCGAAAGCTCTTGCAGTGGTTGTGAAGCGTTCTCAACAAAAAACAACGCACATAAGGCACAGTGGACCTGGAGGAAATTTTGATGAGAGAGAAAGTACACATGATAATGGCAACATTCAGCAAACTTGAGAGCTACACAACTTTCCCCGGGACGGCGGCAAGGCGGCCGGCAGCGAACTGGGTCGAGTCGCTTTTGGAAAGCACAAGTTCAGAAGGAGCCAAAAAAAAGTGCAAGAACCGGCGCGTTCCTTAGGAGCGAGAACGACGCAGCAGAACTAGGTGAGGAATAAACGGGTGGCCGGTGTTGGGAAGAAAACGAAACAAGCCAAGGTGAGGAGTCCACGCTTAAAGGATGGCGATGGCGGGGCCAGCGACCGTGTTGGAGTCCGAGAGAGTCTTGGACGAGGTCGTGATGACGATGTAGGTAATGCCCTCGAGGCCCTTGGGGATATCGACGCGGTCCTTGCCATCCTTGCCGTGCTTGACGGGCTTGATGATGGTGGCACCACCGTTGAGGAAGGCAGCGTAGAAGCCGGTCTCCTTGTCGCCCCTGTAGTTAAACTGAACCTCGGTGGTGTGGCCAGCGCGGGGGGTGTTCTCGATGGAGAGGCTGGGGAACCTCTGGATCGACGAAGGGAGAGCACCGTTCTTGCCGCAGGTGTTGGGCTTGATGAAGCCAGCAGCGAGCCTGTCGAGCGAGTGGCGGAAGAAGCGCTTGGTCAGCATGGATAGGATGGGCGGTCTACAGCAGCGCGTGAAAGAGGTGCGGCAACTCACGAGTAGACCTGGGCGTAGTCGAGCGAGGTCTCGAAGGCAACAGGGAAGCCCGAGTCGCCGGAGAAAGTGTTCAAGATCGCGGTGTGGCGGGCCTCGATGGTGAGGATCGAGCCGGCGGCGGCGAGGTAAGCCTTGGACGAAATATCGGGAGCGGCACCGAGGTAGGCCGCCGTGCCGACAGACTCGAGGATGCGCGCGGTGGAGACGAACGTGTAGACGTTTGTGAAGGCGACTTTGAAGTCGTACTTGCACTGCGACACACCGGCACTGCCAAGGGCGCCAGCGAGGAACTCGACGTGGTCCTTCTCTTGGATGGCAATCTTCTGGATGTTTTTGAAGACCTCGGGGCCGAAGCCGGCCTTCTTGAAGTCATCGGGGCGGAACTTATCGAGACCCTGGAAGTAGAAGTTCTTCTCAAGGTGCTGTTGTAATGGGAAGAGGAAGAGCAGAGAAAATAAGGGACATCGAGAGGGGACGGAGGAAGACGAGAGAGGGATGGTCAATTGACTGCGCAGCAGCGAGGGAGGGCGGTGGCCACGCGTAGAGACCTTACCTCCAAAGTGAGAGCTACGAGGTGATGCAAGAGGAAGATGAAGTCGAATACAGGTTAGCTAACCTTCCTGTGGGAATTGGACAAATTCCAGAGTGATGAAGATGTCTTTGTCGCGCGATGCGCGGCGGGCGTCGGCGTGTCGACCCTCGTTGAACACTCGGGCCCACAGCGAGCACAAACTGGGGTCACGAGGCGCCCAGCTAGGGGCCCGCGCTCGAGTCGGGAACTTGGCGGAGATGGCGACCCCGAAACGTACAAACGTACGACCCAGGACAAAGGACCCGAGAAGGGACGTAGACTAACCATAGTTGAGGATCTCCACATCGGTGGGACCACTGGCACGCTTGGTGATCTGGGCCATGCGCTCGGTCGAGGCAGTGACAGGGGCGATGGCGGCGAGGGCCATGACGGCGAGGGCGAGGACTGAACGCATCTTGATCTAAGGAGTGTGGGTGTTTGGATAAAACGAGTGTGGGTGGTGCTTAAAAGCGAAAATGGGAGTCAAGTCAAGTCGAACTGGATATGGAGAAGAGGGAGAGAGAAGAAGAGGTCCCGGACGGTCGGGAAACATAATTCGCCTCGATGACAGGCTGTTATTGTCTGTTGTTGTGTCCGAATCGCCATTTCCTTAGCCCGAATCCCAAGCACGTTTGACCTAGCCCGGGTCCTGAATCTAGAGCGGTTTCCCATCGTATGATCCCTCGAAGGCGTGGCATCTGCAGGCAATCGAATTTAGGCTGGCGGCTCCTCCTGCCCGATCGACGAGCCGACGCGACGTGTGGTGGCCCCTGCGAGCTTGTAATTCAACATTTTGACGCGATTTGGCTTTAAATCCTGATCGCCGCCCGACGCGCGCGGCGCACGCGGCGCACCGGGTGGGGGCCGGGGGGGGGGGACTTTAATTGAAAATTGGCTGGGGGCCCCGGCGGACAGAAGTTGTTCACCCGAAGCACTTGGCTGAGCGCCGAGTGACCGGTCAGTCGTAACTTGTGAGTTTGTGACCGCACGGTGCCGCCTGAGAAGAGGAGCACCTGGGTACCGAGATAAAGCCGAGCTTTCGCGTCAAATGTTATATTCTTTCCTCGGTGGCTCGCACGGGGTCGTTCGCGCACTCTTGGTCTTTCTAATGTTTGAAGCTCGACCGAGAAGCATCGACGATCCCGACTCCCGACGCCGGGCTCCGCTCGACCAAGTCGCAAACATTGACGCGAACGCCGAAGGTGCACAACACCTACAACGCGACAGAAAATACAAAGATGCGAGGTACCGGCCTCGAAGTTCTTACGGTCGCACTGAAAATAAGAATTGCTTTCGGACTCGGGCACAGGGCTGCCCGCTGCCAGTTATTGATTTCATTCAGGTTTCATTTCCTGGAATCTCGAAGATTGTTCGCTGCACCTCTAATCTCATTACGCGATACGAGATCGGTCATGAAAAGAAATGAGACTCTACCGTCAGCACAGGTTGCTGCCGTGCCGTGTCGGCGAGACTAGTCGGCGCGTCCGCGAGGTCCGGCCGGCTGCTGTTGCGCTAGTTGGGGACGGACCCCTAGCCTCACTTTGTGTTCTTTTTTCTCATCAGGCGCGAGATTTGTGTCCTCTAACGCCCACCACGCTTCCTTCGGTACCAGACCTGCCAGCGGTCGGACAAGCGCTTGTCGTGAAAACTCGGCGTTACGGGGTGACTAAGCGATCGGCATCCGAAGCTTTTGAAAAGAAACGTGGGGCAAACCCCAGTACTGGATTAGGATGACAATGAAAGAAAAAAAAAACCCCCGAATCTTGTGCTACGGTAATGAAAGACGAAGATCCGAGAAGCAGCACACGCTCTCAACATGACCTAACGCAAGACCGTCCGTCCGCGACGCCGGCGGATCCTCCGTGTACAATACGCGATTAGAGGAAGAGGAGGGCGGGGCCAGCAACGGTGGAAGCATCCGTGAGACCTGCCTTGGACGAAGAGATGAAGAGGTAGGTGGCGCCTTGGAAGCCGGAGGGGACGTCGATACGGCTGATACCGTCGGATCCGTGCTTAACCGAGACCACGGTCTGGACGCCGCTGAACAAGAAGACGGCGTAGGCCTTGCCGCCGGCCTTTTGCGCGAACTTGACGGCGATCTGGTGGCCACGGCGAGGTACCTTGGTGACGACGTTCAAGACGGGGTACGCCTTGAGGCCAGGGGGAAGAGGCTTCTTTGCACCGCACGTGCCGGGCTTGATCATGGGGGAGGCGAGCCTGAGGTGAGCCGTATGGTTCGGGTTAGCCTATGCGACGTCATGATGGATCGGCAATGCAATTCAAGGGTATGACTTACGACCAAACCTGATTGAATTCAAGCGCGGTCTCGAAGGGGGCGGGGAAGCCACTCTGACCCTCAACCTCGTTCAAGAGGGACGAGTGGCGGGCCTCGATCGTCAAGATGGATCCAGAAGCGCCAACGGCGGCGGGAGTCGAGAACTTGGGGGTCGCGCCGAGGTAGGCAGCGGTACCTACGGTCTCTAGCACGCGAGACATGTGGACGAACGAGTCGACGGACGCGAGTGCGCCCCCAAAGTCGTACTGGCAAGGCGAGACGGCGTTCTTGCCGAGGCCACTCGCGAGGGCGATGACGTGATCTTTCTCTTGGATACCGATGGTCTGGATGCGGTTGTGGAGCTTCTTAGTGTACCCTGCCTTGACGAAGTCTTCAACCTTGTACTTGGCAAGCCCTGTGAAGCTGCAGATGCCGGATGCAGTGGACACAAGCGAGCCGACGGTGGAAGCGTGGCCCGAGCAAGAGAGTGAAACAAGGGCGTCGAGTAAGTCACAGGTGAACAGATACGGCGATGCACGGTGCGCATAAAGTTGATGACGTACAAGAAGTTCTTCTCGAGGTGCTGTGAACGAAAAGACAAAACAGTCGAGGAAAAGGGGGGTAACCGTCAGAGCTGATCGAAGAGACCGCGGGGTGCTCAACAACTGCGCAGCCGCTGATGCCAAGACACCGGCAGCCGGCAGGCAACGAATGAGACTAACCTCGAGGGTGAGAGCTGTGCGCCATCAAGATATTTATTCGGTTAGTAATTTGAACAAAGCAAGTTCGTTTGGTGGGGGTGCTGTGTGATCGCCGACGGCAAGGAGACAGAGGGGTCGAGTATGTCCTTTGAACGCGTGGGCGCGTTCAAAATCGAGCCTAGCAAGATTGGCGGCTGGGGCGTGCTACGGCCGACAGCAGCGGTCTACAATGCTCAGGTGCCCTGCTCTTAATGAATCTACCAGCTTACCAAAGTTCATGATCTCGATATCGGTCACCTTGGTCGAGCGCTTGGTGATCTGGGTCATGCGCTCCTTGGAGTCGGTGGTGCCGGCGGCGGCGGGAGAAATGGCGGCGAGAGCTAAGACAGCGAGGGCGAGAACGGAACGCATATTGACAATAAAAATGAGTGTGGGAGCGCGTTGAAAACGAGTGTGGGTGGTGCTGGAAGCGAGCCGGAGAAGAGGCAGTAGTGCAGAAGAGGCGATGGTAGGAGAGAGAGAAGTGATGGACGAAGCAGCTGAACGAAGAATGTTTGAAAGCCGCTGGAACGAAACACGCCTCGGATCCGCCCAATTGAAATTCGAACCTCTGATTGATAACCTTGCCCTTCCGAGGGCAGCCGTTTGCGAGTCGGACCGCCTGATTTTAGGAATAGGGTTGCTACATATAAGCGATATGTTCTGTATATTATCGACTATACCTACGTACCCGGTACAGCAGGTACATGTAGCAAATTCTCGTCGGCCGCGATTTGCACATGGGCTTTGCCTGCGCCGTCGAGCGCGATCTGTTCGTTCAACCCAGACGATGAGTCGATGACTGCCCCCAGCTTGGCTGGTGGATGGTCCCACGAAAGGAAGCTGCTTTCACTTTGGTTTTAGCGCGAGGGGACAGCTCCTGGGTGAGCCAAATGCGTGACAATAATGGCCTAAGGTTTGGCCGCCAATCTACGCGTCCAAGCGCGTGACACTGGCCCGCGCTCGCCTGCGCGCGATGAAAGCGCGCAGCAGACAGGGAGTCTTTTCAGAGGTGCGTAACCATGTGTTGCAGATAATACCGTACCTTCCTATGTATAACAACTCGTACCTATGGAGATTTTGACCTATCACCCAATAGTCTAGATTCTCCTCTCTGAAGGCTCTTCGATCGTTTCAGTGTGGGCTTGTGGAACGCCTCCCCTCAGCTCGGCTCTAGATTTTCGGCCGAAACCAAATGACGGCGACGGCTCAAATCCAATTGCGATTTTTATCTCCGGGACACGAGCGAAAAAGAGTTCAACCGGAAGTTTATGCGCCGGTTCGGGTTGAGGGCTCGTCCAAACCGACGACTCGGAGCCGACTCGTAGAGTGAGAGGTGTGACCCCTTGTGACGACGCGAGGAGCGATGATGTATGGGGATACCTATAGGTAGCCTCTGAGTAGCCAGGACACTAATTGCGACTTGCTTTGAGTAGTTTCTAGCGGTCGAGGACGACAGATTGTTTTTTCTTGTATAGCAGAGGTGCGTACCCACCGCAGCTCCTTTTGCATTCCGAGCGCGTTGACCCCGATCGTCCTTCAACGTACATTCTGGACGCGACCAAGTGACGGACCGCGACGACAAGATCGAAAGGCTTTTTTCCCCAGACACGTGGGTGTTCGAGACCAATCAAAGAGGGTAGACATTAATTCGCTCCTTCCGAGAACTGTGTCTCTCATGCGTCGAAGTAGTTAATTACTAATGGTCAGACACCAGCTAGTAGTAGCTGAACGTGGGTTGAGCCACTGTTGCCGCATTTTTTCTTCTCTCGGAGACGCGCCCGGCCCGTGGACCGTCCATGCGCTTTATATCTAACGCAATACGAGGATGTGAAAGGATGGATGGCCCGGAGAAACAAGCGAATGATGGAGTACCGCTTCGTGCTTTTATATGGCTTGCTCTTGTATGGTTCTACCACAGGCCTGAACTGCCTGATTTCCGGAAGCCGACACGTCCTGGACTGGGTGCGTCACGGCTCAGCCGGGGCTAGGTCGACAGATCAGTTCTTGATCCACGAGAGAATGGTCAGTTAGGAGATTCAATTGGTTCCACTCTTTCACAGATGTTAAGCACGCGACGCGGCAGCACCTTTCGCGCCGGGAAGTGTGAAGAATCGTGCGGGAAAGTCAATCACGTATCTACTATTCTTGGAATTTCTCACCATACCTCTCCTTCGTGCTGCTCCTGTGTATGTTCTGGATTGCAACTGCTACGATTACTTGCCCAACCTCTGCCTCAAAGCTCGTTGCGCCTTTCTAAAAAGTCCGATGAAAACCCGGTGAAAAGGAAGCGATGATCAGCTCTCCATATGCATCAAACTTTAATACCAATCCGGATTACATCAAACACGTACCTCCTCTTCTTGTACTTGTGCTTGGTGATCATCTTCTTCCTCTTCCGCCTTGTCGAATCAAGCTGGACCTCGTGAGAGTTCGCAGCGTCTTCCTCGTCGACCCAGTCCAGATCGACCATCTCGGCGGCCAAGAAGACGCCGTTGGAACCATTAGCCTTGAAATCAGCGAGTTGCCATCCTTTCGACTGGGTGGTCCACAGCCGTAATCGACCATTCTGGAACGACGAAGACGAAGACCGAGAGCGCTGCTTGCGTCCGCTTGGACCGGCGTACGATCGGGCCGCTCGCTCGAGCTTGTTCGACACGAGTGCATAAAAGTCGCGCTCGGCATGCCAACGATGTAGGAGCGAGGCAGAAGAGAGGAATCGTTCGGTATGTTTACGAGCTTCGAGAGGGCTGAGAGGGTTCGCAAGCTGGGTTGCGAAGAGCGATGACGGAGACGACGAAGGGGATGCAGATAGCGTCGACGATTGCGATGCAGCCCTTGCGGTCTTGGGCTCAAAAGCTCGCAAGTAGGAAATGTTGGATTGGGTCTGAGGCGAGTGCGGGCTGGTTCTGGTCGAGGACGCCGACTCGGCCACGAGCGCGGGCGGGGGAGGGGCCACGAACGGCGACTGCGCTGCGAGATACCGTGCGACCGAGGTTGCATGCTCGGTACCTTCACGTTCACCAATCAACCAAGCATCGTAAGGGTCGTCTTGGTTCTCCTCGAGAACGCGCATCGTCTGCTCGTGCTCCTGCGCGGCCTCATCGGCCTGCTTGAGCTCGATCTCGCGTTCTTCCTCAGCCGTACGCAGGGGCTCGATGGGCTTGCGTTCACCCACCATGGTGAAGTAAGGTGCTCCAATGGGCTTGCCGTCGGGTCCGAGGTCGACGACCTCAGCCAGCTCGCTGTCACCCTCAAAGTCGGCGACGCCGATCTCTTCTTGACCGTCCGTCTCGTTCGCATTGATCAGGGCCTCGAGCGTGGTGTAAGAGGTCGAGTTCGCCGGAGAGGTCGATTTGCGGAGATCAAGACGTATCGGAAGTTCGAGCAGTGGGCGTCCGGCGGCAAAGAAGCTGTCGAGGCCGACGAGGGAGGGAGTGACGTGCGGCAGGGTGGCGAGGGCGGGTCGAGGTGTGGCCGCAAGCTGCTGGGCATTGGGGGCTGCGGATGTGGTGTGTAACGTGGGGGCAGGTGATGCTGCAGTGTCATGAACGGTGGTGGTGGTGGTGGAGGCGGAGGTAGTGGCCGGAGTGGTGGTGGTCGCATCGGCTCGCTTCGATTGCTTGACCGCTGTTGCGCTCCTAGCACTGTTCCTGCCTCTCGACGACGAGTTGCTGCCGTTCGCTTTCGAGCTGAACGAACATCTCCGTTGTGCGGCTGACTTGGTCGACTGGTGTGCGAGCAGGTCCGAGGAAAGGAGTTGAGGCCTCGACAGCGAGCGATAAGACGGGTTGAAGAAGCGCGGCGTGGGTGGTTTGGCTCGCACGACCGGAAGTGTCGGTATACGCAGCATGATGAGGATCGACTGCACCTCTCGAGCACTGACGGCGCCTTGGTGGATGAGGGGCGAGGTGGGTTCGATGTGTCGAGAGAGAGGAAAGCGAGGTCGTCAGCGTCGCGCGCCGCCGTAGTTCGAATTGAACCGAGACCTAATCTGACCTAATGAACTGGATCCGGGCTCGGCGGCTGGTAGGTAATTGGTATTGGTGCGACGCGGTCCTTTTACTTGACTGTGCGAGTCCAACACTGTAGTGGCCTTCGCAGCTGCAGCTGGAATAATGGACTGAGGCAGTGAGCACTTCATTGTGGTCAAGGTAAACCTCAAGGGGCATTCATACATTCTCGTGCTCTATCATAGTTTGTTTACATGCTAGTTGACCACTAGAGTGCGGAAGAGCTAAATTCAGCTAATGACTTGGATCGTGCAATTGAGCTTTGCTTTACTAATGACCTTGTTCTTGTTTAGGAAAGGCCTCGGAAAGCCCCGGGACGCCGACGCCAGCCGACGCCGAGTGTAATGGTTGACTCTGCGCCGAACCACCCGAGTCACCGCACCCCCCCACATCCGGACATCCTGCTCGCCCTAAGAACGGCGCCCAACCCGCTACGCACCATCTAGACCCGTTCTGGGAGATTACTCAAACCCGAAACTCATCATCTATGAAGGTCACAGTCGTATTAACGACCGCGCTGGCGCTCGCGAGCGGAATTGACGTGGCCACCGCGGCGACCTTCAGCTCGAAGCAAGTCAAGCAGCTCACCGGCAAGAATTTCAAGCGTCTCGTACAGGGGTCACCCGTGAGTCTGGATTGGGCAGCATTCACATCGTGTGGTCACTGTCTCAGTCGACTGACAGGCCGCCTCCAATACCCTACGTCCACCGCCCCCGTGGAACCTTTCAGAAACTTACGCTCGCCGCGTTCGTCGCCCCGTGGTCCGTGCCCCATAACCTTCGGGAAAGCATACCACGAATGCAAAATATGATATCTGATCTTGACCTCATCTCTAGGTGCGGATACTGCAAGAAGTTGGCCCCCGAATACGACCGCGCGGCCGAGAACCTCAAGGGACTTGTCAATCTTGGTCGGTTTCTCGCCGTCAAACGGGCTGACCGAGCCCTCAAATTCGGCATTGTACACGCTAACTTGCGCAGCTTTGCAACCCTCTCTTAGTTGCCGTCGACTGTGATGCGGAGGAGAACAAACCCTTCTGCGCAGCCGAGGGCGTACAAGGTCCGTGCCTCTTCTCCCAGATCCCCCGAATTCTGCTACCCGTCCGAGCTGACGAGATCCCGTCTTATGACCATGAGCAGGGTTCCCCACCCTCAAAGTCTACCCCGGTGGCTCAGCGCCCCCTTCTTGTTAGTCTTGGGCACCTTTCATCGAGCTGTATCGCGAGTGGCCGCAATTGTGAGGGCGATTGCTGACCACGTCATCATCCTGGCAGCCTACGACGGAGCCCGAGAGGCCAAGCCGATGGTCGATTACCTCACCGCCAGGATGCCCACGTTCGTCAAGCGAGCCACATCACTCCAGGAAGTCGAAGCTTTGAAGGCAAAGGTATGACCCCATTATGCAGGTGTCAACACTCTGCTTAGATGGCGGGCAAGCTAACCCCGCCGATTGATACCCTGGCCCTTCTCTTCAGGCGCAGGACAAGCCCATCTCATTGCTCTTCACGGCTGCGGCATCGGTCACCCCCATGTACAAGGCCCTCTCGGCCGACTTTCACAAGACGCTCGACTTTTATGCGGCCCGAGAGGCCAAGGTGGGTAAGGAGGCGATGGCTCTCTTTGGTGTGGACAAGGTGCCGGCACTTTTGGTTCTCGACGGTGACAAGGTGACGAAATATGACGGTGCGTTTTCGGCAGGCCACTGTCAGATTCCGCTCAGGGTAGATTCTCAGTACGTATGGCTGGCTAATGGAACACCTGGAGCAGGTCCTCTCAAGTATGACGCGCTCAACGCATGGCTCAAGCCCTTTGCGACCAAGAAGGGCAAGAAAGGCAAGAAGGACGAACTATGAATATAGGTCAGATCTTGGGGAGTGATATATACCATTGCGAATGTGCAATTTCAACAACACTTTGCACTTCTAGTCAGAGTCCCAAGGCCATGACTCTACAAAGCCAAGCTCGTCAAATCCTCTGAGCCTCTTCCTCGCCTCGGGGTCCACCGTACCTCCTGCCTCGCCAATCCCTTCTCCAATCCCCGCGACCCGAGGTAGCCTTGTTGTTCGCGTCCTTGCCTTCGTCGAGCGACAGACTTGTCGATGCAATGGTCGCACTCGCGAGTGAAGCCTTGTCGTCACTACGGATCCGATCCCTCAAATCGCAATTCTCCTCCCTCAACTTGTAGATCTTGTTAAACGCCCAAACACTCACCCCTCCGAGGAGAAGGAGAGGGAAGAAGCGAGGACCGGATCGACGACAGGATCGGTACACGTCGACGGTGTAGGGCTGATGTAGGTGATGACTGGGGTGGGTGCTTTGGTAGTGAGGGTGGAGGGACGGGTGGAGGGACGGGTGGAGGGACGGGTGGAGGGACGGGTGAGGAACTTGAGGGGGTAGATGATGGCTGATGACTCGGAGGATGAAAGAGGAAAGTCGAGATCAGTAATCAGTATGCCGAGTTTGGAATGAAGCTTAATGACAAATCGACTCACCTAGCTGCAGCGCTAGCTACATTGTTCGCAAGCGCTTCGGCGGCCGTCCCAGCCGCAAAGGGGGCACCGGCGGTCGCCGTAGCGCCCATCCAGGGGTTTCCAGCGGGCATGGGAGGCATCGCGCCTGGGTAAGAGGTGAATCGGTACCAGTACATGATATGATGGATGTTTTTTGTGGTGTGAGAGATTGATTGAGTTGATTTTGAGTTGATTGTGAAGGAATGAGAAGAAGAAAGAGATGTAATGATATGGTCTACGATCTTAATAGTCAACCCCTTGGTCTCCGAGCTCGGCGATGGCGTTCCGGGTCGCGACGACGAAGCGCTTCGGCAAGAGTGGCCTCACGCTCAGCCTCCGGGCACCGCGCAGCATTGCCCGCGCTCCTTGGGCTTATTCGGGCTTTCCCTCCTTGAGCTGGCACTTACTGACGACGCGTAAGCTTTTCGCGCTTCTCCAAAACTCATATGTACATGTGCAAAAGCTTTCGGGTGCATGACTAATGCTCCAGCAAGTGGTGGCGTCCGTAGCTCTGCCATCCTTCGGGACAGCTCGAGTACCTTGGGGATATAGCGAGGGTTTACTGCATGGGCTAGATGAGATCGAAAACCTTGCACGAGGGATGATACTCCGATAGCACGATGTGGCGAATTGGAAAGGGACACCACCACTACGCTTTCAGAATCGCGTAAACTCGACCAAGCTTCCCGGCCCCTGAGGTGGTCGCGCAAGCATGACGGTCTGGTCCGGCAGCCTCTCCATCCTCATCACCTCCCTCCGGATGTAGCGCACCATCTTCTCCAAACTGATCGCGAACTCGAGATCGGGGTCATCGGGGTAGAGCGGCGTTTGGTCGACTCGCTTGGGATCGATGATGGGCGTATCGGTGGTGAAGACTTCGGAGGGGGCCTGATCCTTCTTGAGCACTTTGGTTTGGACCGGATCGACGGCGAAAGGGTTCGGGTTCGGGCCCAACTTGGGAACCTCACCCGTCTTGGGTGCTCGCTTGCCCTTGACACCTCCGACACCACCCCATCCTGCCCCGAAAATGTTGCGCCACAACGCCGCGGCGAGAACGGCATCGCTCGAGATGAGCCCCTCGTCGTACGCGGCGCACGAGCCATGGTATTGCTCGAGCATATCCTTCATGTAGCCCTTGATCAGCTTGCTCTGTGTGACGGCGTAGGGACCTCGAATGCGCAACTCGACGTCGATGAAGAAATGGTTGATAAGCTCTTGCACGTAGGCTCGACCGAGCGGCGGCGGTAGCGATCGGAATCGAACTGAGAGCAACCAGACGTGCAGAGTCGTGACCGAGAACCAGGTTTGGAACGAAGGCGGAAGAGAGCATTCTGCAGCAACACAATATGAATGACGTCGTGTCAGCGATCGCGAGTGAGGTCCTCGTATCGGTTGTACCGATCGACCGTGCGACCGATCTTTCCCACTCGACTGACCCTCATAAAAAAAAGGTGCCTCGATCTCTCCTCGCTCGGCACATCGATCGTAGTAGTCCGAGGTGGTACGAATCGCGGTCGATGTTTGCGAATGGTAGCCGAACAGCTTGGCGACCTTGGTGACGATCGACACGGTCAAGGGCGAATACTTGCCTGCGCCGGGCAGGTTCGATCCAGGCAGATTCGTCGGTTGAGGTTTGGCCGTTGGTCGATCAACAGAAGGGGAAGGGGCACTCGTACCGGTGCTAGTCGACGCCGATGACGAGGGGGACGGTGACGATGACGGTGATGAGCTCGTGGAGGAGTAAGGCCGTAGCGCGGTCGCGGCGGCGTACCATGGCTGTGCGGCCAGGGGTCGAGTTGATCGTGTTGTCAATGCTCGAGCAGCCGCGATCCTACTCGTTGAGCTCATGTTGAATATGAGATGGAAGCGTACACGCGGACTGTGGCAACGCGCGGAGTGGGGGTCACGAGATCAGGTGGGATGGGCTCGAGATCGCGAGAGTGAGCCGCCCTGCGAAACCGGCGATCGGGAGAAACGTGCCCGAGACCTATGAAGTTTGAGCTTGGACCTCAGCTGCTCGTCGGGCGAATACGCTCGGTGCCAAGTTCAGGCTCTATCGGTCGGACCAGTACGAGTGCCCCTTGCCTAACCTCATAAATTCGCAAACTCAGTGCCTGGCTACCCGTTTTGCGATGAGGGACTAGCTACATGGACCGAGCAGCGTTGCCTTTTCTGACCGGCGGAGCACCGCTGTATAGTCAGCCTGGACGCCTGGAATCGTGAATTACCAAGCCAAGCAGAAATCGCATCAGCCAGTGCGACCATGATGATCCGTGCAGACTTGGCTTAGAGCGAGCAGACAGTGGTTACCTTCGGTGTTCCAAACGATCAAAAATTTACCCAAGCTGCTGATATGGTACCGGACGATTGCCAAAGACTGCCAAGCGCAGCCAGGCGCAACCTGGGCGGGATCGGACTCCGGCGGCGGCGCAACTGCTCTCGAACCCCTCCGCTTCCGCCCCTTCTCTTCTTTCTGTGCCTTCCATCCCACTCGACCCCCTCGATCCAAAACTGGCGTATCCCTCGCAGCTTGTAGCACGTCAAATTCTCCCCCTATTCTCCCGATCCATCGTCGGTATCCGCCCACGCAGCACAGCCACTTCCCTCGCTCGAGTGCTCCCCACATTCAGGTCCAGCACCATCCGCTCCGATCAACGCTTTCCTAACCCCCGCGGACTTGCCACTTCGTCCCGCATCATGTCCGACGACAAGCAGAAAGGCGCTGATGCGCAGAAGGTAAGCCTCGACTCGAGAAACTCCCTTGTGGTAGGAACCTGCTGCTGGTGCTGACCTCGACTCAACTACACCTGCTTGTCCCCACCTGGCAGAACATCACCAGCTGGGCCGACAAGAACGGCGAGTTCAAGCGACTCCCGTACGTAACTTCATTTTGACTTGTTGTATGTCGTGCACTGAGTCTCGACTTGATATCTGCCCCACAGTTCCGTCTTCCGCAACCACATTGAGCAAGGCGGCAAGCATCCTCCCGAAAAGGGCCGTTACACCCTCTACGTCTCGCTGGCCTGCCCCTGGGCCCACCGCACGCTTATTGTCCGCAAGCTCAAGGGACTCGAGAAGTTCATCGATGCCTCGGTCGTTCACCCCTTCATGGGTGCGCTCGGATGGAGCTTCTACCCTCCCATTCGCGACGAGGATGGTGCCTACCCTGTGACTCACGGTGAGACGGGTCCCGACGATGGAGTCCAAGGCGTGATCCGCGATCCCCTCTACGATTCCAAGTTTGTGCGAGAGCTTTACTTCAAGGCTGACAAGGAGTACAATGGAAGGTGAGTATGGGCTGCGAAGAGCGGCACCTTGTCTTGAATTGTGCCTGACGATTTAAACTTCGGCTCGCCTGTAGATTCACGGTGCCCGTCTTGTGGGACAACAAGGTCGGTCTCCAGTTGGCAATCAGTAATCACGATGATTTGTTCCTAACGTGATCGATTTCGACCTCTCTAGGAAGCGACGATCGTCAACAACGAGTCGTCCGAGATCATCCGCATGCTCAACACCGAGTTCAACTCAGAGCTTCCCTCGGAGTTCGCTTCGCTTGATCTGTACCCCGAGTCGCAGAGGCAAGAGATCGATGCGCTCAACGAGTGGGTTTACTCGGACGTCAGCAATGGAGTGTACCGTTCCGGCTTCGCGACGTCGCAGAAGGCCTACGAAGATGCGGTCAAGAAGCTGTTCGCCAGCTTGGACCGCCTTGAAAAGATCTTCAGCAACGGCAAGGCGTACCTCGTCGGGGACAAGCTGACCGAGGCCGATGTGAGGCTCTACACGACGATCGTGCGCTTCGATCCCGTGTACCACGGTCACTTCAAGTGCAATCTTGGCTCGATCCGCCACGACTTCCCCAACCTCAACCGCTGGGCGCAGAACCTGTACTGGAAGTCGCCGGCGTTCAAGGACACGACCGACTTTGACCACATCAAGAGGCACTACTACATGTCGCACGGCCACATCAACCCTACGCGTGTCGTTCCCGTCGGACCGTTGCCCAACATCGAGTCGCTCTAGGTCGACATCTGCCACTGCACCGTGACTGCGATCGGCGCGCCGCCCTCCCAGTATATTAAAATCGCTTTCCGATAGTAGCTCATTGTTGGAGAATTGTAACATGTACCCAGACAATTTGCTGTGACTGTAATGGTGGTGGCCGGCCTCCGCTCCTGTTCCCCCACGAGCACTGCTCGAGCGGTCGACTTGGCTCAGCTTGGCAATGTGGGGGCGGGCTGCATGGCCCTCAATTCTCACCCTGCTACCCCCTGGCTCGTCTCCGCCGCTTCCGCTTCCGCTCCCCTGTCACCTGACGCCCCTGGCTCAACCCCCACCTTACATCTTGGTACGTACCAAGGTCCACACCCTCCTGCACGCCTTGTCAGCCTCAGCCTGCGCCCCAGCTTGATCCGCTGTCGTAGTTCTTCGTCGACCTCGTGAGTCTGAAGGCTCGGCGGAAATTCGGCTTCGGGTGTGTGGCCCGCTTCAAATCGCACTGCAGCTCACGTTGATCGCCGCCGCCGGTGTGCTTGCTACAGTATCATGGTCGTCAAACCCAATCGATCTGGTGGAGCGAACTACCCTTCGGGCTACACGGACGTGCAAGACCATGGCTTGATTGGAAACTGCAGGACCGGTCAGTCTCAGCTCCCCCACCCTTTCGAGTCCAAGCCGAAATGCATTCGCACGTCCAGTTCGACGCGGCTGATGATCTTGCTGGGAGGTCATAGAGTACGTTACTGAACCTTTTAGCCTCTTCTGCGTCGGGTGATGTGCATAGCTGCTCTGGTGTCCATTTCTGGCACAGGTGAGTTCGCCGCGCTGCCTGGATTAGGCTATGAGGTCACCACCGCCCAATGCTCGGCCAAGAGGATGTGCTGACGATCTTTCTGCTCATTCGTGGTGCCGGCCCCGGTGCTGCTATCTCGGGGTTGCAGTTGCATCCTTGTGCCTACCTCACTTTGATTCGCCCTCGGTCTATGCTCGCATCCTCGACAAGAACCATGGCGGTCACTGGAGTATTCGCACCGATACTCCGACTCAGTCCAAGCAACAGGTCCGTCGGATGGTTCGGGTCCCCTCGGTGGTAGACGACCATCGTCTCACTGACACAGCTCCTCGTGTATCCTTCCAAACTGTGCAGTACCTTCCCTCAACCAACATCCTCGCGACCAAGTTTTTATCCGATGCCGGGGTCGGCCAAGTGACAGACTTTTTCCCTATGAGCGCCGAGAAGGACGACAAGAGCTTTTTGCCCTGGCTCATTCGTTACGTCACCGTCATCCGAGGAGAACTGACCTTCACTATGGTCCGTATGGATACTGTCTCTAAATTCGGAGCTGCCTTGGGGTTCTCGTGCATAGTAAACCCTTGGAGCGTGGCCCTTTTGATTCGAATTTGGCCTCTTGCTCTGACCCGCAGGAGAACGCACCGGCTTTCAACTACGCCCGATCGACCCACACGACCACGATCGCTGAAGATGGCCAATCGGTCAAGTTCGAATGCCCCGATCACCTCAACCTCGACATGCGAGCTGTTGCTTCTGCAGGCGAGTTCGCTGGACCCGGCGCACCTCTGCCTACGGTCTCGCTCGAGTTGCTCGATCTGTCCGAACGTGGTCACAAAGGTCTTGGAGTCACCTCGACGTTCACGCTCAAGGAAGGCGAGAGCATCACATTCGTTTTGCGCGAATGCCCCACGGCAGCCACGATGGGTCAGGCCCCGTCGGGAACGCCCGTCTCCAGTTCAAGCGAGTCTTTATCCATTTCAGTCTCGGCCCCCTCGTTGCCGTCCGAGACCTGAGCGACTAGCGCTCCCCAAGTCTCGCTGACTAATCTTCGCTCATGCGAGATTGTTCTTGGGGTCGAAGACGGCGTCGAGTCGTTGCCCCACATTCACAACCTGTTCTCGTGTGTTGACCGCGTGTTCCCTCAACCCCACCATTCAGATGCTGCGGGCTCGCCCGTCGGTCAAGGTTCAACAAGCTCTACGTCCGGCGTCGTGACTCCTCTCGATCCTCCCTTGTCGATGGATCTCTTGTGGACGCTCTACCATCAGACGACGACTTATTGGATCAAGTGGTCCGGCAAGTGCTCCTACGAAGGCCGATGGCGAGAGGTCTGTCTGCGTTCGGCGCTGGCACTTAAGGTGGGTGATCACACCTGTATCCCCTTCGCTAATAGGTCTTGGTTTGATTATTTTAATACTGACGTTCTTGTCTTCTTCTGGATGTAGCTACTCTGCTTCGCCCCAACGGGCGCGATTGTCGCCGCGCCCACGTTCTCGCTCCCCGAAGACCTCGACGGTGCTGGGCGTAACTGGGATTACCGTTACTCTTGGTTGCGCGACTCGGTGAGTGTAAACAGGTTGACGCGTCTGGCGATGGATGCTGAATACAGACGGTTCGCGATAGTCCTTCTCGGTCTATGCGCTACTGCGACTAGGTAGGTCTTATCTCACTATGCTGGGCCTGAAGTAGCCCCTGACTGACCCCCCATGTGTTGTCCGCTGCAGGCTTCACGGAAGAAGCGGATCGTGCGTGTTCCGGATAGTTTTATCGAGAAATGGATCGAAAAAGCTGATAATGACCCTCACAGGCTACATCGAATGGCTTTCCAAGGCGATGAAGAACAAGAAGCCCGATGGTGGACTCTACGTGAGTTATATGCCAGCAGGGAATTGTGCTTCATTCCGAAAACCCTGACTAATCATGAACCGCTCATCTCAGATCATGTACAACATCCGTGCCGGAACTGATGGTATGGAAGAGGTTGAGCTCGAGCACCTCGATGGGCACAAGGGGCAAAAACCCGTTCGCGTTGGTAATGGTGCTGCCGATCATCTGCAGCTCGACATCATGGGCGAACTGATGGACGCCATCTACTTGGCTCAGAAGCTATCGAAGCCCCGTAAGTCCGATTTGGACTTTATGCTCATATACATCCTGATGATTCGTCCGACGCTGACCGGCCCCGCAAACGCTTCTCAGTTTCCTACGACACCTGGGTCGAGGTCCGAGGTTTGGTCGACTGGACGTGCGATCACTGGGACCAGCCCGATCTCTCGATCTGGGAGGTGCGCGGAAAGCCCCAGGACTTCCTCTACTCTAAGATCATGTGTTGGGTCGCCATCGACCGAGGCCTTCGTCTAGCGGACAAGCGTTCGCTCCCCGCTCCGAATCGCAACAAGTGGCTCGAAACGCGTGACAAGATTTACGAAGAAGTGCAAACCCGAGGGTACAACCAAAAGGCCAAATTCTACGCGCAGAGCTATCAGTCGATCGACGTGCTCGACAGTGCGGTGTTGATCATGCCATTGTGCTTCTTCTGCACCGCCAACGACCCGCGCTTCCTCAACACCGTGGACGCGATCATGAAGAGTCGCGACCGCGGTGGATTGACCGAGAACAACCTCGTCTACCGCTACGACACGAGCAAGGTCGATGACGGTACGGGCGGAGGTGAAGAAGGGGCTTTCTCAATGGTGACGTTGTGGCTGATCGAAGCTCTCTCCCGAGCCGGCGAATTCGAACCGACTTACCTCGCCCAAGCCGTCTCGGCCCTCGAGGATTTCATCGGTTACAGCAACCACGTTATGCTCCTTTCTGAGGAAGTGTCCAAAGGTGGTGAACCGTTGGGTAACTTCCCTCAAGCGTTCTCGCACGTTTCGTTGATCTCGACTTGCTTCAATGTCGATCGCGCGATGAGGACCCATCGTCGTTCGGACCCGACCGCTTAGAGTAGAAAGTGGAGGACGACCTTTGTTCATAGGCGAAATTTGTTGACTGGGCCTACTAGTCGACATGAGAGCTGCTTGTTCTGTGACCCCGGTTGTGTGTCGTTTTTTTCATTGTAATCAGACAGTAGTTTCGGTTCGAAATTGCAAAGCCTCAACAAGGCATGCCCTCGCCGGCGCGGTGCTCGTGACGTGGCTATGGCAGGCCAAGAATAGGCGGGCAGGGACGATCAGAACGGTCTGAATGCTGAAGTGACCTCGACCCTCGGTTTGCAATTGTCTGATCGAAACGCGCACTTCTCCACACATGTGTTCAGGTCCGCTTCTCTCGCACAGCCTTGAGAGATCACGCCCTCGGAACAGATAGAGAAAGACTGCCGTCGTTACAGCACGGGAAAAATGACAATGGGAAGGTCGGCGAAAGGAGTAAAAAGAAAAAAAGATGCGCGATCCTGTTCGAGTTCCCCTTCCTCATCATCATCTTACTTTCCCGTTCACCCTCCCCTTTTTGGAAATTAGAGACACTTCAACCAGACCCGATGAAGGAGCAGGGTTTAAGCATCAATGTCCTCGATGGCGGCGATCTTGTCCTCCTTGGCACCACCCACGATCTCTTCGGAAGCGGCGGCGATTTCGGCGGCGATGGGGGAAAGGATGATCTCGAGGTGGGTGGGGTGGCCCTTGTAAGGGTTCATTCGGCCGTGGGCGCGGTAGGTCCTTCGGTGGGTCTTGGGTGCCTGTTGGACGATGATGTTCTGCACCTTGAGCTCGTTAACGTCGAGTCCGTTGACCTCGGCGTTGGATTGGGCGTTCTTCAAAAGACCGAGCAAGAACTTGGCCGACTTGATGGGCCAGCGACCCTGGACGACACCGAATTGCTTGGCCTGGGCCGTTCGGCCGACGGCACCGTTGTGGCGGCGGAACGGAACGCATTGCTTGTGCGCCTGGACATCCTCGAGGTAGGTGATGGCGTTGGCGAGCTCACGGCCGGTGACGGCAGCTGCGGTCTCACTGACGGGCGGAGGTTCAAATGCGACGGGGGCAAGCAGGTTAGCGCGCGGCCCTGAATGCACTCTGGGTTGGTGACCGCATGGACGATGCGACGCACCGAGTGTTCTTGAAGTGAACTCGGAGGTAAGTTCCCTTCGAGATCCCGACGGCCTTTCGGTCCTTGATGAGGTGAGACGAGGCGTACTTTGCCTGCGGAGAGGGTGGGGAGAGATGGCATGGTCAGCATCGTCCGTCAGTCCGGCACCTGCGATGAATCTGTGATGCCACGTAGGTTGCCGCTGTCGATTTGGCGTGTTGTCGAGTGTTGGTCAAGCCTGGCTCGAAACTGGGCGGCTGAACGGGCGAGGCGAGGCGTGCAGGGCGTCGGCGTGTGCGGAAGCCATCGGGCAGTGCCGCTCGTACAACCCTCCAAACCCCAGCCTGCTGCCGTGTACCGTGTAATCGTCCATCTCCATCATCTCGCCACAGCGTGATAGCCATGCACAGGGTAGACCTTGACAGCAGCTCGTGGTGAATGGACCGCGCCGGGGGTTTCGCGAGTGGCCCTCGAGGCTGAATGCGTCGCACGCCCGCCAACACACACGCCCCGCCCACACACGAGAGGGAACCCCCCCCGCCCCCAGCAACAACACCACACACCGCCGACCGATTCTGCTCTGCAGCCAGCCTCCCATCCATGCCAGAGCAACCCCTTCTCCGTTCCCCAGTACATTCCCCATCAGCTCGTTCCGAGGGTCGCCGTCGGGAGGCGCGTAGGTCGATGTAGTCGTCGCAGGCCGGTCGGTGCGACGTCGCATCGAGTTTTGCCAGGCCGCCATTTCGGCTTGGCCTCGTAGCGCACCCGATTCGAGGCGACAGCGATGGCCGATCACGGAGCGAGATCGAGAGGTCGTAGATGATCACACGGCAGCAGGCACGGAAAGAAATGTACCATTTTAAGATGAACGTGGGCGATGTAGAGGGCGTCGACAGGGCGGAAGCAGGTCGCAACCGTAGGCTCACCCGCTTGCCAATCGCCTCCGCGTGCGACCGGCGCGGCCCAAAATTCAATTTCGGCTTCTTTTTTTTTTTCTCGCTCGCGCTTTTTAGACCTGGCCGGGCCCAAGACAGGGGGCTTGCTCTGCCCGCCCACGGGCCACTGGGTTCACTAGTCCCAAGAAGGCGGGATCATGCAGTACAGACGCAGTTCTTACGTCGTGTTTTCAATCACTCGCCACCTGCTGCTATCCTTTGTTGTAATCACATCACCCTCCCCTGGTGGATCTTCGTCGCCCGCTCGAGTCTCGCCCAGCGGCCACCGCTTGCCATCCACCTTCCCATCACCTACCACATCCTTCCACTCCCCACTCCCCACTCCCATTCAGAACCCTCCTCGTTGCCCAAAATTTGCCCTGGTCATCCACGCCCATCCCCACTTCCCACCCCGCGACCCTCCCCCAAAAAACCTTGTCATCCTCCCTCGCCAGAATCAAACACTTTACCACCTTGGGTAAAGGCAACCTTCTCCACACCTCTTCGTATTCCTGTATCGGAGAACCAGGTACGTCTGGATTTGGCAGCGATCCTGTTTCCAACACATCGCCGTTGGGTAGAGTGGTAAAAGTCCCCTCGTCTGCTGGAGGAGACTCATCCGAGTCCTCGTTTACTGCAGGTAGAGGCGTGTAACCTGGTGCGCGTTGTCTCGAGTCGATGAGGGGTGTGAAAGAGGCTCTTGGTTGTCCTGGGATAATCGATCAAACATGAATACGAGAAATGACCTTGCTTTCAAGTCAATCCCACCGCTCGGCTCACCATCAGCCGAAGCGGTCAAGAGCTTCTTCCATCCTGCCGTAGCCCAATCGATCTCGCCTTGCCGTTGATGGCCATCCACAAAAGTTCTCAAGTCCAAGAAGAAACCTGTTCTACCCTGCATTCCGTTCACGCCAGCGCCCAGTCGGTGATCAGCTTCGAAGCTGGACTTATCGCAACCGGGTGTGGGGGTTCGAGGCATCATCTTACGTACCTGTATGACCAACACATCACAATCTTCGGATGCTGGATTTGGAGGCCATCGGATAGAGACGCGCGTGGAAACCATAGGATCCATCATCGTGGTCGCCAGGTTGAATGGGACGAGAGAGGGGCGGCGAGACAGCCCGGCCGGTAAGGCTTGGCGCAGGGCGTGTGGGGTGCGATCGCTGTCGCACTGCACGGCGCGCGCAGGCCGGAAGCCACGCCGCTCGGACCCATGCGAACGAAACCCCTTGCTCTGCGTGCATGAGGCCTCGTACCTTGATCACAAGGTTACAACGAAACTTCATACCCCATAGCAAAACTCTCTCTTTTGGCAATTGCTGGCGGTCTCACACGATAATCTCGACTCGGAGCCTCTCTTGTTGGTGAGAGAGATTCGTGGAAGCCACCAGGGCTCTTCCCAATGCAAGATGCAAACGACAAAAAGACTATGCATAATGTTCTAAAAGACATGCGATGCGGAGACAATGCGAATATATGTACCGAGAAGATTCGTAAGGAACGTAGTATCGAGGCGCACCAGGCGCCGCAGGAAGAAACGTGTCGTGTTTGAGTTCGAGCGAGTGTTTGTGAGTACCGCGGTCAGAGAATGAACCGCGGTGGATGGTGGTGGGTTTTGGATACTTTATCCGAAGAAGGAGTTCCGAGTGGTTATAGCCCCTGGCCCTCGGCAGATCAAAAGCACGAGAGCGACCAAACGGGAGAAACCTGCCTGCAGGATCATCCCAGGGGTCGTGTATTTCAGGAACTGAGGCCGAGGCACGAAGTGCGTAAGTACGAGAGCCGATGAAGATAGTAAAGATAGTTCGAGAAAGAAGATAAGCGCTAAGGGAGCGCGCGCGAGGCAGGCTCGAGACGCGCGGGGCGACTAATATCAACAACTAGTAACTAATCATAATCGGGAATACCAGTGGGATGAAACAGCAATATATTGACACCCCCCCGGTGCTGTCATACCACTGCACCTCGCAAACCCAAATTCTCCCGATGGAAGATGAACGGCTTGGGACCCAAGGCTTTGGTGAAAATATCGGCAATCATGTCGCCGGTGGCGATGTAGCGGACCTCGATGTCCTTCTCAGCTACCCTCTCGCGGACGTAATGTTCCGAGATGCGAACATGACGAGACCCCTGATGGTTGGTCGGGTGCTGCGCAAGAGCCAGCGAACCTTGGTTGTCCCCGTAGAGTACGACTGGACCGGAGACCGGAGCGCCAAGTTCAGCCAGGAGTTCGCTCAGGTGGATGGCATCACCGCTTGTGTACGAAAGAGAGAGGTACTCTGCGTCGGTAGTGGACTTGGCCACCCTGTGCTCGCGTTTGGAGCACCAAGCAATAGCGGCTCCGGACAAGATGAACGCGTAGCCCATGGTCGATCGTGAGGTCGTTAGACAGGCTCCCCAGTTCGCATCCGAGTAGCCATGGAGTGGTTGGCTGGTCTTGCGATAGGTGAGGCCCAAGTCCAGCGTGCCTTTGATGTAACGGAGGACCTGCTTGATGGCTGTCCAATGCTCCGGGCCAGGCTGCTGGGAGAAGCGAGCGAGGTAGCTGACCACGAAGGCGAGGTCCGGACGAGTTCCAACTGCGGCGTACATCAACGAACCGATGGCCTGCAAGTAGCGCGTACGATCCTGAGGAGTGGCCGCCAAGTCCTCGAAGTCAAGGACGACACCTGGCTGCATTGGAATACTTGCCGGCTTGGCATCGGTGAATTGGAACCTGGCAAGGATGTCCCGAAGGTAGCGCTCTTGTGAGAGCGTGATAGAGCCGTCTTGTCCACGTTTGACTTGGATGCCTAGAATATATTCGGCAGGTCCGAGACGTTTGATGCCGTATGCGAGTTCCAGCGCGTCCAGCACCCGCTCGATTTCGGCGGTAGAGGGACCAACCAAAAGCAAGTCGTCGACGTACAAGGCAATATAGTGTGAGTGCCCGTCGTGTTCGCGGCGGTAGATACAGATGTCAGACCTGGTGGGGACGTATCCGAGGGACCGCAGAGTCGAGTCGATCTCAGCGTTCCAGATGGTGCCGGCCTGGCGAAGGCCGTAGATGGATTTGGACAGCTTGAGGATCTTGCCTGGCAGGTTTATGCCCTGAGGGACGCGCATGTAGAGAGGCTTGTCAAGTTTGCCGTGTAAATACGCCTTGTTGACGTCGGCCTGATGGACGTGATAGCCGTTGGCCGCGGCGAGTGCGATGAGGGCTCGAATGGACGTGAATTTGACGACAGGGGCGTAGGTCTTCTCGAAGTCAAGGCCAGGGCGTTGGGCACATCCGTGAGCAACAAGTCGGGCCTTGTGATCGGTGATGTCGCCATGCTGGTTGCGTTTAGTCCGGAACACCCAGCCCGACCGCAGGAGGATCTCACCCGCTGGGAGCTCACAGGATTCGACGATTTGAAAGACCTCGTAATCGTTCAGAAGCAAATCGAATTCATCCTGTGCCGGAGCGCCCCAAACGTCCTCTTGTCCCGATCGGATGACGTCGCCCCAATTTGCCGGATCGCGAACAACCGACAAGTCATGATCTGCGAAGCCGGCCTTGGTGGATGCGAAGGCAAGGAGCAGGCTCTTGAAAGAGGCGGTGGGTCCGTCGGTGCCGTCGACTGGCTGTTCCCGCGTGATCATGGTGGGAACGGGTTGGCGGCGAGTCCGGGGGCCATCAATGATGTTTCGAGCGTCGACTTCACCGTACTTCCCTGGATCGGGACCAACCTTGGCGACGTCGCCGTACTCCCAACTCGGCTTGACTTTGGCGAGTGGAGCTGGATCCGGAGGTGGTTGCGGCAGGTTCACGGCTGACTCCGTCGTTGCGCTCGTGGTCGATGAGGCGTCGTCGTTGTCGGCCGAGCTGGTCGATGCGGGCGACGCGGGTGCCTCGACAGGCGTTGGGGCCGGTGGCCGTGGGGGAGGCTCGACGGGTGTTGGAGCTTCGACGGGTGGGGGCTGGGGGGTGTAACCCGGGATGGACGGCTGCGTCACTCGGGTGGGCGCGATAGCGAAGGGGAACTCGGTTTCTACGAACGTCACATTGCGGCCCAGACTCACACGCATGGAGGAAGGATCGAGAAGACGGTAGGCTTTCGCGTGTCGATCGTACCCGACGAAGACCAGAGGAATCCCTTTTGGGTCGAGCTTGTCCCGTCGGTGAGCCGGCACGGTGGTCCAAGCGCGACAACCGAATGCCCGAAGACCCCCTACGCTTGGTGTGTGGCCCGACCAACGACTGTTTGGGATGGCTCCACCAAGGGCCGCGTGAGGCGAGAGGTTCTTGGCGTGAATGTAACACATGGCAACCTCGTCCCAGCACGATCGTGGGAGTCCCGAGTGAGACAGTAGAGCCAGGGTGCCCTCGACGATCGACCGGTTGGCTCGCTCAGCCCGACCGTTTTGCTCGGGTGTGTACGGTATGGTCAATTCGCGATGAATTCCGCGGGCCACGCAATAGCCGTTGAAAGCGGTAGAGACATACTCGCCCCCGTTGTCCGAGCGAAGTGTTTTGACCCTGCGACCCGTGGTGTTTTCGATCTCCAGAAGCCAATCCTTGAATGTCTGAAGGACCTCGCTCTTGTGCCCGATAGGGTAAACCCAAGTCTTCCTCGAGAAGTCGTCGATGAACGTGACGAGGTATCGCTTATGGCCTAAGGATTCCTCGGGGAAAGATAAGACGTCCGAGTGCACCAATGCGAGTGGTTCCGCGGCATGCGACGACGAAGAGGGGAAAGGCAAACGATGCGCTTTGGAGGCAAGGCACGCGTTGCAGGTGAAGCCATCACACTCGAAGTCACTATAGGGCCAATCTAAACCCTCCACCTGGCCAGAGGCCGCCAGTTTTTTAAGTGTCTGGACAGAGGCGTGGCCGTAGCGCCGGTGAAGGGTAAGTAAAGGTAGCCTATTGGACTTGGTGGCAACGAGGGTGTGTCGCGCATCTTTGCTGGCAGCTTGGACCGAAGCGTTGAGTTTGTAAACGCAGGACGCGATGGCTGATGCTGTGGCGATGCACCCTTGCGGCGTGCGGAGCTCGACTTGTCCGTGTTCGAAGGTGATGCGAACGCCTTTGCGGTCGAAGGCCCGGACTGAGATGAGGTTGGCAGGGCTCTCGGGGGCGTAGATCACGTCGTTGAGGGTGAACCTGGTACCATTATCGGAGACGAGCTTGACCGAGCCGATTCCCGAGGCCTTCACCGTTCCCCCTAGACCTTGCAGGACTTGCGGGGTAGGTGAAAGGGGGCCGTCAAAGAAGGACGCATCGTTGACGACGTGGCACGCCGACGCCGAGTCTAGCAGAAGGATTTCCGCCGGTGGCCCGATGTTGACAAACGTAGCAGAAGAAACGACGGACAGGTGTTGATCCTTGGATGCTGCCTCGGTGGCCACGAACGTGGACGCAGGCGATGATGAGCCTTGGAGTTCCTTCATGGCGTTCTTGAGCTCGAGGTACTTGGCTCGCTTGCGCGATTCCGGACACTTGTCGAGCCAGTGTTTGCCTTGACCACAAGCTGGGCAGTTGCTCGGGGCAGGACCAGAACGATCCCATTTTCCCTTCTTGCCTGGTGCAGAGCGTTTGGTCGGTACGACCGCCTTCGCAACGGGGACCGTCGCTCGATTCGTCCGAGCGTTGAATCCAGCCCAAGAGGGCGGGCATGGCGGCATCGTGGGGACCCAGTCAACGTAATTGTCCTCCGTAAGTTTCGAGTCGTCGGGGAAGACCGGAGGGTTGGCTGGGGGTAGGCGCTGACGCATGGAGAATGCGTCGTCGTCCCGTGCGGGGCGCTGGTTCCTGATCAGCTCGTCGAATTGCTCTTTAGTGAGCGTGACGGAGGTAGTGGAGGCGACGTCGTTGGTATGGTACGACGTTGATGACGGTGGTGGAGGCGTTGATGCCATGTCACCGTGGACGTCGAGGTCGCCCGCCGCTGATAGGCTAGGTGGGCTCATAACCTTTCAGGAACTGAGGCCGAGGCACGAAGTGCGTAAGTACGAGAGCCGATGAAGATAGTAAAGAGAGTTGGAGAAAGAAGATAAGCGCTAAGGGAGCGCGCGCGAGGCAGGCTCGAGACGCGCGGGGCGACTAATATCAACAACTAGTAACTAATCATAATCGGGAATACCAGTGGGATGAAACAGCAATATATTGACAGTGTAGGGGTCGGCAACGAACCCTTGAGGCTTGGGTAGCGGGAACCAGCTCGTAAAGCATTGAGGCGACTCGACCCCGCCAAAGTTAGCGAGCTTGGCGACGTTGCCCGTGACGACGGCGTTGGCATGGCCGGCGACGGCGATGGCGTACCCAAAGTAGCCCGAGGCACCGGAGGTGAAGACGTTGTTCTGGACCGTGCCGCCGAAAGTGCGAGCGATGGTGCGGTTGTCGGTACCCCAAACCATTGTGCCCATCGCGATGCCGACCTTGATTAACGAAACTTTGGACTTGATGACGTTGTTGCGCACGACGACGCCGGAGAAATTACCCAGCGAAGTGTAGTCGACCATGTTGATCCCTCCGAGCAGCTGGCGCTGATCCGAGATGATGCGGTTGTTCTGCACGACAGTGCCTTGCGCGCCGAAGAGGACGATAGCGCCGTCAGTCGCATCGGTGATGACGTTGTTATAAACGTTCGATACACCGCACGCCATCGAGATGCCGTCGGCCCATTGCCCAGGGGCGTAAGTGCCCATATTGTCGCGCTTGAACTGCGAGGCTCCTGACGGGGCGTGCCCGGACGGGCCGAATTGGTTGTCATGGACTTGCATCCCTTCGCAGTAGAAGGTGTAGCCATCTTGCGGCCAGTAAAGACCTTCTTGAGAATGGAAGGCACTCCAGGCCCTAGGCTCGAAAGCGTGGACGTGGTGGATAATCTGTCCGCGACTGTTGCCACCCATCTCGATCAAGGCCGCGCCGCCAGGGTAGATGCCGGGCGCGGGTCGGGCACCGTCCACTTGTATGTGTTGGATCGAGACACCGTTCATAAAGTTGTAGCCCGAGGCATAGATAGCGTAGGTCTGCGTGGCGCCGGTAACGACCAAAGTGGCTCGCGTGTCACCCGTGGGGTTGCCTGTGGGACCCGCGCAAACGAGGAACAGGGTCAGCGCCCAATTTTTTCGAACCGCGTACTTCAACGAAACAAGGCAGCAACCAGCGCAGTGTAGTCCCAAGGCGGCGGGCAAGAATACGAAATAAAGAGCGGCTACACGTACCTAGTGTGGTGAGGGTCTGATTGGCCGCATACAAGAACACAGCGTTGGTGGTGAGAATCCTGGCTCCAGGACAGAGTGCTGCGGGTTGCGGGCAGGCGGCGGCGAGGGAGGACGGTATGCGAGGACGCAGAAAAGCACCGAAGACATTGAAACAGCTCAATTGGAAAGAGATCGGTTCCGAAAGCTGTTGAGCAGGGCGCCACAATCGGACGGTTGCTTTCATTGAAGGCGCGCGTTCCAAACGCGGGCCAAGGACGGCCAGAGCTGTTTCCGGCCGCTAGCTGGAACTCGACGCTCGCCTTCGATCGAGCCGGGAGAAAGGAAAGTGCACTCACTGAGACTGTAGCACCTGGCCCGCCGTAGTAGAAGAGCTGATGCAGGTGAAATTAAACACACGTCAGTAAGAATTTACAGACAGGACAAGTGGGCCGCGTAGTGAGACTTTGGCGATTTAGGATTGAGAAAGATCACGGCGATCACCATCAAAGTGGTCGCGGGCGGGCGCAGGAGGCGCGGACACCGTCCGTCACTCAGGTCAGGGCAGGGGAGTGCCTCCATCAGGCCATCAGGCCTGAGCGCCTGAGCCGAGGCACTCGGGAAAGTGGCTTCTCAAGATCTCAGGCACGGCGCATTGGAGCGGCGCCATTGAGTTCAAGAGTCCATGTCTCAGATCTGCGGCGACCGCTGCATACCCCCGCGATTACTTTAGAGTCAACATTTCGAATCCAGAGACTTGTCCGTCTCACGCAAATTAGGCAAGTACCGCTACATCGATTGATCTTTCAGGACAGCGCGCAGGGTTTTCATAACCCTTGTGTGACAGTGAGGCCCTCCGACCTCGGGTCCTTCTCGAAAAGCGGGATGGCATCTGAATCCTGCAGCCAAGCAGATAGCTACGTAATTGGTGTGGTGTATGCTCAGCTATCGACTCGTGCAATTGGTACTTGCGAATGAGCCATTCTGCACGGAAGGAGCGCGCGGATGCACGTGCGAAGCCACGCGAAGCGCGAATAGGCTCGATCGACCGAAAACGTCGCAAAGACTTAGGCCCGACAGCGACCATCATGAGCTTGGCTGTGGAAGAATCCTCGAAACCTGTGTCTACCACCGACCCAAGAAAGTACTCGCACCGCTGACATCAAATAATGTATTGCTATGAAGTCCATCAACTCTGCAATTGAGTCGTGTCCTGCTTCAGTCATGAAACTCGGCCCAGCGTGTCCAATCCTGCGGAAGCTGCATGCGTGTCGCCGAGATTCTTGCAGGTCTTGATAGCTCTGTAAGGCAAAAATGGCTATCAACACTGACCCACAGAAGAGTGACCCTGGCTCTTGACTAGTAATGGGAAAGTATAGAGCCCAGACTCGGAGCGAGAAGTTTGACTGGGGTGACGAGCGATCTCGTGTCAGGGCACCAGGGATTGATGGAGGTATCCACGGGACACGATCATATAGTCACTGCAGCCTTAAGACGAACTTCCTATCGATCCCGGTATCACGACGACAGTGGAATAAAATGCACGTTCGCACGGCATTATCATCCCCTGCCTAGCAGCCAGTGGGCGTTGAGGGGTACTTTGTCATTCATATATGGTCATACTAGGGCTCGGAGGGCGCTCCGCGCCCACCTCCCTGCGTAAATGAAGGTCGTTGCGAGCTCCGCCCGCACCTCCCGGACCGTGGGGGGGGAAAGATCCGCGCGCGCGCGCGCGGGGCTGAGAACCTTATTTAAGTCGTGCATTCTTTTATGTAGATGTAGATGGGTTGTCCCATCCTACATCTGATTATTGTTCCTATTATGGCACTTGGGATTGAGCCTAGCGGGGTGACATTCTCCCCTTAGTCACTCAATCTCCATACTTTACTAGTCTCTAATCTCTCTCCTTATTAGCTTTACGCTTCACTTTCTAGCCTTCCGCGAGTCTGCCCCTTAGTCTCTGGCCACTCTGTTCTCGTCCCTGTTCATTGGACTGAGTCGTGGTCATCATCAGTTACCACTCGAGAAAATTTCTGCGACATACTTCTTTCATGATCATGTGGGCGGCGAGTTTTGCCAAAACCGGGCATCGACCAAACTCTAACCGGAATTGGCACGGAGGGATCTACAGGCCCGTCCCGACGCCCATGGAGGGTTCAACAGTGACGGATACGTCATCGCAGGTAACACCAGGAGTACACCGTGTCTTAGCAAGGGACCGGTCGACCCCTAGTATGTGTGCAGGTACCTGCTCGTGTGCCTTGTGGTTGACGCTCGTCGCTCGGTCACTGCGCGCGCGGAACACACGCCGGATTACGTTACCTTGTCAACGGCGGGCAGTCCAGGCTAGCGAACGAACAGGACATCAAAGCGAGACCTCTGAAGAAAGTACTTCGATGATCATTTTGACCCATCTCTGGGCGACGGCCGGAGGTGGTCGTGGGAAGTACGCGCAGCGCCGAGCGGAGCCAAGCTCGCCCCCTATCCTGTAAGGAGTCGGCCTTGAGGACGCTCCACCCTCAGGCTGTCCCCGATTTATCGCCAACAGCAGGTAGTCCGCTCGAAAGCGTTGTACCTCGCGGAAGTGGAATTGGAAGTTGCCCTCGAAACTTCAATGGTATTCTCTCTGCCCCGGGGCAACACTTCCCGGAGTGGCCCCTGTTTAGCCAGCCCGCGAACGGGGATACTCGACCCCGTCAGCCGCGCCACAATAGTATCAACGCTATTACTGATATGTTACTCCGCGAGGCGTTTGAATTCGATGCTTAAGACGTTTGAGGTTCCTAGGAGAGAGCAGTATCTTCCTACGGCTACGCAGCTTGCCGGCGAGGTTCGCATTGATTCCAGGCTTGCACAGCGATAAAGTCGTCCCTCAGACCTACTGTTGCCCTGAAGGTGTAGATTCTCGCAGTTTTCTGGGGTTTTTAGTACACTCGAAGGGAACGTTCTGGCACCTTTTTCCTCAATCTGTCGCCACTCGGAGTATTCGAAATGCGAAATGCTCCGAAGCTCTCTCGCGCTGGCGTCGCTAAAAGTTCAATCGTGCGACTCGGCGCCTACTTCTGGCTGGGTCCGACTGCGACCTGCCAGATCTGTCCTGACTGAAGTGTAAGAAACCTGCCAACCAGGTACAATTCAGAGCACCACCAGTTTCAAGTGTTCAAACCGATAAATCCCCCCACGTCCCGTTCCTGCACTTGTAAATGACGCGCGCATCTGGAGCATTCGACATGTCTCAGCTCACCGGTCACCATTCGAGAACCCAATCGCGCCGGGCCGCCAAGCTGGCCGGCGGTGATGGGTTGTGCTCCCACGCCCGCGCTGCACGTTTCAGACCACAGTTGAGACCAGTTCAGTGAGAATTGCCTTCTCAAGAATGGCGATAAATGCGACAGAGACACCCTACCGGTCTTAATGTTGAGCGTGACTCAAAAGTCAACCTCACCCTCGACTGTCATCAAGTATTAGTCCGAGCGTACGCCGGTATGCCCGCCATTCAGTGAGAGGCGCGGGTGGGGGAGGCTCGGCGCTAGGATACAGAAAATCTGGCTACCGCTGCATCGCTCCCATTTGCCAAGGTGCACACGCTTCCCGGGGCCCGACGCCCTAGCAACAGCCTTCTGCAACGTCACCGGTGGGCCTTTGACAAGTGTCAAGTGCAATACCACCACGGAGCTTGCTAAAGTATGTCTTTTGTTCGATCAGGAATCATTCTTGAAGATTCGTCTTTGCTCGCTTCGGAGCTCGCCTATGGGATCGAATCCTCCTCGGTCGGCGTCGGACAAACGCGTACTCCGATTCTTAACTTAATCTCATCGCAGGCTGAATCTCATCGCAGGCTGAATCTCATCGCAGGCTGAATCTCATCGCAGGCTGAATCTCATCGCAGGCTGGGCCCCCCTTATAAGCCCGTCATGCAGTCGACCGTGTCATTGCAGATCTATTTACTCCCCGAGTGGATGGGTATTGACTCTTTTACCTAGCCCCAACAATTCATCATGTAGCTTCCAAGCCAGGCAAGTGCAGCGGAGGTAGTCTGCGGAACGATGGATTTTGCATAATAAAAACCTTATCGAAGCGTTCTTCTCACTATTCCCACCACGCGAGGATCGAGATCGCCCAAAGCGAGTACGCGCCGGCGATCTCGAGGATGCACGGCCCCAGTTCCTTGAACGTAGGCATTCTTCTGTTCGTACGCAACGATAGTATCGTACGCAACGATAGTATGCTTATTGTGCTCGTCATTGTTACAACATTCATTAATTTCCATTTAATTAGAGGAACTGTCTTCCCTGCTATCACTACTTTTCCCGCCTGCTTTGGTCGGTTTCAGCTCTTCTCGCTCTGCTTCAGTCCGTTCCAATTCTTCTTCACATAGCTACACATGACCCAGCAAAAGAGGTCAATATACATCACTTCATGTTGAACATTCCATCGGTCGACTCACATCTTGCCATCTCGACAACTCGAACTTGGGTACCAAGTCGATATCCTCGCGAGGGAAGAAGAAGTCGAGGAAGGCGAGAAGAATGTAGTCGACGCAGATGATGATGCATAGCATCTTGCCAAAGATTAACCCAGTACCGTAATATCTGAAAGGAGGTCCTCGATTTCGGTCAGCATGACCGCCTTATCGTACAGGTTGGTAGTCATTTGACTGACCTTCGTAGGCGTTCCACCACGGGCACCTCAGGTACCTCCAAGGCATCGTAGTAGACTTTCTCGGTCCGCTCGGCCACGTCAGGCCATGAGTATATTTCTCTGAGCTGAGCGTGCGCTGCAAGAGGATCATGCTTCCCGCTTCGCACGTGATGGATCGCCCTCGAGATGGCCCGAATGAGATCTGTGAAAGTTCGATGGCGTGAGCGAAGCGATCTTCTCGCATGTCATTCGTACCGGAGGTATGGTGACTTACCTTCGACATCGGGTTCGGAAAATTCAACAAGACCTGGTGGCAAAACTTCTGGCACACCTCCGACGCGTGTTGAGACGACGAAGAGCCCCGCGCACGCGGCCTCGAGAATGCCGATTCCGAAAGCTTCCGTCAAGGACGGGTTGAGAAAAATTTGAGCTCGGCTCAATAACTGAGATAAGGGATGAGGAATCACTTCAGCTCGGCGTGTGTGTCGCATGCGTCAGCAGGAGTCAACTCACATCCCGGACATCCTTGCCGTTTCGAACGGCTCCTAGCAGTTCGACCCGATCCCTCAAGAGCGCTTGGTGTTTGTCGAGCATCTGGTCCAATTCGACAATCTTTGGCCCGTCTCCACCTATATCCAGGAATTTGAATGATGCGTCGACACACGGGGGGTCAATTCTGGCAGAAGGCGGAGGCTATGAGGTGGCCGACAGACTCACCGATAAGCACCCTCACGTCGGGATGCATGGAGCATACTCTCGGCAAAGCTGCGATGAGCAGATCAATTCCTTTCCGGTACACCAATCGATTGAGGCAGACGATCGTCACTGTTTGAACGGCTCAACTCGTGTCAGTGAGGTGAGCTCGGACGCAAAGCATTGGGACTTGACCTACAGGTTTCTGGCACGGGCGCCGGTGGTTCGGCAGGTTTGAAGTGGGAGGCCACCACGGCATTGGGTATGACATGAACGATCGATGGATTCAGTGCGCCTCGAAGTACGGTGTTCTCCTTGCTGTAGACGCCAAGGCGGACCCCAACCAGTCAACCCGGGCCATCAGCGTTCGGTGAAACCTTTCACGAAGTCATGTCGTATGGCAGAATAAATCGAGGACGGAAGTGGACTCACCCCGTGTGTGAGACGCAAATAACGGCTTCGACATCGCTCAGACACCCCTTCAGCATCTTGTTGCCCCAAATCTCGGCCATGTTGCCCAATCCAAAGAGCGAATGGTCGGTGAAAACGGCTTTAACTCCGAGTGTGCGGGCGTGGAAGATGCCCTCCATCCCCTCGGCGCTCAAACTCGCGTGTGCATGGAGCACATCGATCTGTTCGCGTATGAGGATGTTGCGGATGTAGGGAAGGGCGGTGAAGAAGCCCGGTAAGGTCGCGTGAACGTGGGTCGGCGGCAAAGGTTGCACGGGGATGTGGTACACTTTGAGTCCATAGGGGAGGTAGCGGATACCCGAACGCGGCGGGTACGCATGTGTGATGATGATGACCTGCACAATGAGATGGCCGCAGAGGTGAATACAGCATCCCGATCCGTGCGCCGCTTGGGCCCCCCCACACAAGCACCCGGTCCGGCACAGCGAGGTGAAAGGGGACACGGCAGATAGATACCTTGTGATCCAATTGGGCAAGAGCCTCAGCGAGACTGTGTTTGAGTAGTTTCAGGAGTCAAAGATTGATAGACCACGTCAATGACGGTGCTTGTGCAGAGCTCATTCGCAGGTACGCGCCATACACGTGGCAGTGACTGACCTGTAAATATGCGATTCGACTCCGCCGACCTTGGGGAAGAAGTAGTCGCAGATCATACTGTGGCCCAGCGGAAAGAGCTGTCAGTCGAGATGTCCGGCATGGGTGAGTGATGGTGTACTGCATCGAATCGACGGCTCACGCAATGTTGAGTGGCCTGTCCCGAGTCCGTTTCCGTCGCGTGGGCGAAGGTTGGTCCCATCTTCGAACAGCCGGCGCAGGGCTCGGACCCGGCCTAGGATGCGAGCCCATCTGTCCTAGCTGTTGCGTAGAGTAGGGCAGCTCGTGGCCAGACCGTTTTGTTATGGGGCGTTGGGGGCGTCGTGGGCACGTCGGCACGTCGGCAGAGGAGGTGAAATGACGAGCCCAAGTTCCGAGCCCCGCGACCGGTGAATTCCGTTTCTCTGGCTCGTCACGTGACCCCGTGACCCCTGCGCCGGGGATGGCCCTCATCAACGCCTTCATTCAGCCTCGAATTCTATCGATATACTAGAACGGAGTCTCATAAAGTGAGACTCAAACTTATCCGTCTGACGTGGCCTAGTGGTTGGAAGGAGCGGCGAGCGGTCGAGGAGGTCTGTGCGGCGTACGCGCGAGTACAAGAGTGCCTGAATAGAATTCGATAGGCCTGATCCCGCGCGTGCCAAACTGGGTCTTTTCCTCACGTTTGGCTCTGCATCGGATCAGGTGTGTATCTTGCGTATTTATGTCCCATTGTGTCTAGTGCTTAACTCAGACGTTTGGCTCTGCATCGGATCAGTCAAGTATGTATTGCCAAACATAGGTTCATCATCACTCATTCTAACGGAGCGAGCTTTACTTGGCGCAGGCGACAGGGTTTGATGAGTGCCTAGGGTATGAGCCGTCTTACAAGACGAGACCGATTATGGTGTAGGTACGCGGGTATCAAGAATAGGTATATATGCTGAAAATACAATCACCGACGACGCGCGGACTCGGGTGTCTCCTCGGAAAAGCCAGAGTCGTAATGAGACGCTTTGCACATCTGTTGATAAAAAAGGGGTTCATGGTCAGATTGTAGGTGTTCTGAAGAAATCAAAACTGCGAGCGCTCCAAGTACTCACGTCGATGCTTTCTTGGGGTAGCTGGATCTGGCGAATGAGGTCGGGTCGGACGACCAACGCTCCTGCCATGCCCACGCTCGTGTGCTGCGCAATGAACGGTATCATCGTGTCAGCAGCTTGCTTCGGAATGACTTCTAGCTCCGTTCGACACGCAAAAGACATTCTGTAAAACGCACAGGTGAAACATGGCAATGAAACGCATGTACACCTACTAGGTCCGCAACGATGCGGATCACAATGTACGAGTTGGGTGCGACGGTGAACACATCTCGGCGCGTGGGGTTTTGAGTCATAGGCGTCATAGTCGCCCACGTCTCCTTGGAGATGGTGCCATCCCCACCCCCAACGATACCGGATCGCGGACCATGGAGATGGAAAGGGTGGGCACCGCCTCCGGGGTTGTTGACGATGATGTCGTGGACTCTGGCTCGACCACCTTCGCCGGTCGTTTCGGACATGATCACCGTTGCAGAGCGGTTGGCGATGGATTCGCCTCGAATCGCCCGGAACAGCAAAGGGCTGTAACAGGGGACGGTGAGAGTCAGCAATAGCTCTGTAATGTAAGATACTCGAAATATGTTCACTCACTCGTAAGCGTAGGTTTCGCTGCGTCGAGGGTTTATAAGCCAGTCCGTCAGCCGGCGGCCAACGGCAACCATAGCAATCTCACTCACAAGCTGATCCCATCCATGTAGAATCGACCTCCCTCCGCCGCGAGTATATATGTTGCATTGAAATAGTCCACCTGATCCGCAGTATCAGCGGTGTTCTCTGCCACTCGTGGTCTCAGGATACCTGGACGGAGTACGATTTGTATTAGCAGTCAGGTTCAATCCAAACAAAAACCGCGTATTATGCACTCACTAGTCGCAGGGTCCTCGCACAGCTCAACTAGGTCGTGCGGGAATGGTGTAGAAGTAGGTAATATCTGTTTTCCCGAACTTGATGAAGTCGAAGAACAATCAATCGTTGGATCGACAACGCGGACGATGGCCAATGTCTCGGGGTTGAACCCATTCAGGGGTGCGCGGAAACACTGCGTCGCCGCAAAGGATCTCATCCAGAAGCTCGACCCAGCTTTGTCGGACCGGGTATCGAGGACGCCTGAGAAGCGTTGGCCAGCATTGATAGGGATTCGAGGCATACCGACGGCATCGATGGCGGTGTCGTCAACCTCTGGAAGTAGAGTGACGGGCATGGTCAGGTAAGGCGTGCAAGCGAAATACAGCCCCCGCCTCACAGACTTACCGATAAGTTTCATCTCATGTTCGTCGACCGAGATCCGCCAAAACGCTGTAGATCCCGCCAGGATGTCATCAGTGCGTGTGCGCGCTGACGACACGAATTAGATGATAAAGGTACGCACCGTGCATTCCGGCGTTGATGAATCTCAACCGAGTGAGCGAACCTGCAGGAACGGCGATCTCACTGTAGATGCTCTGCTTCTTGCACGAATGTCCCTTGAGGATGTTGGTCCTGTTTTTGCAGTCAAAATCACCTCGACCTTGGATGAGCCCTGATTTGGGCGTTGGCGCCGAGGTGGACTGCATGTGAGGTTGGCGGATTCTGTCAGCATCTGCCTCAGCTACTGATCCTCACGAAGAAGTGTCATGCTTACCCCGTAAACACCAGCGGGTGAGCGCAACTTATCCATGATGACTGAAGAAAGCTCGTGATAGTTGTCAGTGACCATGACGACCTGTTCGCGATCGAAATCTGCGCCCTTCTTGAGAGCGTCGTTGAGGCAATGCACGACCACAGGCCCGTGAATGCCATCCCCTAATTGAGGACCACGATGGCCGTGCCAAAAGTAGGTGCCGCACACGTTCTCTAGCTTGAAGGAAAAAGTGAACTCGCTCTTCGAAGCGATTGGGCAGGTGACGACACCAACAGGACCATCGAAGTAGTTGACGTGGGCTTGCGGGATGCCATGGAAATGGATGCCGGTACCGACGCGAAGCCAGTTCCTGACATGCAGCTTGATCGTGTCACCTGTAGTTCGTGTACAAGCTCAATGGTAGGTACCTGTTTGTCCTCGCTATAGCCGGACGAGTTTGCGTCTAGTGACTCACCCTCGTTCGCCTCGATCAACTCTCCGTTCACTCGCGCATTCACGAGAAACATTTTGCGCGTCACCCCATCAGGGGCTGCGGTCACCTCCGAAACGTCAAAGTAGTAATTACGCTCGGTCGGTATGTCGGTGATCTCGAAGTCGGAGGATAGTGTGTAGTCATCATGGTCGTAGGTGACTTTCTTGAGTGTTTCAAGTTGCTGTCCACGACGATGAGCCTCCCAGAGGGGTTTGTACGCCGAGTGAAAGACGCGCCCCTTGTCCGGCTGTCCCGGCGAGGTTTTGTGTCGGTGCAGCTCGGTCTCAAACCTTTTCCGCAAGCGCAAAGGAATGGAAAAAGTCAACAACACTGCGCCGCAGAAATACACACCCACTGTGCGCAGGTGCCTGCTCCCACTCCCAAGCTCGAGCCTCGCACGGCCGGGACGAGCATATACTCACTCGCTGAGAGGCAATGGAGAAGCGAGTACTAGCCTCCCGAGCGCTGCGAAGACGCAAGGCAGCAAGAGATCCCCGATGAGCATGGTGACGGTGACAAGTGATGGAGTAGGACAAGACAAGAAGCAGAAGGTGTGCAAAGTGGTGGCTACCCCGAACCGAGCCTTTCAAAGTGCCGAGTCCAAAACATGAACTTTAACCTACCCCGCCTGGTCAAAAATAGAACGCCCGATGGAGAAGGTTTTGGAGAAGGTGGATCGCACGCCGCGAAGCGGATCGGCCACCGCCAATCGCGGCGATCCCGAATCACGAGGCCCGAACCTCCTCGGCGCGAGGCACGGTGCCGAACCCGGTGAGTAGAAGGTGTTTTAGAATTGGAATCAGGATCGCCTTATGGCCGAATGATGACTGGGCTGGAAGGGAACGAGCCAGACATCCGAGGTCAGCCTGCTCAGGAGTCGCTCGGTCCCGAACCACCGATCATGTGAGTGCGCGGATACTTACCCCCGGGAGTCAAAAACTTGACTTATGTCCAGAACCTGGTCTCAAACCTGTTCTTGCCCGAAGGAGTGACAAATGCCTTATCACTCCCGGTAGGCTTAATCGTCCCCGTGGCCCCCCCCCCCCCCCCCCCTTAGAAAAGGTAGAGCGCTCTCATCGCGGTGAGACGAAACGAGGCGCCCCCTGGTGAGATATCTCCCCGACACTGTTGGTCTCGGCCCGCGCGACTCGGGTCCTCCATGGATCGACGTCGACGCTCAGCATCACCCACGGGTGACTCGGAACGAGTGAGTTCAGGTGCATGCAGAATACAGGTTCAAGACCCTGTGAGTTTCACGGGTGGCGTCTGACAGCCGAGCATTCGGAAGTACGACGAACGAACCGAGCCATGTTCTGTTACCGGAGACGATGCTAGGTATATTATGCATAGTGTCAATTAGAACAATTAGAACAATGAAGACGACAAACGAACTACCAGAATAAAGGGGTAAAGGACAAGGAGACACTCTCCTCTCCTCGCTCAAACCTCAGCCTCCACGTCCATCGTCATACTCTCGTGCTCGGAAGCACCCAACGAATTGCGCGTCGAGCGACGTCCCATTCCTCCCGCCCGACCTTTCGCATCTTTGCCTACAGCCGAGGTTTCATCCGTTGGAGCGGCGGCGTTGGACTTGCGACGCAGTAAGGAGCCTGTTCGTTTCGACGCGGCGGAACTTTTCCCTTTCGGCCTAAGCTCGTCCTCCTCATCGTCATCGTCGAGGTTCTCGTCTGCACAGTGAAGAAGAAAAACGTTAGTCGGCACGTACATCAGGACCGTCGCAGCCCGTCAAGAGATCCAAGACTCACAAAAGAAGACGTTCCCAGCCTTCTTCTCGTCCTTGTCCAGCGCATCCAATTCGAACCCATCAATATAATCATCGTCCTCCTCAACGTCCTCCTCCCCAAGCCGTTCCCTCAACTCCGCAACCCGTCTTCGCAACGCATCGATCGCCCCATCGCGTCGATCGATCCGATCGTGCAACATCCCCACATACTCGTTGCTGCGACGCAAGAGCGCGACTTTGCTGACGCCACGATTCGGGTTCTCCGGATCGACGCTCCCGCTGCGTTGTCCGCCGACATTGCCTTCACCGGGTCGTTTCTCTTCGTCCGGTGTAGCGTTCATTGCAATCGGCGGGAGAATGCGTCGAAGCGATTCAAAGCACTGCTTGAGCGAGTCGCGACGTTTCTGCTCCGCGGCCTTGTGCGACGTCCGACGTAGTTCACCCCCGACGACAGGACCCGAAGTAGACGAGTTGAGGTCTCCCGAAACGTCATCCTTCAACGCAGTCGACGCGTTGCCCGCATCGGCATCGTCGTCCATCTCAGATGCTTTGACAGCACCAGGCTCCTTCTCCTTCTCCTTGCCCTTGTACTTTCGCTTCTCCGTCGGCTTCTCCTTCTCCTTCTCCCCTTCCACTTTCGCCACGTTGGTAGGCGAAGGTGTCAAAGTATTCTTCGCCTTAAGCGGGGCAGGAGCGATCCTACTAGCCTTGATGGGTCGAGCGGCGATCTTGCGCGTCAAAACGAGCGCAGGTTTTGTCGACCTGCCCTTTGACGATGATGAAGTCGCCGGTCCCGAACCACTGCTCCCCGTGCTATTCGTCGATGGCGAGGTGCTGTCTCGAGCTGCATTGGCGAGACTGCCCGCTCCTTGGTCCGGCGGGGTGAGCAAAGCGTTACTGTCTTGTGGCTGCTGAGTGCCATCCGAAGTCGACGCGATCGAGTTGTGCGACAGAGATGAAACCCCAGCGATGTTGTTCGGCAGGTTCATGAAAGTCGCGGGCGTCGCTGCTTGGTGTAACCAATCTGGGGTGGCCATCGTCGCATCCTGGTGCTGCACTGGGGCAGCATTCTGGACGATGCTGGACCTTCTCGATGAGGCGGCCGAAGACGGCAATGGTGGCGGGCCCATCAGCTGCGAACCGTGCATTGCGAAAGCGGGGGAAGCTCCGACCGAAGTCTCGGCGACGGCGCTGGACGAGCTCAGATCGACGGGACTGGGGGTATCGGCCGAGATGGCGTTCGTCATCCCATCCTCCAGCGGGGAACTGCGCTGCGAGCCCGAAATCGCTCCCCCCGCCGCGCCCCTGCCTCCATTGGCAGCAGGAGCCGCGACACCGTTTCTGCCCGTCGCCGAGGGCCCAAGGAAAGGGCTTGTCGTCGCACTGCGCGCACCATTGCTGATGCTAGCGGATCGTCGATCCCCACCTGCGCCACCAGCGGCCTTCTTGCCCGTACCCCGACGCACCAATTGGCCGTCCGGCGTAGGTTTGAGCAGCGGGCTCGGTCGAGCCTTCTTGGAGCCAGCACCTCGTCGACCCGCTCCAGCGGCCGTGCTCAAGCCTGCATCGCTCGAGTCCAAGCGCGGCGAGGCGGTAGCCGCAGCGTTGGCGGGAGACCCTGTCGCAGACGTCGCGTTGCCGGGCATTGTAGCGCCGAGGTAGGGCGAGTAAGCGGCTTGCATTGCGGCGAGATTGCTGTGGTCGAAGCCAAGGGCGCGCGTCTGATCGACCAGGCCTTGGAGCGAAGCACGATTTTGCAGTTGTTGGGCTTGCCAGATCGCCGCAGCGGCGGGATCGTCGTTGAACTGCTGCGGCATGATCGCAGGCGAGCCAAGAGGTGAGAAGAACTCGGCCGGTGAGACGAGAGCGTTCTTCGAAGGAGGGAAGGAACCCGACGGTGGCAACGAAGAGGCGGTGGTGAAGACCGATTGAGGTGTCATTGCGGGAGACATGAGCGGTGAGAACATGAACTGCATCGTGAACCCCCAAGCCAATGTCAGTCTATCGTGCAACCACGAGAGATCGGACCTCTGATACTGCACTCACATCATTCGAGCCCGTCCAGTCGTCTCCTTCGGGATGAGTAGCGTAGCTCCCACCGGTCGTGCTAGATCCACCTCTCGGGTTCATATCGCCATTGATCGATCCCCCACCCACGCCTCCATTGCCCCCGACCCTCGTCAACATATCGATCGCGGCCTGCACTTCACTCGTCGGCGCATTGCGAGACAACTCGCTTTGCTCCATCTCGTAGCCTGGTATTCCAAAAGCGTTCTGCATCTGCATCGGCTGCTGCTGCTGCTGCGAGGACTGGTTAGCTGCTACGAGCGAGGCGCTGTGGACTTGCAGTTGGGCCGAGACGTGCTGGTGCTGCTGTTGCATCGCCGACGCATCAAACATTTGCTGCGAAGGCTTCTGCTGTACCGACGTGTACGGGGAATCCAGAGGCGAGGGCATGTTCGAGGGCGGAAGCGAAGTCGCGATTTGATGGAGGTAGCTGTTGGACAAGTTCGAAGCCATCGCGACCGAATTACCTGTCGAGGTCGAGGACGAGCCCGAGCGGTGATGCGAGTGGTACGCATGGGGTGTCGAAACGTTCGACTCGACACCAGCGCCGTAGTAGGCCATGGGGGAGGCCTGGGCGGACGACGAAGTGCTTCTCGAAGGACCGTTATGGGCCGTCATCAATGGTGAGTTGGTGTAGGTCGGCGCGCTGCTTCGATTGCTCTGGCTCGAGGACTGGTTCTCGTGCGCAGCGGGGTGACTGGAAGCCATGCGAGACGGGCTTCGATGTCGAGGTGAGGCGGCTACGCCAGCTGAAGCTACTGGGGAAGCGGCGCCAGGGCTATGTGTCGCCGAGGTCGGATGGTTGGGTTGGTGCTGTTGCTTCAATGCCAGCAGGGCGTTCAACAGCTGTGAGCGCGCCGCGGGATCCATCGTCGCAATCACGTTCGTGATCTGACTAGGTGCGTTCGCAGCGTCCGTCGCCGAAATCGACATCGTGTTTCCGGCCGAATGACTGGGGTTGGGCGAGGAAGGTTGCGCCGACGGCGTCGACGTCGACGGTGCGAGCGAGAACCCGATATGCTGCAGGACGAGCTCTTGCGCACTTCGTTCCCGATGGTGCTGACGGGACTGTTGGAGCTGGTATCCACCACCACCACCTCCTCCGCGCGAGGGGCTCGCCTCGACAAGTGCTTCATGGTGATCGACATAGGAAGGCGGCACGCCAGGCGAGTTACCGAGCATCGCATTCGGGTCGGCGGGGGAAAGCGCGTTCGCAGGGAGGGTGAACTCTGCGAGCAAGTCGGCGAAATCGGCACCAGGGCTGGTCATGTTGAGGTTCGAAGAGTTCATAGATCCTTGTTGATGAGCGGCCGACGATGGCTGCTGGGCGAGCGCGTTGATCGGGAAGTTACCGTGATGCTGGTGCTGAATGTGGTGCGAGTGCTGGTGCTGGTGTGGGTGCTGCTGCGACGCGTACGCGAACAGCTCCGGGTGAGGGGATGCGATGTTGCCCAGGTTGGTCGAGTCGAGGTACGCTGGTGAGGCTACGGTCGACGAGGCATGGAACGACATGCGTTCGATCGCGGGCACGAAGACGGGGACGAGACGGGCGGGAGTAGGGCGCGGGTGCCCGCGGGGTGTAGCGGTTGGCTGAGCACGCGCTTGCAAGGAGCCGTCTCGAGTAGGCCGAGAGATGGCAAGAAGGGTGAGGACGAGATCGTCACGTGTCGGGGCTGAAGGTCACGCTCCAAGTACCCGCCGCGGGCAGATGCTGGTGGTGCTGGTGGTGCTGGTGGTGTTCTAGAATGCGCCGGTCACGCCGTGCGAGCGAGCCTCGGTGCGACGATCTCTGGCAAGCGGCAAGCGCGGGACGGATCTCGACGGACGACGGAGCCGCTGCTGCTGCAAGGCAGTCCAACGTTTCGGATGAGGGCGACGATCTAGATGCGGAATTCCAGATGGGAGGAGGCGTTGGATGCACAGGCCGTGTGTCAGGTGACAATGGGCAGATAAAGGAGGTCCAGATCGTCAGCATTTCCCCGGGTCAACGGTAGGCCACGGTAGGCCCAGCCCAGTTGCGACAGGTTGCGACGCAGTCGAGTCGGGTCGAGACGGGGCGCCAAGCATGCTGCCACTGGCCGGTACGACGCTCATCAGAACCCCACACCAAAGAGTGCGAAGACGTACCTAGCCGTAAAGGTCCTCGGATGCTATGGTACGCTCGTCAAGACGTGGGGGTATGTTGTGTACGCGACCACGACGAGATGTAGCACAAAGAGCGAGAGAGCGAGCGCACCCGCCAGAGGAGAGGGGTGGCCCTCCTAATCTCGATCCACACCCATTAGGCCGCAAGCTAATGAGGTAGAAGCACTCGTGACGACGCGCGCTAATGGTCCAATTCCCCACCAACGGCACGACGAGCCGCCGAGCTCGGACGGAAATTGCCCGCTTGCAAGGCAGCGACCATTCCTTTGCCATGCAAACCTCTCAAGTGCGTAAGCTGTACAGGCTGTAGATCTCCTGGAGATCTAGTCGATATCCGTCTCGGCGTGGAAGCTGAAACAGGGGTCACGGTCAACTTTTAGCGCCGATCGATTATGAGCTTGCCCGGAAGATGATCTGAATATGATCGCCCACGATCTGTCACGTCGAATAGCTTCCACAGGCTGAAGAGCAGGTTACTTGCAAGCAATTTGGCTACCTGCCATCTCTTCGCCTATCATAGCCCGACCGAGTTCGGGTGAGAACGTAGGCGAAAAGCCAACTTAAATTTCACGCATCCATACATAATGCCGCGAGTAAATGGTGCAATTACCAATTACGCGCGCGCGTTTACCCCCGAAGCTTGACCCATCTACCCCGGTAGTAAGGTGCAAAGTTCACTTACAAATGGTGCATTCCTCGCGCAAGTTGGTGCGTTTGCTCCCGAAAAAAGGTGCGTTTACCAATTGAGGATGGTGCATCTACCAATTAGCTGGGCAATCCGCTGTATCTCGTGTAGTATGCCATGTATCACCCTGAAACTTGACGAGCCCTTTTACATGATCACCAAGTACGTCCACCTTCAGTAAGAAGCACTCTCACCAGGACCTCATGTAGTTGAAAATCGTGCCCGTACTCCCCCCCCCCCCGGGCTCGACGAAGACTCCCAGGCATCGAAATATTCACTCTTTCTTTTGCTGGGTACTACAACGGGTCAAGTGATCCGATCATGCGTGTCACTGCCCAAGCAAAGTAGGCCCTGCATCCACTGCACAGCCGCGCATCGCCGCCAGCGACCTTGCTCAATTTTGTCTGGGTGCACGTAGCCTGCTTGACGCGTCGCGTCGCGCCAAACGCCTACTTCTACTTGCGACTCATGTTCACCGCGCCACGCCAGTTCCTGCCATCCGTTGCCATCGACCAATACTCGCCTTGGTTCTAAAACTCGTTTCGCATACGTCATGTCCAGTCAGCAGATGAATGTAACGCTCCAGAACAAGGGTGGCCGACCCCGCATTGGGACCCGACCAATCGACATGACCAGCCCACCTGCACGTGGCACCTCCCACATGTCCTCGACTACGTCTACCCAGAAGAAAGACTTGGGCCAGCGGGAACCCGATATCATTGACCAATCTCCTTCAGTGACGCACTCCAATCAAACCTCAATGACTCCTGAGGGCTGCTCCGACGATGTCGACTGGAATGCCGACTCAGACCCCGCCGTCGACGACTCCGAAGCCAGCTCCTCCGATGGCGGCGAAGAAGCCATGGATCGACTGCGCCAAGTCGTCAACCTCCTCGAAAATTGTGCACCCAACCATCTACAGCTGTATGACACAATGCAAGCTAAACGTCAAGCGATCATGTCGTCGAACCGTCTCTGGTCGGCGGAAGAGAAAGCCGACTACGGGCAATGGCCGCTGATTCTTGGCGACCGAAGGAAAGCAGATGAATGGACGCTCAAGGACACCATACCAATTCTCAAGCTTCCTTTGTACATGGCCACCGAAGTATGTCGATACTGGTTCAAGCATAAGCAGTCATTGATGGCTAGTTGAAGTTGCTGATTAGGAAGCAAAACTGACACAATTCTTCCTCACCGATCCTCCTCCTACCCTTCATTGGCGAAACCAACCGGAACAGGAGCACGAATGGACAGCCTGCAAATACGAACGTTGTCTCGCCGTAGAAGAAACATCTCACGGTGCTCCATCGATCTCTTTCCATCAGCATCCGGCGGATCACCTGACAATGATCGAATGGCACCCGCTGATCGGCCAAAATTTGCAATCCACTTGGAAGGAATCACGCAAAGAAGTGCTTCGCATATCGCACCAGTGCTCGGGCGCCTGCATGCGCTACACAGGAGACGATGGGAAGATATACTACAACGTGCGACCGAAGGACAAAGATATCGTGCGCGAATGCTCTTCACAATTGAAGGTGAGTTAGCCGAAATTTCAGCCTCAGAGATCCTTTCTTTGCTGTGTTTGGGTTCGTGGCTTTTGCGCATGCGCTGAGACCCGTTTCGTTACCTGCACTCTGCTTTTGTAAGATTGTGGTTCCAGCCAGCAATCTCTCGATCGCCTTGATTTACACGCTTGGCGACCATGAGGGACGGCGGACCCTAGAATCGGTCAGGAAACCGGCCGCGGTTATGCGAACTGTCGCTCATCAGATAGTGCAACAGTGTGGCAGCACCCGAAGCACTGCTTTCCAAGGTGAATCACAATCATGATATGTCCAACAGAACCCTGTATCTGTCTGTTGATCGCACCGCTGACTCGCGTTCTTGGTCCATTCACGCGAGAAAGTTATGTCCGACTATTGCAAGAAGTGGGAGAAGATCCACCGAGTCACTCTCCATCCTAACCGGGTCATTTGGGCCAAACAACTCAAGAGCATGTTCCGGACCAAGGCTGCGAAGGCGTACACACATTCCTCTCCATTATACGCCCTATCACGCACAGCTCAACTGCGAAAATTCTGCTTGGACGATGCGTCCGAACCGATGACTCGCGGAGTTGCCTAGTGAGTATTCTTCTCCATCCGACGCATTGTCGCGCTTGCATCTGCTAATGCATGGCTTACACGTCGTACGTGTGTCCCGCAGTTTTCAACCTTTTAACGCCACGAACAACGAGTCACTCATTTGCGTACTCGCATCCTTGCATTCGATCGATATCCTGATCGCCTTTGCCACCATGGGAAGCGTTGCCGAAGACGGTTCGCGATTCCTTGGGATTGATTCGTCTTGGCGGTATCTGAATGAGAACCGCGCCCCGCTTACCATTCTTGCGACGATGGGTACGAACGAACAGATGGCGTTGGGTTAGTCGCGAAGGAGGCCCTGCCCAATCCCGTGCCTGCTTGCGAGTCTCAGCGTCTTCAGCCTTCGGCGCTGATCAGTTTTCGCACATTCTCTTTTCTGTAGGGCCTATGCTACTCTCGAGCGACGTCAAGCAAGGGACGTTGCTGCATTATTTGGACGTTGTGAAGGACCTAGTCGAAAAACGGGCCGCCATTATTGTCAGAGGTAGGTTCGGCAGTCAGTTTGTCGATACTTCGGCCTTGACACAGCGCATTGACATGTCTTTCGCGAAGCGTAGATGCTCAACGGGGCTCCGTCAGCGAACTGCCCGGTAACCTGCCCAATCTGCTGGAGTACGCTCAGTATATTGTACAGCACCAGTGGCAACCGCCCAACTTGATGATCGACAAGTGCAGGACCGAACTGAGCGCCCTCAAAAAATGTGAGGCGCTTTCCTCTTAGGCGGTGATCATTGGTCTCAGGGGTTATTTTATCTGACCTATCATTTTTTGCGATCTCCCCTCACGGGTCTGTGTCTGCAACAGGGGCATCGCGGCATGGGCTCGAGTTTCAAATTCGACTTTGTCAGTTTCATGCGATTCAAGCAATTACTCGGTGGTCAACGGATGCAACCCATGCGAGCAAGACCGACAGGTCCCCAGTATCAAAGCCCATATTGGTCCATATTTTGCGTGATTTTCGTTCAATCATCCAACGCTTCCGGTTCGTCAGGGGTCCACAGGAAACGGAGGAGCAAGCAAACGTGCGACGACGTCAGGAATTTGACGCAAGAGCGCAGACGTTTCTAACCCGAACCGATGAATGGATCCTTAAGTCGCACTCATCCGATGAAACGTCAACAACGGATGTTGGGAAGGCAAAGATCAAGAAGTTGCAGCTACAAGTTCGTGACTACTTCACGCAGAATTGGTTCGTGGATGCTTGGATTGGTCAGTCCCAGAGCAAGAGCCAGTTTGCATTTGGGATGCAAGGGCAGCCAAGTGACCAGACTGCGCATTCACCACAGAAACATTTGTAGATGATGGTCTACCATTGGGAGTAGCTCGAGATGATATCAATACAAACAACATCACTGAACGAGCTTTCAAACGAATTCAGCAAGAGCATCTCCAAGGTCGAGCAAATAAACGGTAAGCTGGCTCGAGTCACGTAGAAAATGAGTAAAACAGACTTGCTGAGGCCCGCACCATCCCGCTGTCGGTAGCATCGATAATCTAGTCAATATACTACTTGACAGCGCACTGATTTACGACATTCTCAAAGATGTAACGATTGCAACTCCGAATGCGGATCTCAGGCGAATTCTGGCGAAAGCTCTGGACATTTGGGAGATGGGTGTTTTTCAACAGACGAAGAAGAGCTACGCTTGGGTGGTTTCAGCAGGGTTAGTTGCTCTCGGTCAACTTGCTCAATACTACATGTCTTCAGCTCTGCACTTACGTCGTCGATCCTAAGCCGTGCCATTATGAGTAGGACGGAAGGAAGTATATACATATAATGAGATAATGATCGCGGCTAGTGACATTGCGAGAACACTGGGTGATGTGCTAGCCTTGTGAGGACAGGTTCACGGATGGTTTGTTTGGAAAGGCAGTCAATGATCTTCCTTGTCCAAGTTGCTGCGGCAGGAATACGGCGAGGAATGCTATACAAGGTGTCCCACCCCATATGGACACATCCAGCAGCTCCGAGATGATTGATCGTCTTAGTCATTGTATTGCAGCCTAGGGTGTGGGGGGGTGGTTACTCGGGCCGGGGTCCGGACGATGGCCGCGGCTGGGACGAGAGCCGGGGGTACGGGCACGATTTTCAACTACATGAGGTCCTGGTGAGAGTGCTTCTTACTGAAGGTGGACGTACTTGGTGATCATGTAAAAGGGCTCGTCAAGTTTCAGGGTGATACATGGCATACTACACGAGATACAGCGGATTGCCCAGCTAATTGGTAGATGCACCATCCTCAATTGGTAAACGCACCTTTTTTCGGGAGCAAACGCACCAACTTGCGCGAGGAATGCACCATTTGTAAGTGAACTTTGCACCTTACTACCGGGGTAGATGGGTCAAGCTTCGGGGGTAAACGCGCGCGCGTAATTGGTAATTGCACCATTTACTCGCGGCATTAACCCATTTTCCACACTGCATCCACACTGGCAACTTTCACCGGGCGGTCGGCGGTCCGGCGGCATGGCAGGCCCAAGTTACTGCCGGGCCGGGAACAAGCGAACCGACGGGCAGTCGTCTGGACTTCCGTCATCGCGGTCGGTGATTCTTCCTTCGCCAGGTCGGTCGCAAGCGCGTACACACATCGAGTCTCATCTTACCTTTCGACATCCACGACCATGTCGATGGGTACCTCGGCCAGTGGAGGCTTGCCCGACGTGTCGCTACTGATCCAAGACCTCCTCTCACCCCCGTGGACGGTCCTCTCCTCCTCCACACCTCAACTCATCACCCTGCACCTCTCAACCCTATCCCTCCTTGACCCAGCCACCAGTGCCCTAATCTCCACCCTAATCTCATGTATCGCAAGCTCACCTTCGCTGTGGAGGGGTCAGGCGACGGCCTCGAGTTCGGCTTCGAGTTGGGCGACATGGAGGACGTTGAACTGGACGCGTGCGAATGAGGTGTACACCAGTTTGGTACAGGGGTGTTTGTATCGCGCTTCGGAGATCGCCAAGGAACATGGGACGGGGTGGAAGGCGAGACGAACCTACGCGCAATTCGTCGAGCTGTACCTTCAGGGTATTCAGGACGATCAAGTCGGAGAGCTCGCTCACGACAAATCTACAACAAGGACGATGCGAGTCCACCCCGTCGTTAGGCTGTTGATCACCTCGGCTCTGTTGGCAGCGTTGCAATCGATAAAGCAACGTCAGGACAAGCTCTACGTCGGAGGCAGTGCGTTGATGGGTCGAGCGCACGACCAAGTCCTCGCCGCTTGGGACGAGTACTTCCGAGAGGAGGAGCAGGACGCCAGGTTGGGTGCGACAGCCATGGAATGGAACGGTAACACAAAGACAGGTGAGCGTGAAATGAATGTCAACCTCAGGAGAAGTTGGATATCTGATGACTTCGTCATCCCACAGACCAAGTCTCGAACGATTTACCGAGCTGGTTCGCCGCTCAGACTTTTCCCATGTTTCCCGTCGACCTCTTGGCCGCCGGGCCCGTATCTGTAAGTAGCCACGGGCGAACCATTACAAACTCTGAGGTAGAACTTCTGACTTACCTCTCGCTTCGCGTTCTCACTTCGTCTATAGTCCCTCCTGAACCTACTCACCAAATCTTGGTCGAATTGTTTCGCCGGTGGGACCCTCTTCGACTCGCTCTCCTGCGACCTCATTCAAACCCCCGAAGGACTATCCTGGACCATACCGTCCCCATCCCATGACCAACTCTCCACCTTGACCCAAGCGCCCTTGTTCCAAGCCCTCGGCCCTTTATCCCGAGCCATCAGTCGCCTCATCCAAGCCGCCGCTCTAGCAGCTCGCACCACACATTCCTCCACTCCCTCAAGTTCACCTCCCCTCGTTTCCGTCATCTCCCTAGGATCGACCCTAGGATCGACCCTCGAACGCGTTGTCGACCGAGTACAAAAAGGCTGGGCCTCAACACCCTGGTCCGATCTCGAAGACGACACGCAGCTAAGCCCTTCCACACGCGAACGTAAAGAACCTTGGACGTTACTCAAATCGCTCTTATTCGCATTGACCTTGATCGATGCGTCCCTGCTGATCATCGTCGAACCTAGACCGGAGGCATTGGCGACGAGGTTACAACTCGATTTGGCTGCTCAGGCCGTGAGGGTGTTGCATCGGTCTTATTTCATTACGATTCGATTTGGCTCCGATGGGTTCAGCGCTTGGAGGGGCGTTTGGGCTGGGTTGATGGAAGTCGTTGGTGGCGATACGAGAAGCCAAGTTGAGGATCTCATGACTTCGATGGAACCGGCTCGATTAGGACACACGCACGAACGCTTGGTCCAAAGAAGCGAAACAACCTTTTACCTCAACGCCGCCGAGGTCCTCATGAAACGTATTGGGGATCAATATCTGGAGGAGAAGGTGTTGCCGTGTTGTTATCCTTATTTGGAAGACGTCAAGTATAGGGATACATTCGAATCGGCACATTCGGTCTTGCTTGCGGTGTTTGCGACGCACAAGAAAGTGTCGAGTGACTTGGCGGTATGGTATACCAAGGTCTTGCTCCAGGTGAGTGGCGAAAGGCGAAAAAAAAAAAGTTCAACCCTCCTCCAGGTTTCAAAGAGGAACTGACCGCATAGTCGTCCCTCACTAGGCCTACCCGAAACTGATGTCGGCCGCCCAACTCCGACTGGCCTTTACGACGATCGTTCGTTGCGCCTCCACCACGTCCGACGCATTAGCATGGTACTGCATCGAAGAACTCCTTTCCACCATACGCAACATACCCACATCCACAACCTCCACACCTTCCCTCCCCACCCCCGACAACTCCCCCCCATCAACCCTAGACCATCCCCCTACGACCTCTTCCAACGTAGCAGGGAGGAATTACGAAGACGACCTCAATTCGACTCGACTTGACGAAACCTCTTCACTCTCTCCCGTCGAAGTCAAAGCTTTGTCTTTACCGAGAGGACATTTGTTTTTGACTTTGATCGATCAGACGACGAGTGTTAATTTGGTCTTGTTAAGGATGGTGTTGGATCAGATTTGGGTTTTGGTGAAGGAGGAACCTAGAGAGGCGGATGAGGGGATTGTAGCGAACGGGAACGGGAACGGGAAGGAAGGCGAAGTAGTAACAGGTCGACAAGCTCTGATCAAGGTTTTGTTCGCTACGTTGGGAGAAGGGTTGGATGCGACGAAGAGGGGGGAAGGGGTGAGGTATTGGTTGGAGAGGAGGGAGGAACTTCAGTAGTTGGACTTTGAGCGTGTTGTAATCAATAGGCGTGCCAGCTTTAAAACACTAAATTCCCTTCTCTCTCAAAAATAGCAGTCGTTATAAATTTCACATTCGAAGCAAGCCCAAAGCATGCAAAGAAAGATACACGAAAAGAACTACTGTACCCGCGAACGTACGGAGGAGCGTGTGTAGAGATAGTGCCGCGGAAAGACGAGTGTCAACGACGAGAGGAAAGCGCTCTTCGAGGATGGAGGTGATTAATACCGAATGTAGCATACTGCGAGGAGGGGAAATCCGGACAAGAGACCTATCCAAAAGAAGAGCTGGTGGGCGGACCAGGGGAGTCGGGTTCAGCTTCGCGGAAGAATTAGATTCGACCCAGGCGTGTCGAGACTCACATTACCGAGCGCGGGGTATCGTCGTAGGATAGGGAGACGGCCGACCACGATCAAGGGGAGCTGACACATCTACAAAAAAGGCAACGAAAAAAAATGTGTGTCAATCGTCAGCGACCAAGCCGAAGTGAATATCTTGGAAAGTCTCGAGAGCGCGGTCGACGTGCTACTTACTTGCATGAGGAAGAGATACAGCCTAAGCTTCTTCATCACCACCGCCATCACTAACTCATGCACGCACTGGAAAGGCAACCACGACCAAATCAGCACTGCACTTCAACCGCACAAGTCTACGGGCCCTGAACTCACCGCACTAAGTAAAAACGTGACGAATGCCGCCTGAAACTTAGAAACATGATAGGTCGAGATGGTCGAAGCGTACACATGCCTCAAGAGGAACGTATGTACAGGAATGTTCCATTTACGAGAGAACTCGTCGAAGGACTGCGAGTTCCACCAGTCGGAGTAGAAGCCCCGGTCGGCGAAGTAGGTTAGTTCGGCGAATCCATTGAGGATGCATTCGAAGATCTGCGCAGCCATGGTTGGGCGTTCAGTACTGAAGTGAGGTATTGAAAGAGTGGGCACTTAACTCACGATGTAAAAGATCAAAAGATAATTGACCATGAAAGGAATGGCGAGATCAAGCAGACTGATATGGAAAGGATCCGTATGCTTGGGATAGGCAGGAATGATGACATGCTCGACGGTCAAGAGCAAAATCATGAACGTCCCGAACGTCGCTCCGACTTTCTCCACCACGTAAAGCGGTCGAATCGTATTCGTCCTCGGATACTCGAGATGGTATACGAGAGTAGGAACGAGAAGATAATCGCAGAAATTGAAAAGGGTCGTGTTCTCGGGCCATCGAACCTTCTTGACACCGGTCGAAACGAGCAACTCGTCAAGATCCATGACGTCAATCACGAGTTCCCTCAACTGATCATGCGGATGCCATGTCAATGCTTCGAGTCCTACGAGAGGCACTGGTTTGCCCTTGTTGGACATGGAGTTGGACGGCGTCACGCCGACGATCGAAGTGGACGATTTCCTCCTGGCTACGCGTTGCCTCATCCCAGTCGGTGCATAATCCGAAGCTTTAACGTCCAGACTCCCCGGACTCGCAGGAGGATCGACGAGCTCATTCGAAGGTGCATCATCGACCAATGCGCCCTCTTTGATCTCCTTCGTCCATACCCGTTTGGCCTCTTGCTGGCAGGCCTCTTCGCCTCCTTGTTCCTTGACGACTCGATTCAGTTCGGCTCGCTTGATGTCCAATTCCCTCCGTTTCTCGGACAAGTCGCCGTTATAGGCGCAGTACGAATGTATCTTCATCAACATGGTCAAGGTGTGGAGGACGAGGAACCCCGATTGGACCCAGGGCCATTCCTTGTGAAAGGTCCACCGCACGGCGACGCCGAGGAAGATGACTTGGTAGATGTGTTGTACGATCATGCCTACGCCTCGATACCTCATCCAACCATTCTTGAGTGCCTGTCAGTGGGAATCCAAACACATTTCCAGATCAGCACCATGTCCCCTCTTTTCTCTCGTCGATCGGTCCCCCACCACACTAACCTTTGCAAACGGCACACATGCAAACGTACCCGCCAACATGGCCGCATCACTCGCCGCGAGCGCCAGTCCATCCTGGGAAATGAACTTGGCGAACGTCCACCTGAACAAGGCCCCGTGCTCAGAATAATGCTTGATGCCGACCCTGAGCGCCCCAACAAAGATGCTACAGTGCCAAGACCACAATGGACAGAGGGGGTCAGTCGATCGGATCCGACAAGTACCTCCCTCTCTTCTTGAACCGATTCGACGGCAACGCACATGATCCAAAACAACGTAAAGAACCCTCTGAACGAATTGCCCGCCGATTCGGAATTGTTGCGATCGAAAGCCGAGGTACGGGGTTGGAAACTGACCGGTCTCGACGAGCCCGATTTCTTGGTCTTTGGATGCGACGATCTTGAACTCCTCGGTCCGATGGGTTTGAGGGTGAGGGAGCCGTCCGAGGGGGATATGGAGGAGATGAGTTTGGTGGTGTTGGAGTGGGTGTAACTGATGATGGGTGTGGGGTGCGATGGTGTTAGTGGTTTGTTTGCTTTCCGGGTTGATTGCCGACATCGAGGTACGTACGAAGCGGTGGAAAGCTGACTGGGCAATGAAGCAACGCCATCTACCCCTGTAGGGTGTACGATCGTAGTAATGGTCGTGCGGGTCGTGGGAAGAGGCCTATACACCACACACAAGACCACAAGTCAGTTCCCCATCGCCTCTGATAAAGGTGAGTTCGGCCTTGAACGCTCTCGCCCGGACCCCACTCGCCCTCGCCCTCGCAAGCGGCACGCCGGCATGGCCATCCTCCATACCGCTCCAAAACACCGTATACATCTCCCCAACCCACATCCTCAAACCAACCGCACCCAAAGACCCAACCCACTCACCCAACATCCTCTTCATCCCCCTCCCCTCCACGCCCTTTTCCCTGCGCGTTCGTGACATCATCCCCCTCCGAGGACAACGACGACGACGACGAGGAGACCCCCATCTCGTTCATTCCATTGCCGTTGCCGTTCGTAGGAGGTGACAAGACTGCGTCGATGACTAGATTCGCTGGACCGGGTGGGGTCCGTGTAGCACTTGGACTGCCACTTGTCATCGTGGCTCGCTAGATCGGGAAGAGAGCGGCGAGAGAGAGAGAGAGAGAGAGAGAAAGGATTCCAGGCGCGCCTTGCCCGAACACATCACACCGAGCTGGTCCGAGCGCGCGCGCGACTCGACCAACTCGACCCTCGATTGTCTGCGCATCATTCTAGCGGTGTTCATGCAGTTCTTCACCCAAGTGAAAATGGTGAGGAGGTAGCATCCGGATTGATAGTTTCATATATCGCAAAAAGGAAAAGACTCGAAAGGAGGAAAACAAAGAAGCAAGAAGAAGGAAGAAAGAAGAAAGGTCGTTCATGATCGTACGTGTACAAAATGAGAAAAGAAGAGAAACACCCCCGCCTTCTTCTTCATCATCGTAGTAATCACCCTGCCGAACAAAACAAAACACAAGGGGGGGAGGGAAGGAGAACCACGCAGACAAGAAACACGTAGGAAGAGAAGAACAAACCATGCCACACACACATAATTGTGCGCACACACACACACACAAATACTTGGCATCATCACACACACACACACACAATTCGCGAGAACAAGTTTCGTACACACCCTTCTTCTTCGCTCTTTCGTTTGTAGTACAAGTAAAACACACTGGGGGGTCATCACCGAGGACATACAGAGGAAAGGGGTTCCGCAAAGAGGAAGATGATGAGGGGTGATAATAGGTGGTGGGTGCTGAGGTGATGAGGTGGTGCGCGCTTGCCCAGTAGTAGCAATCGATTGCCCCAACTCGCTAAGCATCCTTGAGTTTGAACTCGGCCAAAACCGAAATGTGATCACTGTGGGTCCAGGACAGAAGGTTACATCTTGTATCAGGAAGGGACTTTCCCAAATTTCGATACCAAGCCAAACCAAACCCACCTTGGGAAATGAGCATTAGGGAAGCCTACGACCCGATCGGTGTATTCGGAATCGACGTGGCCGAGCAAACCCGTGACCGAAAGTGAATTCGTGCTGGTCACCCCCAAAAAAGAAAGATTCAATTAGTCGCCGCCGACCTCTTCAGTAGAACACGACGGGATGAACTCACGTGTAAAACAGATAATCCAACACGCCCTCGAAACCGGGTGTATAATTCGTGAACTCCAACTCGCCGACATGGCCATAAGCCGACTTGAGCGACAAGCGATGGTTCAACCCTTCCGAGGTGTAATGGCCGTAGGTATGCCCCATGAAATCCTCGTGGTCCTTCTCGACTTGCCCCTTGGTCATGAACTCGTACACGCCCGAATGGGGTTCAGAGTTGAAATCACCACAGATCAAGGTCGGGATCTTGGACCCGTTGGCGTATTTGGGTGCGGCGTCGTACCCTTCCCCTAGGTTCAACCGGGAAGGCAACTTGGCGAAATCGTTGGCGATCTTGTGCACTTCGTCCATCATCATCGCGACTTGGACGAGTTTGACATCCCTAAAGTCAGGGTTCCAATGCACGTGCGTGTTGGCGACGACGAGCCGAGCGCCCGAAGCGCGATGTTCGAGGCACGTCACGACGGCGATATTGTCCTGCGTCATCACGCGGTTGAACATGTCCTCGGTCTTTTTGAAGTCCGGTCGCCGCATCGCGATCTGCTGGAACTCGATCAGGACCTGTTCGACGAGCGCAAAGGTCGTGTTCTTGAAAAAGGTCGCACACCCATCGACGCGCTTGCGCTCGTCGCCGTGCATCGTCCGGGCCCTCGACTTGGGGTAGTACACGCCGTCATAGTCCTGCCCGGAGAGATGCTCCAAAAAGTACGACTCGTATTGCTCGACGTCGACCTCTTGCAAGCAGATCAGATCGGCGCCGTAGGTCATGATCTCTTGCAGGATCAACTCCTTGCGGTACTCCCAATTCAACGCCCAGCTCGGTGTATAGCCGTACATTTGCGAGGTCGCGTACTTTTCGCACAGGATGTTGTAGCTCAGGGTCGAAAAGGTCTCCTCCGGCGGCCGCTTGGATCCGTCGGCGTTGAGTGCGGCCGCGGTCGGGAACGAATCCGGTTCGACGGTGATCCAGTCCCGTTCGGGAGGGGGCAGTGGTACGGGGCACGAGTCGCGAAGGTAGGCGACGAGGGCTGAGGTGCCGTCCTTTTCAAGCAGAGACCGCAACGTGTCGGGCAAGGGATTGCCTTCGATCCCGAGCGTGTCGAGCTGGTGCAAGGTGCCTAGTTCTGGTGGCAGGGACTGGAGGTGATTGTCAAATAGGAAGAGCTCGCGCAGGCGTGTCAGGAGCCCAATCTCGACGGGCAGGGACGTGAGTTTGTTGGACGAGGCGTCGAGCAGAACGAGGTTCGACAGCCGCGAGATCGAGGTCGGCAGCACCGACAGCGAGTTGTGCGGGATGTAGAGCGTCGTCAGGAACGTGTACCGGAACAGCTCGGGGGCCAAGTTCTTGAGGTTCATGCCGCCCATGTCGATCGTGGACCATGTCGGCTTGTCGGACTTGTTGGTCGCGACAGTGTCGATGCCCCCGAGGGCGAGCTCGGTCGCGGCGGTCGTCGGGGACGAGCCCGAGTCGCGGATGTGGTCGGTACGGATCGAGCCAACGGATGCACTGCGCTCGTCGTCGAAGAGTTTGGACGCGGAGCTGGCATTCTTGCCGTGGCCGTTGGCGAGGTTGGGGCCGTAGCTGCGCTTTGCGCCGCCGATCGTGCTCGAGGGGCGCTGGCTCGGGTCCGAGATGACGATCGCGGCGGACGAGCCCGTGTGTCCTCGTGCGGCGAGATGGGCGGCTCGAGCATTGTGGTGGGGTGAGTTGGACTGGCGCGAGATGTGGGCGAGGGACATTTGTTGCTGCCAGTGGGAGGAGGGCGGACCCTGGCTTCCGTTGGGTTGGCCCCCGCCCGCGGTCTGTTGCGGGTGGTGGTGGGAGGACGGGTTGTTGTTGTTGTTGTTGTTTGGGTTGTTCCCGCCGGCGCCATTCTTTTGGTGGTGCGGCGGAGGTTGATGCGGGTGGTGCGACGAGTGGGAAAGTGGTGTGCCCGGCCCTTGTCCAGGATGGGGCGAGTGCGAGTGCGGTGGCAGCGAGTTGTGGTGCTGCGAGTGGGATGGCCCTCCCGCATAGGCTGCCGGTGATCCCGGTGGTCCTGGGTACGAGAAGGAGTGATGGGGTTGCTGCTGAGATTGGTATGTGGTGCGGTAGAGCGTGGGCCAGGGAGCGCATTAACGGTCGTCGTCCCGGTCCGATCCGTCGCGCGGCGGGGGAAGAAAGGATGGGAAAAAGGTCGATTCGGATCAGCGACGATTCTATGCCGACACTGCGACTGCAGCTCGTCATGCACCAAGGTTTCACTGAGAACCGATCACGAATCGTCGTCGGCCGTACTCGAGGACGCACGCCGCGCTGCGCTCGTACTCACATGATGGGGTGGTGCCTGCCCGTAATGACCATGCTGCAACCGGTTGATCAACGAATATCGCTGGCCGTTGTTGTTGTTGTTGTTCGACGCATTGTTGTGGAGGGATGCGCCTCCCCCGCCGCCATTCGCTGCAGATGAGCCACCCGACGCGGCACTGCTGCTCGTCGTCGTCGCTCCAGCGGTCGCCCCTGCTCCAGCCCCTCCGCCGCCTGTCCCTGCTCCTGCTCCTGCTCCTGCTCCTGCTCCTGCTGCGCCAGACGAAGTAGCCCCATGAGGTGGCGAGGCGGGCGCAGGCGAAGGTGATGGACTGAAGCCCGAAGTGTTGGAGTACATGGGGTAGGTGGCTCAGACCACGATCAAGCGGGGATCAGTTGACGAGCGTTCGAGGTGGTGGTGGTGCAAGAGGATGGTCGGTGGTGCGACCGGGCTCATAAAGGTCAGATTTAAGCAAAGGCACGCCGAAAGGGCAAGAGATGTGGCGTGGCGTGGCGTGGCGTGGCGTGGAGTGGGTGCGTGGGTGCGTGGGTGCGTGAGTGGGTGAGTGCAGCTCGAAGGATCTCGCGGGCCGGCTCACAAGAAAGGGCTTTCGGGCGCCTGCGCTGAGCCTCACTGAGCTGAGCAGCCTCGAGCTGAGCTGCTCGGTGCTGGGTGGTCGTCGAACAAGGCGCGCAAAGTCTAATCACCCGAATAGGAGGCTGAAAGATGTCCCGTTTCGGCCAAGGAAGACATAATTGTAATAGTGCGGGCGCACACAATATTTTTTGTTGCCCTAAATTCTAGTCGCGTTGAACGACAGTGTATTACCAACTCTCTCTGAAAGCTAGATTTTCGCCCTCTCCCCACCCTCAATCGCACCCGCATGATCCTTCTTGTACCTCTCCACCAACACATGACAACACTTCCTCAGCGCCTCTTCCTCGTTCAACGTCGCCCAATCGCACCCCGCCCATCTCACTTTCCCATTCGAATCGACGAGGTAAACGTACCCGACGTGCTTGTTCGTCATTCCCAACGGTTCACGCAGGTATTCGAAGGATTGGTGGGAGAGGAGATAAGTCGGTTGGTGTTGGACGGGTATTTGACGACGGAGGGAAGAGAGGAACATGGTCACCAGGAACGATTTTAACGGGTTTTCTTGCGCGTTGATCTGTGGCGAAGGAGTTCACACAGTCAGATCGAAAGGGGGACCGCCTGACTCGGGAATCCTGGACCCACGTAGACGTATTGAAAAAGAGGTTCATCCTTCATATCCGACAGAGCCGGTCTCACGAACGAATTGACATGTTCCTGCATTCGACCACATTGACAGCCTATTCACCGATTGTGTGCGACCGTGATCCAGGACCTACCTCTGAACTCTTGAAGCTGCCAATGGCGACGAGCGAGATTTTACCCTTCCATAAATCGGTCGTATGCGTCTTGGCCTTGTTCGCCAACGAGACGCCTTGTATGTCGGGGAAGTAGAGCGACAACTGCGGGGGCGGAAAGGCAGGGTTTTTCCCAACGTGGCGGTCAGCGCCCACGCTCGCATATGCCGTGTGGTTGAACCTACATCTTCTCGGACGAGTGTATTGGGTGCGATCCATTTTTTGCCTCCCTGGTGCCTCAACTCGTTATAATCGTTGAAATAGCCTTTCGAAACTTGTTTGACCCTGTCGTCCTCAGCCCGAGGAGGAATCAGCCTCGGCGCGCCCGATCGGGATCGTACCAGAATTCGCAGCTGACAAGTGTTTTCTCTCGTCCAACCTCCTCTGCTTGCTCAACAGGTTGCGCTTCCATTCCTCCCTCGTCACCGGGTCGGTGGAGGGTTTATTGGTCACGCCCAGGGCACGGGAGAGGTAAGGTGGGGGAGTGGTGTTGCGTTGTTCGACTTTTTTCAGCTCGGCTTCGGAGGGGGTCAGGTGTGAGTCGGAGGAGGTGGCGGGGGAAGTGGAGGGGCGGGTGGAGGTGGAGGATGACGGTGGAGATGGAGGGGTGGACGAGCTCGACGAAGCGAAGGAGCTGCAAGTGGTCGAGAAGGAACAACTGGGAGCGCACGAGCTCGTAGACGCGAACCCTTGACGGGTTGAAGCGTAGACGAGCGGTCGAGTCGACCGAGCGAATGTCGAGGCGAACATGGCGTATACTGGCTGATGCAGGCTGATGCAGACGGATATGGTGAGGGTGTGGAGGGAGACCCAGAGCGCGCAGTCGGCTCTTGCTCTAGCTTTCTCTCGCTTCTCCCCTCCATCTCCCTCCATTCGAGCTCGAGTACCGGTCCGATACCTCCCCCTACCCGTCCAATACCGCACCCTTTCCTTCCAAGGACGATGACCGAGCCACATTTCGCTCCCGAGCCCGCACCGCAAGCCTCAACCTCGACCTCGGATCCCATCTCCGCACCCAATCCCAATCCCAAACCACCCCACACCTCTCGCAAGATCGCCCCCACCGCCCGAGGCCGCACCACCGACTCTGACGACGTGCGACATTCCAAAACGCTCTCTTACATCCTTCGTCATGGTGCAGCCAAAGAACATCTCGTCCTGAGAGGGGATGGGTTCGTGAGAGTTGATGAATTGGTGAGCTTTGCTTATTCTCCCTTGCAGAGATTGCTTTCCACCTTCAACTTTCGGGATGCACGTGATCTTTTCAGCTCAAGAGACCCAAACTGAAAGGTGTCACATTCGAGACAATACAACGTATCGTCGCCGAGAACGAGAAACAACGCTTCACGCTGCAAAAAGAAGCCAAGAAGCCGAGTGGGGGAGACGTAGCCGAAGACGCCGAATTCGAGTGGTGGATCAGGGCGAACCAGGGGCATTCGGTGCAGGTCAGTTTCGAGCTGGAATAGAGAGTATGCTCGTCCAGGATCGTTGACTTGGCTTTCATGACTCGGGACAGGTCGAATCCCTCGAGCTAAAACCCATCCTCGACGCCTCCCACGTCCCCACCATGGTCCATGGCACAACCTACAAGCTATGGCCCACAATAGGTGCGGTCCGAGAAAAGGCCCGTAACACAGCTTCTTTACTAAATCTTGATCGCCCAATTTCCTCGGCACATGTTTCAGCCAAGCAAGGCCTTTCGAAAATGGCGAGGAACCATATCCACTGCGCAACGGGCTTGTTTGGCGATACTGGGGTCAAGAGCGGTCAGCCCGCTCACTCTTCCTCATATAACCAATCTCGCATTCTCAATCAAACTCTGCTTCCTTCCGACAGGAATGCGAGCCAAATGTGATCTCTTCATATATTTAGACGTTCCCAAACTCCTCGCCGGTAAGTCAACTCGGAACAATCTGATGCTTCGCTGGTAAAGCCTGACTCTCTCATCTCTCCTCAACAACACCTTCCTTTTCGACCAGACAATATCCCTATCTACGAATCCTCCAACAACGTACTCCTCACATCAGGCAAGGACGGCATCGTCTCGCCAACCTACTTCAAGAAAGTGGAGAGGAAAATCGTCGGAGCGGAAGCTGCGGTCGAGCAACTTGATTTGAACGGGTTGTCTCTGCAATAAGGACAGATCTCATCGTAACTCGCTCGGCGTGATATGAGAAATGGCACCGTTTCTTCTGATTCCAAAATGAGAAGATACCCAAGCGAAATTCACTCCTCTCTTTTCCTTCGGCCACCTCCCACGAACCAAAACACGGCCTCAAAACGAAACCACCACGGGGAAGAGCAAACCCCCCACCTTCGTTTTCAAGCTTCCATCCTTACGTGCCCCTCCTCAACGTATTCTTCTTCGCCGGCTTGACCCTCTTCTTCCTCTTACCCCCCGCAAAAGCATTCGCCGACTTGAGGTCCCTCCCCAATGAATCCTCCTTCTTGACGGCGTAGATCCTCACGATCCAATTCTCCGAGGTGAAGGCTTCTTCCAATGTGTCGAGTTGGATAGGGGTGTTGGGAATCACTTGACCTCGAACACGATCGTGGGCTTGACCGCCTCCGAAGACTTCGGCGAAGCTGGAGGGCAACCAGGAAGCGCAATTTGATCAGTTTCGTTCCTGTCCCCCGCCCGGCCGCCCAGGCAATAGGTGTGCGCTACTTACCGGTAGTAAGACATCTTGTACATCAAGCTATTCTTCATCACTTCGCTCGCATCCGCATCGACCTTGTACTCCCCTCGACTGGTAAAGTACTTTTGTTCGTTGATCTCCTGCGGCCAAATCCCTTCCGAGATCCTGACCATCCACAAGAACTTGTTAATATCATCACCTCCGAAACCGAGCAAACCACCAAAGATGACGAGCACGTAATCGACGTCGTGTTGTCTCAATAAAGGGTAAGCCGCTTCTTCGTTCAAGGACATCATCTTACCCACCGTAGCGATGTGGGTATTGTTCCAGGTGTTGTTATCGACCAAGGTCGTACGGTTCGAAAATCCGGCGATTTGGTAACCGTAATCCCACCAGGACATGATCTTGGCATCCTCCTTGGTGTTTTGTCGAAGCCAGTAATAAGCCTCTCGGAAATCATCGATGATGTTGTTCGATCCATCGGCGTTTCGACTCGACAAGACGACGGAGGGGGAAGAATAAGCCGTCGAAGTGACCCAGGTGCAGTGCAGTACGAACAAGCTCGCCAAAAAGGTGAAGGCGATAATCGGCATCGCTCGAACGTCTAGACCCCAAACACCGGCTTTGGTCGATGACAACTTGCGGTTCGATCGTTTCGTCGTCGTCGTCTTGGCGTCTTTCGTGACCTTCGTACCGTCTTCTTCAGTCATAGCAGCGACGGTGTCTTCGGTCGTATCGGGTTGGACGGGGTCGAGGTAGGTTTCGAAAACGGACGAGATCGCCATGGCAGCCGTGACGCAAACGACGGGCGTCAAGGTCAACATGAGACGAACCATGACGCCGGCGAAATAAGACGCGAGGAACGAGTAAATGATGACGAAAACGTGCTCATCCCTCAGCTCGCGGAAGCAGATAAAGACACCCGCGGGGAAGAGGTAGATGAGGAAGTTGAGGTCGAAGAAGAATGAAGGCCATGCGGTCGGTTGATGTTCCGAGACGGAAGAGACCAACGGCAAGTGGATGCGAGCGTAGCCCGTGTCCCAGAGCGAGTAGAAACGACCGGTCCAAGGTTGAATCTTGCCCGAGCGGGTCATGAACCACAAGCCACCAAAGATCATCGTCAAGCCGACACCGAGCGCGGCGCGGAACAAAACTTTGAACTGGGCCTCGGGCACGTGCGATCGTACGAGCTGCACGAAAGCGATGAGCTGGAGCAGACCAAAGACGCCGAGCGGGGCCATGTGCTCGGACGTGAGCAAGGGCAAGAAGCCGACAAAGGGAACCGTCATCGACGACAAGGTGCCAATCGCGTAGAACGTCGAGTAGGCGACGTAGAGGCGCGAGGTGTAGCGTCCCATAAGCAATAGCACAAAGACGTGCAAGGGCAGCATGTTGGTGATAAAGGCGTATCCACCCCACGCAGCGACCATGTAGTAGTAGAAGAGTGCCGTCACGGCGGCCCAGGTGATGGAGCCGGTCTTGACGGTCTTGATCCAGAGGTAAAAGGTGAACATGAGGATGAAGATGGCGATGGCCTCGTTGTCGTAACTACCCGCGACCGAACGCGAGATGTAACCGGGCGCGATACCGATGAAGAGCGCGGCCCAGAGACCGGTCGATTCGCGCGATCCGTCCTTGCCGACCTCTCGAGCGAAGAGGTAGGTCGCAAAAGCGGTCAGACCGGAAAACATGGGGGCGAGCTGTACACAGACTTCTCGGATGTCGACGGGGATCGAGAGCGAGTGCAGCGCTTTCCAGATGAGGCCCGAGGTGACCATCAAGCCGGGGTAGAGCGTTCCTCCAACGACTCGACCGAGCGGGTACCAAGCCGTCGGATCGAACCAATTCCAGAATTCCTGTGTCGCATATTTCAGATACAATGGTCAGCTTTCTGGGCGGTGAGAACGCTTCACTGTTGCCTTTGTCGACACCCACGTAAAAGCCATCCTTGGTCAGGGTCATGGTCGCGCGGTAGTTGAACCATGGGTCGAATCTGTGCAAAAGCGGAGAAAGGGTTTTGCGCTCAGTCAAGATCTTGTTATCAGAGGAATTGGAGTGCTCACTCGTGGATGATGGACTCGAACCGAACGACGGCAAACTCTCGAGAAGAGACTGCGGCGCCGGCGATGCAGATGAGGATGACGGTGCGCAGGAACGACGAGATGGTCGTCGAGGTCTCTTTGTCGAGCCTCGGTGGCGGATAGGCGTAGGACGGCATGATGAACTTGCGTCTAAGAAGTTCTTGAGAGGCGAAGGCGGGCTGCTCCGGAGGGGAGACGTTCAATGTGGAGCGCAGCTGGAGGTAAAGCCGGGGGGGGGGGGCCGGCAGAGGATGCAACAGGCGGAGGAACAAGAGTCAGAATCGGTCGTCGAATGCGCTGACTATGAACGTCACGAGACCACATGGAAAACTCTCGTCCTCTGTTTGAGCTCGGCCGCAGCCGCTGCCCCGCGAGTAGCACAGACCACGAGGGGCCCGGCATCCTCGAGACCAGCCGACGTGTCGCACACACCTGTCCCATGCCACACCCTCCACGCGCAGCTACAGCGCCTTCGCGACCAGTCTTTTCTCCCTCGTGAAAGCGCGACCCGTTCGAGGGACTCACCGATGGCAAGATATGCCGGCCCTTTGGTCACGGAGCGCCGTTCGAGGGCAGTGGGGGCGCAGGAACAGCGCGAGCTACGTGGCCGGAACCGTCGAGCCTAAAGCACACTTTGCGCGTGTCAAAGTTCGTACAGCGGACCTCGGCGGTGGCGAGGTTGATAATCAACTCCGCGTTTAGAACGAGACGAGCTTGGATCACTGTTCTGACTGGGGAGGAGTGGGTGTACGTCGACACTGGACAGGCAGGGGGGAGGCCGAATGGGTGCTTTAGCGCGCAGCTCGGTCAAAGCTGGTGGGGAAATGGGCACGGACCCACTCGAACTCAAGACGAGCGATCGAATCCACTGCAGCGCCGGCGGAGTGCGGTCAAAGCAGCTAGCCGCCTCACCAGAAAATTCCTAGGCGGGTCTGAAAAATTGCAATGTTGAACTTGAGTCTCATCCATCAAAATCTGAGACCAAGACATACAGGGCGATACGGAAGCCGGCGGTCCCGAGGGCGAGGGCTCCGGCTAGGCCTTCTCATCTGTCTCATCTGATATCATATGACCAAACGCGCTAAGTAGTAAAGAAGAGATGGGTTTGCTCCAAAAAGATAGGACGTGCGGTTGAAGTCGTCGGTGCAGAACAACCGACTGGAGTTATCGAGCCGAGGACGGCGACTCGAGGACGATCCGACGAGGCTTCACCTTTTACTGACACCCATAGTATCATCGGGTAAGGCAAACGACTAAGAGGTGAGCACGCTTCTGATTCAAGTCGATTCCATTTATACCTTTGACGCTGTAGCGGATTGGGCCCACGCAAAGCAAGCGAGCGATCGTTCGGTCACGTGCTGCGGAACTGCCGGCCCGGAGCAGTGTTCACTGTCGGTGCGAGTCGAAGGAATGTGGAGCTAGTCGTCAATGAGTCAATTCGAGATAGTAATGAGACTCCAGCGTAACGGCGAGGAGTAATGCTTGAAAGCCAGACCGCTGACACGCTGGTGCTGTGTGTTTCATGGTCGACATGGTCGCCATACTCGTCGAGAATTAAGGAGGGGGACGAGTCGGCCAGTCGGCCCCACCCCACCAAGCGGAGCAGCGGCAAGTTGCCGCCCTGCCGCCCGCGGGGAACGTAGCAACGACGACTTCCGCGAACGCCGTCGTTCTCTCTCTCTCTCTCTCCTCCCCTTCCATCAACTTCAACTCTGCAAATTCATAACTCGCTCAAAAATGTCCTACATTGATTCCCTTTTCGGTCTCTCGGGCAAGACGGCCCTCTGTACTGGTGCGACCAGGGGCATGTAAGTTCAACCACCTTGTCCACGCCGCCGTCACCGGTCCAAAAGAGCTTCCCCCAGAAACTGACTGGGAACTTCCTACACGTCCTTGCGAACCCCAACGTCGATTACGCACAGTGGTCAAACTATGGCGCTCGCTTTGGCTCGGGCTGGAGCTGATATCGTCCTCGTTCAAGTAAGTAATGAGATAGGGCTGGTCGTAGTCAGGCATGGGACGACAAGAGAAACGGGCGTCACCCCCCCACCAGATCAAGATTTCCCCACCCCACCCTTCTCGTTCGCCGTGAAACTTAAAGAATGCCCGACGCTGATCCATTCCCTCTCGCATCGTCCGCCTTAGAGGAACAAGGAGAACCTCGAGACGTACAACAAGATCAAGGCGCTCGGTCGACAAGTCGACATCGCCGTGTGCGATCTCAGCAACGACGTCGAGGTCAAGGGACTCGTCAAGCAGGTCGTTGGATCTACGTCCGAGGGCGGGTTGGGGAAGGAGATTGACGTTTTGGTCAACTGCGGTGGTATTCAGAGAAGGTACGTTTCGTCTCTAACCGCATGTGGTAGTTCAATGGGACGCATGCATCCGGACTGAATTTTTCCGAAACGCGCCTCCCCCGACCAGAACACCGGCCGAGAACTTCTCCGACGGCGACTGGAATGACGTCTTGCAAGTCAACCTCAACGCTGTTTGGACCTTGGCGAGGGATGTCGGGCGTCACATGTTGGAGAGCCGAGGTGGTGTGTCGGGAGAAGAGGCGCCGAAGACGGAGAACCCTCGCGGACGAGGCAAGATCATCAACATTGCCAGTCTCCTGTCTTTCCAAGGTGCGTTACGGAGGGTGTCGCAGCCTGGAGTAAATGAACTATCGGGGTTCTGACATGATTGAAATCCTCGAACGACTCTACAGGTGGTTTGACCGTTCCCGCTTACGCCGCGGCCAAGCACGGGGTCCTCGGTCTCGTGAGTTTGACTTTGTGCGGTTCTTCAGAGATCACATGGGCAGAGCTGACCTGGCGCATTTTCGAGGATTGTGTAGGGCAAAGCCTTGGCCAACGAATGGTCTGCCAAGGGCATCAACGTCAACTCGATCGCACCCGGCTACATTGCTACCGATGTTCGTCCTTTCTCCCCCTCTCTTGCCCCCCCTCTCTTTTCCCCCACCTCCAGCAGTCGTCTACTGGGGCCTTTTTGCTCTGCAGCAGCTAGAGGTCAATGGCTGACCTATTGGGGTAACCCTGAAACAGATGAACGAAGCCCTGATCGCGAACCCGACGCGCTCGCGCCAAATCATGGAAAGGATACCCGCGCAAAGGTGGGGGGCGCCGACGGACTTTGAAGGCGCGGTCGTCTTCTTGGCCAGTCGAGCGAGTGATTACGTTTGTGGGGAATGTATCACCGTCGATGGTGGATGGATGGGGAGGTAGAGTGGGGGGTAGTGATTGGCTTTGTATGCGGGTTACGGTGTGTGCAATCCAAGGATTTCATTGAGACGATTCTCGGCGACTTGGTTCGTGGTGGTTGGCTCTGCGGTTGCCCGTGCAACGCCGCGCCGAGGTGGGGCTCCCACATAGCGCTATAGCGCTAGGTCCGACCGACGACCTTTACCGAGCACGTTTTCTGGCCGTCATCAGATCACCGATAGGTACGATGTGGTGCGAATTTCTCAAAGAGTCTTCTCAATCGAGAGGCGCGTCCACGTAAATTGTGAAAAATGAGCCAGGAAAGAAGACATGCAAGAACGATGAGCCTTCGATCGAAAGCCTCGGATTCGGTGAAAGGACCGTGCGCGCAGAACCCCCGGCCGGGCCTTCCCTTGGACGCGAGCCTCGAGCTACGAGGTCCAACTTGTTTAAAGCGCCGAGACTGCTGTTCGCTCCTCGACCGCCATCCAAGGCACCACGAGTGACCCACCTGTGAGTTACGGTGCTTCATACTCCATGCTCGGGAAGTCGCATACTGATGCCGTGTCTCTGCCCGTTCCCGCTCGGCGCTGCCACTCTCGCGCTGCTGCCTCGTGTCGCTCTCCCTTGTCTCCTCTCGTTGGTGCACCAGACCACGACGACGACGAGCTCTCGTGCGAAGGCGCCCTGACGAGATGGGCGACGACCCACCGTCGTCTTCGTCGTGCTCCTCCCCTTCGCGTTATCCGGGATCGTTGCCGTCGTCACGACCGTCCTATACCGATGATCGCGCCGGTTCATCCACCATCGCCACCGCCAGCGCTAGCTCAAGCGCCAGTGGAACCCCGCGTCGACGCGGCGGAGGCGACACGACCCCGACTACGGCCACGACCACGACGACGACGACGACCGCGGGCACGACGCTCAACAGCCCAGGTTTAGCGAGTGCTTTCCGTAGCTCGTCCACGGCTTCCTCATCCTCGGCCTCGCCAAGGACTCCCGGGGCGAGAGCTCCACTGGCTCAATCGTACTCGTCGAGCTTCAACACGTCGTCGTCTTCTCAGGGTGCCGACCGAGCTTCGCCTGTCACCGAATCGACCACACGACGGCGGACAGCATCCACGTCCTATAGTCCGGGTACAACAGGGAGAAGGGGTACGAGGGGTGACTACGCTACCACGTCGACCTCTACGGTTCACCACACACCTTCCCCTTCGAGGTCGTCGGCGAATCCGGGCTCGGCGGACACATCGCCGAACGAGCGGTACGACTTTCCTTCGCTCGTCACGACGAGTCCACCCATGGGCTTGCACAAAGCGTCTCCGGTCGTAAGTGGCACTTCCTCACCCCGATCAAGCCCACGGGTGCGTCCAACGTCCAAAATGTCGCCCTCGGCTTCGATGACCGCCGCGCAGGAAACCCGATCAAGAGCTAGTCTCGGGTCCGGCTTCGCGGTGAGGAGGGGACCTTCACCACCGCCTTCAGTAACGTCGAGTCCGTCCGGTAGTTCGACCTCCGTTCGTCGTAAACCACCACCTTTGACGATCGAGTCGGGATCACCAAGGTCATTGCGGACCAAGGCTCAAGTGATGACACGCGCCGATTCGTCCGACAGCTCCGACATGGAGCCCTCGACGTCGGCTTCGGCGGCGCGAGGCTCGACGACAAGAAGGACACGTGAGGATTCGATCGGGATCGACGATTACGCCAACTGGTCGATGCCACCTGCAACGGGGACGCGTGACTCGGTCATCTCGACACCGGTGCGACCCCAACCGTCAACGTCAACGGGTGCCGCTCGGCCGCCACCACCGTCTGAATCGCATTCGTTCGCGAGCCCGGGTACACGTGCCGAGGAGAGGGATACACTGTCCGGTCTGGGCTACCATGGCGATAACCGTGCCGAAGCATCAACCTCGGGTCTTGCGCTCCCTTCCGCCTCGTCGTTGTTCGCTGGATCTGCCTCGACAGCTGGGAGTGATCCCGGCCTCGGTCTTTCGAGCTCTTTCTCAACGTCTCGTCTCGGTGCGGACTCCTCGACCGGCCACTCAACATCGTACACCAGTACATCGTTCGAGGCCACACCCTCCTCCTCGACCTTATCACGACGCCGAGATTCCTCATCTTCGACCTTGGCGCTCGATGCGTCGAGGAGCTCAAGCAGCATCAGCGGACCCGAAAGCCCCGTCACGGATCGGAGACAACTGATTGGGCTGGGGGAGCTGGCGACGCCGAGATGGACCAGTGGAGCTTCGGAGAGGAGGTGGGGTTCGATGGATGATGATCAGACCATGAGAGATATGGAGTACTTGTCGTCGAGTGTTCCCAGGGAGCCGATGGTACGTTAGCTTGGGTACGACGCCCAAAGCTTTGTGGAAGACTGTCAGCTGAACTCACATCTCACGCAGCCTGAATTCTCTCGGCAGCTCTCCTTGCACTCACCAGTAGCGGATCGGCAACCACTCGCAAGCCCACAACCCTCTGCTCCCGCGAGCGCACGCTCGAGCTCGTTCCCGGCCCAGCCAATGCATCCGACGACGCTTTTCCCCTCCACGGCTGGCGGGTCCAACTCGGGGTCAGGGACACCCGTTGATACTAGAGCTATCGACGATGCGAGGTTGAGCAAGGCATTGGCCGACGTGTCGTTGAGGGGCACCATCTCTTCGTCACCTCGTGTGCGCAGCACGCCCACGACTCCCTCCATCACGCGACAAGAAGCAGCTGGTACCGTCCGGTCGAACGACTCAGAGGTTCCGGCGTCAAGCACATCCACCTCGGGCGTATCGTGGCCCAGAAGTGAGCCCTTCGTGGGTCTCGGTCTCGACTATGAGAGCGGCGGAACACCCGGTCGGGGTGCGGGCGAGGTGGATGAGCAGGATACGCTGCGTCGAAGGACCTCGTCGAGTGGTCGACGAACGAGCAGTATCGGGGCCAAGACTTCGTCATCGTCCGCTGAAGGTAAATCGCCGTCACTCTCTTCCACGCCTCGGTCAAACACCGCCCATCGACGGTCCTTGACAGGAAAGAGTGGCGCATTTTCGCATCTGCCGCCTTCACCCGCTGCGTCGACGGCTGCACACGCCTTGGCCGCTTCTACCACATCTACTTCCGCGCCTCCTCCTCCGGCGCCTCCATTCGCTTCGACGTCCACTACCACCGCAAGCTCCGGATCGACGACATCGAGTCATCAGACCGCACCCCAAACGACCCCTGGGCGACCCACGGACCGCCTCTCGCACCAGTCGCTTAGCTCTCACCATGCGTCCCCCTCGATGGTCGCCGCCTCGATCCTCCGGCAAACGCAGAAAGCGGATTTGGGGCGGTTCGATATGCACGAAGCCGCTGCGGCAGACGAAGGTACGGCCGAAGCTCTACGCAAGCTCGATGGGCTGTGCTCGCCTAGGGTGTCGCGCGTCTTACCGGCCAAAGACATCGGCAAGGGCGTGCCGTCGGGATCCAGCTCGAGCGGACAGCGCAGTCGACAGAATAGTTTGAGTCGGCGCAATTCGGAAGAGCTCAGGATCAAGCGAAGGACACGCAACAGTGTTGCAGGAGTGCTGGCGAAGGAAGCCGAGAATGAGCCGTTACCAGGCGTTGATGCAGAGCGGCTCTCGACGCATCCGAGCAGCGAGGCGGGGACAACTCCTACACCCGCAGTCCCGTCGCCTTCGAGCCTCGCTCCCACTCCTTCGATGGCCGCCTTGGAGGCACCTCGATCGCCTTTGGTCGCCAGTTCGGGTGCTCCAGAGGTCTCGAGTGCTAGAACAGGCAGTAGTGCGTCGCCCGCGGCCGTCGCGACCCATGCCTGGCCCTCTCCAGCCACATTACGGACGCCGTCACATGTTTCGACCCATTACGATGTACCCTTTCCAAGTTCGAGCCCAGTCAACCGTGGTTCTTCGTCCTCGACGACAGGCGGCACCTTCACTTCGCACGAGTCTACGTCGGCGGCGTCCTTGTCGAGCTACTCGCTCGCGACCACGGCGCCTCGCTCGAGCTCATCCAAGAACCGACGCAGCAGCATGAGCAGCGACGTTTCGTCGGTCCCGAGCGTCACTGGAGAGGGTGGTGACGCGCGAGAGAGTGCCGGCGAGAACGACACCATGCGATATATACCCCCCGTACCGCCTTTGCCAAAGGACTTTGAGCTGTACCATCGGTCGCCCAACACCTTCACTACGACTTCGAGCGCGCAAAACTCGCCTCGGGCCGAAGCACCACCAGCACCAGCTCCGAACTCGACCCGCCCCTCGGAAAGCACGCATCTGCTTAGCCCGGGCCCGGGACATTTCGAGTTTCCTACGAGCGCGAGGACCAGTACGGGCATGAGCCCCACAAGCCCTAAAATGCATCCGCCCCCGCAGCCTCGCAAGTGGAGCCTTTCGAACGCGTTCAGCAAAGCTACGATGAAAGGTTCGAAAACCTCGGGGGTCAAGGAGTCGAACTCGTTCACGGACCTGGCCGCTACAAGTATCCGCAGTCGCAAGACGTCGACGACGAGCCGAATTTTTGAATCGGGCTTGCCCCGACGGATGGCGTCGTCGTCGAACGACATCGTGGGGCTCGCAGCCAGCACCAGCGGACCCAACTTGGCCCAGCCCCCGCCTGCTCCTAGCCAGGGCTCGTTCGGTCGATCGAGCCGACACCTCGCTGCGATTGTCACGTCTCGCCAAAGGACGGTCAGCCAGAGCAGCAGCTCGATCCAGTCAAGTGTGAGCGTCGCAAACCCTTCGGTCATCGCGACCAGTCCCGGCCGATCCCGGTCCAGTCTGCTTAGCCCTCGGCGGACACCTTCTGGGATCCCCTTCTTCTCCAAGAGCTCTGATCAGGCCCCTATCTCGGCCACGACACCTTCTCCCAACTCGGAGCAGTCGCCACGCACGAGCACGCCCCCCTCGAGCAAAAGTGCCGGTCGCAAGTCGATCCTCGGTTTTCACTTTTTGCGCAAGGACAAGGATCGTGACGCGAAGAAGGACAGCAAGAGTCCGGCGTCGTCTCCGCTTTCAAATGCCACGTCTAGACGCGGCAGCACCGCTTCCTCGGTATTTGCGTCGGCATTCGACGAACCGAGGGTCACGGACGAGTTTGGTCGTCGGACCAGCATTGCGTCGACGTTTGCGAAATCGACCAGCACGGGTCCACGAAAACGAGGCAACGTGAGTAAAGGCCTCTTGTCGTCTTCTGCTTTGAACTGAGCTGATCCGACTTGTTCTACCTTCCGAGAAGCAGACGCTCAGCATCGTCAACAACAGCAAGCCTGCCGAGCGTGCCTCGAGGACACAGGCACAGCTACCACCGCTTCACGTTCCTGCCCTGTCGGCCACCACTGCTCGACGCATCGATTCTTTGAGCTCCGTTTCGTCGACCTCGTCTGCATCCAAGACGGGATCGCTCGCCCGCGTACCTGTACCCACGAATCGGATAAGCAAACTGCAGGATTCGGTCAAGGCCAATCTGCCGCCTATCGTTGGTTCTCCCTCCTCTCATGCGGTGCCGTCCGTCTCACGCACCTCGTCAAGCTCGCAAAGGTATCAGCAGCACGAGCAGTGCAGTCGGTCGCCCAGTCGGTCGCCTGTGCCCAAGTCGCAAACGCCGACCAAGATCCCTCGCTTCGGTACGCGACCATCGACCGCCTCGACGGATCGTGCAACGCCTCGAGGACCGATCTCGCGCGATACCTCGCCTGTCGTAGATATGGGCCACAGCGGATCGCATTCTGTCTCGCGTCACGGGTACTTGTCCAAGACCGTCACGCCCGATCTATCCCATTCGACTGCCTCGGACGCACGAGCCCCCTCGATTGGAGCGAGTGAGTTCGGCGCTGCAACGAAGCGCGAACCCGGACTAACTGCCGGCGTGAAGACATTGTCCACTCGTCGGCGGCTCGATTCGGAATCGCACATCCCTCGCAGTCGAAGCACGGCTCTGGCCGCGTCGACGAACACCGTTCGCACGGCGAGAGAGGATCCGATCACCGCGTCCCAGGCATCGACTTCGATCCATTCTGCTCCTGCGCCAGTACCACGAGCAACGCGTCGACACTCGATCATCAGTGTCGACGACGGCAAGATCGCTGCCACTCCTGCCCGAGTTCACCCTCGTACGACCTCGCTTTATTCGTCGACGACCAAATCGAGCGGATCTCTTGACCCGTCGACCCTGAATTCGAGTACGTCGTCGCGCAAAACCCTGCCCAGGACGTCGGAGCTCGCCACGGGCAGTGTCAACAAACGATCGGCCCATGGATCCTTGGCGTCCTCGACGGCTTCGGTCGCCGAGTCGTCGACGCCTGCGTCCGCGTCCACTCTGTCGAGCTCTCGATCGTCGAGAACATTAGCGACGAAACTCGCACTGCCTTCTCGCATATCTCGCTCTTCGACCTCGCCGTCGCTATATGCCGAGCATTCGAACGACTCTGGTCGGTCCTCCGCAACCAGCTCCCAATCGACGGTCGTGACCGAAGATGAGGTGCGAGGAGATGAAGAGATGTCGGCCTACGTGCGACGACAGCAAGCCAAGCGACTTGCGGCGGGAATGACGAACGATGCGATCCGCAAGATGTTCGAGTTCCCCGAGCCGACTCAGCCATTGCCTCCTTTGAGCCATCGCGATGCCTTGTCCCTGTACTCGCGCTACCTCTCACAATACGAGCGACAAGAAATTCGCGAGTACGAGAACGTCTACTTTGTCGGACCCAACTGCGACAAGAAGCCGGCCACGCTCGAAAACACAACGAACAACCACGGCTACGATGACGAACGTGGCGACTACCTGCTTGTCAACAACGACCACATCCGATATCGTTACGAGGTCATCGATGTGCTCGGCAAAGGATCTTTTGGGCAGGTGCTGCAGTGCCGTGACCACAAGACGGGAGAGATGGTCGCGATCAAGATCATCCGCAACAAGAAGCGCTTCCACCATCAGGCCTTGGTCGAGATCAAGGTCTTGGAGAACCTCGTCGAATGGGATCCCGAGGAAAAGCACTTTGTGATCCGCATGGTCGATTCTTTCACGTTCCGCGGCCACCTGTGCATCGTCACCGAGTTGCTCAGCATCAACTTGTACGAACTTGTCAAAGCCAACAGTTTCAATGGCTTTTCGACGATCTTGATCCGAAGGTTCACGATCCAGATCTTGGGTTCCTTGTCGCTATTGCGTCATCATCGGGTCGTACATTGCGATCTCAAGCCCGAGAACATCTTGCTCAAGCACCCGGCGCGAAGTGGGATCAAGGTCATTGACTTTGGGAGCAGTTGCTTTGAGAACGAGAAGGGTCAGTGCAAGCATTGGACACGGTCCCTACATCGTTGAGTGGTATCACTGACGCATAATGGTCCCATATTGCAGTTTACACGTATATTCAATCCCGCTTCTATCGCTCGCCCGAAGTGATCCTCGGCATGAATTACCACATGGCTATCGATGTGAGTTCCAGCGACTCTCGTCCGGTCTAAGCTTACTGACGAGATTTGATGGTCCTCGCTGCAGATGTGGAGCCTGGGCTGCATCATCGCCGAGATGTACACCGGGTACCCAATCTTCCCGGGCGAGAACGAACAAGAACAACTGGCGTGCATCATGGAGGTAATGGGCCTGCCTGACAAGTACCTCATCGACCGTAGCTCGAGGAAGCGACTCTTCTTTGGTGGGTTGGCCTGGATTTCCGTCGCACAGAATACCCAAGATCTTTTGCTCATGTGCACGTCTCGATCATCACACAGACTCGACCGGTGCTCCCCGTCCTGTCGTCAACTCGAAAGGTCGACGCCGCCGTCCTGGGACCAAAACGCTTGCTCAGGTGCTCAAGACGGATGACGAGCTCTTCCTTGACTTCATCACCAAGTGCTTGACATGGGACCCTGATCGTCGTCTCAAACCGGATCCGGCCTTACGTCGTACGTCTAAAAAGTCTAACTCATAGTGGTGGAGCTTTTGACTGATCACGATCTCCCTTTAACCCTTCCTAGATCCGTGGATCGTCGCCGCTCGAACTCGAGCTACCTCCCCCACGGCACCGCCTCGCACTTCTCGCTCCTCCACCGCGACCGGATCATCGATGTTGAGCGGCCCCAGCTCCACAAGCACAACAACGAGCTTAATTTCGACCCCTCGCAAAAAAGTTGGCACGATCGCCTCCAGCAGCAATACCGCGCCCGTCCAACGTACCCGTACGCATTCAAGCGTCACGGTCTCGAATACGATCGGCGTGACGGGTGCTTCCGGGGCTCCTCGTTTAAGCTCGAAGGGATCGTTGCAGTTGCCGCCTTCGAGAGGGTATTCAACCGTTCGCGCTTCGGTGGCCTAAGCGCTCTTATGCCTTATCTTGCAACCCTTCCTACGATCCTTTACGTCCTCACGTCACAACTTGAGCTCCACCCCTCTTCTTCGAGTTGTCGCTAGATTTTCTTTTTTCCTTCTTTCTTTCTGCCCCGCTGGTGTTGGTTACCTTCTTCTTCTTCGAATACGACGTATTTCTGTGCTCCTCTCTCGTAATGACTCTCTCCAAGTCCTCTTTGCAAACACCAAGTCTCCTCATCTCGATCTCTCTCGTCATGCCAAGACTCGTCGTCGATGGGCTGCTCTGTTGACTGCTTGATCTTCATTGCGCACAATCGTCCACGAGTATTCGTCTCCTCAAGCTTAGTACTTGTATCTTGTCGAGTAATCTGCGCAAGACCCATCGGGCAAACGAAAGATTGATAAGCACTCCGAGTTCAACCCAACTTCGACCCTTTAACGAACCTTTGGGCGAAACGACCAGACCCCTTCCTTTCGAAGCCCCTCGATAAACGGTCTCGATGATATCGATCAACTGTACGCCGCACGAGCAAAACAAAGCACCAGAGCGTCAGTCTGCTGTCGTCCCTTTTCAGAGGCGGGTTGTCTGCGTCTTCCACCGTACTTCTTGCTTGTTCTCCATCGCCCAGTTGATCTTGTTGTTGTTACCCGTACCCAGATCGATCATGATGTGTTTATTTCGAAAGAAGAACCTGCGGTGATGAGAGTGGGATCGGCCAAGGCAAAGGGTTTCTCAACGTGAGGCAAACGATTGTGTGGAGGCAATCATGTTCTAGTCCAGGGTGTCGGTTGGAGAAAGAGCCTACATTGTTGTGCAAGGGTCGTACAGTTCGTACATCTGCTCCGAGAAAAATAATACCTCCCTCGGCACGAATCGTCAGCCTCAAGCCTGCTTCTCGAGGTGGGGCCCCAATCCGGAATCGAAAGGCACAGCTTCCTTCGGTTCCGATGGAACGCACTTTTGTGAAATCGGGTACTTTGGTGATGTCGCATGTGTCTATGCATGAGAAATTGAAAAATGTTTGCCTGTGCTCCCGGTAATGTAGGGCCATGTCCCCGTATCGGACGTACAGATGACGGCAAAGTTCTTGACCTTCTCCGATACGCCCAACAATGTTTCGTCCATGGTCATACATGCCGGGTCCTAGATCGATTACCAAAACAAACTTCAGTAAGATTCGTCATATTCCATGATGGTCATTCCCACGCCCGACCACCAACACCAGCACATCTCGTCCAGCTCTCTCTCTCTCACTGTAACTGACCCAATCATGCCCGAACCGGATGATCACGACGCGGTTCTCCTCGGCCATGATGGCTTGGTCGACGTGCCAGCCTGATTCGAGTTTGGGCAGGAAATACGACATGATTCAGGGACAAGGAGGGGAACGACGCGGCGCCGGTCAGAAGTGGATGAGATAGCAAATGGAGGTGGGAAAGCCAGTTCAGGGAAGGTAGACGTGTCGAGTATGGCTGTACGGGCGCAAGTTAGGCCTGAGTGGACGAAATCGAGTCTAGTTGAGGGGATGAATGTTTGGGATGGAGTGAGCCGAGCGAGAGAAAGTCAGGGAACGTCGACGAGCGCGAATGTGCGCGCGCTGCGACGTGACTTGCGATTTGAATCTATCTGAATGAATTGGCCGCTCTCTCGTGATCATGACTTGGACTTGCAGTAGGCTCGATGCTTGAATCTTGGCCGGTGCAGTATTCTTCGGACTTGCTAACGGGACTCATTTACTTATCTCATTGATTCCTAAGGAATCTGGCTGGATTTTCCGTCGAGAATCTTGATTGCAAAACTACCCGGCTCGCGAGATAATCGAGTGCTTGAAAATCCAACCTTCGCCATCTATACATCCAAGACGTAGAGAGCCTGCTTGGAGATGCCTAATCCATGTTGTTGTTGTTTTGTGTGGAGCAAATGAACCGTCACCTAATCAGGCCAGATAAGACCAGTATATGCGAAATCACATGACCGCGACTTTGGCCATCAACTCAAGAAGCACATTCTGCGCCTCAAACGGTAGATCCGAGTCCTTGCCAATCGTCTTGCACAAGTCCGTAATGACCGAGGACGTCTTAACCTCGGACCAGTTGCGAACAACGTACTCGATCAGTTTTTGTCGAACCTCTTCGTGAGCGTAGCACCACTCTCGGAGTAGCTCGAGGGCAGCCCGGGCAGGGGTCAGATGTTCCAGACAAAAGTTCAAGGCAAGGGCCGAGAGCTCCGGGAGTTGGAGGTAGTGGGAGAGCGAGTAGACGGAAGAAGCCTGAATGGCGTTTGAACATGGCGCAGTGGCTTCGATGTCCGAGGGCTGGGCCGAATTTCCGATCGAATCGTCGAACCGGATGAGCCCAGTACGAAGCCAGACGAACACCGCATGATACTCCTCGAGGCGTCCTTTGATCACGTGGACCGTACGCGTTGGGACGCTGCATTGCTCGGCATCGACAGGCTTCATAATACTTTCCGAGAATCCCGCGGCAAAGAGATCGGCAAAGTAGGCCGATTGTGAAGCCAGGAACTCCGAGCTCTCCCATAGATCTCCCGCGGATCCGAACGCAAATCGGACGTTGAAGGGATGGGCGGTCGAGTGAATCACTGCAAGGATCTCCACCTGAAGAGGTCAGATGGTAGACTAGGCTGAAACCGATGCAGGAAAGAATCACCCTGATCACTCTGTTGAATCTTGCTGCAAAGCCGCATGAGCGTGGCTTGATGCTCCTGCTGACACTCCTGTAGCGCGATGCGCGCCAAAGTCGCTCCTTTCTTGGCGAGCTGAGCCTCAATGCCCTTGCGATACGCCGAATCGGCCTCGTCTCCCTGCGAATTTACTCGAAAGATGACTACGCAGAAAGACTCGTCGTTTTTACCCAAATTTGCCCACTGAGACAATCTTGGCACGTTCCAGTCCAGTTGCAAGTCGCATTGAACGCTCAAGACGAAATGGTGCGAATGGTAGCATTCCGTTCGATCGGCGGACCAAATTTCGCAGGTGGCGTTTCTGAGCTTGAAGTGCTTCAAGTTGTGGTCGTACGATCGGAGCTCGCGTGAGCTCAGATCTGCTCTGTGCAAAAGCTCCAGTCGAAAGTGGCCGGAATTATCGAAGCACAATGCCATGCGACCCGGGTCCAGAGGATAGAAAGGGGGCGTCTTCCACTGTTCTCCACTCCCCAAAGACGCCAGTTCACTGAGCTTCAAAGTCCAGGTGTGGATACCATGATAGACGAACATGTCGATGCGAGACGCAGTGTCGAGAAGAATGGACAGAAGAAACAGCCGCCTCCGGATGTTCCTGGGGTACGAACGCGGAACAAAGATGTTCGAATCGGTCCGGGACGAGCCCTCATGATCAGGTGCGGCAGCGCGGTGTAGTGAATTATCATTCGACACTCCTGTTCCAACAGGCAATTGAGCCGAGTGGCCGCCGTTTGGGCAAAATGAACAGGCGTTTGGGCAAACAACCGGGCGTTTGGGCAAAAGAAAAGGGCTCGGTTCGCCAATAGGGGCGCACCTGCGCTGCACTGCCCACTGATGCGACAGGTTCAGCGGTCTCCAAGTGTTGCATGTACTGCACTGACGGCAAGAAAGAAAGTTACTTTGAACAGTATGCCCAGGAAAGGGTCCTTCTTTGGCGCGACGGGCGATAATAGTAGTTGAACGCAGCTCCTTCCTTTCGAATGGCGTTGGGCGCAGCTCCTTTCTTTCAAATGGCGTTGGGCGCAAACGGTCGTTCTTGAAACCACCGCTGGGAGTCGGCCTTGTGAGATCTCGGCGTGCCCTCCGAATAGGGGAGCTCAGGAGCAAAGCTGCCTGTAGGCTTTTAGAAAATCTTAGGTAGGTTAGTGGACTCTGTTCCTACTCGAGACCATCATCGGCTTTGTGCACCGGGACTTCTCGCGATGCGTGTAAAGTATGACGAATGCCCACGCTCGGTGGGTCATTGCTAGTGGCTTCTCACGGTGGAACCGAGATACTGCCTTGGCGACCACCTGAATATCACCGCTTATCCATTACTTGCTACACTATAGCATGTATACCACCCCGGATGCGACTGACACCACTAGTATGCCACTTCCCCGGCCCTTTCCGGTCCGGCTCCGAGCCGGGTTCTCTAGGAAGACCTGACCATAACTCCTTCCATCCATCAGACCACATTCGGCATTTCACCTATTCAATCTTTGGAACTATAGTCCTGCTCGACCGCACCAGTCAAGCTCGTCAAAGGTGGTCGTTTCACCTCATCGCTCCCTTCTGAATTCTTGACTAGTTCACCAACGAGGATTGCCAGCTGAGCGTTCGAGTCGGTCAAGAGAAGGAAAGGACATCAGTCTTAAGTCCCAATTCCCTTGCACTATATTTTCTATTCTCAAGCAACTCACAGCAGCTTCGATCGCATCCAAGCGCTTCGTAATTTCTCCGTCCTCCTTCACCCCACCTCCACCACCGACAACGCTCTTCCCCGCGTCCCCTTTCCTCTCCTCGTCCTTCTTGGAACCAGATTTCGTCCCCGCGGTCTGACCCTGCGTGACGTCAAACATCCTCGCCAAAGGGGATTGCAAGCTCCCGATCCTCGAATTCCTCTTCGACGGTCCGACTTGTCGTGACCGAGGGCTTTCCGAACGACGCGCCTGTCCGTTCGTGGGCTGTTTCGGAGTAGATGTGGGCGTCGTCTTGCCTTCGTCAGTGGTCGTGGTCGGAGGGGTCGTCGTCATCGCTCCCCTTCCTCTCCCTTCTCCTTCCCCTTCCCCATGCTCCCCTTCTTCATCCCCTTTATCGATCGACTCAACCCTCAAAGCCAACGATGTGACCTCCCTCTCAAAGATATTACCGACCCCATCAACAGTCGATTCCCATCCTACCCAAGACCCACTCAAAGGTAAAGCTCGCCAGACTCTCTTGGACGTCGAAGCGAAGGAAAAGAAGAAACCTCGTTGGTGGTGTCGGGCTCGGGTGAGGATGGCGAGAGCTCTGTGAGGAAAGGTGAATCAGAAGAAGAACAGGGGGGGTTGGGGAGATGAGATCAATAAAGCCCAAGACAATCGAACGGAGTCCTTTCCGAACGCGCTCATGCGACGTACAGTAAAACAGGCAAATTCAACACCTTGGTCAACGCGACGTGACCCTTATGTAAATACCTCGGCGTCGCGATTTTCCTCGAAGGGTACAGAATCACAAATGCGACCAGATTCAACGGCGCGACGTACGACGTCAACGCGTCCGATTTGACCCGTTCGATCGTACGCAGGGCCATTTGGTTCAAGAGTTCGGTTTCGGCGTTGCCTTGCACGGCGGCGAAGGTGTTGGAGAGGAGGGAGATGAGGATGGTCAAGAGGAGGGTTTGGGAAAGGACGGCGAAGGCGACGACGAGAGCGGGACCATAGTACGGGTCGAATTGTTGGGCCGCTTCGAAGCCGAGGAAGGAGTTGCCTACGTCAACGTCATGCGGAAAGGGGTTTCACAAAGAGTCAGCTGAAGATCGATCTGGGTAGGCGTGCGCGGTCATCTTGGAAGTGGCAGGAACGTACCCAACCAAATTTTGAGCAACAACCACGAGATATGTCCAACGTCCCACTGCTCCGCCCCTCTCGCCTTGGCCAAGACGTAGAACGTCGCGACGAATCCACTCGCCGTAAAAGCGACGAGGATCATGAACTGCAAGAATTGTTGCACCATAGCCGACAAAGCCAAGAGGACGACATTGTCCCTCAACAAAGAGATCGTCAACCTAGGGAAGAGGATACATCCTCCCAGGGATAAAGTCGCGAAAGCGAATTCGGACCTCGCTTCATCGCCGATCCAAAGACCATGAAGACGCATGCCGAGGAAGAGGAAGAAGATGGCGCAAAAGACGGCGTCCATGACGTTGTAGGCGCCAAGGGAATACGTCGTTAGACCGTTTTCGGTCACGGAGGCGAATTCGTCGAGGGCGAATCCGAGGGCGAAGAAGATGAAGAGCGCTTCGACGGGTTTGATGTGTGTGTCCGAATGGGTGAGGAGCGTGACGAGGAAGAGAATCATGAGGCATCCAAAAGAGAAGAATTCGAGGCGGTTGCGAATTTGAGGGACTCGGAGCAGCGCATGGTCGAGGAACCTGAAAGCCGGGGATGAGGGACCAGCTGAGTGTTGACCTCTCGTCTGAAAGTTTTCAGACCCGTACTTACGGCTGCGTGCGCCAGTCGTAGATGGTGACGACGGGTTTGGCCTTGTAGTCATCCTTGATGATGGACCTCGAAGCCGGTGGGGCGTAAAGCACCTCGCCCTTGTAAATGGCCCTCACGACCTGTTGCACCAACGGACTCCTCACGAACCGCTTGGCCTCTGAAAAGATGCCCAACTCGAGCGCGTTCTCCCTCTGCCTCTGACCCCATTCGTAGAGCCTCTTGAGTTCGTCTTCGTCGACGCCTTCGCTCTGCTCGAACATGCCTTGCGTTGCGCCTTGGTAAGGGTTGAAGGAGGCGGTGAGGACGTGTAAGAGGTCGTACGAGGTCGGTTGGTTGCCATAGACGGACAACATCTTGACGGCGAGCAATTCGCAGAGATCTGCGCGGGTCGTGTTGAGAGCCAAGAAGGCGAGATCGTCCGAGGCGACGGCGAGGAAGTGGACGCGGCAAACGAGGAGGGCGTAGATTAGGGGTGAGGGGGGTCGATCCCCTCGGGAGAGTTTGAGGGTCAGGGGTCGCACGAGGGAGAAGTTGATGGTCGGGCTTTTGAGTTGGTCGTAGCTGAGCACCGTGTCCTGTTTGGAAGATGGACCGAGTTGGGTTGAGGGAATACACTAGAGCTTTGGGAACGATTACTCACTATCACGTCCACAATCTCTGATGCGACCCGATGCACGAGCGGGAACACGGGCTCTTCGGCTGAAGGCAGTGCAGTCGCCGGGGTTCCAAGTGGGGGACGGCGGTTCCGCAGCAGCGACGTTGTAAGAAGCGGAGAGATGAGCTCAATGCCATGCCCAGGCTAATGCGCGATGAGTGGCTGCTCACCAATCTCTTGCAACGTCCTGGAATTGCCCAACAAAGGAATGTTCTCCTCGTGCTGAATCGACGCGGCGGAACGCGGGTGAGGATGCGAAGAATCCTCTACCGGACTATCGACGAGACTGCTCGTCATGCCCGTAGTATGAGCAGTGGAACCAGTTGATTCGGCAAAAGAGGTGGTCGAGGCTGCGTTTGCGGTGGAGAGTGCGTAGCCGGCGGATTTGATGGACACCATATCCGATTCGAGCGCGGGGTTAGAGAGCAGCCGGGTCCACGTGACGCGACGTGTGCCACACGGGCTGCGAAGTGGGTGCGGAGATGGGGCGGAGGTGGAGCAGCCTACCGGATGCGACCTACTTGACGCCGGGAGGGGGGCCGAAAAAGGACAACAAGTGTTGACCGTAGTAACGAGCGGGAATGAGCTGAAACACGGACTGCGGAGGCGCACGTGGATCGATTCCAGCCGCGAGACTCGTCATAGCCTGTCATAGCTCGTCATTACTCATCGCTCTCGCGCGCCGAAGCGACGACGACTTGGCAAGTTCCCGTCACGGCGGTCTCCTGGTTCCTCCTCGTTCTTTCGTTCAATCGTCTTTTCGGTCATGTCATTGAGCAACATCTGGACCGCCGCTTCCGAAGGCAACCTTGATCGAGTCAAGCATCTCATCGAGAACGAAGGTGCGCACTCTTTCCCGCCTCTGACCCTGTGCCCTCCCAATCCGCTCACGAACCCCCCACACTCTTGCGCCACGCACTCGTATCATCCAGGTTTGTCCCCCAACGCCTTTGACGACAACTCGTACTCTCCCCTCCACGCCTCAGCCTCGTGGTCCCACCCCGAGATCCTGCGCTACCTCGTCCAAAAAGGTGGCGACATCAACCTCGCCGACGAGGATGGCGAAACGTGCCTCTTCGTCGTCGAGAACGTCGAGATGGCGAGAATCATCGTACAAGAGCTGGGGGGCGATTTGAATAAGAGGAACAATGAGGGGTTGACCGTGCGTGGTCAACACATCCAGCACACTTTTTTTGCAGAGTATGCCGACTGACCTGGAGGAATCTTCTTTTCCTTTTTCACAGGCCACCGAACACCTGCAAGAGGACTACCCCCACATCTCACTCTACCTCCGATCCCTCATCGACCCTTCGATCGCATACCCACCCACGAATGCAACAACAACCACACCAACAAATCCAGACGGCGAGGACGTGCCCATGTCTACTAGCACCGAAGGGGGAGAACCCGATTTGGATGCGCCGACGGACGCTCTGCTCCTTCGCGTAAGAGACATCATGCAAGCTTCCGAACGAGGCGAATTGAGTTCTCAAGAAACCGACGATAAATTACGGGGAGTGGTCGAAGAAGCTGTGGCGGGGCAGGTCCAGGTTGGGAGGGTGTTGGGGCAAAGTGGGGTAGGCGCGACGCAAGATTTGACGGGGTCGGTGAGGTCTAGGTTGCAGGTTGATGCGAATGGGGAAGAGATGGAGCCCGAGGTAAAGAGGACAAGAGCTGAACCTGAGGGGAGATAGATAAGTGGGGCTCGGATGCAACGTAGGTTGTAGACCAGGCGACACATTCAGGAGGTTGGCGAGCCGACGAGCGTCATGGTCCAAGCGCACTCTGAAGCTTTGCAAGTTGAACGCCGACTTCACAAAGTCTGCGGGTGCAGCATGCTGGCACGAACAAAAAGACAAGCGGTTTAGGCAGCAAACGTACCGGATGGGAATGAAGTCAAGTTGAGCGTCTTCGTTATCTCTCTTCGCGACTCGTTCGCACGGGGTCCGAGTCTCCACCGCAGGTCACGCGCACGCCGAGCTCGCTCCTCTCCACTCCAACTCGATCTCGTCCTCATCAGCACCCTTTTGCACCAGCCCATACCCCATCCGACAACGTTCCAAAATGTTGCTCTGCGTCGCCTGTTCCGCGACGCTCGACTCATCGACTTGCAGCGTCCCTTCCGACTCTGAGAAGGTCTTGCCTCCACATCATTTCGTCGAGTGCGGGCATGCGGTGTGTGGTGCTTGTGTGGCGCAGAGACGCTCGTTGGCGAGCGTGAGTGCGAGCACTGAGACATTTGTGTGGCGTCAGAAGGGACTGCATGAACTGAAAGCTTGGTTTGATTTGCGTGACAGGCTTGCATCATGTGCAGAACGACACATGACATATTGACCGGCGGCTCCTCCTCCGGGTCCCGATCCGCAAGGCATCGTCGACCGGGAACCGACCCAACGAAACCCACGTCGTCTTCAACACCACCCAAGGCGACAGCTGATGATCGAGCACCCCCTTCTTACAATGAGAGAGGCGACAATGGCTTCACCCTTGGTGAGCTTTCCCATGGTGAAGATGCCACATCCGACCGAGACGCGGCGCCCCCACCGATCGACGACGACGATTCGCACTCTCCCCCCACTTATCACCAAGTGGCGGCGCCACCTGGTTTCGAGGGCGGGGTGATCACCAACTCGGATGGGAATCAGACCAACGAAAAGGGGATGCACGGCGAACAATGCACTTTGCACTATCTCAAACCGAACGACACTTTGCTGGGTTTAGCATTGCATTACAAAGTCGACGTGAGCCATCGACCCGGAATTTGCCTTCCGCGTCTCTGGACTAAATTCTCTTACTCCGACGACCTTTTGGCCAGCCCCCAACCCTAGCCAAAATGAACAAGCTCCCCATCTCGACCTTATCCACCACACCTCAACTCTTACACACCCTCCCCTTCCTATTCCTACCTCCCTCCGTCACCTCGTCCTCGTCCTCCAAGCCGATCCTCCCCGCCGCCGAAGAACGACGTCGTCTCATCATCCGTCGGTTCCAAATGCATACGCGGTGTTCCGACTGGGCCCTAGCCAAAGCTTACGTTGATCAAGTGTACCAAGCACGCGCTCGAGAGCTAGAGATGATCGATCCCGATAGGAGGCCGGGAGGGGACATGGAGGAAACGGTTCGGGGTGGGGAATTGGAACAAGCGCTCGAAGCATGGAAGAAGGATGAGGAATGGGAGAGGAGTCAAGTTGAAGCTTCAAAGAAGGGGAAGGGGAAGGGGAAGGCAGAGGTTACGATCGGGAGTAGGATGAAGAGTACGGGGCAGGTCGAGGCCAAGGTCAAGGGGTGGAGTTGGCCGAGGTGAGAGCCGAAAAGGCGAATAGTTTGTGCGCTCGGATAGAGCTTTTGTTCTGTGTCGCCACTTCTTTGTTGTCTTGTTCTCCAACCCGCAGTACAGTCTTGTCCTGTGATGGGACTTGAGATCATCTTCTAAGACCTTCATGATCAAAGCGATGCCGAACTGGACTTGTTCATCGAGAAGATCAATCCGAGAAGGTCGTTCTCGACGCCTTTCCGTCTCCCCAATGCCGACGTGCGTGTCTTGGAAATGCGAAAATAGGAACCCTGCTGATTACAAAGAACGAAGAACTGGTCGTACACGTGTATCCTCGAGAGGGGTCCTTTGCCCTCGTCGTTCGAACCTTCGCCGCTCTCCTACCCTCACGCCCCCTTGCCGAACTCCATCCGCATTGAAGTGTATGTTCGAGCTCTGCCCACAGCCCCCAAAACAATCGCATCAGCCTCACCTCGCTCACCCGACCCCAGTCCCAACCTATCAGTCCAAGCCAGACCCACTTGAAGTGCCACGTACCGTCCCCCCTCCCCCTTCCTCCCACCTCCAAACCTTCTCCCCAATCCCTCCCAGTCAGTCCCATTCCTCACTTGCGCTCCCTCTCATTCTCCCTCTTTGCATTCACTTCAACGAATTGAAACACCACGATCAACAACACGGCGACGATACCGAGCGTGTTGGATAGGGAGGTGAGGAACGTGTCCGAGATCGGGGACCTGCGTTTGTATGGTAGGGAATCGAGCGGTCCAGTTCAGTTGGGGCATGGGAAGGAGAGTTCAAGTTAGAGAGTGCTTACATTGCTGTAGTAGACCTTCCTGGATTGGTGGTTGTGGGTGGGTGGAAAGGAGAGTGAGTGGAGAGAGGAGAGGGCTGGACTGCACGCGAGGAGACGTGTCGCTCGCGCTTGGACCGGGTGGGGCTGGGTGGGGGGCGGGGGGGGGGGGCTTGGGTGCCGCCTGCCAAGACATGCGTTGGCGCTAGCATGGTCCAAGTTGGTGGCGCGCGGTCGAAGACATTCACTTGAGAACAAGAAACTATGTTATGTGCACAAGCAGATATAAAATAATACATCGAATCTAGAAGCTCTATCCGAAGCGCATTCCGGAAAAATTCCGGAAAAATTGAGCGATCCACCTCCGGATAAACTCCGCTCGGGTCACCAGCACAGTTCTACGAACTATTGAGCTTCTCACTCAACTTGGCCTGACGAAGCAGCGCCGCCGGCGCATCTTGACGGTCCATCTTGACCTGCAACAACTGGAACACGTCCGCCTTGGCGAATTGATCGTCGGCGAGGATCGACTCGAGTTCGCCCCGAGTCTGGGCGAGGTACGAGCGCGTCGGGATGTTGTTGCCGTTGAAAAAGGAGAGCATCTCTTGCCATTTCCACGTTGCGATGTCGTTGCTTAGAAGGCGGGAAGATGGGGTGCCCAGCGAAAATCAGGAACAGGAGATTTGGAGGCGCCACAGGTGACAAGAAGGACTCACTAGACCCTGTCCTCGCCGTGAATCTTGCGTTCAATCACGTAACCATCATTATCGAGTAGGATGATGATAGGCTTGAGATCATGACGCAGCATGGTCGAGATGTCTTGTACGGTCAATTGGAGCGAGCCATCGCCGATGAAGAGAAGGGTTCTGCGAGGAAAGCCGGCCTCCCTGGCGGCCAGGCAAGCACCGAGCAATGCTCCGCCAGCCCACCCAATTGACTGTAACACATGAGGCAAGATGGAACTTAGTATTCTATATTTGAGTGAAGCCTGAGCCCCAGACTTACGCCATAAAGCGTCTGCGAGATGTACGTCGCGCCCTTGGGCAAGGGCACATCAAGGAAACCGAACGAGGAGGTGCCCGTCTCGGTGAGGATGATGTCATTCTCTTGCAAAAACTTGCCCCACATGGGCCAGAACGCAGCTTGGGTGACCATCTCGTCCGCAGGACTGTCCGGGATCTTGAACGCCTGGCCTGCCGAGGCGTCTGTCTCTTCGACCTTCTTTGGCTTGAGACTCTTGGCGAGAGCTGGCAAGATGGTGTGGAACGAGACTGTGTGCGACCACGCAGTTATGTAATTAGTCACAGCACATGATATGCAATCGTCTATTTAAAGCTTACCAGTAGGGTAGTTGGCGTATTGCACCGACACCCTATCAGAATGACTGCGCAACCATGGTATGGATCATATCGTCAGCCAGTTCCTCGAGGAAGGTCTTCCCGGACCACAGAAGCCATACTCACAGTTCAATCTTTTCCTCTTCCCCGATGACTTGACTGAACTCTCCCGAGTTGAAATCACTTTGAAGCGCGCCGACAAAGATCTTGAGGTCGGTCTTTTCGAACGCTTCCTTCACACTCTCGCACGTAATCTCTCCGACGTAAACACCGGCAAACCCTTTCGAAGGATCCTCATCAAGCGCTGATTTACCCATGGGCGTGGTGTAGTACTTGACCTGGGTGGCTTCGACGAGATCGCGAACGAGGTGGGTCACACCGTAGCGGATCGCGCATGCATCAATGAGGATCGTCGGGTTCTTGGCCGCGTCCCACAAACGGGTGATCTCCTTGGTGACAAAGTCGACGACCTTCATCTTGGAGTCGTCGATCTTTTCGCCCGAAGGAAGCATCGTCTTATCTTTGGTCGAGAACCCGTCGGGGATGACAGGCGTTTCAAGCCTGGATGCATCGACGGGACTGTGAGAGCAGAGCGGCCACCATCAGCTCGAGAGGACAATGAAAAACGAATTCAAGCCTCTTGGCTCACCTGAAGACGAGATCGGTCGGAAGGGTCAGGTAGGTCGGACGCGCCGTCTCGAACGCTACACGAATTACTCGGTCAATTTCGTCGCAGGCTCCGTCAGTGGTCTGCAAAAAGGCTTGCGCGGCGGTGATGCTCTCAGCAGCTCGTTCGAAAGCGTTGTAGCGGCCATCTCCGAGGGTATGGTGCAACAAAAACTTTTCCTTTTGCGCTTTGGTCGATGGTACGCCTGCGATGACAAGTATCGTGGGCGTATGAGCGCCGAGATCTGTGATGGTAGCAGGATTTGCTTCATGCGACCCGAACTGACCGACGATGTGGAGCAAAGGCACGCGCTCGCTGTAGGCTCCAGCAATACCATTCATCGCGCTGAGTTCTCCGACCTGTTGAGTGTATGAGAAGCAAGTTGGGTGAGAACTCCCAAACTCGCTTGGGGAATCTGCGCGCGCGCTATGACTCACGCCAAAGGTAGTGATCACAGCGGCGAAGCCTTTGACGCCACCGGTCGTCTTGCGTGAAGTCCCCTTTCCAGAGTAAGATGCTTGACTCTGTGTGACGAGCACAGGTTGGAGATCTGAGGGTCAGCTTCTGATGCCGCTGGCGATGTTTTGACCTGAGGAGCTTGCTAGAGTCCGATCTCGGTCGCACCCAGCCCGAGGACTTCCGGTTCAACGACCCAGAGCGAATGGACGGACCTGTTTGACCCTCGCATAGCCATCAGCAGCATAAGCCGAATTCAATTCGTTGCAACAGCCGATCCATTCGAGTTGCTCATGGTCCTCTACAAGATCGAGGAAGGCGAGGTTGAAATCGCCGGGCACACCTTGGATCGTGCGCACGTCCAGTTGCGCCAATCGTTCGAGCAGGTACGAGCCGAGGTAGATCTTGCCCTTGTCGAGCTTTTGGGGGGAGGCCATGATGATGATTGCGTGAGTCCCGGAGAGAGCTTGCTGAGGGGATGAAGGGAACAGCAAGAAGCGAGAGGAGGCGATCGCAGTCGCCGTTCGGTCACACCGAGCTCGCCAGTCGCTTCCAACCTCTTCCAACTGCTTCCAACGTCGACGTCACCCACCGACCGCACACCGACCGCACACCGAAGGCTCCCGCGCCGGGCTAAAATTGGGCGACGATCACGGTTTCGGATCCTTTATCAGTCCAGGGGCTGATGTGATCACTTTCGACACTCGGCTCGGGATTCTCATCGCAACAGTGAAGTACCCGGTACTATTGTCAAAATCAATGTCGTCACCACTTTATCACCCTTGATCATCGTGCTTGATTTTCAAAATCGTTCACTCGGTCGCGGGAGATCGATATTCACCGTCACCGCGGTCGTCCGGCGTCACGGCGGCGTGTCCCAAGCGAACTCATTGAGTACAACGACAGGACGGGATTGAACATCAGATATCCGCGCGGCTATTTTCCAAAAGACGGTCACCGAGTGAGTCTCTGCAGCTGAATGACTTGTTCGATCGGGCAGGGAGTTCCGACTTGGGTGCAGTGCCGCCAGTGGTGGTGGTGGTGGGGCGGTCCGAGCTCAGAATGGCTGCGAATCAGGCGTGCGATTGACGACGAGTCGAAGCGCGCGGCTGCTGCGGGGGTTCTGGTCAGCTACGACTCGGACTGTCCCTCCGAAGACTGACTGCCCTTCCCGCACGACCTGTTACGAGATGCAGCAAGGCGGCTTACCGAGTAATGCGACCTACGCGGTCGACGAGGTCAGTCGCACAGACGGCTCATTCTGTTCATGCTGGGCACCGAAAGGGAACACGACGACGACGACGATGCAAGACGACGCGTATGGAGAGGCGCCGATCAGGAGATGCTCGAGCGTCGGTGTCCTGGCCAAGTAGCCCACACTAACATCCACCCATGTACCACTCCCCACATAGTACGGACGCCCGTTCATCGTGATCCGAGACCAAGGCCGCAAGACGCGCACGCACGGCCTGGAAGCGATCAAGGGCCACATCCTCGCCGCGAGGACCGTCGCCGGGATCGTACGCACCAGTCTGGGACCGAGGGGACTCGACAAGATCCTCATCTCCCAGGATGGCGACATCACCGTCACCAACGATGGAGCTACCATATTGGGTCAGATGCAGGTACGTTGGCTGGGGGAAAAACAGCCGCGCTTTCCACGCTTCCTGCTGACGGATGTGTCCTCACCGGCTTGCAGGTCGAACACGAGATCGCAAAGCTGTTGGTTCAACTGTCCAAATCGCAGGATGACGAGATTGGTGATGGAACAACAGGTGTCGTCGGTCAGTCGTCCTCGCACTCGCATGGCGTACCCCGCCCGCACGCTGACCCCTGACCCCTTTCCCCCATGCAGTCCTCGCCGGTGCTCTGCTCGAATCCGCATCCGGTCTCCTCGATCGAGGTATCCACCCGATCAAGATCGCCGATGGCTTTGAACGAGCTTGCGCCGTCGCCGTCGCCGAGCTGGAACGCGTCGGTGATGTGATCGAGTACTCCAAGCACAACCAGACCGAGTTGCTCAAAGTTGCCCAGACCAGTATGGGAAGCAAGATGTGAGTAGAACCGAAACGCTCTTCTAACGAGCCCGGTAACTCACTATATCTTCTTGTGGATCGTCTCCCCCAGTGTCTCGAAAGCACAAGGCTTGTTCGCGCAAATCGCCGTCGATGCCGTGCTCGCCGTGGCCGACCTCGACCGCAAGGACGTCTCCTTCGACCTCATCAAGGTCGTCGGCAAAGTCGGTGGTTCGATCGAAGACACGACCTTGATTCGAGGTGTCCTGCTCGACAAGGACATGTCGCACCCACAGATGCCGCGCTCGCTCCACGACGCGCGCATCGCGATCCTCACCTGCCCCTTTGAGCCCCCTCGCCCCAAGACCAAGCACAAGCTCGACATCACCAGCGTCGAGGAGTACAAGAAGTTGCAGACCTACGAGACGGACAAGTTCCAGGAGATGATCAAGCGCGTCAAGGACACCGGCGCGAACCTCGTCATTTGCCAGTGGGGGTTCGATGACGAGGCGAACCATCTGTTGATGCAGAACGACTTGCCTTCCGTTCGATGGGTCGGTGGGCCTGAGATTGAGGTGAGCTAAATAGCTGTTATCACTTTCAAATGAGCGACTTCTAACTCTCCCATCTCTCTTTTACAGTTGATCGCCATCGCGACAAATGGTCGCATCGTTCCGAGGTTCGAGGACCTGACCACCGAAAAGTTGGGCAAGGCCGGTCTAGTGCGCGAGCTCGCATTCGGTACAACGCGCGACAAGATGCTCGTAATCGAGGACTGCGACAACTCGCGAGCGGTGACCGTCTTTGTCCGTGGAAGTAACAAGATGGTGAGCTCGATATCCAATGTGGCTGATCCTGCAGTGCGAGGTTCACAAGACTGACGATCTGGCGCACCTGACGATGAATCTACAGATCATTGACGAGTCCAAACGAGCGTTGCACGATGCGTTGTGCGTCGTCCGCAACCTCGTCAAGGACAACCGAGTCGTCTACGGTGGAGGAGCCGCCGAAATCGCTTGCTCGATCGCCGTTGCCAAAGCCGCTGACGAGATCGCTTCGATCGAACAATACGCTATGCGAGCCTTCGCGACCGCACTCGATGCGATTCCTTTGGCCTTGGCTGAGAATTCGGGTTTGTCCCCTATCGAAACGTTGGCGGATGTCAAGAGTCGACAAGTGACGGAAGGGAATTCGAGGTTGGGTATCGATTGCGCCAACAAGGGGAGCAACGACATGAAGGCCCAGTTCGTGTTTGACCCGCTCATCTCGAAGCGACAGCAGTACCTTTTGGCGACCCAGCTCGTTAGGGCAATCCTCAAAATTGACGACGTTGTGAGTGACGTTTTCTGTCTATCGATGGGGAACAGTCTTGTTGACGTTGCGCTATCATCTCTACTCGTAGATCACTTCGGGCGGAGGAGATGAAGAGTACTAGAAAGGGGCACAAAATTTGTTGCAATCCGACGCATACATTTTGAAACAACGGACCACAGAACGAATAAAGAGATATCACAGGACGAACTGCGCACAAGACATCAAATGAATATCCCACCAGCTTAACAAGACTTCATACCGGAACAACACCCGTTTCGGACTGAAGGTCCTACACTCGAATCGTTCGACCTTCTCCTCTGGCTCCTGCCCGCGCGCTTACCCGTATGCTCGAGACTCGAAAGCTGCTCGACGTAAGAACCAAACGATACTCCGGAGTCTTTGTCCGCGTTGGTAGGCTCGATGGGCGGCGTCCACCTCGGGCCGACCTTTCTCGAGGTGGGAATCGAGTCCGAATCGATGCTTAGCCTGTAGGCGCAAAAATTAGCGCATGCGGTGCATCGGGCCACTGTACGTGACACGAATTACAAGTCAACAGAGAACATTGGTCTGGGGTATCATCTCGGTGACATTGAGTGGAGCAACTGCTGCTAGAGCGGCGGCCAGCGCCGGATGTGTAACCACCATGCCTCTCGCATCGGCAGCCCTCCGAGCTTGTTCAGCCTTCGTCACCTCGGGGTGCCTATCTTCCAGCTTTGTCAGAATCTGGCGGAAAAACTTCCGCTCCCGTTCAAGATCGTCTTATCCCTCTCTGAACAACTCCGCCCCCTCGCCTAAGTCCGCCTCCATCTGCTCCGAGCGTCGGAGACAACCGTGCTTTTCAGCTTCGAGTTCCGGCTTGATCTCTGTGACGGTCGTCAAGTCGGCTCGGAATTGGGCGACAGCTTCAATGTACGTGCACGTTGTGGTACTCTTGCTTGGTTCAATCCAGGCTGCGACGGGTTTGCAGTTCTGCGGTGTACGAACACTTGAGCAGAAGAATCAAAGGACGAAAGCAGCTCTCGGAAGAATTTTAGAGACCGAGGGTCCGTAATGGCGAAATGTGAAATGCGATTTTACGAGCGGGATCAAGCGCACCGGCGGCCGGCAGCAGTTGATCACCGCGTCACCTCCACCTCGACTCGACGCCGATCACCAATAGCTCGCTCGCTTCTTGGCCTCGAGACATCTTGGTCCATTCCGCTACTTTATTCTTTGTTCAGCCGAGTATGGCCTGCTCCGTACGGACCACCGAAGTCTCTTCGCAGTCAGGTTCGTGTCGGACGGCCGGCTCTACATCTAATTCGACCTCGCCGACGACGTCCATCTCGACTTCGACCTCGCGCAGTCGGGACTTTAGACAAGCCGACGCGGATGCCGTGTACAAACTGGCGCAGGAAGATTTACCATTAGGAATCAAAGTCAAGGATGCTCTACGTATCATCGACCAGGCGATAGAGGACTACGGGTCAGTGGAGGGCAGCATCCATTCGCATTCAAATCGTGAGGTGAAGAGCTGATTCCACGCCTTCTCCTGGGGACGATTCCTCAACAACGTAGACTTCAACATGTGGCACTCAGCTTCAATGGTGGAAAAGACTGTAGGTGTTTGCAGGATGCCTTTTTTGGTCGACTTGGGGGCGATTCGTCGAACCTCGCGGTGCTGAGCCGGAGCTGACAAATTGACTCTGTCCATCATCATACGATACCATCGACTCGGTGCACCGTTTTCGCTACAATTCGGAAACGACGGAGTCAACAGGCACGGTCCTCGTCCATCTCTTGGCCGCCGCAGCCTTCCGATCACAGCGACCCACCGACCACAACTCTAACTCCAACTCCCACTCCCACTCCACCTCCATCCCCTCCACAACTCCAACCCCCACCTCCGCCTCCCCCCCTCATCTCGAATGCGTCTACGTGCGCTGCGCATCCCCCTTCCCCCAAGTGGAGACCTTCGTCGAGACATGTACCCAACGATACCACCTCAACCTCCGAGCCGTCGATGGTGGGATGAAGGAAGCTCTGCAGAACTATCTGGACCAGAAGAAGCAGGAGGTGCCGATCCAGGCTGTATTGGTCGGAACGAGGAGGCATGATCCCCATGGAGGTAAAGTACTCGACTCTAAACTCTGTTTCACCCACAGTTCGGACTGACTCTTTTCTTAACTGAAATTTTGCTCGCAGAACACCTGACACCCTTCGCTCGTACGGATGGGGGATGGCCCGATTTCATGCGCGTGCACCCGATTCTCGATTGGACATACAAGGAGATCTGGGATTTCTTACGACACCCGGAACTGACGTTGGGGGGATCGAAAGAAGCGGGTTTGATCGAGTGGTGTGAACTGTACGACTATGGGTGAGTAACGACGTAACTCGTCTATTCCCACAGAAGGGGTACCAAAGCTGAATGAAAACCTCTCCTTCTCGGCACGACACAGGTACACCTCCCTAGGCTCTACGTACAACACTTTCCCAAATCCGATGCTGAAAGCGATCGGAGATGCATCCGTTAAAGGAGGGTGGAGACCGGCATGGGAGTTGAAGGATGAGACTCAGGAAAGAGCAGGGAGGTGAGTCACTTTCCCACTATCATGATTCCTTGATGTCGCCCGAGGCATCTTGCAGGCGCAGAAGAACCTCGTACTGATGTCAAGGGGTTGGGACCGACCGATGAACAGAGATGCTAAGCTTATGAAGCAAGTGATCGAAGTGGCGGAGCAGATCGTCACCCTTTGATGTAGAGGTCACGTCACGTCCTGGATGCCTGACAATTCCATCCCTTGGTGTCAGCGCTCATGTTTGAAACCGAGAAGGTCCATTGCTCTACGTACTGGCTCTCCAACGAGCGATCGAGGGGGCAAAAGTCGACTTTTGTTGCATACTAAAAGCGCGATCAAAAGAACCACTGGAGCCTAAGATGATAAGAGAAGGTGAGGGAGGATACAGCGTGGGAGAGGGCGATAAAGCGTATAGGGTGGCTCAAACGCAAACGGAGGATCTCGTCATGAAAAAGGGCGCAGGAATCTTCCAGTCAAGTTGAAAAGTGTGCTTTGGACAGAAAGCCAAGATAAGACAAGAATGGAACTCGGGTTGAGGGGGTAGAACAGAGCGCGATATAACGAATGAGGAAGCAGGCGTGAGGGGGTTGCAGAAATAGAGATGGAGAGGGGGAAAAATGAATGGGGTGAGGGGAAAGCAAACAGCAAATAAAGGTCGACACAACAAACACAGAACAGAAAACAAGCATGCATCCACCGTTCCTTCTCTTCTCTTCCTCTCCTTCCTTCCGTTCTATGCATCAACAGAATCAGAGTCCAGATAACACACACATCTGAGGTTGTCGTCGATCAAGCATGCCCGGCGTAACCGGCGGCCCAGGCGTTGTTCAATAAGGCCGAGTTGATGCCATAGAGATCGAATGAGCCGGCGTGAGGGTGTTGCTGCTGCAACTGCTGTTGCTGTTGTTGCAAAGCGGCGGCAAAGAGGAGCTGTTGCTGATGCTGTTGCTGGGCGTGTGCATGCTGCTGTTGCTGCTGTTGTGCCTGGAGCATCTCCGGGCTGAGGTAGCCGAAGGACGCGGGCAACATGTTATGTGCGTGTATGTTGCTCATTGTAGCCATTTGTTGCTGATGCAAGGCGAACGGCGATGTCGCGACGGCGTGAACGGGGGCCGAGGACGACATTTGCGACGAGGCCGAGAGCGACGAAGCAGAGAACGAATCCGAAGGATCGACTAGCGAGTTTGTGGGCGAGCCCGCATTGGCGAACATCGAAGTCGTTATCGGCATTGCCATGGGGTAGGTGAGTGATGATGTTTGGAGAGCGGCCAAGGACTGTTCGCTCTTGATCGCGGGCGAGTCGGGGCGGGAGGAGGTTGGCGGCGAACCACCAATCGAGGAGCCAGCGCGGTTGTCAAACTGGCTCGTTGAGTTCGTGAGGTCGAGCGGTGATCCGAACGTGACGGAGGCGGACGAGCTATGTTGAGAGGTCACGCTGTGCTTCTTGTTGACGGAGGCGTTGGAGGGAGGAAGAGGGGGAAGACCGAGTTGTTGGCGGAGCTCGTTCACTTCTCGTCGAAGCTCAGCATTCTCCTTGGTCAAGGCGGACTCTTTGACCTGTTCCGTCGAACCACGGAGGCAACATCAGTTCCTGCGACCATACAACGTGGCTACTTCTTCCGCCGCAACGAACCTGGGCCTCAAAGACGAAGTCGAGCGCCTTGTTGACGATCACGCTCTTGGACGGTCGCTTGACTTTGGCCATCGAAGGCAAAGCTTCAGCGAGGGTCTGTGGGGGAGTTTGCGTGCATTGAGTGTCAGCGCTGAATCTCTTACAGCAAGGTGCACGGGCGAGCGCACCATGAATCGACCGTTGAGAGATTCGCGACGCGCACGCTCGATCGCATTGTGCGACGCACGCTTATCAGCGCCTTGCGGGCCTTTGCGGCTGGCGGCCGACGACGACTTGCGCTTCGTCGGAAGCGCGACCAAGTTGCCGAGATCGTCGTCGCCGTCGCAATCGCCGTCGTCGTACAGGGAAGCGCTGACATCGTCCTCATCGGGCGAGTGACCGTAGGTCGTGATATCACTGGCGATACCCATCTTCGATTTTAGATTTTTGAGTTTCTTGGCGAGTGGTGAGACTAGCGCGCCGAAGATTGTTAGGCGCGACTTAAAAAAAAAGCGCGAAAATGCGGGGGTGTTGGCGGGCCGATAGGGAGCGAGGGAAGCCGATAGGAATGGAGGGAGCAGAATACCTGAAGCCGGTTAGAGCTCAGGACTGAGATGGGGGCGGGCGGAGACGGAGATCTGGGTGAGGATCTACAACATTTGAAATTGACGTCAGGTCTCGGAGCTCTGGCAAAAAAGATATTCGAGCAGGGCAGGTAGCAATGCAGGGAGAGGAGGTGCGGCGGCCGAATTGCGGGCCAAAACGGATATTGGCCGGCCCTAAATTCGAGACACCCCGTCCCCCCGCCCATCGAGTGCCGAACCAACCCACGTACCAAGAGGGCAGGGAAGAGAAGGGACCGTACGGCAAGGCAGCAGCTGTCGTTTACAAGAAAAGACGCGCGCGGATGTCGTGCAAGAGGCGTTGTAGGAGGTGGGGGAGTAGACTGTGTGGTGGGGTTCGCTGTGGATCGGAGTAGGGAATTGATCGCTGGGATAAGAAGGCGGCGGTGACGAAGGCGACTAGAGGGGGAAGAGGGGAGGGGTAGCTGTGTCGAGGTTCGCGAGCTGTAAGGGGAAGATGACACGTAGAGTGAGATCAGCATAGGTACCACTCCCGCCCTGCAGTAGTAACCCCTGAGCCCTCGAGATGGGGCCCGGCCCGCGTCCAACGGCGGCGGCGGTGGGATGCGCCTGGGTCCCGCTTGGAACTTGCGAACCAGCCGACCGCTGATCACGCCAGAACGGCTCACGCTGGACTGCGTCGAAGCGGCGGCGGTGGCGACGCAGCCCGCAGTCCGCGGCCCGCATTCGGCCGGAACACCAGATCGCGACATCGTCATGGGTTACTGTCACAGCAATCTCACCTTAGCTCAGCGGCGCCTGACTTGTTTGCTGGGGGGAAGGGAGGAGGTGAAAGTTCGCGCTGGAGGGAAGGGAGAAGGGAGCGGGCTCGGGCTGCTGACTCTGGGCCGCTCACCACCACTCGGCCTGGTCAATATCCGGCGTGCGATAGGGCACGGGGAAGGGGCCTGGCCAAAAAGGCAAAGTCCGAGCCCGAAAACACCGGCTAAAACTCAGGCGCTGATCTGTGCAAGACGGGAGTTCCGGGAATTGGGTCACTTTTACTGGGCAGCAGCTCAGGGCACGTCCCTCGATTCTTCCCATCAGTTGTGTCATGTCTGAAAGTTGGTGAAGCTGTGTGGGCAATTTCGCCATTCCTGAAGGCGGTCGATTTTTCTAGGTTCATGCTACTTGTCCGGTCACTAGGCAGCCTAGATTCTCATTGCAACCTGCAGGGCTCCTCCAGACGCCGAAGAGGTTGGGGAGACGGAGAAGAGCTGACGTCCGTAGGTTTGATCACAAGGCGTGATGGAATCCCGCCCGCGTCTGCTGCCAAATACTCGGCGACGATCAGAATTTGGACTGTGTTCATCTCTTTACCGTAAGTGCCCTCTCGTTGCGTGAAACTCTTTTGTTGTCTGTGGCATCGATGTTTCGCACGACCTGGCTCCGGAGAACGCGTATCGATCTATATTCGCGCCGAGCGCGCGCGCCAGCCCCTGTCGCTTCGGTGGGGCTGAAGCCGACGATGGAACCGGGGTTTCTCGGCCGAAGAGCGCGTCGGAGTAACGTGCAAACCTCCCAGGATCTCCCTACTGTGATGGCGTCACCCTCGGGGCACTATACGGTTAGGAGATCATGACAGGCCGAGTTTGTCCGTTGCCTGCCTTTGAACAAGACTAGTAGCTGCTTAAAACTTAAAACTGGCCAGGCCGCGACTCTGCGTCAGGTCAATGTATGCGTTGCTCCGGCGCTAGCTCTGGCCGAGCTTGCTCGCTCGCGCTCAGCTCCGCTGCTGACGGCGACGAGGCCGGCGGCCTGCTTGCGCCTGAGTGCAAGGGCCGCGCCTGCCCCTGCCAGCGCCTGCCAGCGCCAGGCTCCCCAAGCGCCTGCCATCGAGGCGCGCAGGGCCTTTGACTTTCTGCATTCACTCGATCATCCTGCCGGCGCGCACCGCACCTCACGACACCGGCACAGGTTTCCACCGCGAAGCCATGTCGAACTACGCGCCTGGTGGTGGAGGAGGAGGGATCGGAGCAGCTGCACCCGCAGGGGGTGAGGCTGGTGGCCCCACACCTTCTGCTGTCGCGCCCGGCGCTGGAGCAGGAGCTGGAGCCGGTGGTGCATCGACAGCCTCAGCGACCACCACGACATCGCGCCCGCCCGCCGCAGCCGCTGCCCCGACGGGAGCCAGCAACAACGCTGCACCAGCTGCAAATGCGGGTCCGAACTCGGCAGCTGGCCCCAACGCACCACCGTTCCGCCCGCTCAACGTCAAGGATGCGCTCAGGCAAGTGCGAGCGAAGGGTGGCATGCCGAGCCCTGCGGGTTGCGGCAGAGACCCCGGGGCTCGAGGCGACGAGGCATCGCTGAGGCTGACCCTGACTGACCGTGATCCCCTGTTGCCCTGTGTCTGCCATTGCGAACCACAGCTATCTCGACAGAGTTAAAGTGACTTTTAATGATCAGGCCGAAGGTATGCTTGACTTTTCCCTGTCCCGGGCTTACTTACACGTGCAGCTAGCTGACGATGAGGCATCGCTCGACTTGACCGGTCGCATCGGTCCACCCCATCAGTGTACGATCGCTTCTTGACGTGAGTAGATGACCCGCATTCCATCGTTTCATTCTGCCAACCAAGTGACACTGATGCCCGGTGTTTCTTGCCTGTGTGTAGGATCATGAAAGAGTTCAAGAGCCAAGGCATCGACACTCCGGGCGTCATCGAACGAGTTAGCACCCTGTTCCGCGGGCACCCGGCGCTCATTCAGGGGTTCAACACCTTTTTGCCGCCTGGCTACCGCATCGAATGCTCTGTCTCGTCCCAGAACGAGGCCGAAGGGGGTATGACCATCACCGTCACCACCCCGATGGGCTCGACGACGCGTACCCAAGTGCCCGCGAATGCTTCGGCGTCTGCGGCCGCAAACCCCTCGACCGCCAGCGCTCCGACGTCGCGTTCGACTTTGCCACTGGCGCGTTCCCCATTAGCGACTTCGACGACCGCACCTAAGGATGTCGCTCACCTTTCGCAGCCAGCACAGCCTGCTTCCACCGGCCAAACACCCTCTATAGGTCGAAAAGACGTCAAAACCGAGGTGCAAGCGCCAAGTGGGCCATCTGGCTCTGCGATCAGCGGCGGTCCCCCGCTACCGAACTCCGCTCCGGCCGCTGCTGCGCCTCCCACTGCAACTGCTCCTGCACCAGCCGATGCTGCTGCCAAGCCACCTATGGAGTTCAACCACGCCATCAATTACGTCAACAAGATCAAGAACCGCTTCGTTAGGGAGCCCGATACGTACAAAGCGTTCCTCGAGATCTTGCAAACCTACCAAAAGGAAGGCCGTGCGATCCAGGATGTGAGTGCTCTTCCCTGTCGGTGCGATGCGACGATGCGAGCTTTGTACTGACATTCTTCGTCTCGCTACAGGTCTACGCCCAAGTCACCATCCTTTTCCGCTCCGCACCGGATCTGCTTGACGAGTTCAAGCAATTTTTGCCCGACACCTCGGCCGAAGCCGGAGCACAACCCCAAGTGGGACAGCCTGTACCTGGCCCGCGAGGACCCACCGCCGTCGCTGGCCAGAAGAGACCGGCTACGACCACGTCCAAAGGCGCCGGCGAGCCCACAAGCGCAAAAAAGGCCAAGACGGGCAAAAACAAGGCCGCGCCGGAGAAAGCGGGCAAACGAAAAACCGAGCTCAAGGACCCGACTCGCAAAAGTTCGGGTGTCGATGGGACGACCAACACCGATGCCGATCCTTCGATGGGCACCTACACGCACCCTTCGCACCCTGCCCCGTACGGGCAATCATACCCCGTCGCGGGCTACGGCACTCAACCGCAGGTCCTCCCCGTCGCCTATGCTTACGAGGCACCCCTTCCCCCTCCCCCGGCTCAACCGCTGCTCGCCCCCAAACCGCATGCGAGCGTCAACGACATTGCTTTTTTCTCCCGCGTCAAGGTTCACACGAACGACCAGGCGACCTATTACGAGTTCCTCAAGCTGCTCAATCTATACACGCAAGACATCATTGACTTGACCGCGCTCGTGTCTCGCGCGTTCCTGTTCATCGGCCAGGATGCGCTCCTCTGGCGTGAGTTCCGCGACATTGTCGGCTGGACCGATGGAAAGCCTATCGGCGATACTGGCGGACGGATCGAGGTGGTCGACGGTATTCGAGTAATTGAGAACGTCCCCACCGTCGATGGGCCGAAGCGCGCGAGAGCCGACGACGGCAAGCTGTGGGAGTCGTACGGCCCGAGCTACCGCAAGCTGCCGCCGACCGAAATCTCGCTCAATTGCTCCGGTCGCGATGCGCTGTGCTGGGAGGTGCTGAACGACGAATGGGTCTCGCAACCGTCTTGGGCGAGTGATGAAGGATTCGCCGTCAAGCGACAGAACCCTTTCGAGGAAGCGATGCACAAGTCCGAAGAGGAGCGACACGAGTACGACTACTACATCGAAGCCAACCTCCGCACGATCGCCTTGCTCGAACCGATCGCGACTCGGATCGCCATCATGGAGGCCGACGAGCGGGCGACGTTCCGTCTCAAGCCCGGACTCGGGAATCAGAGCAAGAGCATCTATCAGCGCGTCATAAAGAAGGTGTACGGCAAAGTCGCTGGCCGTGAGGTCATCCAGGCGCTGCATGAGAACCCTTGCGTCGCGGTGCCCATCGTCTTGGCGAGGCTGAAGCAAAAGGACGAAGAGTGGAAGCGAGCCCTGCGGGAGTGGAATCGTGTATGGCGAGAAAACGACGCTAAAAACTACTGGCGCTCACTCGACCATCAGTCGATCTCGATCAAGGCCAACGACAAGCGCCTGCTGACGCTGCGCCACCTCGTCACCGAGATTGAGACGGTCAAGCGACAACAACGACAACGTGCTTCAGGCTCGAATCGACCTTGGACAATGCCGAGCTACCAGCTGCAGTACGAGCTTGTCGATCGCGGCGCCATGTTCGACACGATGCGACTCGTCTTTTCTTACCTCGATCGCACGAGTGCGATTTCCAACTCGGAGAAGGACAAGGTCGAGACGTTCATGCGTCAGGTGCTACCTCTGCTTTTTGCGCTCTCACCCTCTGAGTTCTCGCTGATGACGATGCCCATCGGAAGAGGTGCGGGCGACGATGACTCGGAGTCGCTCGAAGGTGCGAGTGAGGCCGGCACGAGTGGCCTCGATGATGTGACGGAGGTGACTTCGTCGATAGGTGGCAGCGCGACGGGGCATTCGAGGCGAGCAGGTCGCAAGATGGGCAGCGACCTACGCAAGAAGGCGCTCAAGAACGCCGTCGGCCCTGCGCGTACATCGGGTCGTGAACCGGGACGACGGAGCAAGGTCTCGTCGCCGGCACCGAGCTCGCGTGGCGCTTCTCCCGCCCCCACACCCGCAGCGGGCGAAACAGATCAGGTCATGGCGGACGCTCTGCCCACGGTTTCGGGCTTGGCCTCCATGGTCACACCCGAAGTCGAAGCTGAAGCAGGCATTCCCGAGGTGAACGTCATCGACAGCTCCCGCGAGCAATCCGCTGATGTCGCCTCTCCCCAGTTGGGCGGGGCCGATGTCATGACCGTCGGTGAAACCGTCTCGGCCGACATGTCACGCGAGCCTTCGGCGAGCAACACTCTGCCCGACGCGACGGATTCGCCCGAGCTCGTCATCCCAGTCGAGGACAAGCCTCGGGGCGTCGATGTGCGGAAACAGTGGAACGTGTTCGCCAACTCGAACTTGTACGGGCTCGTTCGCGTCTTCCAAGTCATCTACAGTCGCTTGGTCTTGCTGAAAACGTCAGCAACAGTCGTGGCCGTTCCCCCACCTCGTGAACCCATCACGGAGAAGAGCGTTCCTTCGCTGTCGCTGTCGTTGACGATGGCGCCTCCCGAGCAGTTCGCAGCGCCTTCACCGACTGGGTCCGCCTACTACCAGCGCGCGCTCGCTTTGTGTGAAGCCTTATTCGACGGTCAGATTGATCAGATGGTGTTCGAAGAAAAGCTCCGTCACATGTTCGCCACGCAGGGTTACATGCTCGCCACGATCGACCGTCTGATCCACAACCTTGTTCGATTGGCCACGGCTTCGCTAGGCGATGGCAAAACGCAGGACCTCGTCGAATTAATCGAGCAAGATCGCTCGCACTCTGATCGATCGACACCGCAGCAGCAGATGTTCTACCGCGCCCAAGCCGAAAGCGCGCTCGGGAATGACGAAAACCTGTACCGCATCGAATGGGTCCCTTCCTTGCGACGACTGCGCTTCCAGTTGCTCGGCAAGGACGTGTTAACGACGGAGGATATGGCCGTCGCCGATCAGGAGTGGAAGACGTACATGGAGCAATATGTTCTTGCCGATAGAACGCCGGGACTGAACACGGAGCCAGAGACGCCCTTCCTGACAAGGTGAGCAAACGAGCTTGTGATCCGTTTCATGCATCGTTTGGGAAAAGTTGCTGACTTCGAGTGTCTAATCTCCACAGAAACTTGCGCAAGACCGCCACGTCCGGCTCGACCGCCATCCCTGCATCCGTGACGGCTCATCCAGGCCTACAGAGCAAGATCTGCATGCGCTCGTACCGCATCTTCTACGTCGCGCACACCGAAGACTTACTCCTTCACCGTCGCTCATCCGCCCCCGACTTAACTCAACTCCGCGCAAGTCGTAGTGCGGCTTTCGAGGACTGGCTCGAGAAGAAGAAGGAGGCGTTGGGGGAGAAGGCCAAGTTGAAGGATGAGCAGAGGGCTCAGGCGTTGGCGAAGAAAGCTTCATTGGCGGAGGCGGAGGCTGCGAAGGTCACTGCTACTACGGCGGCGGCGGCGACGACGACGAAAATTGAGGAAACACCATTCAACACGGAGACAACTGTTGTTGCTGCTGCTCCGGAAGCCATGAAAGAGCCCGTGTCGGTCACGGCCACGATTGCCGAGACGGCAACGCCAGCCCCATCCGAGGCGACGACGACCACCACCACCACTGCAGCGGCGGCGATACCCGATGAAGATGTTAAGATGGCGGATGCTTGATCGAATGTTGATGGGTTGGAATGATGAGCCCACCGTGTTTTCCGTTCTGTACATTAGACTCCCGGTCTTCTCTTATGTCATGTTCTGCTGTGGAAATACAAGCACTATATTCTATATACGCTGAGGGGGTGCTAAAAAGGTTGCAAGAGGGGAATTGAATGCTATTGCGACTGACTAGGAGTTACAAAAAGAGGGTAAAAGTGGGGAGCATACACAACAACATGAACGAGAACCATAAACACTAGGAAATGAGGGAACCCCGATGGCACTTGATCTTCATCGCTGCCAACCATTCACCAACTTTCTGCCTGACGCTCCCGAATTTGTCGACGTAGTCCTACCATGCCCATCCGTCTGCACCTCCGCATCAACCCATCTCACCAAATCATCACTTGAATCCGCCTCTTGTTGTATCTCCAACGCATGCAAGACTATTCCCCCCAAATCCTTCTCCTCGACCTTGGACTCGATCGCCATCTTTCCCTTCCTCAACAACGCTTCAATCGTCTGACACACCGCAGCATAGTGTGGGTCCTTCTCCAGTATCCGTTCCCAAGCCGCTTCATCATCTTCATCTTCTTCCTCCCCTTCATCATCATCCTCATCACTCGACATCCCTTCAAGAGGCGAGATGGACCCATTCGTTGAAACGGCTTTGGTCTTGCGTGGTGATAAAGGCGTTCGAAAAGGCGCCAGTGCTATACCAGCATTCGATTCGCGCATCCTTCGTCTCAGGTCACGTAGTTCGGCAGTGTGTTTGATCTTGAGTTGTTCGAGCGAGGCGTTGATGCCGAGGAGGGACTTGTTGGTAATTTCGAGGTCCAGGATCTGAGACGGCAGGTCGTGTCTGCGATCAGTTGAGCGTGCCTTTATTCTCATCTTCAAGGGAAGGGACAACTGACCTTGCGTTGGATCCTGGCTTCCTTCTCTTCGCTCATCTCATCAATACTACTTTGCATGACCAGTTCAGGTCTTCGAGGTGCAAAACCACTGGCGAACGACGGTGAGGGCAGCATGATCGTTTGGTCCGCCAGCGCCTTCTTGCGCATATTCGACTTTGAGACACCTTCCTGATCCTCGTGGACCCCATCATCGAAGGAGGACTCGAGGTCACTGTCTCTTTGTTCCCCCTCCTCCTCGTCAAAATGCTGAGGTCGGCTCCAATCGATCCCCATCAATCCTTGATCACTCCTCCCACTCGATCGAGTCCCCGTACTCGCCGTCGAGTCCTGACGACCCCAAGACGAAGTCGAAGCGACGACATGCAGAGGGTTCGACGCATACGGTGATGCCAAAGCGATGGTATTACTTCCCGTCGAAGAGAAGATGGATGAAGTTGCGGAAGTGGCAGAATGCGAACGAGCGTGGCGAGAGGAGGCCGTACTTGTCACTGATGCGGGTCGTGGAGAAAGCACCGGTCGAGTTGGGGAGGTTCTCAAGACCGGTGTGGTATGAGAGGCATCGCGTGGAGGTGATCGGGCCCTCATTCCTCCTGTGGTCCTGGATAGAGGTACGGGATTGGTCGTTGATGACCCGCCAGAGAAGGCCGGTAGCAAGACCGAGACAGGGGTCGAGGGGTTAGCGGCCCCTGGTCCGCGTTGAACCTCTGAGCTGAAGGCGCTCTTGACGCGTCGAGGACCACCGTCGACCGAGTTGGCGGCATGGACGTTGACGTGCGAGTCGGCCGACAGAGATGATATACTTGGAGAGGTGAGAGGGGAAGAGGTCGTGCTCGTGGAACCGGGCGAAGTAGAGAGGCCGGGAGGGAAGTACGACGTCGACGAGGACGATGCGAGAGGACCGTGACCTCCTGTGAGATGAGGCGAGGAGCGCAGCGGCGGGGAGTGGACCTTGCGGACCGATACGGATAGAGGTAGATAATCGATCGTCTTGGGGAAGGCGTCGTTCTGGCCCTTGAGATCGCTGGCAACGGTGGTCATCGTCGGGGTGCCGTACCGCTGCGGAGGCGAGTGGGGCGGCCGGGTCGGACTGGCGCTGCGGGTGCTGGTCGACGCGGCAAAGTTGGCACTCCAGGTCGGGTTTGCTCGAGTCGATGAGAGAGAGGAGGTGGAGCTCTGAGCGCGAATCAGGGGAGAGTGTTGGCGCGAGGTCGAGCTGTTGGCGTGGGCGGCGGCGGCGGCTCGCTTGGCCATGGTCGTGGTGGTCGTGGTGGTGGTGGTGGTGGCCGTCGCCGATGACGGCGCGCCAGCGATCCCGACGTCGCCTTCGCGAATGTTGTGGGTGCGAACCCGCGGCGACGGCGTGTTGACGCCAGCCTTGGACACGGGCGGCGATGTGAATTGAGAGAGATCGACCTTGGCTCGCAAAGGCTTGTTCGTCGGTGTGGTGGTGCGCATCGTGGGCGACGCGGCACCGCCGTTGAGGGTCGTGGTCGAGCTCGACGCGGTGCTGTGGCTCAACACCTTGCGCCGCTCGGACGAAACACCCGGTGGGCGCGACACTGTGGGGGGGGGTGCAAGTGCGGGAGGATAGGATCAGACTCGTGCACAAGTTTGCGCTGACAATGTAGGCTACGAGTTGGCCTAACTTTGTTTGCCCGTATGTGGGGGCTCGGCCGCCGTTCGCCGCGAGCAAGTTGAACGGGGGTGTGGGAGCGAGAGCGAGAGCACGTGAGCAACCGCGCCGCTCGCCCTCCCCGGCCCGCTCGGACCAAAACCAGCCAAAACCTACCAAAACTGACCAAAACGCTTCGAGGCTAATCCGTGCCCCTGAGGATTAATGCGCACTTACTTATCCCAACCAAGTCCGAACTCAGCCGCTTGAATCAGTGTATATGGGAGTCGAGGTCTAGACTTTGTTTCATGAAAACGTGCTGTTTTTCGGTTTTTTGTTTCAGGTAAGTAAATCAAACAAACGGTTTCAGTGGTCTAAACTCCGACGGGGACAGCCGAGGGGGTCCGTGCGCGTGCTCGGTGCCTCGGTGACGCGATTCTAACGCTGGGTTGCCGGCGTGTGTGGCCCTCTTTTGACGTTTGTGCTCCGCCGCCCCGAGTCGTCCACCCTGGCTAGCTCTACCGCCCTTCGACGTCTATCCCAGCACGTTCGACAATTCGCCACCATGAGTGAATACAACATTCGTCAGTCGTCTTCCCTGTGACTGATCATGTAGAGCGTTGCGCGCCACTCCCACTGACCTCCGCTCGTTGCGCCCGCGTCTACTTTCCCTCGCCCAGGCCAAGTCGGCTCTGCCAACACCCTTGGTGAGTGTGTCGTTGTCTCCGTTGTGTGAAGTGTTTGAAACACGGGCCAATCGTAGACATCGCCCCCTGCCACAGAGTACCGCGTCTTCACGGAAAAGGATGGCAAGGTCATCTCGCCTTTCCACGACATTCCCCTCTTTGCCGACGAGGCCAAGACTGTGAGCAGCTTCCCGGCTATATATCTTTGAGTCAATACATGCAAGCTTACTTCTTCGGCCCGCATCACCACGCAGGTCCTCAACATGATCGTCGAGATCCCCCGCTGGACCAACGCCAAGCTCGTCAGTGCCCCCGCTCTTCCGCTTCCCAGAAACGTCCGCTGACCCCACCCTGTACTATTCACCTGCCAACAGGAAGTCAGCAAGGAGGAGACCTTCAACCCGATCCGCCAGGACACCAAGAAGGGCAAGCTGCGCTTTGTGCGCAACTGTTTCCCCCACAAGGGTCGGTCGATTATGCACGTGCAGCGCACTCCATCTTGCTGACCCCCTGCCCTGATCGACCCATAACAGGTTACATCTACAACTACGGGTACGCCACTCGGTATGCTTACCTCTCGATCCATTGACTGATCAACGCCTCCTACTCTTCCCACAGTGCTTTCCCCCAAACCTGGGAGGACCCCAACCAGATGCACTCCGAGACCAAGGCCAACGGTGACAACGACCCCGTCGACGTCTGCGAGATCGGTGAGGCCATCGGCTACACCGGCCAGGTCAAGCAGGTCAAGGTGCTCGGCATCATGGCCTTGCTCGACGAGGGCGAGACCGACTGGAAGGTCATCGTCGTTGACGTCAACGACCCGCTCGCCGGCAAGCTCAACGACATCGAGGATGTCGAGAGGCACCTGCCCGGCTTGATCCGCGCCACCAACGAGTGGTTCCGGTGAGTACTGGAACAACGTTCCAGGAAGTTTGGCTCATTTGAGCTGACGCCGGGACCGCGCCTCGCGACTCCTTCTTCTTTCCCAGCATCTACAAAATCCCCGACGGAAAGCCCGAGAACCAGTTCGCCTTCTCCGGCGAGGCCAAGAACAAGCGCTACGCGACCGAGATCATTCTCGAGTGCCACGAGGCGTGGAAGCGCCTCATCTCGGGCCATACCAAGTCCGACATCGCCATGTAAGCCCCGTGTTCCGCGCGCTTCTCGTCCAAACTTCAGGTCCCTGACCAAGGCGATCTTCCCGTGACTCAGTACCAACTTGACCCAAGATGGTACGCCCGGCAAGGTCTCGACCTCGGATGCGGCCTACACCTCGCTCCCCGCCGACTCGAGGGCCGCACCCGCGCCTATCGACCCCTCGATCAACAAGACCTTCTTCATCTCTGGTATGTTTACGCGGAAGCTCAGCACAGGGCAGTATAGGCGAGGTAGCTGACGATCTATACACTTCCTGTGTGTATTTTGTTTGCGGTCCAACAGGCCACGTGAGTGTTCTTTCTCCTCTGCCCGGCTCTTTACTTGCCAACTGACGTTTGAGTGCACATGTGTGTGGCGTTGTATCCCTCTCTCGTTGAACAGGCAGTCTAAAGCCCAGTTATGAGCTGAACGATTTGGGTGGTGGAGATCAGATGTCTTCGAGAAAGGAGAGAGAAACATGGCTTTCGAGACAGTACATTTGGTTTCTGTGTTGAAATTGACAAAGTCTTAAAGACTTGATGTTGATGGCGCTGGGCCTCAAGTGTTGGCAGAAGACTAAAGAAGTGCTAGACCCTCCATGGATCGTCTCGCACATGAGAGCACTCGATCGCTGGCTATTTTTGCTACATAGCTATGTTCGGTCGCTAGACTCGCTGCACCTGGCCTGCGTCGACGCTCTGTCTGAGTCGTCCGGTCTCGTCCGGTTCGCGTGCGCGTGGGCCGAGGCCGGAGTCTGCCGAGTCGTCACGTTCGCTCGTCATTCGGTGGACGTCGATCCCGGGTCTGCCTCTTGTCCCTCTTGTCTCCCCTTGCTGTGGCTCTTCGTTGAAGCGTGACCGGAGCGACGACCACCAGCTCCACCATGTTTGGTCGAGCTCATCCGACAATACCTTGCTCTACACCCCCCTCCTCCAGTCATGGTGAGCAATCCCCTCCCGTTCCATTGTCCCATCGGTTGTCGCATCGCATCGTATCGTGATTCTGACGTCGTATGCGCGTCGTTTTTCCCTTTCTCTCAGGTTGGGTCAAGGCCATCGGGCTCGTCTTTCTCGGTGTTCCTGTAGCGTATTACAGCTACGTCGAATTGTTCCGCGCACGAGAGATCCGGAGACGGAGAGTGCAGTACCATAGCAAGCGACAACGACGTTTGGAACGAATCGTCGCGAACGAGGGTGACAAGGTCGGCGCATCGGCATCGAGTACCGAGGAGGTGACGAAGCCTGAGAAGGAGGGATCCGAGGGAGTGTCGGTGGGGAAAGAGAGGAGAGGTATTAGTGAGGAGGAGTATGAGGAGATCGCGGAGATGTATGCGCCGTACGTATTAGGGGGGAGGTATTGTAATGCGCTCGGGCCGGAATGGAGAGAACAAGGAGGTTCGTTCCTTTTCTTCGTCGCGTAAACCCGGATGCGATGCTGATGCAATATTGCTCTCACAGCATGGGAGTGGATCGCATGGAAATTGATATGGGCACCCTTGCATGGAACTCTCTTTTGGAACGCCGGCGTACCAACCGATCCGATCAAACTTGCCGAATCGCTTCCTCTCGAAAGGCCCAACTTTGAGCTTCTGTTCGGCTTCGACCCGGAACAGGTCTCCGTCGACACCGCGCCACCTGAACCGACAGCTAAGGACTCCCCGGACGCTCGACTAGCGGAAAGTATCGGAGACCTTTCGGCCAGTTGGGATCGACTCTCGTCCTCAACCCCGGCCTCTCTTTCGTCCGCAACCTCGCAACGCGTCTCTCGATCCAACAGTGAGACCCCACCACGAGTCGAAGTGGGCGAGGATCTAACGGCGACATGGATCGGTCAATCGACGACCTTTTTCCAACTCGACGGCGTCTCGGTCCTGACCGACCCCGTTTTTGCCCACCGCACCGTCGATACCGTCCTCGCCCCTCCCCGGTTATGCCCACCCCCTTGTCCTCTCTCAGCGCTTTTATCGATCCAACTCGTGCTTGTCTCGCACGACCACTTTGATCATGTCCACCCCGACGACGTACGGTACCTCGGCAACTCGGTGCACTGGGTCGTCCCCATCGGGATGGGAAAATTCCTCCGCTCGCTCGGCGTAACTCGTTTCTCCGAATTGAGCTGGTGGCAAACGACCGTGCTCGATTTCACCGTCCCCCTTCGAGGAGGTCGAACCGAATCACGCAAACTCAACATCACCGCCACACCTGCACAACATTGGTCCTCTCGAGGTCCATTGGATACGAACCAATCGTTGTGGTGTTCGTACGTGGTCGAAGGGAAACACGAAACCGTCTTCCACGCCGGTGATACGGGCTACAACGCGACCTTGTTCAAAGCGATCGGTAAAGTTTTCGGTCCTTTCGACCTTGCCTTGCTCCCCATCGGTTCCTACACCCCAAGATGGCACATGATCTCTCAACACTGCAACCCCGAAGACGCGGTCAAGATTTGTTTGGACCTCGGTGCCAAAAAGGCGTGGGCACAACATTGGGGGACGTGGATCTTGAGCGATGAACATTATTTGGAACCGCCGAAGATGTTGGATCTGGCGAGGAAGAAATGGGGTTTGGAGGAGGGTAGGTTCGAGGTGGTTAGACCGGGGAGGACGGGGTGTTGGAAGAGGGTGGAGAGTAGGGAGAGGGAGGGGGAGGGGGAGGACGAGGACGAGGAGAAGTAGATATGGGGAGGAGGGGACGGGCGAGGTTCTTGCAATCATAGAGTGTGTGAAATTGCTATCATCTGGACATAATAGATTCGCCATTATGCCACCCAGGAGCCAAGTGATGAGCATGGTGATCGGCGCGGGCGTAGCTGAGCTCCCGCAGCGACATTGAACAGGGGTGCGATGGGGAGACGAGAGATACAATTATGATCTCGGACGGTAATAGGTAGTCGGCATCTCACAGCATGCCCTGTGTTTACGTGCTCTCGACATTGGTAACAATGCCCGAAAATGAAACACGATTTGGGTGGTCGATCGACTTAAATCCGCATCCGCCACCTCTTCTTCTCGCAACGACCTCGCGCAACCAGCAGCCACACCACAACACGCCCCACGCGACCCCACCAGAGCTGGATCCGGCTAGGTTGGATCGGGTTGGATGTTGGCTCGTGCGCTGCAGCCTTTACGGTCGCATCCGCCGATCCGAGTCTGTGATGCTTGTGGTACTCGCTTGGTCTCGTCATCATCGACGTCGTCAAGTCGATCGGAATTCCAGTCGCCGTCATCGGTGCATCTGTCGAGTGAATGGAGACATAGGAAAGGGAAGGGAAGAGAGGTGGGTGTTGGGTTCTTCCTTGTAGGCGTCACTCGTGCCAGTGAGCCGATAACGAAGATCGCTACCCACAGATCGTGTTGGATCGAACCGAGCTTCGCAATCGATCCATGCTCACGAGGCTGGCGAGACGACCGCCTGGGGTGCGTTAGGGCATGGTTTCTCCTGTATTTCGAGCCACGACCACTCATTTTCGGTTCATCTCACACCACAGCTCATCGCTGCACCGTATAGCACAAGTCATAGCTTGTCCTCAAGGACAGCTTCGAGCTCGAGCTCGACTCGGGCCCCTGAAGAGCGAGCCACAGCCCCACTCGGCTCACAAGCTGCAGCCACAACCTGGGCCGACCTGGAAATGGCTATTACAAGCAGTCCTCCCGTAGAAGCTCGAGCGGTCTTCAACAATCTCACACCGCATGATCGCGCCTCGTTGCCACGATCGACGTTCGATGATCTCTTCCTCCTCGTCGCCGAGCTTGACTCGCCTCAACGACGGACGCGCCGCGTAGCCAGTGCAATCAAGGCATTGAATGCCTACGCCAAGGATGAAAGAAGGTGGAAATTGACAGATCAACAGACGCGCATCGCTTTCCAAGTGATGGTGCGATGGGAAGAGATTCGAAGGAAGCTCGCGGCGGATTACCGTGATCCTATCAATCCGACTGTAGAGGAATGGGACACCCAAGAACGCGAACGGGCGAGAAGGGCCTACCTCGATCAGCTCAGGGAAGAATTCATGGCTATACGATCACGTGGGAGCGTCGAGTTCGAAGACGATAGGTCGATCGTCGAACGGTACGCCGCGGCCATCATCAGTCGCGATGTCAATGATTATCGAAACGCTGCCGAGGTGTACGCACGAGCCGGTCGACTACGCTACGACCCCTCTGCCATGGGAGGAATGAAACCTTCTTCGTCTTTTGTGGCGAACCCACCGATGGTTACACCGGCAGCTTCGACCTTGCTATTCAAATTATTCCAGAAGGACTCGCAGCTCGCGCTTCGGCACCTCGGGATCATGCTCGACCGCGGCCAACTGCCTTCGTTCGAAGCGCTAAAATGCATCATGTTCAATTCCGACGAGTCGTCAAAAGGGGAGGAAGATGTATATATGCACTATCGGCAGGTCCTCGACGCGGCATGTGACCCGGGCTCGTGGTCGGGTACCCGGTCTCTTGATGCGCTGCAGGAGGAACGACTTGCTCAACTCGATCGGACCGAGGACTTTGAGCAAGAGCCTTGGTTCGCGTTCCTGCAGTGGCTTTCGTCTGAGAGGGAGGACAAGGAGGACATGATGGACTGGCTGCTAGTGTCGCTGAGGTTGTGGAAGGTCGTCTATGCCGATCACGGGAACTCGCCTACGCGGTACCGAAGCCGAGAACTGCTCGACGATCTTATTCGTCGGACCCTGCCCGAACGGCAGCTCGACCCTTCTGCAAACGCGCGACCTGCACCCGCTTACTTTTCCAGCAACCCTCATGGCCTTGGCCGACCCTCACGTGCTGTACACCTAGCGATTCGACTCGCCCTCGACCAGTTGAGCACCTTCCAACTCGTCACTCGCGCTCACCGACTACTCCAAGCCATCACCGTCTCGAGTCTCGATCGACCGTTGGCTCGCAAAGCCTACATGACCCTTCGCGAAAAGGCGCCTCTTGACAGCCAATACCCCTTCCGCTGGACAGCAGCCCTTCGACCGACGCTTGTCCAATTGATCCTCCTCGCCTCGCCCCCCAATCCCCCGGACCCGGACTTCATCTTGCAACTCTACCTCGACTGGACCGCATGCGGCATGACCTTCCCCGTCTCCCTGTATCCTCCTCTATGGCGAGCCCTTGGTCGAAAGGGAACGGTGGAGGATTTGGCGCGTGTGATCGACGATTACGAAACCTCCGGACGAGGTCGCGTCGAAGCGCGCATCATCTCCTTCGTCCTCCTCGCCAGCACCGAACGCGAAGATGCCCTCAAGACACTACCTCTATTGGAATACTTCCGCAACCGCAGCCCCGTGACGACAACCCCGATCGACTACCTCGTCCCACGTCGCGTGTACGAGCACATCATGTGGCAACTCGCTTCCTCCACATCCGATCAAAGGCCCGAGGTTCTTCGTTTGTTCAAACAATTGACCGAAGAAGAAGGGTGGAAACCACGCATCACGACATGGAACGCGATCCTCGCCTCGCACGTATTCCGATCCTCTTTCACTCCTGACGATCTCGAAGCCGCAGGAAAGACGTACGACCTCATCGTTCGACGAACGCCGCGATCCCCCGATTCGGCGACCTTCTCTTTAGTCCTTCTAGGATTCCTTCGCATGGCGAAGCAGTTCGAAGGGCAAAAAGTGACCGCTGTCGAAGCGGGTTTGAAGACCGTTTCATCGGCATTCGAGAAAGGCCGTTTGGTCCGTGGTCATCAAGTGGCCGAGTTGATGGGTTTGTTGGGCCAGTTGGGGAGGTACGACCAAGCCAAGATGTTATCCGAACAGTGGTGGGCTAAGGTCGTTTCGAATGAGAGGGAAGGGAAGGGAAGGGTTTTGGGAGAGGAGGAGATGGAGAGGATGAGAGGCGCGATTGAGGATTTGGCTGAGAGGGAGAGTGGGGTGAGGAGGGAGAAAAAGGTGAAGGGGGAGAGGCAGAGCAAGAAGAGCAAGAGCAAACGGTCCGAGTTTGCTTTCCCTTTATTTAGAGATCCCAAGAACTGATCAAGATGGTAGTGCAATAGAAGCAACTTTTTAATGCGGATGTGCGGAACTTGGGCCTAGCGCGAAGGGAGTGACTGGCGACTAGGGAAAGGATTTAGTCAAGTGCGGAGATCGAGTTACCAAAGGAACGAATATCACGCCACTGGGTTCAAACCCAAGTAGCTAGTAAAAAAGGACGGGATGACCATATGTTCCTGACAAAGCGGACCGTGTGACGCTCGGGGACGCCGATGTAACCGCGACGAAACCCCGGCAGCGCGGATGGCGAAACCGTCGCACTCGCCGGTGTCGACTCCTATAATCGTTAGACGGTTAGCGTAGAGCTGCTATAGCTCGGCGAATCGGGCTTCAGACGTTTGTCCGACTCGAGTTGACTTCGGATCAGTAACTGCCCGTATGAACAGAGCCCTTGTGTCACAGATTACTTGTGGAAACCATCTTAGGTAGAACTGCCACTACGTTGCAACAATTTCCTCGCTTCGGTCTTCCTTCCTGTATCCCAGCGAAATACAGAACGTGGACAGAAGGCAAGCAGTGAAAAAAAGTGCTCGGTAGTGAGACTCGGAGGCGCGCGGCAGCGCATCACCGAACCTTGATAGCGCATAATGAAGACCTCACGTTTGGTATATAGAACTGTTCAGAGGTATCTAGAAGAACTTGATGGTGGGACCAGCGACGGTGTTCTCGTTCGAGAGACTGTCCGCTGACTTGGTAACGATGATGTAAGTCGCGCCTTTCAGGCCCTTGGGAGGCTGAACGTTCGCAAGGGTAGCACCGTGAACGAACTCGATGGGAGCGTAGAAGGTCTCGCCGTTGTTAAGGAAGGCGGCGTAGAGCTTGCCATGGAGCGAAGTACCGGGAGCGATCTTGCCCTTGGGTGCCTTGGCAACGTTGGGGACCGCGAGGTCGGGCAACTGGAGCAAGAGGCCGGACTCCTTGGCGTGCTTCTTGCCCTTGACAGCCTTGGGGGTGACGATGGTCAGTTCAGGGAAGGGGGCGAGACCGTCGGGGAGGGGCTTCTTGGGACCGCACGTGTTGGGCTTGATCATTTTGTAGGCGAGGCTGTTCGAGCGTACCGGGGGGCAGCCACGAGACAGGCATCAGCACGATGAACCCGACAAGATCAGGATACAACTCACGTCCAAGATTGGTTGAAGTTGAGCGCGGTCTCGAACGCGGTGGGGAAACCAGTTTCGGCCTCATATTCGTTGAGGAGCGACGAGTGACGTGCCTCGATGGTCAAGATTGATCCGGAAGTACCGATCAATTCGGACGTGGACAAGTGAGGGGTCGCGCCGAGGTAAGCTGAAGTGCCGACGGTCTCCAATGCACGAGAGGTAGCAAGGAAGCTCTCGACGCTGTGCAAGCTTTCGCCGAAATCGTACTCGCAGGGGGAGACGGCGTTGTGACCGAGCACCTGCTTCAAGGTCGCGACGTGGTCCGACTCCTGAGTGGCGATGTCTTGGAAGCGCTCGAACAACGTGGGCACATGCTTGAAATCTTCCTTCGTGAAGTTCTTCACACCTTGGGAGCTATGAGGGATGGAATGGAGCAGCCATCCGGATGTTCCATCGCGGTGTTTCGAGCGAGTACGAGTTCATGAGAGGGGCGGCGAAGGCGCGGTCAGTATGAAGGTTGGGGGGTATGCGCAAGTGCAACTGGGTATGGCGAGGTAAAACTTACAAGAAATTCGCTTCCATGAACTGTTCGGGCGGTTAAAAGAGCGTTAAAGGCATGCGTGAGTCGTCAGCTGCAGTCCGTCATCTTGGCCTGAGGCTGGGAGCAACCCACCTCGAGCGTGAGAACTAAAAAATAAAAGAAGTTGCTGCGTCAGTGGGGATTCATGGTAGCTGACATACAGTAGGTTTACAGCGTATGTCGATCTAGTGCAAGGACGAAGCGATGACCCGCGCCGCTGACGTGCGCGCTCAGGCACTCAGGGGCGAGGACACCGTCCTCAGGGGGTGTCTTAGGCGGTCTTTGGGCCACACCACTGCCGAGAGCCCCACACGACAGCGGACTCACGGAAATTCACGATCTTGATATCCTCGTCCTTGAGATGGCCACTCTTCTTGACTACCTTGGTGATACGCTTGTGCTGGCCATGGTGGTGATCGACTTTAGCGGGGGTGCGTTGGTGGGGGTGCTCGTGCTTGTGCTCGGCGGGGTGAGGGTGAGCCGCGGCAGCGATAGGGGAAGCGACGGCAAGCGCTATGGCGACGAGGGCGAGAACGGAACGCATGATGATGGTGGTGAGGGGAAAGAGAGGGTAAAGGGTAGGCAGGGAGGGTATCAAGATGATGGTTTAGGATGAGGGTTCCCAGAGAGCACGATGGAGAAGGAGAGAAAGAGAGACACGCCGGATCACCTTCACAGCCCCTTGGCGCGCGGTAGTAACGGTACCGGACGGTACCATGCCGAATCCTGAGTGCCCCTGAGTTGAATGAAATGAGACATGTCTCGTGATCACTCGCGCTCGCTGCTCGGTTGCCCCACGTGTCTCTAACGCCCAAACGGTCCACTGCACATCATCCATCGGCACAGTCAACAAGGAGGGTCGCCGACGTGGCCGACATGATCGTGCGCACGTACGCAATCGCCGAGTCGGGCCCGCACTGAGCCACAACTCGCTAGACTGCAAGCACCTTGTGACCATAGTGGGAAGTGCCGACGGTTCGGTACCGGCACAGTCTGGCGCAGTTCGCACGTTGCCCAAATTCCTCAAGTCTGATTTGGTGTGCCCAGGCGCCGGCAGCCCGTTTGCACTTTCGCCGACGTCGAGATCTCCTCGGTGTGGGGTCACCGTGCCCGACGACTTCTCATTTCACGCAGCAGCAGAAAAGGCCCGTTCACCTTACGCTCAATGAAGGAATCAAGAGAAGCATTGATTCGGACGACTCTGTTCGTAGGAGACGTGGAGCGCTTTGACCTTGACGATTGTGGCAGGATGGCGCCTGTGTGGGGGCGGGGCCTCTGCCCGGTAGGACGTTCAAAAGTGGCTGTCACAGGGCCGCGTCACCTAGATGAGGCTCATGTCTTCATGATTATTGATATTGCGCGATTCAAAAAATGTGTACAGAGGCTATTTTAGAGTTGCTGGATCGAAATCACCCCCTGACTACGGTGATGGGATTGGCTCTCCGGTCCGAATGCCCTTGAGCGGCTTGCAACGCCAGGATACCCGTCAAGGAGACCTACAGAGAGTATAAAGTCGGTATCGACTGCATGAGTGCCTTTTATCCGCCATGGATTCGGAACATGATCAAACAGACTGACGCAGATGATGAGGTTGCTCGCGGCGATGGATTGCAACGCCTCGGTCGTCCGAAATTGCGCCGTGGTTGTGGTCGTGCCACCGAGTCCGGGCAGGTATGCGAGGGCAGTTCGTACGTTGGAAGCATAGACGGACAGTCCGGATGCCAAAAGGACTGCAAGGTGCGAAAGTGGGCAGAGATTGAGCTTGGACCGATGACGTCGATGACTGCTCGCTCGCTGTTGAGCTACCGGGAGACGACTTACGGAACGAAGCGCCATCAAAGAGCATGCCCTTGAGCGGGTTCATACTGAGCTTGATCAAGCAACTCAACAGTGCCGACCCAGCCAAAGCGGCCAATCCAAGCGGGTACACGGCCGAGCTCTGCAAGGCGAGATGGGAGTAGTAGGCCAACGCGCGGTCGACCGACGCTTGCGAGACGGCCGGTCCCTGCCATATGATGTAGTAGTCGACGATCCAATGGGTGAAGAAGGAACCGAGAAGGATGGAGGAGGAGACGAAGATGACCTTGTTGAGGGCCCAGTCGACGAGGTTGCCCGAGATCAGTGCTCGCGAGGGATATCGTGATGAGGGGTCCGGGCCGGGTGACGATGCCCGCACGACGGCGGCTGATGTCGACGGTGTGCACGGCGTGGACGGCGTGGACGGTGTGGGCGGTGAGGATTTGGCCATGGTGGTGAGTGGGTGGGCGAAGATCGCAGCTTGTGCGACTGTGAATGACCGGGGGTAGGAAGCGGAGAGGCCACGGCTGAGCGTAATGTGGACCGGGGGTAGGAAGCGGAGAGGCCACGGCTGAGCGTAATGTGGAGCTTCGCTTCCGTTCTCGGCGCCGCAGTCGTGCCGCTGCTGTCAGAGGCTGTCAGCTGTCTGCCCGAGCTGTCTGCCGCTGTCGTGCCGGGTCGGGCTTGGTGTGCCGCCAGCAGGGTGCCAGCGGGTGCCAGCGGGTGCCAGCGGGTGCCCTCGGGAGCCCTCGGGTGCCGCCCATTCACGCGCAAGCCCCCGAGATTTCCGGCGCTCCACCTTGCGCTTGTGCTCGCCGCTCCGTTGGTCTTGGATCGTCCCCTTCGCGCCTCACAGAGAGAAGGAACCAGAGCCAAGCTCTCCCTCCCACCATGGCCCAAGTCACGCCGCAAGAAGCGAGCCGTATCATCTCGCACATGAACGCCGACCACGCGCCGTCGTTGAGCCACTATCTCGAGCGCTTTGCCCACGCGCCGGCCAGAGTCGCAGCGCTCGCACCGCGCATCACCGAGTTCTCGACCGACGAGATGGCCATCGAGTATGGGCCACAGGGCAAAAGGAGCACATGGCATTACACGTTCGATCCTCCCATGTACGCTGGCCAGGCGAGGAAGCGGCTCGAGGCCATGCATTCCGAAGCGCGCAAACAGCTCGGATTGGTCAGTGTTCCACTCTCCAACAAGTCGCCGAACTCGAATCGCCGAACGGCAGGCCGAAGTCGAGATCGGACTCGAGGTATCTATCGTCTTGACAAGACGAGGATCAACTGATTATCGTTCTTGCATAAATCTCAGAGTGACGTGACCATCGACGACGTTCGACTTCCCACACTCACCCGTCAGTCCAAGCACACTCTCAAAGAAATCTTGGGAGGAGAGAGACAGAGAAACCTAGATCTGACGTGCTCCTTCTGCCCCCATATCGCTCCCACTGTACAGTCGTCATCACGCTCGTCTTCACCTTGATGCAAATATTTGTCCTCTTGGCCCCCAACACGACCGTCATTAACTTCCTCCCCTGGCTCAAACCACTCGTCGTGCGTGGGTTGAACGCCCTCGACTGCGTCCCGACGGCCGACCGCGTCGCCTTGGGCATCAAACTCGCCTTGCTCGGTCCCTTGTTCGGAGTCAGTCCAACACGACATTAGCGACGATCAAAAGATGAAAGGATCGGATCGCTCATGGAGATCTTCCTTGCATACGCAGGCCCATACGCTCGAGATCTTCTTCTCGCTCAACCCTTTGCTCAAGCGCTACAACGTCGAGAGCCCGACCGCTCGAGCGCTCTATGTAGGTCCACGCTCTTCTCCCGGAAACTCACCGCAATATCTCGATTATCCTCTGATTTATATCTCGTTTGCCAGACAATCCTCACCTTCTTTGGTGGGTTCCCCATCTGGACGGCGTTGAAAGCCCGAGGGGAAAAATTAGAGCATAAATTGAACGAGGGTAAATCGCACTAGTCATAGCAGTAGTGGTGCCTAGCTCGGATGAGGGCATGGAGAACGAAAGAAAGAACTTGTCAAAGCATGTGTTTGTAGATTCCAAAAGAAACACCAAAGAAGTCTATCAAAGCTCGGTCCGATCTGCTCGGAGGAAATCGATCGTTCCGCACAACCCGCTCTCGCTCCGCTCACCGCTCGGTCTTGTCCACCACCGTCTCACCTCGATTCTTACCGATGGCCGCCCCCGCTACCGCCCCCGCTGCATCCAAATTGCAAGCCTTATGGAACCATCCCGCAGGTATGGTGCACGTGCTCCCAAAGTGTGCTGAGCGCGAGCGAGCTGCCAAGCTGACGTGGTGATGTCCCGTCTGTGGTGTCTCTCTCCCCAACGCGTGCTCTCCTCGTCGACCGCGCTGCCCTCGGCTTCTCGTGATCGTCGTCGTTGCCTACGTCTGGCTTGTGGTATATTAGGTCCCAAGTAAGTAATAAAGCCTGATATCCCCGCGTCTGACCCGCACTGACTTGGCTGCATCCCCCACCCGCTCGTCGCTCCAGGACCGTCTTCTTCTGGGCGCCCATGTTCAAGTGGTTCGTGACCACAGAGATCCCTCCAAGGCCCCACGCTGTGGACCGGAAGCTGACCATTGCGTTTCGATTGCTTTTGAAAATAGGGGCTTGGTCGCTGCCGGCTTGAAGGACTTGTCGAGGCCAGCGGAGAAGATCTCGATCCCTCAAAACCTGGGTCCGTAACCGTAATCACGAATCAGTCCTCGGAGCGAACGAAAGCAACTTACCTCTTCGGAATACTCTCTTTAGCTCTGACTGCAACGGGTTTGATCTGGGTGCGTTACTCGTTCGTCATCACGCCCGTCAATTACTCTTTGGCGGCCGTCAACGCTTTCGTCGGAGCGACGGGGATCGCTAGTTTGTCTCGAGCGCTTGCGTCAGTCCTACCTCACGAAACAAAGATTTCAGAAGGTTGGAACCTGATTCGAATCTTCTGTTTTGGGTGGCTCAGATGGAAGTACATGACACCGGAGGAACAGATGAAGGTGCGCGCCGAGCGGGCAGCTCAAGAGGCCAAGAATGCGGCGCTCAAGCTCAAGGACCAGGCTGTCGACAAGATCAAGGCTTGAACGTCCGTTCACAATCACGAGGAGAGGTGGATGGTGTCGAGTTTCTGGTTTCTTCGGTGTTTTTGTGTGTATTCTTGGCTGCAACGGGAGGCGGAAGGGTACCATTGTAAAGTACGGTCGCGGCTCGCGGAACGAACGTATGAAGAGGCAACTCGGAGGATGCCCGCAGGAGATGATGGTTACAATGCACAACTGCCAAAAACGCTACTCCTGATCGACCTCCATCGCCTCGTCTTTACTCCCCTCGACACCGACATCCTTCCCCTTCTTCAACGCGTCCTCCAACCCTTCCAAAGCCGACTCGACGTCCCCTAAACCGCCGACCTTTTCTGTAGCCCATTCCTCATCCGCCTCTTCCTGAGGAGCCTTGGGTAGGCCAGCTAAAGGATCCACGGTCTCTTCTGGATCATGGTACCATATCGAACGGGATGCTTTGGCCGCTTCGGAAGAGGTCGTGTGTAGTGCTGAGAGCGAATTGATGGAATCCAGCAGGAGCTTGAGGCGAGGTTGGGTCAGACCCGGTTCCTATGAGACGTCGGGAAGCGTCATAAGTTTCCCCCTCTTTCGCCAAAGAACCCGTTCTGCACCTCCAACCGATCGGTCCGAACTAACCTCGGCCAAGGTGCCCAATCCGGTCCCAAACTCCTTGACGAACTGATCCCTCCAATAGGTCCCAAACTTTTCTCGCCTCTCATCGAATTGTTCCTCCATCTCCTTCTGCTCCTTCTCCCTTTTCGCTTCTTGTTCTTGCACGTCCCCCCAAATGAAAGCCTTCAACAAGTCGTCACCTTGGGGTAAAGGTTTGATCGCGGGGAAGAGGTCCATCCCCAAAGGGACGTTCATAAGATCGGGGGAAGGTGAACGAGAGGGAAACGGTCGGGGACGGGAAGTACCCGCGCCCGCGCCGCCGGAGGTCGGGTTGGTGGTCGAAGTGGTGGTTGTGCTTGGTTTGGGGGGTTGGAAGCTTGTTTGGCTTGCTTCTTGCGTTCTCGCGCTCGTCGACGACGGGTCGAGGGGTCCAGGTCGAGGTCAGAGTCAGAATCCGAGTCCGAATCGGACGAAGACGACGATGACGAAGAGGAGGATGAAGATGACGATGATGACGAAGACGAAGAAGCCTCGGAAGAAGCAGCCTCTGCATATTTCTCCGCGCCATCGATAGTTTTGCTCTGCTCGACTTGATCTTCAGACGACGAGTCCTCCGACGAAGACGACGAGTCCGAATCGGAGGAATCCTGTTGACGACGACGACGGACACGTTTCCGCTTGTTTGTCTTGGAAGCACCACCTGATGCTGCAGCGGCCATGATTGCGTGGAGTGATTGGGTGCGAGTGGGGATGTGCAAAGGGGTAATGACGGCGTCGAGGAGGACAGAGCGCGTGACTCGCCGAGGCTGCGAAGCACTGCGCTCGCGGAGACAGGCGGAGACTGGCGGAGACTGGCGGAGACTGGCGGAGACGGGGGAACGCGCCGAATTACTAATACGCCGCCCTGCAGGTGTAAGCGAACGCATCTGATGCTCGCCGCATTTCACGCCTTACGTGCAGACACTCCTTGCCGTCGCATCGGATAACGACAGTATTGCAAATCGACCATGCGCAAATAACCAGTGTCCAAGACTGTAGCGGCCAACTCCAACAGCTCTCCTTCCGGCGATAGCACCGAGCCCATCCGGGAAGATTATGAAATCCCATTTCAGAAACCAAAAAGCCGCCCAACTATCCTCCGCCAACGTCCAGCATACATGTTCTCCCATCCACCCATACCTCCTCAGGTTATATCGTTCTACCCTACTGCATCTCCATTCCTCTCGAATCTTGCGCTCCATCGCCTCTCCATGGTCGACTCGATCGATTCCTTTCGTTCTCCAGTCGGTGTTTACTTCAGCTTGGCAAAGATTTTGGGTGCGGCGCAGTCCTCGACGCAGTGCACTTCAGATGAGAGGTAGAAAATAACGTCAGTATAGGGTCATCCCTGTCCCTGAAAGACCGCAAGCGCGGAGGCGTCGCGTAGGACGCGCGAATGTCGGGCCTTGTAGAGGGGACTAACTCAGGTGGACTGCATTGAGCACACAAGGGAGGGAGTTGATCAGTCATCACCTTCACGAAACGATCATTCCAACCCCGAGCTGCACTAACACAACTCCTCGACGCAGTTCTCCCCCTCGATCATGGTCTGGCCAGCCTGCACTCGCTTCTGGCAGTGGTCGAAATGGTGCTTGTAGGTCCCACACGGCTTCTCGGCGCATGCTGCTCAAAGGGGCAAACGAGGAGATGGAAGGGTCAGATTTGGGGTGACAAAGAGCAGGCCGATGGAGGCGGCGATGGCCGTGGGCCGGCTTCACGCACCGTCTCGGATTGCCGGTGCCTCCTACGTAGCGGGATGAGCGGGGTAGTTATGGTCAGTGCTATGTCCCTCCTGTGAGTGTGATCAATCAAGGTGCGCTGTGCATGCCGGGTGAAGTACATGGCCGGCCCGTGGGGCTAGATCGCGCCCAATCAGACGTCTTGCGAATCGTTCCGACCCGATCTCACCCCCCGCCCCCCGCCCCGGTGGTGTCATCAACCACCTCCGCCATGCCATGTCCCCTCCACCCCATCGCAGCACCGCACCCGAGTCACTCAAAGCAAAGCAAACTCACATCCTCGGGCTCCTCCTCCTCCTCAGCCGCTTCAGCCTTGTCCTCGTCGGCCTCACCTCCAGCCTCAGCGGATGACGACACCACCTCCGCGACGTCCTTGGCCTCCTCGGCGTGCAACGTGAACGAGTCCTTGAGCGATTCAAACAAGGTCGAGAACATGGTCGGTCGTGGGGAGCGCAAAAGGTGGGGTTGCGGGTCAGTGTTGAGAGCGGTGGCTCTGCTTTCGGCGCGGCGGAACCGACGCCGCGCGTCTTCCCCTTTGAAGTGGCAATTACCTTCGCTAGCACCCAAACTACTAATGGCTAATTTCGAAGCAAGTAGTAGTAGTATCCCGTCTCGGCTCTGCTCACACAACCAGACAAAGCCGAAAGTGACCGTACATACAGTTCTTGAGAGTTGATATTCTTACTTTGACCTGGAGCAGGTATGGCAGGAATGCATTAGTTCGTCATGAGTTGAGGACACTGCAGGACGAGAAAAAGCTTGATGCTGTGCGTACTGACGCCCTCGGTAGCACGACCACTGCTCATTTCCTCCATTTTCGTCCACACCATGACTAACCTAGCCGAGCAACACGACCACCCGGTGCCAATCGCATCCGAACCCGCGTCGCCAGCGCCACAGGGGCTCGAAATGATCTCACGCGTGCCACACCAACCGCTGACTTCTTGGGAGTCAAGTTTGGAAATGTTCGAAGGCGCTGCGTAGCCTGGGTTGGCGTTAGTACTTTCTGCCTCAGCTCATACCCCACCCATTTCACAGCAGCAAGCACCTATAGTTTCGATTTGTCTTGAACTATCGACCGAACTAGCACATTATCCCGACTGCATACCTGTTCTTCGACCCACTTCGCACGCTCGGCGCACCCCCTTCGAGCAAGTTTCTCACCCGAGGCGCCATGCGTCACTGCAAAGTGATCGGTTCTTTGCTGACTCGGCGGATCACTCGTGACGAGGAAACTCGGTATATTTCGAAATAGCCATGTCGATCAGCAGTTTTTCACGCAAAGTTTGATCGCGAATACACGCAGACGTGCGCCGGCGCGCTGGTTCGCACCAGCGAGGTCTTGTAGTTCAATGCTGCGCGACTATCCTCGGCAGGTGCTCATCCGTACAGAGAGTATTTCTTCGGGGGTCAGGGTAGCTTTAAAATGATACAACAACTCACAATATGTGAGCTTGTATTTACTACAGCAACAACATGGATTTTTGTTACTACACTATCATCTATGGGAAAATCCTGGGTGAGCAAAGGAGCGGCCGGGAAAGGTTGTGCGTCTACCTCAGCCCCTGTCATTTCGTCCTGTCAGACGTCGAAGGTCCGGTCCTCGATTTCTTCTTTTGTCACTCTGTCAATGACCAGGTCGATCTCCAACACCCTTGGTTGACGTGGCCCGTTCGAGCGATCCAGCTTGGGCTCCTTCTTCCCCGCTCCGAAAATTCGAGCGAACGTTGCTCCGAGTTTCCTCCTCGTTCTTATGAATTTCCCAGGCGCAACAGTAGGTTCTTGCTTTTCCTCTTTGGTTCAAATCCGGTCCAACGGTCCATTCGTCCGATTCGCTCGTCGTCGGTGCCGCAATGACCGTCTCGACAGTATTCGCACTCGCATGATTTCCAAAGCCGAGCCATTTGCAGCGCGTCGGACCGATCTCTCGGAAGGATTGGTACGTGAGGGCGTTGAGGATGAGCAGAAGGAGAGCGGGATAACTCCAGGGTCCGATGAAAGCGGCGCTCCCGAAGATCCACCACGGTCCGTACGCGATCGTTAGGGTATTGGAGGTGACCACCAAGTGCATCAACGTCGCCACGACGACGATGGCGATGAATCCGGCGGCTAAGGAGAACTGGGAAGGGTATGCCAAGCCCGAGTCAGTACACGGACATCGCTTCAAAGGATCTGGATCCCCAAGCAAAATTCAGTAATTTACAAGCAAAAGTTCGATCGGTGCTCGCGAGAGAATGACGATCATGCGCGCCTTGTCCTTGTAATGGCTGCGACCTGGTGCTTTTGACATTCTTCGGATCTCCGAGGAGCTGATCTCACTACTTCTACCGCCGTCACGAGATCAAGTATTTCCACCAAACAGGGAAGAAAGTCTTTGCCTCCACGTGGCGCCAGACGCAGCACTCTTAGAATCGATGTTGCCCCAGGTAGCCTCCATCACGCCACACACAGAGCCAATGGCCACTGAGCTGAAAAGTTGAAACTTTTGAAATTCGACCTGCCTGTTCATCGTGCGACATAGGAACAATCCAAAGAAGTTCTGATGCGAGGGCGGGCACCCCTTTAGTGGGTGAGATCAGAATCGGTGATAAGCTCGAATTGGGGACTCACCACGACCAGCATAGCGAGCGCACTCATGATGTTGGGACCCCAAGTGTAGGTCCCTGCCTTCCAGAACTCGTTGTACAAGCATTGAGTGCGTGCAAGTTGTAGCTGCGCCAAGTCGTAGTTGAGCGCAGGTACATTCGGATAGGCGGCGGCATCGGACTTGAGCAGCGTCATCAGCTGGGTGTAACTCTCCCAGAATTGGTCCCTTTATACGTGTGGACGCTGCCGGCGACGATGCCCAGCACGCTTCCAATTACAAACACCGAAATGACGAAGAAGTTGAAGAGGCGAGATGAGACGTTGATACCGGAGTACTTGTCCGTCGTCAAAAGGAACGTCGGTAAAGTTGGACCAGACGAGAATCCACCCATGCTCGCTGCATAGTCCGGGTCAAATGCGTGCGGCACACCGACGTCAGGTTGAGGAATCTTCGGACTAGACGGAATGCAACTCACAACATGGGGGCCAAACTGACAACTCAGGATATGCGACATTGAGCGATGGTAGACGTACATCTCGATCGCGTCGAGACCGAACCCCATCGAGCAAACCCCAGCGAGGATGATGAAGAAGACACCGACGGTACGTTGGTTCGGAATGAGCACTTTGCCCGAGGGACGATCCACCTATGTGAGATGATATAAAAAGAAGCGTCAGACGGGGCGCTATCTCGTCAACTGGCCCACGCAGTACGTGAAACAGGGGGCGTACTCGGCGAAAGAGCCAAAAGGCTCGCTCCTTGGTCCGATAGGGGCCAGCGGCGCTCCGGGCCTTTGCCCGCCGCTCGTATTGGGACACGCCGAGGTACACGAAACTGCTAATAATGAGCCTACAAGGTCCATCATTCAATTGGGTAAGCGAAAAATCATTCAATTGGGTATGCGAAAAAGAAAGAAAAAGGTGACGATATCTGGAATGGCGCGTGCAATCTCGGACCCACAATACGTTAATGGCAACCATGACGATCATGCGAGTCCTGAAGCCCGGGGACGGTGTACGATACACTAGAGCGTCCAGCGAGGCCATCATCTTCGTGTATGGGTTCTCTGTCGTATTCTGCCACTAATCGAGTGCGGAACGCGTCTGTGGTGACCACTTTGCTAATCCTATGCCAATTGACTCGACTCGAACCATCACCGACCGCAACCTTGCCTGGCTATCGGCGATGCTCGGAATGCTGCTGCTCACTGGGCTTCACAATCGAGTTGCGCAGCGATTCGTTGGACCTGATGAAGAGTTTTCGAAGAGGCCTAAAGAGTTGCGGGACTTCCAAGCTTCGAGAGGACCGGGCGGCGCGACGATCTCAGGCGGGTTCGCAGCGAATCGAGAATCTTAAGTCGGCTTGGCTAGGAAACCTCCGGCGTCTGCACTGGGCTATGCCAGGCTGATGCTAGTACAAGATTCAAGTAGGTGGATGCGAATGGTCGTGGGATGCTATGGCTTAAGGATTTGGTTGAAAGGTTACCCTAATCGTGAAGCGATGTGTAGTAGGTACCAGAGGAGAGCTGAGACCACCTAGTATTCCGTGTGACAGCAACAGTGCATCGTCATCAGTGATGTGTCGCAAATCTGCTTGCGAAACTCAAACCGACTTGAACAGGAAGGTGCATGCGGTGGGCCTGATCGACGCTCAGCAGTTGTTGAAAGAGCGAAGCCGAGGAGATGAACTTGGTGGCTCCAAACTCAAAAAGTTTGTTCGTCCCAATCGGGAATCCACGTTCTGCTTGTGCCACTCCCAAGGCCATTAGGTAGCACGTTCGCATTCATCAAGAAGAGTGTGCCAATAGTTCATACAAATACAAGGGGTACAATACGACAGAGAATAACTTATTCGAGGACAGGGACTCGGTACATGAAGGGGATCGGAGCCTAGTATTGCTGGAAACTCTGTTCGGCCGGCGGTGATTTCAGAGCGATATTTTCGCTCTCCTCCTTGACCACTCGATCCACGACGAGCTTTACTTCCAAAACTCTGGATTTGCTGCATCTTGTAGATGTCTTTGCTCTCGGCCACAAATTTGGGAAGGGCCTCGAAATACCGGATTCTTTCCTCCTCGGACCGGCGCTGTCGGTCCATGGACGACGGTCCGTGCTGCCCACCGGCTGCGAGGCACTGGGAGCAGATAGCTGGGTCGCAGTAACGAAGAAAGAATGGCGATCGTCCGCCTCTTTTGCGCCACGGACACTGCTCGTCGAAATGACGCCCGAGGTGCTGATCTGGCCCGCAGCGACTCGGGTCAAACGGGCCGACCCCTGTGGCTGACGGTACCGGTACGCCTGATAGATCAGGATGCTCAGAACGAGGAGGAGCAGAGACGGGTACGACCAGGTTCCGAAGTAGACCGATGATTCGAAGATGCCCCAAGGGCCGTTCACGATCGCGAGGGTATTTGAGACGATCGCGAGGTACATCAATGTTCCGACGACCCCAAACGAAAGCGATGCGGCACACATCGAGAACTGTGCAGGAGCGTGTTCAGGTCGTCAGATTCACGCTTACGCCGCGCGCCCGCTCCTCAGATGAAGCATCATTCGGGTGCCCGCTGGTGCCCGGCACTCACCAGCATCAGCTCCAAACCCGCTCGGGCGAGGACGATGATGGTACGAGCCTTCTCCCGCTGATGGGTGTTGGCACGACCCATGCACATCTTGCGAAGGTCCGAAGCCTTGAGAGAACTCTTGCTCGGGTTGAAGGTAGCCATGTCGATCCACCTCGTCATCTTGTCCAGGTTCCGTGGGGGCGATTCGGCTGCATCGACGTGAGGTTCCAAGGCAATCTGTGCAGGCCCTTCGATTCGAGATCCTGGCGAAATTGCTGCCAATAGCTGGTCCTTGTTGAAGTCAATTTGCCTTTGCATGACTCGGCAGAGAGACAGGCCGGCCACGTTCTGGCGAGGGGGAGGAAGCGGGGTCAGGCCCGCCGGTCAGTCACAGGTCACGGGCCTAACCCTTGAAGAAAGCAACGCACCACAATGAGGATCGCCACGGCCATGATTACACAAGGTCCATAGGTATAGGCCCCCGACTTCCAATATGCGATGTAGGCCGCCTGGACTGCGGCGACTTGTTCCACGGCCGAGCCGGAAGCTACCGAGGGCAGGTCTGGATAAGCTGCCTCGTTCGATTTGAGCTGAGTGATCAGGGCGACGTAGGCGTTCCAGAACTGAGCACCTTTGTGTGTATAGTATGCATTCGCGGTTATGCCCATCGTACCGCCAGCGATAAAGACCGAAATGAAGAAGGCGTTGACAAGCCAGGACGGAACTGTCACGCTCAGTGCTTGATCCGTCGTCATAAGGAATGTTGTAAGATTGGCCCATACAAGGATCCAGCCATGCTCACTGCCCGGTTCACAACCGGCAAGTCATAGAGTCAGCTCGCTGCGAAGAGGGAGAGCACGAGCTCTTTTCGACCGTAGTGCTGAAGAGGCATAGGTTGCGGAGAGCGTGCACACTCACAACATCGGTGTCATGCTGAACGCTCTCCATGCGAAACTGCTCTTCATGCTGTGTTGATAGATCCAGACCCGGACCGAGTCGATGCATAGACCGATCGAGGATATGCCGACCATGAGGAGGAAGAAAATTCCGACCGTCCTGTGATTCGGGATGACGAGCGGGGTTTTGTCGGACAGCCGATCAACCTTTTCTCTCGAGTGGCCCAACAAAGAATGCATTCTTCTTCATCATTTTGCTAACATGCTCTTTTGCGTGCCAATAAGGACGCGCCCTTCGAAAAACCCAGAATGTTCGCTGCTTCATCCGGTACGACTCCTCGCCGCCGGCATTTACGGCCTTGGTCCGCTCGTATTGCGTGAGGACGAGATACACTAGGCTGCTGAGAACGAGCCTGTGGGGTGAAAACGAGAGTATCAGGAAAGCGCATCCTCCCTTGGTGAGAGCTGAGACGTGAGCGAGGAGCACATGAATCAACGAAACCTCACTCACAGGACGTTGATGACCGACAACACGATCATGCGGGCTTCGAAGCCTGGACTTGGGGTGCGGTATACCTGGGCGTGGAGAGACTCGATCATCGCCGTGTAAGGGTTGCTCGTCATCGACGCGTCTGCAGAGCTTGATGATGCTGTAACAGCTTTCGCCACTATTCTGCTCATATCCGTCCCTCTATATCCCGATATCCGGCCGACCGACATCGGCCCTGCGGCCAACGGCGCCGGGCCGGGGGCTACGCGACAGAACCGGTCGCCGATCCAAACGAGTTGGCGACTTCAAGTTGCACTCTGTCGGCCAAGCCTCGTAGCGAGGCCTTTCCGTTGATCAACGGTCTGTTGTTTGATTCGCCTGAGATATCGAAAATGTGCGCACGGGTCAAGAGGGGGACCGCGGGGACCGGATATGTGGTGAAAAGGTGAAGCTTTCGAGACGAAAGTATTTTTGCCGACAGGCGTCACGCGCTGCTGTCCCAAATCGGGCGCTATCGGGGGTGCGCGATGCGTGCGGTGTAGAACTGTGGCCCAGGCTGGGCTCACGCGTGCTGGAGCCGCCGTCGTGTTACCGGTAATCGGCGAATGCGGACTCCGAGCTCGTCCTTCGGCTGCGAGTGCGGTACAGTGAATCCGAGTTGCTCCGTCTTGCAGTGCTAGAAACCAACTGGTTTCGCTCGCAACATCGCCTGTTGCTTGCTCGGAATTTCGGAATATTTGCTTTCCACGTGCTTCCACGTCAACGACCCTCCTCTCCTCATCTTTCGTCCGACTCCCTCCAAGTGAAAGTTTTACAGGTGTCCCACACGCACCATAGCTATGTCGCCGACTAACTCAGGGTATTCGGTGGCGAGAGAAGCCACCCCTCTCCCCCCCCTCCTCCCCGGTGGTGCTGATGTTGCTGGTGGTGCCGGTGCTGACAGTTTTGGTGCCGCTCATCATGCCGATGCGAACGAGCCTTAAATCTCTCGATGGGCGCCCCGGCGAGAACTGAACGCGCGGGTGCAATTTGTGACGTAGCATCTGCCTTTGTAGGAAAGTACCAGTCAGGCAGCTAGCTGCACGCACTCCACACGTAAACCTGGTGGTGTCAGTGGGTGATACAAATCGAAAGCTTGCACATAACGTCGACAGTTTCCTATCGCGATCGACCTGCAGATACAGCATGACCCAAGAATGATGCTTTGGGCCCAAATGGGGAGCCCGACCGGCGGCCGTCACGGTGGATCGTTACCTCCGCCGGCGGCGAAAATCCCGACCTGCCAGCCCAGTGACTGCGCGAGTCAAGTTGCAGGGAATCTTGACAAATCATGCCATTTACGGGGGGTATCAGGCATTGTTATCAATCGAAGAGTTTAGGACAATCAGTTGACTTGCCCCAAAGACGAACCTCACCCCCAAACACAGCGACTGCGTCAATCTTTTTCCATTCGTGCCCCGAATCGCATCGCTCCGAATGACCGAGCCGTGACGTGAGTACCTACTAACGTGCCGCAAATAGAATCGCGAATCGCGTAGGCGGCCATAAGCTTCACACGAGCGCTCTCACTAGTTAGTACAGTAGATTGTTTTTTACAACAAATGGATGTTTCCGCGGCTGTGGTCAGCTGCGGTAAGTCATCCTGAAGCCAACTCATGGGCAGTCTGCGCGCGCCTGCGCGGTGGACGACCAGCCCGGCGTCTGCGACCCTCCAGTGCACCGTCACCACAGGAGCCACTCATACTTGACTGGCGCTGACTGGCGCGTTTTTCTCTTTTGTCGCTTGTTCTGCAGTCGATGAGGTTGTCGCGCTCACCTCCTCCTCCGCCATCTCCTCCCTGACCGCTCTCTCGACGACCATGTTGACACCCAAAGCCGGCTTGGTGTTGGTTGAATCGAACGACGAGTTCCTCCGGGCCCACGGATTGGCGATTCGACCGAATAGATGCGTTACATTGCCTCTCCTACCGGTGACGTCCGATCCTCCGCTGCCTCGTCTATCAAGTGGGGGTGGTGGTAGTACGAAAGAGCAGGATCGGGAATGGCTCGGCCGAACGATGGGCTCGACACCTGCCTCCGACATCGCCTGCGCAGCGGGAATGGCCCCTCCGACGGAGTTGAAGCTTGTACCGCCTCCAAGGCCTCCTCCTAAGGTTGGGACGGAAGTCGTCGCCCTTTACCTATATTGGAACGCCTGGAACAAGAGAAGGACTAGGGTGACGAGAGAGAGCGTAGTATAGAACCAGCCACTCACGTAGACCGCCGATTCGAATCGACTGAACGTCCCGGTCACGATGGTGAGATCATGGCAGATTATGGTGAGGTAGCTGAGGATCCCGATGATGAACATGGAGATGACCGCAGCATTGATCGAAAACTGCAACATGCCAATGGGAAACTTCATGAGATCAGCTCCTGTCCGGTACCCCACAAATGATCCCGTTTGGGAGATATTTCCACCGTAGACTTACAAGCAACAACTCCCACCGAGCTCGTGTCAGGACAATGATAGTCCTTGCTCTGTCCTTGCAATGGCTTCGCGCGTCGAGTTTGGACATGCGCCTAATTTGAGAGGCGGATAACCTCTTGCCGTTAAAGTCCTCGATACTAGCCGTCGACTCAAAGAGGCTCAGCCCCTTCGAAAGGCTCAGTCGCTTCAGTACTGCCGTCGACGATCTTCGTGGGATACCCGCCTCTTGCATCAACGAGGTCGTCAGCTGATGTTCGGTCGTGATCGCCGATATGAGTTGCTCTTTGTTGTAGTCGATCTGCTTCTGTAGCACTCGGCAGAGGAACAGGGCGGCCACATTCTTCGACGTGAACGCGTTCAACTGATCAGCTCCACAGGAACAAAAGGACCCCGGAGAGGGCGGGAGTAGACATACAACGACAATGATGGCGAGGGGCAGGATGATGCAAGGTCCGAAGGTGTAAGCTCCTGACCGGAAGTAGCGCACGCCAGCGGCCCGAACTTCTGTCGCTTGCTGCAACGTGAGGTTGTATGCGTCCGCAGGCAAATTTGGGTATGCCGCATCGTTGTTCTCGAGCCTGGCCTTGAAAGCAAGGTAGGCACTCCAGAACTTGAGACCTTTAGAAAAGTTGACGCAGCTGCAGATAATGGCCATGCCCAAGCCACCGACAAAGACCCCGACGAAGAAGATGTTCACAAGCGTCGACGAGACGGTGAATGTCGAGTGTCGGTCGGTCGTCATCAAGAAGGTGGTTAAGCTCGTCCACACCGTAATCCAACCGTGCCCACTGAAGAGGATGACGCATTCAGTTCTGGGTCAGCTCTGCGCTCAAGAGAGAAGGCGTTCCAGACATTGACACGTCACGTACAACATCGGCATGAGCAAAAAGGCTCGCCATCCAAAGCTGTCTCGCATCGCGCCTCGCTCGATAAATACCTTGATCGAGTCCAGCGCGAGTCCAATCCAAGTTACAGCCACCGCGATGACGAACGCTGCTCCAAGTATCCGATGATTCGGTATGATGAGCTTGCCAGAGCTCCGATCGACCTATGCAACAGATAGCACGATGCGTTAGACCGTTGATCTTCTCTCAAAAACGCAGATTACGCCAACCCTCCCAGCCTTACCCTACGGAACAACCAGAACGCTCGTTGACTTTTGGGCTGATAGGAGGCGTCTGACCCTTGCCTCGTATTCCTCTGTCGCTCGCGGTGGGTGATGCCAAGGTATGCAAGGCTTCCGAAAATAAAACTGTGACCAGAAACGCGACATAATGAGAGCATACAAGTCAGGTCAGCCTCCGCGTCCGTCTCCTCGAAGAAGCGCCCGAGAGCACGCAGCGTGAAATCCCGCCAGCCGAACTGACACAACATTGAGCACGGCCAGGGTGATCATCCTAGCCTTGAACCCTTTCGAAGGGATTCGATATACCTCCGTGTTGGTGAAGCCGATGATAACATCATAGGGTGTCACTTTTGACGATCCATTGCCCGCCGGCGAGGCCATGGTTGCTGGTGCTCGCCACCTCTTTTACACGCGAAAGGACTCTCGACCGCGCGTACAGGGCGGCCGGAGGGTTGGTTCGGCCGTTGCCGAGGCTCCTGGGGAGTCCTGGCAGGTGATTTGGATTCGGCAGAGTGCTGTTACGGTCTTTGGAGGAGGACCGTGCTCCCTGTTGCGAGTCAGTACGAGCACACGGAAGAGAAGCAAGCATTGAGCAAGGCTGCTTCCCAGGCACCATCAGCGGACTTATAACTCCGCTGCCAAGCTTGAGCGCGTATATAAGCTCTCTGTTGCGCGCGCACCCGCGCGAGGCCAGGAGCGATCGATCGGGGAGCCTGGTGAATTGGAGCCCCACCGAAGTTCGGCGGTAGCCTGCGGTAGCTCGTGCGAGACTCTTCCGTGGGGTTCCAACACCTGATGCCGAACGGCAGCGAAAGAGTGGGTTGGCTCAAGCTCTAGAGCTTTGACCTGGGAAAGTAATCCGGAGTCGGTGAATGTAGACGTGGCTTATTCGATTCACGAAGTTGGACGTGGCAAGAGGGTCACGGTGACCGTACGTGGTTGTCAGCTCCTAGTACTTTAAGGGGTCTGCTATCCGCCCGTGACCTCCTGATTCCTGGTCTCGAGTAGGGTTCTATTAGAGACATCGCAGTGTAACCACTGAAACTAGCATGAAAATCCAATAAAGGCTAATCGAGGTTGTAATTTAAAAAAAGGTAGGTAGGCACCGGGGGGTTTTAGGTACATATGGTTGATCCTGATGCAGGGTCGATGAGTCCTACACTACTGGCTTCTGCCAGTGTGCGTGAAAGCATTCCCTCCGACTTTTCCGAAGGTTTCTAGGTATTAATATAATTATACTGTTACTGAATTCTACCAAAAAAATATAATAGTACCTAGTAGCGGGGGCACGCCTGGGCATGCTTTGCACGGCCCTCGTAGGCTGCAAGTCGCTTTTTAGCGTCGGGAGCGCTCGTGAGACCCATGATCGAGGATTTCGCCACACCCTGCCTCCGACGTTCTTAGGCTCCTGTCCCGCGCACATCGAAAAGTTTACAGTGTTCCTGCCCCAAGGTAACACACGCTCCGTCTCGAGCTTTATCAAGAGCCTACAATAGCAATCCATGGCTCATCATACCGAGATGCTCAGCGCGAATCGGATCACCTCGACGATGTCTCAAATTCAATCTTTAGAGGCGGGCCTTTGCAAAGCTTGAGCAGCGCCGTAGTGCCTATTAGCGCCTTCCTCCCTCCCGCTGTGCAGAGCTGACGACGGACTTAGCGCAGGTGCGAATCCGCCCGGTGTGGTCTCGAACTCGAAATCATCATTCGCTGACCACAGCCCTCTTTGGCAGGAATGGTCCGTGCCTCTACATCTGCGCATCCTACTCGGTTCGATGCATGCTGAACGGCTTCTTTGCTTTCCCTCCACCCACAGGTTCAAGGATCACGCCATGAGGATGCCATGGCCGACTCGAGCCCTCGCAGTCGCAATGACGACTGGCCAGGCTTCACCGACGTCTTCCCCAGCAGCAAGTTCGGACCCACGCCTGTCGTCGTGATGGATGGAGGAATGGGAACGACGCTTCAAGCGCCACCTTTCTCGCAGAACATCGACTCTGCTTTGTGGTCGTCCGAGCTGCTCGCGACGAGCGAAGGTCGGGGAACGCTCGCCCGGCTGCACGCGACATGGGTCGAGGCTGGGGCTGAATGCATTGGGTCCAACAGGCGAGTTGAAAGTAGTGATTCATCTTGGGCTGTAGTACCTAGCCCTGGTTTGTATCGTCATGCGGTATCCTCGCCCCTTTCGCAAGCGAGCCGCACAAGCGCAGCTCACGTGACTGACTCCTGTGGTGTCCGTCCAATTCTTTCCCAGCTACCAATCTTTCCTGCCGCTCTTCTTGCCCAGAACATCGACCCACAACTGTATCCAGGAGGCACACGAGACGATGCTTTCCGCATTAAAATGCATCACTTCGACCTCGCCCGAGGTCAGATCGACTTCATCATTCTCGTCGACGAGCCGAGGTCATTTCCCCGTTCTTTCGCTCGGACCCTTTGGCGCGGTCTGTTACCCAGGCCAAGAATACGCAGGCTTATACCCCTCCCCTTTCGGATCCCGAGAAACACCCGCCAAGATCGCCTACGACGTCGAAGCCATCACTCTTCCTTCGGTACCTGTTACCCATGATCCAGAGGAGGACAATCTGACGGCATTCCACCTTCGACGGTTGAACGATTTCGTCGAGGCGAAGGAATGGAACCGAATGAAGTTGATCGCGTTCGAGACGATCCCTGTGGTCAAAGAAGCGAGGGCGATTCGAAAGGCGATGCAGATTTTCAATGGACGGATTGCGGGGAACGACGGAAGGAGTAAGGCAAGATTACCATTCTACATTTCTTTCGTGTTCCCTCTGGATGGACAAGGTCGGATACGGTACCCCGACGCAGGGATGGTGGGATCGTCGCTGGATGAACAAATGGAACTATTGGTCGAGGCTGTGTTTGGTGATAGAGAAGGGGAAGAAATGGCCGATGGGTTTGGTATCAACTGCTCGAATCCGACGAGGCTCGACGAGGTGCTGCAAAGCTTGCACAAGGCCATGAAGGCCTCGAGTGACGTCGCGAAAAGGGCCAAGAAGCCGTGGTTGGTGCTTTGTCAGTATCGAGTTGAATGCGCAGCTCTCTTGTGCGGCAGCTGATAAGTGCCTTCTTTCTGGATCCCCAGATCCCGATGGTGGAGCAGTCTACGATGGTAAGCCTGTATCTGACGAACCACGAAGCTTCTTCCTTGGCTTGAATTGACAGTGCCCCTCTTCTTTCCCAGTCTTTACCAAAACGTGGTCAAACCCTCTTGGCCTTACAGTCGAGCAATGGGCCTCCCTCCTAGCCGAGAACGTCGAGTCGTCCCTCGCGATCCAATCCAAGAGAACGGGGAGTCGGGACGATGAAGCGTTGTGGGGCGGAGTGATCGCGGGTGGGTGTTGTAAAGCGGGTCCGGAGGCCATTCGAGCGCTTGGGAAGGAGCTGGCTGCGCGGAAGTTGACGACGCTGGCTTAGATGCCAAAACGCGTGAAGGTTCTTGTTGTAAAGTGGAAGTGGACACCCAAGGCCCCAACTTTAACAACGTTTAATAGCTTGCTTCCCACGATCAATGATTGGAAGACGCGCCAATGACTTGACGAGGTCCGAGCGATAACGGCAACGTTCTCGAATTTGCCGGGTCGAAGTCCCTTCGATGGCTGTTCAAGACTTCATGATCGAGGCCATTTGCTTCCACTGTCCCAGATCGAGATTTTCGACATGACTGATGAGATAAGCCTGAAGGACCTGGGTCTTGTCCATCTGTTTCGGAGACGCAAAGGGTTTCCGAGGTTCGGGCGGAGAAACTTGACCAGCCTGAAATTCGTGCGCGACAAGTACAATCGAGTCAGCACATCGCTATCAGGTAAAGACGGGATGAGTAGGGAAGAGTTAATGACCTGAGGTGCGACGAGTATTCCGATCACTTGTATGAGGTCCTTGATCGCTGGTGAGTAGGAAGCCACCTTGTCGCCGACGCTGTCGGAGTAGTCGACGAGCAGCCCATGGCCTTCATCGACGACGAGTACGACGCGGTTCTTGACGTCCAAAGAGACGACCCTGATAGAAGAAGCAGTGCTAAGCATGCTTGGTTTCAAATTTGCGGGGTTCGGGTACGAATCCACCTCACCTCCCGACGAGGCGCACGCGTCGTGGTGGTTCAGCGAGCTCGGGCAGCGCGTCGAGGAGCACTATCTGAGCTACGGGGGGTGGATTGGACATGGCCTGGGTCGGACGAGTCGGGGCAGTCGAGATCGAGGCGGATCGACTGGTGTTTGAGGCTGGCGTGGCTGAAGGCCATCAGACTCGGAGGCGTGTTACGCGACTATAAGGTGACACGCGCACGGACCGCTTGCCGGCTTTTTGAAGTGAGACACCGGCCCAAAGCGACAAGAGCACAAGTCGGTAAATGTGCGGCTCATCTTCCGGCCGTCGGGCAGCCTCTGTCGCGATGTCTCGGAAGAAGGGGGTGCCCAACAATCGACACCAGGCCCAGCAGGTGCCAGTCCGGTCGCAGCAAGATGGAACGCAGCAACAAGTAGGAGCAGCAGCCACAGCACCATTTACGACGCCACCTCCACCGCAGTCGCCGCGAGGAAAGGTCAAGCTGCAGCAACAGCCTCAGCAATGGACATCTCCAGCAGCAGCCGGCACCCACGCAAGCTTGCGAACGGTGACTGAGCCGACCCCACTTTGGGCCGTGCCATCGCCTCCTATTAGGCCCTCAGCTTCGTGCGATGTTGGCCCTCGCAACAACACCCACGAGATATCGAACATGGTTTATCTTCCCCCCAACATGCCCATGTCGATGATGATGCCGCTGCCCATGGCCATGCCGATGCACGCCGTGCTACGACCACCACAGCCCGTGCCGACGTCGTACCACCCGTACGTGAGCTCATTCCCCGGCGCACACCCTGTCCCCCCACCGCATCATCAGAGCCCGTACGTGCTCAGCCCTACCACCTCCACCTCATCTCGACCTCATACCGCCACAACGGCTACCACAACACGGCTCTACGCGACCTCTCCCCCGCCCCCGCCGGTCGCCGCGACCCAGGCCCGACCTCCCTTAAAGGCGCCCCTATTCCCACCAGGCCTTGATCGATATGCCCAGTGCTACGTCCCACAATGGCAAAAGGACATCAACGAAGCCACCCAAGCCTACTTTATACCCCAACTACCACCCGATAGCCACCAGCATTTGTACAACTGGGACGAACTCTTCCCGAGAAAGCTTCTCGCCGACTTGGATGCGCTCGAAGCAAAACATCGAGCCGGCATCATTAGCTCGTTGCCTCCGATCAACTTTGGCAGGACTCCACCACCTCTTGACGCGCCACCTGTGGTACAGTCATCCCGTATTGTCCCCGTCCGCCCTGGGGCACCTCGCCAACCGGTCGCCCCACCCCCACCCCCACCCCTTCCCCCTCCCGTTCCGCTCCCCGTACCGGCCATCTCCCTCGAGGAAGAACTGAGGAACAAGATACCCAAACTTGCACCCGACACGTATGCGCAGCATTGGATACCACTGCAGCATGCCGAGGTCGAAGGTCAGTCGTTTAGCAGAATGACAGTGCCCCACGAGCCAATATTCACTGGGCATCACTTCTGTTGCATCGTTACAGCTCGGATAAAGCAACTCCACGATGCTCGAATGTACGCCGTCCCGATCACTAGGGCACCTCTCCCTCCATCTGGTTCCGTTACCCCGCAAACGCCGCGACTCTACGTTCTCCAAGCTTCCTCAATCCGTGAAGGCTGGCCACCGGTAGAGCTCGGTGACTCCCTCGAATTGCGACAACTGCGACCTCAGCAGCGGTTCGTCGATGGGCAAACAACTTCGAGTGGGACTTGGCAAGGCTTTGTTTTTGAAGCGACAATCGCGAGTGTGAATCGAGCCAAAGGGGAGGTGCTGCTGCGGTGCGATGGACTCGCCAATCATGAAGAGTCAATGATCTTCAACGTGGTCTGGAGGGTGCAAGGTCGGTCTTTACAGCCATTGGGGGTTTTTTTTTTTCCCATGACTGCTGACCGATGTTTGCGCGGGGACTTGCAGCTCGAGTGTTTGAGCACTGGCGAAGAGCTACCGAGAGAATCTCTATGGCAATGATTAGTAGTAAAGACACCAAGGACAAAGCCCGGTCGGTCGCACAGAGTTGGCTCTTCCCAGAAGTGGACGACTACAGGCAAGAGGATGAGAATACCGAACCCGTTGTCTTCCGGGGCATCGACGGGAGTCTGAACAAAGAGCAGAGGGTATGTGAAGAAGCGCAGTCTTAATGTTCTGTCCTTGCACTCATTCGGACCTCTTTTTCATACAGGATGCCGTCACTTCGATCTTGTGGGCAAAACACAAGGTGCCGTTTCTCATCAGCGGTCCTCCGGGAACTGGAAAGACAAAAACGCTGGTGGAAGCGGTTCTACAGCTACTGCGAAGTAAGCAAATAGCGCTGTGCACCGGCGTGGAGCGCTTCTTTATAGACAGCGACTGAAGTCGCGTTTCCGTCTTGACAGAACATCCAACAACGCACGTCCTTGTCTGCGGTGCTTCTGGCCCTTCGGCTGACACACTATGTATGCGCCTGAGGAGCCTCAAACCGACCGAGGTAATAAAGCATTTCTCTCACTCCTTTATGATGCGTTGCACTAAAGCCTGACTTACCCTATCGTTCAGCTCTTCCGAATGAATGCCCCGAGTCGGCCATTCGCAGAAGTACGGGGCGAGCTCTCGCCTTTCTGTCACGTGGAAGACGGCAACTTTGCCCTCCCACCCCTGCCCGAACTCCTGGCGAAGCGCGTCATTGTCTGCTCACTCATCGATGCAGCCATGCTGCTTTACGCCCGTTGCTCGAATCACGACCTCAACGAGCTCCTACTTTACATAAACAAGACCGTCCGTCCTCTTCAGCCAGTCGAGAATCCTTCGCCCCACTTCGGCTTCCTCTTGGTCGATGAAGCTGCACAAGCGAGTGAACCCGATCTCGCGTGTGCGCTCTCCGTCGTCGCTGTTGATCCGCTGCGGTCCAATGGACGACCGCACGTGACGATCTGTGGTGATCCCAAGCAGTTAGGCCCGGTCATCGTGTCCCAAGAAGCCAGATCGCACGGCTTGGACGTTAGTCTCTTGGAACGACTGGCGCAGCGGGACCTGTACGCTCAACATCCCTTTGCTCGGAAACGGAGACAAGAGGACCCACACGCGGCGTGGACCTTGGGGACCCCGTTCGTCGACTTGGTCAAGAACTACCGCTCCGCTGTCCCGATCTTGATGCTTCCTTCGACGCTCTACTACAACGAAACGCTCGAGCCCTGCGCGGCCCCCACGGTGCAAAACAGCCCGCTCCACAAATGGATAGGATTGCCACGTCGCGGATGGCCTATCGTCTTCCACGGTATCGCGGGCCGTGACGAACCGATCGATGAAGGCGCGTCATTTTACAACCAAGAAGAAGTTGATCAAGTCGTTCTCTACATCACCGCGCTCGTGCGCTCCGACGCGGGCTCTGATCATGGGCCCGTTCATCCGCGTGAGATTTCCGTCATTTCACCTTACCGTGAACAGGTATGGAAGATTCGTCTTGCCCTTCGTTCGCTCGGCCTCCACGACGTCGATGTCGGGAACGTTGAAGCTCTCCAAGGTGCAGAAAATAGGATCGTCATCATCTCAAGCGTAAGATCCGATCGAAGATGGATGGCCGCCGATCGTGCACACGCGAGAGGTCTGATCCACGAACCGAAACGATTCAACGTCGCCATGACCCGAGCAAAGGAGTTGCTCATTGTCATTGGGAATCCGAATACGCTACTCGTCGACTCGGATTGGGCCGCGTTCTATCAGTTCTGTCGCCGCAACGACGCTTATGTCGGTGTATCGATCGAGGGGCATTCGAGGATCGATGATATCGCTGCGAGTGCCCATGCGGTGTCGAAGCTTGAACAGCAATGGCATGCGACACATCAGAATGGCTCGACACCCGTACGGAATGGGTCGCATGCGACTGGGGAAAAGGTCGAAGAGGATCAGTTCCGGCATATCGATCTTTTGGTCGGTCGGATGGCGAGTGTGACGTTGGAGAGGGAGTGATGAGCTTTGTCGTATGATTCTTGCTTCAACTCGACGAATTATCTCTGCCCCATTGCCATATCGCAAACCCACATCTGAGCGCGAGACAGCGTATTCGTAAAGCCCAAAGTGTTATTTCAGGTATTTCTATAGATCACATCCCTCTCCTACCTCTCCACCAATCTCGCCACCACAAACATCTTCAACACCTTCATCATCTCCCCACTTGTGGCGGCTCCTTCCTTCGCCCCTTTGACCCCTCCTAGAGCAGAGGTCGATCTAGCCCCTGCCCGATCCAGTATCCCCCCTAGATCGGTCGCCAACTCGCCCGAGATCTCTCTTCGCATCGCAATTGACGCTCGGGTAGGTGAAGGATCCGGTTTGCTCAACCACAATGCCAATTGAGACGTCGAGAGCAGCAAGACGCCTTCGAGAGTTTGTGCGGTCGAACTTTGCATCGTTCTCCAGGAGTAAGGGGTCAAAGGCGTGATCGAGCTGGTGCAAGTCGTCGATGATGCGGCGGGTGGCGATTGGCGTAATGTGTCGAGGCAGAACGATGCGAGGTCGAACAGTGTGCCAATCGAAGCTTTTTCGTTCGAGCTCACCGTAGCGGTCTAAGCGGACGAGACGAGCAAGACTGAATGAGTCTAGTCTAAATCTGGTGATGCAGCGCTGCTGAAACTCACAGGAATGACAATCGCTCGATCCGTTCTCCATTCCGTCGGATCCGTCGATAAAACTTTGAAAGCGTTCGTATGCGCGACCAAAGCATCAACCACTCCCCTCGCCAACTGCAACAAAGCAAGCGTCACGGCCGCTACAACCGGTCGTTTACTCAGGTCTCCATTCGGGTCCACCGACGTCGAAGCATCCTTTTCGATCCAACTTCGTTCTTCGGGATTGGTGGGTTCGATGAGGTTCGAGAGATGGTTCGGGTGTAGGATCGCGTAGACGATGTGTTGGAGGAGATGGAGGGATTGTTCGGCAAAGATGGTGGCGACGGCTTCGATCCCGATTGAGCCTTCACGGAGGGATGCGGGCCCTCTCGACCCTTTTTGAGAATCGGCGAGGAACGCAGCTCGTCGGATAAGACCGTGCATCAACGCCATCGAAATTGCAAGCTCCTCTAATCCTGGAAGACTGATGACCGAATCGGCGTTCCAGCTCATCGCGCGGGCGATCTGTTGGCCATGCAGACGCACGAACCCCGTGACTTCGAGTTCGACGAATTGAGTCGAATCGCCGAGAGCAGCGATGAGCGCGACGACGAGTTTGAGCATCGAAGTCCACATCTCGTGTTCGTATGATCGTTGCGAGGAGCCATCACGAGCGGTGATCGAGATCGTGCCTGCTTCGGCTGCAGAGCTGAGGGCGTTGTTCGTCAAGGCTGTCATCAACCCTTCGAGAGCCATCTGTTCGGCCGCTCGAGCTGACGAAGTGGCGATGGCGAGACAAAGGTCGAGCACATGCTGTGCATACAACGGCCGACCATTGATCTGATCCATATGTACAAAGACATTGAAAGCGGCGCGGAAGAAATCTTCCTCCTGGCAATGGGCGAGCCATACGCCCGCATGAGGGATGAAGGACGAATGTACGAGTTGGGAAAGCACCGCACTCGCAAGCGCGACATCCTGCTCGACATCGGGATCTTGCGAAGCTCGCGCGATGACGAATAAATCATGCGCGGCAGTGATCATCGACCTCAGGACGATTTCGGTCGCACCCGCGATCGTCGATTGTTGTTCCGCCGAAAAGCTCGCTCGATCCGCTCCAGCCAGTTTGCGGTAAGCGAAATAGGCGATACGGAATAAAGTCTGATGAAACATGGGTGCATTTCGGCGATGCACAGACTCGAGGGGTTCGAGCGTTTCACTCGAGAAGATTCGACCGATCCCATCGATGAGCTTGACGAGCTGTCCCCAAACCTGGTCCAGCTCGAGTCCTTGCAGGACCTCGATCATGATCAAGAGGATCGACAGGCGTTCATTCTGCACTGTCAGAACGATCTGACCACCTCGATCCTCTTCGGCAATCGAGCTGGTGACGAGGTCGGCCGCGACGTCCAACACCGTCACTGATGCGGCTCGGTGGTTGATGATCAGCGGTAACGCCAATTCGAGCAACTGTCTCCACGATCGAGTGTGCGAAATTTGCGCATCAACGAGCGAGAAGTTGAGGTTAAGTTTCCCCGTCTGCTCAATCACATCACTGAACGCCTCGGGACCCAAATTCGCCGCATTGGCTTCGGACATGAACCCATCCAACCGACGGCGCAAGATCGAAAGCGAGTAGAGGTACGCCGCGCCGTATTCCCGCGATCCTTCGAGCGGGTGCGATTGAGCGGGCATTCGAAGGGTCTCGATATCGATCTCGGGGAACGACTCGCGTAACAAGTCGAAAACGCCACTTTGCAATTGCGAAGCGCACGACGAGTCCATCGCGGTCTGTAGGGCGTTCGACAATTGGGTCTTGTCCGATAGGGCTTTGATCAACGCCGTGGCACTCGTCGCAGCAGCGGGTGAAGGTCGTTCGAGGACGACGCCGATATCGAGAGCTAGTACTCGAACGGCATGGGCTTTGGCCATGACTCGATGACAGTAATCCCTAACCCCTTGATCATCATCCGGTTCCGACTCGCCAAGACTCTTGAACGCAATTTTGACGAACGCGTCCCATGGTGCAGGTCGACCCCGGAAGTCATCCAACGCGTCTCCATAATCGACGAGATGCTGGAAGACGAAATCAAAGAACCGCAACACGCTCGCGAGTAAACCAGGTTGATCAGTCCACGTCTCGTTCCAAATCCCGATCGTTTCCAGGGCGACGCCCAGAGCCGTGCGAGGTAGAGGTTTGATCGCCGGTGGAGCCAAGGATTTGTACAACGCTCGAGCGTCTTCTTCGGCCGCCGTCAAGGCCTTGTTCTCTTTGCCTGCGTCGGCTGGTTCGAGGAGTTTTGCTTGGTCGCCCTCGATGGAGAAGGGGAAGTGCCGACCTGTGACGATGAGAATGGCCAAGCTAGGTTGCGTCTCTACGATCGAAGAGATCTGCAATGAAAACAAGAGCTCGACCTCGGATCAGCCTCGAACCACTCGTCGTCACTGAAGACTTCCTCAACTCACCATATCCCAAACAGCAACCTGCAACGTCTCCGTCCCCATGGGGTTCGCCGCAATCTGCAGCACCTTGTTTACCCATTCCTGACTCCTTGTCGCTCCCCCAAGTAAAGCCGTCAAACTTGGTGGTCTCGGCGTCGCGTTCGCCGAGCCCAAACACAACAACGTCATCACCTTTGCTGCTTCGATCGACACCTTGTGATCCAAGGGTGAAACGATGAATTGCGCTAGACATTCGACCCATTCGACTCGGGTGGATTTGGCGGTACTCCCGCTGCCGAAAGCGAGGTTCGAAGCTGCTGCGAGGGAAAGTCCATCGGTATTGGAAGGTGAAAGAACGAGTTTCTCAAACAATGACGTCGACATCCCTCGGATGCGTTGGCGGATCCTCAATAATTTCCGAACAAGGGAGAGTGAGGCAACGATTAAATCCTCCGAGCCTTGTGCTTCATGGAATCGAATCGCTTTGCGCAAATTGATGATGTGGTCCGGACCATTCAAGATGGTCGTGATGAGAGGCGACAACTGCCCGACCGTAGCTCGAAGTAACAACGCATCCAAGACGATCGTCGCGACGGGTGGGAAATGTCCTTGACTCGCTCCCGACGCCAGTTCACCTTCTTCCAGTACGAGCGAGTAGAGTTGCACGATCCTTCGAGCGATCTCGTACTTCTCACCAAGGTTCACGAACCTCCAACTCGAATACGAAGGCCACACCTCATCGCGAACCCAAGCCAATGCGCGGACCAAGACGTCGATTTTGATCTCCTCGAAATCGGCGCTGATGGCGGCGGAGGTAACCTGTTCCTCGAGGACGAGCGCTCGAACGAGGGACAGCAATGCCAAAGTGATGGGATACTTCCCAGGCAGCCTTTCGTTCACCAAAATCGAATGCCGTCCTGCTCCAGATCCATCACGGTTCCAGGTGCCACTCGTTGCGGAGCTCGCTTTTGAAGTGGAAGGGAAGAGCAGATCGGACCCTCGAAGAAGCGTCCAGCATACCCCAGGGTAGGAAGGCAAGAGCGCAGCGATCAAGCCGAGCAACGAGCTGACCAATCGTGTCGAGACGTCCGATCGCGAAGGGGTCGACATGACCCGATCAAGGATGCGGAACAAGACCTCGACCAGGTCGTACCTCGGTGCATCGTTCTCTTCATCCGACTTCGCACTCGCCGATTGCGGAACGGTGAGATGTTCGACCAGTGTCGTTCCGAGCGACGGATCGTTCTTGAGCATCGCTCGAAAGATGTCCAATACGACGACGACGTCCTCTTCTTGTGCCTGCTCGTCCTCCCATTCGATCGGCAACGTGTGAACCGACCTTGTCGCGGAATCATCGCCAAAGACGTCCTCGATCGCCCCGCCGTCCTTTTTCTTGGGTTGCTGTCGAGCCTTCGCTGCGCTCGACTGTCGACGACCTCCCGCAAAGGTTTCGAGGACATCCCCAAACAGCCTCCAAGCGGACCATTTGAGGTCCCACTGTACGACGACTGGCTTTTGCCCCTGTTGGCTTACCAACTTGCCCATCACACCCACGGGGATCGATAAACTCCGCGAAAGGACGATAGGTCGAATCGATCGATACGTCACGGTGGGGTAAACGGCCACTTCGTAAGGTAAAGGTGTCATCGATGGTGCGGAAGGGACGATGCACGTCAACGAGTCCAACGCGGCGAGCCACTCGAAGGCGGTGGCGGCGCATTTGGAAGCCAGTTCTTCAGCCTCTATTGTCGCGCTCGACGTCGCATCGTCCAAAGTGTCGGGTAGCAAGCCCGAGACTCCAACGCAGAGCGCTCTGACGATCGAAGCGAAACCCGTGAACTGCACGGGGAACCGGGCTTGGGCTATCGAGATGGTCTCCAGTTCTCCGAGCATCTGCGACGTGCGTTCGTCAAAGGTCATCATCATCGACGCATCGGCCGAGGCGTCAAACGCGGAGCGCAGCAGTTCGACGCCTTGATCTTGCCAGAATTGAACGCAGAGGATCGAAGCAGAGCGGTTGTCGAAGAGCGAGCTGAAGACTTTGAAGTGGGCCGAGAGTTGTTCCGAGGTGAGGAAGGACAGTCGTATCAAAAGCGGGAGACAGGTGACGAGACCTCGCAGGACGGAAAGATAACCCACGGCGTTGGGCTCGACCGAATTCGAGGTCGAGGTTGATGAGCCGCCCAGTAAGGACGAATCGAGGATCGCGAGCAAAGCGGTGAAGAAGCCGGAGCTTGGAGATAGGGCGTGGGTGGCGTAGAGCTGGAACAAGGGCTGTGCACTCGACGAGGAGGAGGTGGAAGGTGCTTCGACGCGCAAGGACTGGGATGCAAAGTCGTGGTACGCCTCGGGAACACCTCGGTCGATCAGGGACGCCGTCACTTTGGAGAGGAGGAACGCCCAGCCCAGCAGAATCGGCGAGGCCCTCTCGGTATCGACCTGCACGAGCGCTTCGACGGCTGCGTTGATGCTCTTGAGGTTGTCGGCGTGGTAGATGCTCGTCGTTGGCAAGGACTTTTCGCCCGGCGCAGGTATCGGATAGGGAACCTCGATCGCCAGTTCAAGATTGAGCGCTTCAATCGCCAAGATGGTCCACAGGTGGCCAATTTCGGCGACGATAACGGCCGCCTCCTTGTCAAAGTAGCCGAACAAGCTTTGCCGTTGCCCCCACTGCGTCTCGGCGATGGTCTCGAGCACGACCAAGAGTATCGGACCGTCGGGAGGCAGGGGCGAGTAAAATATGAGAAAGACGATCTCGAGCAGCGCTTTTTGCTCGCGCAGGAGTTGCTTCGCCCAGAAGAGGGAGTGGGTCGGGGACGTTCGAACGGCGTCGGGCAGCGCATCGCGTGTGCGCTGGACAAAGGCTCGGAGTATGGACGAGGCAAAGTCGGCGGTGAGGATCGAAGGCAGCAGCCGGGTCGAGAGCTGGTGGACCGGGTTATCGGTATCTGGGCCGTCCTCTGTGGTGTGGAAGGACGGAGTCAGCGACCGCGCTGGTGCACCTAGAGAGCTACCGGACACTGACGGGCTCTGAGCAGGAGTGCGACGATGGCGAGAATGGCCATACGTTCTTCAAAGACGTAGGCGGTGATGCGATCCCAGTGGTCCTCCGAGAGTGGTTCGTCCTCGACGGTGCGCTCGCCGTCGTACACACTCTGTAATACGATGCGAGCGCTGTGTTGGTCGATCTGGAACCGGTGCGCGAGATCATCAACGCCGTGCGACTGCTTGCCCTTGCCCGGGTTGTGGGCGGGTACGACGGCACCGGTAAGCTTGCGAGAGCGTGTGAAGGGCTCGTACGGCTTGACGAGTTGGGACAAGTTGCGTTCGAGGAAGGCTTGGACGTTGTCGACCGCGGTGGAGGATGAGCTCGAGCTCGACGACGACGACGACGACGACGACGCCGCCGACTCGAGCAGGTGCAATGCGGTCGCAAATGGCCTGTGGAGGGGAGTGAGACGAGTGGGTGAGTTCGGTGAAGCAAGACTGGACTGTGGTTGAACTTGCATGTTGTGACCGCCCTGGTCGTGGTGATCGCTGGGCAACCGAGAAGGACCGGCCGAAGAAGTGCTGACACTAATAGCACTCGCACTCGCACTCGCACTCGCACTCGCACTGAGCGTGTTGTGGTCGGACCGGCCCAGTGGGCTCGGACGACCAAAGGAGGGTGCCATGCGCCTGTCTTGGGCCGATGATGTGTGTGCGAGTGGTTGGGCAGAGGTGCAGAAGCAGAAGCACAAGTAGAAGCACAAGTAGAAGGCACCACTCTCGCGACGTTCAACTCGGTGTCGACCCCGAGGCGCGCGTGCACCATTCGCGAATATTAGGCACGATCGCCGACTCTAATCCGATTGGTATGTAAATAGCGCTGGGCCGGGCTGGGCTGGGCTCGCGTGGGCGCCCGAACCCCACACACACTTTGCGTGCGCCGCTTTCACCTTTCACTCGCTCACCTCACCTCGCTGGACCTCGCTCACCTTTCCTCGGTCAGCGTCACGCCTGGCACGCCTGGCACGCCTGGAAGCCACCGTCCTCTCCGACCTCGCCCAAGCTGTTGAGCCCCGACCCTGCTCCCCCCACTGGAACGATGTCGACTCGAGCAGCTCCGTCGCAGCAGGCGGTGCCGATGCTGGCTCGCTTCGTGCCGGCCCGCTTTGCGCAACGTGCGTCCCTGCGACCGGCGGTCATGTTGATTGCCTTCTTTGGCGCAGGTGAGTCGGGCGAGCTGCGAGCTTGTGTGGTCTCGGTGACGGCGTCTGGGAAGTGGGCCCAGTGGGCTCAGTGGGCTCTCGGGTCGAGCCATTGCATGTTTCGGGCGCGGCGAACGGATCGGTCGCCAGCTCGCTCACGTCAATGATCAGAACCCCACACCCCAAACTGACCGTCTCTTTCTCTTCGACCCACCCCACGCACCAACCAGCCTACTCTCTGTTCGCGACCGCATCGCTCGTTCGGCGTCGCAATGACCAAGACAGTCAGTCGCACCAGTCGCGCTCTGCCAGCTCGAGCACTCGGACCCGGCGCCAGCCACGTCACGATCCTCACGATCCTCACGATCCTCACGATCCTCACGATCCTCACGATCCTCACGATCCTCGGCGCACCGTGGAGCTGACCCCGCATCCGACCTCCTGCAGCCTCGCCCAAGCTGCACACCATGTACCTCGTGCTGATCATACTCTACGCCCTGACCGCCGCCGTCGAAGCGTTCGGGGTCGCAGCGTAAGTGTTCGCGAACGCGCGCCGCTCGCTTCGGACAAGTTGCACTCTTTTTTTTGGAGGCGCTCCCCATTCGGCATTCATCATTTTCCTTTGGCACTCATTCGGCCGCCTTCCGCCACCCGCCACGCGCGCCTTCCATTTCCAGCCAGCCAGCTTTTTCTGTCCTCCCATCCCTGACCGCTCGTTCTGACTTTGCCTCTGCCACAGCGTCTACCGTTCCTCAATCGGACTCGTCAAGGCCTACTTCCTCGCCAGCGTCGTCGTCGCCTTTGTCGTCACCGGAGCAGAATGTACTCGCCTCGCGCTCCACTTTACCGACAAGGTGCGCTCCACGTCCCTTCGAAGACCCACGTGCACGAGCACGAGCACGAGCACGAGCTCAAACCTCATCTCTCTCCTCTTCCCTCAGAGCGCCATCATCTCGGCGTGTGTGTCCACTGAAACCCTCGTTGACTCGATTGCCGGAACGCCCTCCACCTCGGACATTGAAGACATCAACATCTACTGTCGCGCCTTGTGGCAACGCAACCTCTACTGGGACTTTGGCCTTCTCATATTCTCCCTCCTCCTCTCCGTCCTCTTCGCCTCGACCGTCGCGACCTATCTCCAACAACTGCTCAACCCCGCCTTGACGCGCCAACACCACGTCCAAGTGCACAACTTCAACACCGCCGGTTCATCGCAGTACAGTTACCCCGGTTACTACCCCCCCGCGGGCGCCTACCCCCCTAACCCTTACGGACAACCTTCCGCTCCTCCCTTGTATCAACCCGGTTTCGTGCCCGCTTACGAACCGAATGCGTTCGTCGCAAATCCAGAAGGAGAAAAGGGGGAGGGTGCGAATCCTTTTGGTGATCGACAGCGTCTGACGACCGAGCAGAGGGAACAGATGGAACATGATCGCGAATTGGACGCCGAACGAAGGAGAACGAATCCGAGCACAGAAACGGTGACGTTGGAACCGAGGAGGGGGAATGAGGCGAGAGTTTGATTGAGCGAGCGACGACGCCGGTTCGGAGCTTGGGGGGGGGGGGGGGGGGGCATCTTCTTCTTCTTCTTTTCCTTGTGTAGACCTTCTTACTAGATCGCTTACACTTTCTCTTTTTGTCTTCCTCTACGCGCATCACTCCCATGATCATGTCATCAACTAGGCTCCCACATCCCACACACGAAAAAACACCACGGTTCAGCAGACACATATAAGGTTTCCAGCACCAGCAGAAGATAACAGAGGGCAGGCACAAGCGCCGATTGGCTCAGAATCGAGTGCAGGAACTCGAGAACACACCACGTGGTCCAACGAGAGCAACTAGTAGATCAAGACCCCCTCGACCTCCTCACTTGCCACTAAACATCTTTGAAAAGAACCCGCTCTTCTTCGGCGAGGCCGTCCCATCGGGTGAATCCTCCCCCGCACCTCTTGAAGGCCGGCGGTTCTTGGACAACTTGCTGTGCGTTCGACCGTGTTCACCCGAGGTACGCGAGGGAGAAGCGGGGTCATGGATGCCGACGACGCGGTCCATGACGGAGTCTCTTCGGTCGTCCTGGGGAGAGAACGAGGAAGGAAGGAATCAGCTCCTCCGAAAATGGTGACCCCAAAACGAGTTTGTTCGACTCACATAACCCCCGAAACCCTGCTCCCCATCGCCCACCCTCGGACTCGCATTCCTCGGGGAGGTCTGCACAGGGAACTGCGTCCCTTCCCCAGGGGCGAAAACATCCCCCAGTGACTTCCTATGCAACTTCTTCCTCCCCGTCCCATCCACATGCGTCGCGATCCTCATATGAGGTGACTTCTCAACGGGGTGCACGCCCTCGGGGTATTGGTCCTGGAATTGGAGACGTTGGGCATCGCCTGAACGGCGGTCGACGGGGGAGCCTGATCCGGCGCTCAAATCGCCGCGAGGGGAGTCGGAGTAGTAGTCCCCTTGTTGGCGGTAACGGTCGGCTTCGGCTTGTTGGCGGTAATCACCCTCTTGAGGGTAGCCACCTTGTTGAGGGTATCCACTTTGTTGAGGGTTTCCAACCTGTTGAGGGTGTTCACCTTGTTGGGGGTGGTAGTATTGGTCCGCCGCCACAGCACCCGCTGCCGCACCAGCACCGACGACCGCAGCTTGACGAGGGAAGGAGGGTGACTCAGGAGTCATCGCTCGTTCCTGCACACCTGGGGTCCCAACAGGCGAGCCCTTCATCGCCCTCGTCGAGCTAGGCTTGGAAGAAGACTCGGCCCCAGGCAACGACGACTCGTTGAGCACACGTTGCAGCGAGTTGTTCGTCGTCAGAATAGGCGCCCCTTGTTCTCCAAGACGGGCGTTGTGATGAGCCAAGGCGGCGGCGCCCAGACCGATACCTCCTGCCCCGACGGCACCTGCTCCAATCTTTTCGCCCGTGGTCCATCCTCGTCGATCTTCTTCTTGGGATGCGACTTCCTCGGGCTGTTGCGAGAGATGTGCGAAATCTTCCCTTGCGGATGACTCGCCTGCAAATCCAGGAACGGTCGCCGCTGCCGGCGTGACGAGTGACGCCGGATCGACCTTGTCGTGCGAGAAATCTTGACCCAAGGAAGGGTCGTGCGCAACGTAGCGTTGTTCCTCGAAGGTACCGTGACCCTCCTCATATGAATGGACCGTGGGAGCCATGTTTGAGCCAAGGGTCGTGTCGCTGAAACGAGACTTGACTTGTCGATGCTCCGGCTTGAGAGCCTCGTAGGCGCCAATCGCACCTACACCTCCAAGGGCGGCACCGGCAGCAGCCAATTCGGTCTTGTGAGAGTCATCCTTGGTTCGGTCCTCCTTGGGTTCTCCATCTTGCGCCGCGTCGGCTTTCCTTTCGGCCGTCCTGTCCTCGTCGCTGAGGACAGTGATCTTGCCAGGGGTCGCGGCGTCCCGGTCCTCATCCATGACCTTAGGGATGACATAGGACCCAACAGGAGGATCGGCGGGATCGGCGACAGGCAAAGGTGCGGATGAGACCACGGCATCACCGTCTTGCTGGGCAGAGAATCCGGTAGCAGGGCCCTCGACGCTCGCGACGCCGGTTGAAGTTGAGTCCTTGACGGGAGCAAGGGGCGGTAACGCACTCGCCGGCGGCGGGCCTTGTGGTGGGGACGAAGATGCCTGAATGACTGAAGCGATGAGTGAATGAAAACGGTAGGAGGGCATTGTCCGATCGGTGCACTCACCGTTTCGTGATCTTTGACAGCGGCCGTCGCCAGACCGCCAGCGGCGACTCCTGCTGCACCAGCACCAAGCGCTGCCTTCTCCTTGTCGCTCAGACCTTCTTTAGGCTCCTCGGCGGTTAATGAATCTTCTCGGATCTCGCGCGAAGTCTCTTGAGAAGAGGAGGGGTTTGAGGCCACGGTTGCGGGAGTGGACAAATGTTGTACCGGTTGGGCAGAACTAGAGGATTGTGCAGGGCTGGAGGACGCCGCGTAAGTCGGCTCTTGGACGGGCTGAACAGGTTGAATGGGCTTTGCCGCGGAAATAAAAGCGAGTATTTAGCACAGGAAGTCCCAAGAACTCGAGTCGGCGAGAAGGGCTAACCATCTTCTCGTGCTGCTTCGCTTCATGGCTGATGGCTGCCGCAGCAAGTCCACCTGCGCCAACAGCGCCTGCTCCAGCGGCCAGCTTCTCCTTATCCGTCCAGCCTTCCTTGGCTTTCTCGCTATCTTCTGCCTCCGCATCTTTCACGTCTTGAGCAGTTGCTTCTGACGACGGTGTGGCCGCAACGGTCGAAGGTGTTTGTTCGTTGAGCGTAAGCGGCTCACTCGTGGTGGCGAGGTCGGGCCTAACGCTGTCAGTCTGTGCAATCGTTCGTCGTTCGGAATGGTCAGACTCGTTCGAATTCTAGCGAACTGGAACGCATGCGAACTCACAAAGGCATCGTGGTGCTCGTGCTCGTGCGCAGCAGCAGCGGCGAGTCCAGCTGCCCCAAGTCCAGCTCCAGCACCGAGAGCAGCCTTTTCACTACTCGAAAGGCCCTCCTCCTTGGTCGGCGTGCTCGGCGCTGATTCTTCAGTCTGGACACCGGTCGATATGAGGTTGCTCTTCCAGGCAGGATCGGGGACAGCGTTCGACACGGCCCGGTCGCGAGTTTCTTCCTTGAGCTCGGTTGTCGGTTCTTCGATCTCCTTGTCAACGACGGCGGTTCCGGCCGCACCGGCGACCAAGGCCGACAAGTCCTGGTGAGCATCTTCTCCTCCAAGCATTTGCTGAGCCGGGGACGCGGCGAGAGCGGCTTGGGTCTTCTGCTCGGTCAAGTCCTCGGGGACCTGAGTCGAAGTCGAGCCCGAGGGCGAGGGTTCCGCCGGGACCAAAGTCGCCGTGTGCTTAGATGAGGGTGATCCTTTGGGAGTCACATCCTGACTCTGACTCGTACCGAGCTGTTCATTGGGGGTATCGGTGTGGGCGAGCCCTTTCTTCAAGCCTTGCCTCTCGAGCCCGGCCACACCAGCAGCCAAGCCAGCGACGACACCGGCTACGGGACCGCCGAGGAGCAAACCGGCCCCCGTGGCGAGGATGGCGGGAGCAAGGAGGTTATGTTCGGCTGGCATCGGTTCTTCGGTCGATTCTTCGGAATGGAGGGGACCCATCGACCTTCCGGCTTGCTCGAGGGGCCCTTCGTTCTGGAGGTAGGCATCGGCAGCGGGAGTCTCGGGCCAGAAGCCTGGTGCGTGCGGGGTGGGCAGTGCATCGACTTCGGCCGGGCTGAGCAGGGCATGGTCTGACGACATGCTGCTTCCTTTTGTCAGGGCGTTCAAAGTCAAGGGAAGGGGGAGGAGGGAGGCGGGGATGATGGGATGATGGAGGTGGGGGTCGAAAGGATGGAAAGGAGCCGGGGCCTCGAAAGGGTGGCTCGTCGAGCGTCGCCATCGGAATTCGAGAGCGATCAAACGACGTCACCGATTGCGCTGGGCAGAGCGCTGGGCGCTGCCACTGAGTAGCACAGGCCTCGATCTCCCTCCCCCGCCTTCATTGCAATTTGCACATGACCCTCTGCACAGCAACACTTGAGCGTGCTGATAGAACTCTGGCATGACTGTGCTTACAGAAACTTCGCCCGGAACACGTGCCTGTAGGCGAAAACAAAATGCTGTCTGCATTTTCAGCAGCCCGGAAGTTGATCGGCTCGGTCATCAGGCCATCAGCTGAGGTGGGGTAGATCGCAAACTGGGTCCGTGCGCCGCCGGCCTGTTAGGTCGAGCTTCGTATCGGCCGTCCTCTCTGTCCGACTGCGAGCGGAGCTAGCGACGACGCGTGATGGCGCCCCACCTGCTCCTCCCCTCCTTGCTCAGCAACAGCAAGGACCTCGGCTACAGCTCGAACGCCAGTCCGTTGATCCTCATCACCGACTCGCTCGTGCAGCCTGGCCTGCTGCTGTTGCGACAGTTCATCTCGTCCGCGCTGTCGAGGTGAGCTCCATCCTCCTCTTAGGCGTGCTCGAACCACATCACGAATGTACTGACCCATCACATGGTCGTCTCGAACAGGAGTGACGAACAAGCCGTCGTTGTCGCACTCGAACAATCCCCTGCGCGATTGCTGCCATTCGCCGCCTCGACCGGCGCTTCGCATGCGAACCTCCAACTCGTCGATGCCGTCTCGAGCCTATCCAAAACCTATGCTTCGACTTCGGCCGTTCCCCTCGGCGACTCCTTCCTCGATCTGTACCAACCCAACGGAGTCCAATATCTCGTCAAGGCCGTTGTAACGGCAATCGAGCGCGCTCAGCAAAAGAGCTCAAGCGTGCTCGTCGTGTTGGATTCGGTCGACCGCTTGCACGAGCTCGCTGGTATGCACGGTGTTCATTCGACATTACAAGCCGTGTTAAAAGCACTGTCCACAAAAAAATGTCTGTTCTCTTGGACTTGACTCATCCATGCTATGATCCATGCTGACCAAGTAGACTCGGCGGAATCGGAGCAGATTCGACCTCTCGCCTAGTCGCTCTGCATCACCACGCCTTTCCATCTCCAGCACCTACCCCGTCATCAACCTCTTCCGCCCTTCTTGCTTACTTGCTCTCGCCTTCCCTCTCCTCCTCAACAGTACACCTGACCTTGCATCCCTCCCCCCTCGTCGAGCTCCTGTCTTGCGAATACACCCTCCAAATACCCCTCACCCCTCATTCCTCTACCCCAATCGACCTCCGTCTTCCCGAGTTCCTCACCTCCTTCAACGATCGTTCCTACGGTGACCCCTTCAAACGACCCTGTTCGACAAGGGACGAGGACGAGCGGATACCCCTGGATCTGTTGGGTTCTTCAGGGAACGATGGTGGGGCTTGCGTCGTCGAGTGGAGTACGAGGGGCGTCGTCTTGCCGACGCAGGTGTTGAGGAACAGTATTGGTGGGATGGTGAATGGCAAGATTGAGAGGAGGGTCCTGACTAGGGGAGTCGAGGGAGTGATCAAAAAGGATCAAGGGGTTCAGGGGGTCGGGTTGGACCGAGTGCTCAGGAAGGACAGGATGGCCAGTGTCGTACGTGGCTCGAGTTCCAGCTCTCTGTGTATAGTAAGGAGACTGAGGAACCAGCCTGTTGGCCTACAGAATCTTTCATCCCTCGCTACGCCATCGACGACGGCAAAGCCGGCCTCATCGAAGCCGACAAAATCTTCACGGCCTGCCAACTCGATCGAAGTGCCTTTACCGTTCAATCTCTCGCTCACCTCATCACAAGAATCTGCCCGTTCTTCGGTCCCATTACCTTTCGTAGCTAAAGAAGGTGATGCAGCTATGTATCAAGGTCTTGGTGGAGTAGGTAAAGTCGAGTATGAACCGGACGAAGGGGACGATATGGACGATGATGATCCGGACGAGGATTTGGAAGTATAGCCTGTCATACCTCTTGACACGGGTCTAGGTAGACACCTTCTGCTTGTGCGAATGTATATACCGAGACGGTAGTACCCTACGATGGCCTTACCTTGCCGACGTTGGAATCTCGAAAATTCTAGCGCGGGGCCGGAACACTGGAACCTGCTCCGGTTTGCTTAAAGTGTAGGCGAGGTCGGACGCTGGCTGACAAAGAGGCACATGTCAATGACCGAGAAACTGCAATTCATCGTCCATTTGGCTTTACCGAAATGGGTGTCGAGGCCCGGACCCCTCCCATGTAAGTAGACTCGTTGCTGGGTATCGATGACGATGCCGCTGCCGGGTGCCGACGGAATCTGTTGAGCGCCGGCCAGCACGAGGTACCCTGATTCTAAATTCGTGGAAAAAAATTGGTACCTAATTTACCTCAAAGCACCGCGTCCCCCATGTGTCGATCACACATCCATTTATGCACTCGGAAGGGAAGGGTGTTCTGACGCAGGCCGCGGAACGCGCGGAACGCTCGCGTGGGTGTCGTCTCAATAAAGGCCCTTCGGATCTTCATTGTGGCACCCTGCCTTATCCCATTATGGGGGAGTTAGTTATGTGGAGCCACGTACGTAGATGCACATGGGAATCAAGGTACGAGAAAAATAGAATTGTTGGAAAGACGAGATCCTGCCTCGTGCTAGGCCCGTCAGCACCGGGGAAGGCGGTCGTGCGAAGTTATGGAAGCGAGCAGAAGTGGAGGTGAATGACGTCCAGCGCGGCGCGTCACGCGTTGGCAGGGACGGATCTTTTCCCACCGCCGAGGCTCTACTTTATTACGGATAGGAAACATGTTTCCCACTACCTCTCTGACCCCTTGCTGTACATGGTGTAGTGCCTGGTGTTGTAGAAACATCGTTCAGCCCATTTCTACAGCCCCCAAAAAAAGGCTTGCCCAAGCATGAACATGAAGTCGTACTACGCCATACATCTCATATAGCAGCGTTTTGAACCCAAAGCTGTACAAAGTGAAAAACCTCCACTCGACCCCAGCGAACATAATAAACGGGATGCAAGATGAATTGAGGAGGGTAGCCGTAAATTTTTTGAGTAACCTGGTTCTCTTCGAGGTGTTGTAATGTCATGCGCTTGTTAATTGTTGCTCTTTTGCGTCCGACCAGAAAATTTCTCCCTACCCCTGTTGGTCAACCTCGCAGCGCGATCTTACAGCTCTTGCATGACAATTGTGTGTCCCAACAGACATATAATAACGCTATATGCTGATGGACTTGAGGACTCGGGGTTTTGTAGTCGAAATGAGCGGGATTAGAAGCCCCCTGCGGCTGGGTAAAGACCCTGGTCTATCACCACTGCGGGATGTGCGCAAAGGCCCCCCGATCGCGCTGGGACAGTGGCCCTTCGCAGTCCGGCAGGCACGAGCACGACCGAATACTGTAACACGTGGTATTTTGTCTCTGGAAAGTTGTTTGACAATGATGATATTTGCAGAACGTATTGCGGATTGTATGAAAGTGGTATTACATGGACCGGTCCGAAGCTGATAGGATAAGGCCCACCTGAATAACCTTAAATCGCCCTCGGGCTGAGCTCAGCGCTCAGATCTCAGAGACGATCCATGTTCGAGTCTCGGGCAACGTCTTGAGAGCTTGAGGTGGTGGTACAACAAATGTTTGCGACGATACTAGGTCCAATTGCGGTCCAAAGGTACGGATAACGAGGATTGGAGTGATGATGATTGACCTAGGGCCGGACAGAGTGGCTCGATGCTCATTCAGGGCCGCCTATTTCGAGTCAGCTCGCTGAGGTCGCGTTACGCAGTCCGAGCAATCTAAGTAAGACCTACCTGATATCAGGGTGACTCGATAACCAGTCCAACGCTCTTGAAATCTCGGCCTCTCTCCTCGCTTGGATCGCTTCAGGTGTCAGACGAAATCCGCTCATCGCGATCGGTGAAGTGCTCGGGGGGGGATCGAGCTCAGCGTATCGACTCCGTCGCTCGTTGATCCGCTCAGGTGTCGTGATCCTACTTATATTTAAAGGATTGTACTGGAAAGAGAGGGACGCGTACGGCGATGGTGAAGAGCTTGACCGCGGCGGCGGAGGACTTATGAGATTTAAGCTGGCCGAGCTCAAGTTCGTTGTCGAAGAGGAAGGGGAAGAAGCCGAGTAGTCGGAATTAGAGTCTTGACCTGGGTAAGATGACGCAGGGGACGACGAAGTTGAAGCCATGACAGGTGTAGTTCCGCGAGTTGTGATGAGGGCCAAGGACTCAGAGATGAGAAGGCATGGAAGGGGTGGGAAGGAAAAAAAGGGCTTGAGCCGCCGCAATGGAGCACACCAGAGTCCCACTCGCACCTTTTACCATCACCGATCACCGGAGGCCCGAGGGGCTTCGGAGCCTTCGGAGCTGGATCCTGGTTCGGGAGCGCCTTCATTGTCCACGGACCCGCCGGTGTTCAGGGCGATCTGTCTTGAATCCTCGACATTTTTTTTCTCGATTCTGGCTGGCTGCCTGTCCGATATTGCTGCCCCTAGTACATCTTTATATTTTTCGCCCATGTACTCGCTCCGCAGGCCCGGAGAAAAGTGAAGAAATTCCAAAAATTGACACGGATTGCCCCTGCCAATCAAGATCGACGGCCGCGCGTGCGCGCGTGGAACATCGTCGTCGCGGCGCGCTCGAGCGGTTTGGTCACGGAGATCCGAGCCAGGGACGTATCGTTGTGAAGTTTGTTTTAGGCGAGAATGCTAACTTATAAATCTTAGAATTCTTGAATAAAGAGTTGAAGAAGGGGGAACGGTGTGCACAGTAGTACTACCTACCTACGGCCCTCACAAGCCTCGTTCCCATGCGATTAGGCATGTCCGAGTGTGTAAGGGGTCCCAGTGTGCTCGGCGCGTTTCTGCCCGGGCACACCTGCCCAGCACGGAATGATCATCGCTCCGGCTATTTTCCCTTTTTCGACCAAACTGAAGCTTTAAACCCTCGGCGAGACCCCTGACAGCTTCTGAGGGTCAACGAGGCTGGTACAAGTTCCTAAAACGAAGAATCCCCTTTTTGTTCTGATCAAACTCCACTGCAAGTTTGTAAAATGTGACACTCCAACGGCCCCATGCAAATGAGAAGGGTCCGTGGTCGTTCCGTACGCCGAACGCGCTTCTGAAACCGCTTAGCCCCTCAACGTCATCCAGAAATTGGGAGGGCAGAGCCTAAGCCGTTTTTGAAGCTTCGCGCCCGAGCTCGCCGGCTTGGCCGTTCACCGGCACCCTTTGCCATTGAGTGGTGACGAGCCGGAGGTTCACAAGGTTGTGATGCTTCGGTACCAAACCCCCTCGGACATAACGCATCTTCGCCCAAAGCCGTGTTCTCCGCGCGTGTTTCAACACTCAGGGGTCCCTCGGCGGCTCGGTCGCGGCGCGCCCCACGCCGCTCGCGTCGACAGGCCGTTAGTAGCACCTGATCACCTCCGCTGTGACAGTCTCCATGGATATGCACTGCAAGCAGTCAGGGTGGAAAGTGAACAATTCTATGTTTGTAGTTGAAGATAGTATTCCAAGCTCGTGCCTCTCAGCGTAGTTACGCTTCTGCAAACCCACGTCGCATGTACATCCATCAGCAACTTTACCACGCGCGCTTCAGAACAGTTCAGAGCAATTCAGAGCCGATCTAGAACAATTCAGCCGTAAAGCGCGTAAAGCGCATTCAGCCCTGCGCTGCTAGATTGCTCTAGATTTTGTCTGGAAATTCAGGCATTCAGAGCGCTTCCAGAGCTTTCAGAGCATTTCCAGTGGATTTCCAGAGCATTTATGACATATTCAAGTAGGGTTATGTGCAATGGTATGATATCATTGCATTTACATGCAATTAAGAAGCACTACTGCCTGCCGTGTGGTACAAGACTCTGACTAGTGTGTATAAGACCGTGACAGCGACGACAATTCATTGCACAAGTTGCTACTTCAGTGTGATGATGAAGTGGTGGATCTAGACACTTTCCAGAACGATTCAGAACGATTCAGACGATCCGGTCATTTTGTGAGCGGTAAAGTCATTTCAGACAGATCTAGCCGATTTAGACAGATCTAGCCGCGCATCGGGAAGTGGTAAAGTTGCTTATGTCGACGCGTGTCGATCGCGAGCTGGGCTCGATCGTGGCTGCGCCAACTTATGAATATTGGGATCCGCGATGGGTCATGACGCACACTATAGCCAAAAGAACATGGCTGTAATAATGATGATACCCACGGATGCCTGACTTACAAAGAGTCACACGCGCTGCGTTGACTCTGTTGCCACTGAGGCAATATAATGTCGAGTCGGCGGCCCGAGACCCGCCCGAGGAGGTCCGAGCGCGACTGGAGCTTCGCAGGGGACGAATCGACTCGACACCGGTGTGCGGCGCTCGTTCGCCTTGCTACAGCGATCGTTTGAGCTCACCCCTGGGTACAGTGCGACACGAAGCAACTCGAGCATGACGTCTTCCTCCGCATACAAGTTCTCCAACCTGTGCGGGACGATCTACTCCAAGGGCAACGTCGTGTACACGCCGGATGGCAACTCGGTCATCTCGCCCGTCGGGAACCGCGTTTCCGTGTTTGATCTGGTCAAGTGAGTGCGCTGCCTACGGTGTACAAGTGTTCTGAGATCACTTTCAACTCACACCACCACCTCACGCATGAACAGCAACAAGTCGAGGACGCTCTCGTTCGAGAATCGCAAGAACATTGCCCGCATCGCGCTCAGCCCGGATGCGACTGTATTGCTCAGCATCGATGAGGGTGAGTCATGGCTTTAGGGCGTCCATGTTACTGAAGGACTCGACTGACTCGGGCTGTTCTACACTGGTAGATGGGCGTGCTCTGCTCGTCAACTTCAAGCGCTCGACGGTCCTGCACCATTTCAACTTCAAAAAGCCCGTACGCGACGTGCAGTTCTCGCCCGATGGAAAGTGAGTATGATCGCAAGCATGTGTTCTATTTGAGAAGATTGGGAACTGATCTTGACTTCTGGCAACTTGGCAGATTCATCGCCGCGACGCACGGGTCCCAGGTTCAGGTCTGGCACACACCGTCCCATCTCGCTCGAGAGTTTGCTCCCTTCAATCTCCACCGCGTCTATACCGGCCATTATGACGACGTCTTGTCCATCACGTGGAGTGCAGACTCGAGGTGAGCCATCATCGTCGTGTTGAAGTAGTTCGCGAACGCTGACCTTCTGCCCTACGATTTGGGCAGGTTCTTCCTCACCACCTCAAAGGACATGACCGGTCGTCTGTTCACCTTGTATCCCGTCGAAGGCTACCGACCCAAGACATTCGCTGGTCACCGCGATGCCGTACTCGCGGCCTACTTTTCTGTCGACCACAAGAGCATCTACACCGTATCTCGGGACGGCGCCGTCTTCACATGGAGCGCGAAAGAGTCGGAAGAAGAGTCGGACGAGGAAGACGAAGAACTGCACGACGGACCTAGAAGGATCGCTGCAAACGCCCACGCTTCGACCTCGACTTCAGTGATGGGTGTCGACAACACGATCGCCACCACCCGATGGGGACTCAAAGATCGCCACTACTTTATGCAAACGGGGACCAAAGTCACCTCGACGACATTCCACCCTCCTTCGAGCTTGCTTATCGTCGGCTTTTCGAACGGTGTCTTTGGGCTATGGGAGATGCCCCACTTCACTTCGGTACATACGCTTTCGGTGTCGCAAGAGAAGATCACTTCGGTCGCTGTGAATGCCACGGGCGAATGGCTTGCCTTTGGCGCGAGCAAGCTCGGCCAATTGCTGCTATGGGAATGGCAGTCCGAGTCGTACGTGCTCAAGCAACAAGGCCATTACTTTGACATGAACACATTGTCCTTCTCTCCCGATGCGCAAACGGTGGCGACCGGTGGCGACGATGGCAAGGTCAAGCTGTGGAATGCGACGAGTGGGTTCTGCTTCGTCACCTTCTCAGATCATTCGTCGTCTGTCTCGGCGGTAGAATTCGCCAAACAGGGTCAAGTCGTCTTTTCTGCCTCGCTTGACGGTACCGTCCGAGCCTACGATCTGATCCGGTATCGTAACTTCCGGACATTCACCACACCTTCTCCCGTACAATTCAATTCGCTGGCTGTCGATCCATCTGGTGAAGTCGTTTGTGCCGGAGGGACGGGCGACGGGTTCGAGATCTACATGTGGTCGACGCAAACCGGCAAACTGATTGACGTCCTTGCGGGACACGAAGGTCCTGTCTCGGCCTTGTCCTATTCACCTCTCGGAGATCGACTCGTCTCGGCCTCGTGGGACAAGTCGATCCGAGTATGGGACGTGTACGGAAGAAGTTCCGCCGTCGAACCGTTTGCCTTGAAAGCCGATGCTTTGGCATTGGCCTTCCGACCCGATGGGCTGGAAGTGGCCGTCTCGACTTTGGACGGCCAAATCATCTTCTGGGACGTGCGCAACGCTTTACAACGGACGTTGATTGAAGGGCGCAAGGACATTGCGGGGGGAAGGAAGGTCGACGATCGAGTTACCGCGGCCAACAACGCGTCAGGCAAAGCTTTCACTTCACTTTCTTACACGGCTGATGGAGCATGCTTACTCGCGGGAGGTAACTCGAAGCATGTCTGCTTGTACGATGCGCGCGACGGTGTGCTCTTGAAGCGGTTCGAGATCTCGCAAAACCTTTCCTTGGACGGGACGCAAGAATTCCTCGATTCGCGCAGTTTGACCGAAGCCGGACCGAGGGAGGCGATGGATGATCGAGGCGAGAATTCGGATCTTGAAGATCGACTTGACAAAACTTTACCGGGTGCTCGAGCGGGCGATATGTCGAAACGCAAGTACCGACCTGAGGCGAGGACGAAATGCGTTCGCTTTTCACCCACGGGAAGAAGTTGGGCCGCGGCGTCGACGGAAGGGTTGTTGGTGTACTCGTTGGACGATACGATCTCGTTCGATCCTTTCGAATTGGATATCGACATCACACCCGAGACAATCAACGATACGTTGAGATCGGATAATAATTACCTCAAGGCGCTGATCATGGCTTTGCGATTGAACGAACCGGGTCCGCTTCGTGCGGTGTACGAGGCAATCCCGCCTAATGAGATCCTGTTGTTGGCGACACAACTTCCTCCGCATCATGTGGAGAAGACGCTTGCCTTGATCGCTCGTCAGATGAGCGAGACGCCGCATGTCGAGTTCCACTTGCTGTGGGTCAACGGTATGTTTGACGCCCATGGGAGATCACTCCAGGCCGGTGCGGGAGCACACGCAGCGACGTTCCGAGCACTTCAAAAGGGTTTGCTGGACATCCAAGACAACGTCGTCAAGAGCGTAGAGGAGAATCGCTACACTCTGGCGTACTATCTGGACCAGCTCGAGCGGAGAAGGAAGGAGGAGATGGAAGAGAAAGAGGGAGAAGACATCGGCGAGTACGCGACAAGGATGATCGAGGTGTGATCGACAAGTGTTGCTACTATTGCAATGATACTTTGTGAGATTTCAAGATTACAGAAAACGTCTTAAAGAGTAAAAGCTGGCTAAAACACACAGCAAGGCTTCGATTTGAGATCAGGAATTATGGGTATACGGCCTGAGTTTGAAGCAACGATTTCAGCTCTCTGTATGACGCATGCAATCATGGGCACCAGTCGACAGAACTCACATCAATTTCCTTCTTGTAGTGCTCGATGATGGGCTTGCGTTGCAGCTTCTGCGCAGCCGTAAGCATACCATTCTGCGCCGTCCACTCCATTGAGTCGAGCACGATCGTCGACAACAACTCGAGTTGCTTCAGCCCGGCCTTCTTGCCAACGGTGACCAGGTCATTCAACACGGCCTTCTTGACTTGTTCGTTGTGAGCGATCGCGGTGAAATCATCCTCTACGTCAATGCCCTGTTGCTTGACGAGAGCCTTGAGGTTCGCCTCGTGACCATAAATGATCGCCATGGGTCGACTCGCGTTCGCATCACCGTATACGACGATGTTGGATACGTACTGCGAGCTCTTGTAGATCGACTCGAGCCGTTCGAGCGCAATGTATTCACCTCCCGAAAGCTTGACCAAGTTCTTCTTTCGGTCGATGAGCGACAACGTGCCGTCCGGGTTCCATTGGCCAATGTCACCGGTGTGCATCCAGCCGTCCTCGTCGATCGTCCTCTTCGTCTCCTCCTCGTTCTTGTAGTAGCCCTTTGTGATCGAGGGCCCTCGGACGCAGATCTCACCCTGGGGAGGGTCGTTCGTCGCCGAGTAACCCGCCTCTTCGACGTCGACCAACTTGATCTCGACCGAAGGCACGGGCACACCCACGGTGCCGTAGCGGTGAAGTTCAGGAGGCAGAAGCGCAGCCATGGCCGTAGATTCGGTCATGCCGTAGCCTGCGAGATAGGTCAGATTTTAGCAGACTGAGATTCGCGTCCACACGTGAAGAAGTCAAGCCTACCTTGGATCATCAACACCAAAGCAATCGACAAGAACTCTTGCGTCTCCTTGGAAATGGGTGCTCCACCACTCATCGCGTATTTAAGCTTTCCACCAGTCCCTGCCGCCACGGCCTTGAATACAACCGCATCGGCGATCGAACCGAGGAAACTACCAATTCCGGCAGCCTTCTTGAGTGCCACAGCGGCCCAGAATAGGTTCGACTTGATCATCCCCGAGCCATTGACCTTGGCTACGATACCCTTCCTGATCAATTCCCATACCGCGGGGACGCCGACCATGATCGTGGGTTGTAGCGTTCGGATGTCACCGGCGCAATTGCGCACCGACGCATCCGTGAGCGTCTTGACGGTGGCATACCCGACTCGAGCACCGACGGCGAACAGACTGAGCTCGACTGCCAGCTCCATGATGTGCGCCAAGGGGAGATACCCAATGTAGGTTTCACCGTGCTTGATGACGTGGGGCAGCAAGACTTCCACAGCGCCGATGCAGGCGATGATGTTGGTGTGGGTGATCTGCACACCCTTGGGGGCACCCGTCGATCCAGATGTGTACATGATGCACGCGATATCGTCTCCCTTTCCGGGGTTGAAGTCGCTGCGAGATGATGGAGACGGCGAAGATTCAGCTGTAGGCCCGAGAATGCAGACCACCGGTCTGAGGTGGGCTTACCAAGGGTTCTTCTTGCCCATTTCGATAAAGTCGTCAAACTTGTGGACCTTGAGCCCGGCTTTTTCCAGGGTCTCGACAGCCCCCTTCTTGACGTCCTTGTCCTCGCCGTCGTAGATCACGACCTTGAGTGAAGGGGTCTGGGAAACGACCTTGGCGATCGTGTCGAGCAAGTTGGCGTTGGTGAAAATGCCGTACACCTCGGGTTGGGTGATGGAATGGGCAAGCTGTCGGTCAAGTCGGTAATCTGTCAGCTAAGGAGAGCGTAGACCGGAACGTTCTCAGTCAAGAGCTCGACTCACACCCTCCTCTCCCAAAGAGTCGTACGCTGTCGCAAAGGTGATGCTTTGAGATGCGCAAGCTAGAACCGGCAAGATTACTCATCAGCTGCTCCGTTCAGATCGAACACGGAAGAATCGGGTCAACGCACCATTCGCCATGACTTGCCACCTTCGACTCGTGCCGCTGTAGATGTTGAAGATGGTGTCCTTGGAGTGGCCGGTGTGCACGAGCGCTTGTCCGGCGTACTTGATGTACTCTGCGAGCTCCGAGTAGGTCCACCATTTGTAGTCGGAAAGGTGCCAGTAGCTCCACGTCTTTTTCTCGGTCACTTCTTTGCCTCCGACCTACGGTAAAAGATTGCGACGTTAGGACTGCGACGAACGTTCATCGAAGAATTTCTCAACGGAGCAAGCTCTCACCGTCTTCTTGACTTCCTTCTCCTCGTTGATCATGTCGATCGTGTCACGCCATCCCATCGCCTGGTCATTGGGGTACTTTTCTGCAGCATGATTGATACTGGTGGAGTCGTATGTTGAGGGTCGTCAGCAATCTCACCCGCCGGAAAAAGTCAGGAAGGTCTCCTGCGCCGGCCTTCGATGGTGTATGCGTGCGTGCCCGAGGCCGAGGCTCCGAAGCGCAGGGAACCACATGTGGCGCGCAGGCCTAAACCTGATCGACCGCTCCGATAGGGCAGAGTACCTGCCGCGTACTCACATATCGGAAAGACACCTGATACTCTCCGGTGCCTGTACGAGCGCATCGGCAGACTTGTAGTACCTCCTCGCTCGACCTTCGCCCTTCTGGGCAGGAGGGCCGACCTGAGCAATGAGCAGAGAGAGAGCAGCGATGATCGAACCGAGCCAGCCGGGAGCAGTTTGGTGGGGAGATGCGATCGCGTGGTGGACAGAAGGGAGCAGGTGAGCTCAAGACTCGTGCGTGACTTGGGATACTGCGGACTGACCTCGACCGAGGCTACGGGTGCCATTGCTGAACGTCTGTCTGTGGGGGTCTGGGTGTAGGTTGAAAGGGGTGCGATCTCGAGCTGGCGATGACGACGTCAACGGCGGGGGAGGGTGACATACCAACGGAGTGGTATGTCCAGGGAGATTGAGGTGGGTAGGGCAGATGAGTGCTTGTGGAACACAGGATCTGAAGAAGCGCCGTCAGACTTACCTCGGAGATTTGACGAGCCGGGAAGGTGAGGTATAAGGCAGCTCAGCGCCTGGCTGGTAGTGTCGACCGGCGATCGGCTCCAGGCACCCAATCGGATGGCACCAGGCGTAGAGCAAGCCCCATTCGCGACGAAATCCAATCTCAAAACGCTCAACAGCAGTCAGAATTGTTCGTCTGTCAATTTTCGCGAGAGAACATAAAACTTCTACAAGAGCCAAGACAAGAACGAAGAGGGGATGGAAAAGAGTCGGCAAGAAAGAAGAAGATGAGGGAGAGAGGTGGACGTGACCCGAAAGAAATCAAGTCAAAAGAAGCAAGATGACCGTCGTTACCACAAAAGGAGATATCGCTTGCAGAATCGTATACCTATATCGCATGTCCAAAACACAGAGAAAGACAAGGCCCTTTCACAGGCCTCAGATCATCGACCTCAACCCACTCGCACTTCGCCCAACCTCGGTCACACCCGAGACGGCACAGACCGTGCCCGAATACCTTGCGTGGTACCGACTGCCCGTGAACGGGTCCTCGACCGCAGCGTCGTTGGCGTAGATCGGTGTCAAAGAAGCGGGACACACGTCGAATTGAGCATGCAGGTCGTACGCGATCTCGATCGCATCTCGCGGGTTCTTGTTCGCCGTCGCGAGCACGTTCTTGGCCTGCGTCGCCACCGTAGCCGCGGGCTGCAGGTCGAGCAGCTTCTGGGCGAACGTTGCCGCGGTCGGGTAGTTCTTGGCCTTGACAAATGTCGCCATCGCCAAACGCAACGCGAGCAGGAGATGTGCAGGCTGCAGTCGGCAGTGCGTGAAGTAGGCGGCCAATTCGAGTTGCCGCTTCGTGCTCTCCGGCGAGGGGCCGAGCTTCTCGACGCGTCGTCGCTCGATCTCGAGCGCAAGACCGACAAGATATTCGCGGCAGATGACAACAAGTTCTTGCAGCTCCGCCGCCTCGCCTGGTGTTGATGTCACGACGAGGAGCAACGAGTGCAAGATCGAGCGGAACGCCGCCGCGGACTCGGGGAACTTGGCCTTTTGGAACAGGAGGTACGCGTTGCGCAACTCGCCCGAGGTGATGCTTTGCAGCGTCAGCGTCGCCGCGGGAAGGACCGAACGAGGCTCGGCGTTGTCGAGGTTTCGTCGCAAGGGGATCTGCAACGGCGGCAATGACGGCGCTGACGGCAAGTACAGCCTCGAGGATTGGAACAGCAACAAGAACAGCGGCTTGAGCGGCGCAAAGTGAACGGCGCCGACCTGTCGGTTAAGCAAGCCCATCGCCGTCTCGAACGAACCGGCAGCGACATGGTCGGCCGCAAGGGGCGAGTTGCGCACCCACAGCTCGTCCTCGGGGATGCCGGGTACGAGTGGTCCAGCCGAGTCGTCGTCAGCGCCACCTGCGGGTGTGAGAGCACCCGAGCCGCCCAAAAGGTCCTCGTCGCCGACTACGCCATCGTTATCACCGTCGGCGCCATCGAGATCCCATGCTTCTGCTGCTTCCTCGGCCGCAACTCCATCGGTGGCCATGGGGTCAGGCTCGATCTCACCCGCAGCCCACGAGTCGAGGCCGCGATCACCCGCATCGCCCTCGTAATCGACCGCCGAGGGCTCGCCGTTCGCGGCGGCGGCGAGAGCGCGATCAAAGAAGCTCTCGGTGACGCCAACCGAAGGCCAGTTGTGCTCGAACGTCGGCACAATGACCGGCGGGGGGCGCAATGTCGAACGCTTGATCGGTGGGACGACACCGGCCACATCCTCCTCGGTCAGGCCGGCGGCCGTCAGGACTTCTTGCGCGAGCTCCTCAAGTCCGTTCGTCTTGGCCGTCATGTACGCCAGGGGAAAGAGGCCGACTTCGCGAAGAATGGCGATTCGAGCCTCGACGTTGCCGAGGTACAGCGCGTTGTGGAAGCGCGACATTTGGTCACCACGCATCTCGGCGATCTTGGACATCTTGCTGAGTTTTTCGGGGTGTCCCGTGATGAGGTAAAGGAACGACAAGCGATCGAAGTTTTTGGTGCGCTGGTAAGCAATCTCGACGATCTGAGCGGACATATGAAGGAGGAGGTAAGGTCAGCATCGACCGCCCTGCAATGATCAGCTTGCAAGCCCACGACAACATACCTTGTGATGACCTTGCTTGAGTGCCTGTTGGCCCAACCTGGCCCAAATCTCCTCCCGTTCGAGGGCCTTGGCCATCTCGAGCGCGACGTCAAGGTTGCCGCATTCGATCGCCAAGTCGACCCGTGTCGTCTTGTCCTGCACAAAGTGCAATGCGATCTCGGGGAAGCCCTTCTTCTGCAGGTACGCGATGATGCTCTGCCCGACGAGGTTCGACGTGCGGATGATGTGCAGCACCTCGTCGTAGTTCTTCCTCATCAGCGCGAGCTTGAAGCGGTACTCGGTCGGGTCGATCGCGATCGCCCTCGGCTTGGCGTTCCGGTCAAGGCAGTGCACGACCTTGCCCTTGACGCGCGTCAAGTAGACAGGTTGTTCCAAGGTCTTGATGATGCCGTTGTCACCTTGCGGAAGGGCGTATTTGATGTGGTTCAAGGTCGAGTAAATGAAGATGCCCGAATCGTCCCAGGCACCGGACTTGATGCGGATCGTCTCGTGGACCATCGCCGACTGGCCTAGCGTCTTGTTGGCGATCATGATCGTGTGCTTGGACAGGAGTGCGACCATCGAGTTGTCGTTGGACCACACGGCGTACTTGACGAGAGGCGTCGCGAGCTCGGCGATGATCTTTTGCTGTTGGATGTCGAACAGGACGACGCTGGCGGGGCACGAGAGCAACAACGAGGCCGTTCCTCCAAAGAAGATGTCGTTCGTTTGCACGGGGCACTTGATCGTCTTTGTGATCGAGTTCTCGAGGTCGCGGATCTCGATCGTCTGCGCCGTCTTGTCGAGCACGGCGAGGCGATTGCGAGCTACGAACAAGGCCGACGAGCCCGTACCTCGGCGACCTTCGGAAGCTGAATCGCGCACTTCACCCGACCCCACATCCTTGGGCAAGTGCACGAGCTCGTAGAGCCCGTTGTCGGCAGGACTGGTGACGATCACCGCTCGCTCGGCGGGGTTGTAGCTCAGCGTGCGCGGTTGCACGAACTGACTGCCGAGGCGTCGAACGCTGATGACACTGGCATCGGACCCGGTGGTGAGGTCATGTGCGCGCACGAACTTGTCGCGGACGTAGAACAAGGTGTTGCCGTGCACGCTGAACGCCGGTCGCTCGCGGTCGAGCTTGAAGACGATCAAACCCGAGTCGTGACCGGCGGCGAACAGATTCAACTCGGGGTGGGCCGTCAGGACCCAGAAGCGATCGTTCTCGCGACGGAAGGTCTGCACCGCCGTGCGCTTGCTTAAGTCCCAAACGCGGATGGTCTTGTCTTCCGAGTCGGAGATGATGAGCTCGTGCTTGGGGTGAAAGAGCGCGACCGAGACGTTGTTGAAGTGACCACGGCACGTATCGACCTCCCACGCTTTGGTATCGCTCATTCGCCACAGCTTGATCTGGCGATCGTCACCGCACGAAACGATGAGGGGCATTGTCGGGTGAAAGGTGGCCCAGTTGACACCTCGATCGTGGCCTTCGAGCACGTACTTGACGACGGCATCGGTGTTGCCGAATAAGTCGGCCTGGCCCGAGTTGGCGCGCTGAATCTGTTCCTCGAACGAAAGAGGCTGTGCGGTCGTATTCTTCTTGCGCAGACCTGCAGCTCGCGCAGACGTGGCTCAGTTCCATGAGCTTGATCGCATTACCCAGCGCCGGAGAAGCACCTACCCGAGATATCCCAGACTCGAACAGTTTGATCCATCGACGCCGAGACGACATAATCCTCCTTGGGGTGGAATTGAGCGCACCTGGAGGTAACGTGCCAAAGAGGATAGAGTCAGTGGTTTGCGAGTGGTACTTTTGGCCCGGAAGAGTGCCGAGCGCTCACATGATGTAGTGATTGTGGCCGGTCAAGATGGCGATGCATTGACGCGATTGCCAGTTCCAGATGCGAATCGTCTGATCGTCCGAGGCCGAGAGGATCCACGGGTGTTCGTGGTGGAAGTAGACGGACCGAACATAGTCCAAGTGGCCGTGCAGGGTAAAGAGACACCGACGGGTCTTGTAGCTGTAGGCGACGCGTAAGGAGGGGATCAGCCAGGCGGAAGCGGCGCCGGCAGTGCGATCCGATACAGGCCGACTTACTTCCAGACCTTGATTTTGTAGTCGTCACCTCCCGAGCAGAACAGCGGCTGGGTCGAATGGAACGAGATGCCTCGTACTGGTCCTGTTGGAGGTGAGGTGTATGGCGGGGGGTGGGAGGGGGGAACGAGCCAGGGAACGAGCCAGGGAACGCGCCAGGGAACGAGCCAGAGAACGCGCGAGACGGGGGCGACGGGTAGACAAAAGTGCAAGGTCGAGCAGGTCAGCTCTCCGTTCGACTTGGAACGAACAAGGACTAGTGTTCCAAAGGTTCATTCATCTCGTCGTGGTTCGAGATATGTGGATGGTTTGGCTGAGGAGGCGTGGCCCCCCCAGGAAGGACACGCGTGTTGGAAGGCGCGGTCACGCTCGCGAGCTCCGAGCGCCGGATCGCTCGTCGGAGTCAAGTGTATGAAAGGAGCACTGACCGTCATGCTCCTCGAACCTGTCTACAAGCACGCCCATCTGGAAGTTCCATAGCTGGATCGAGCCCGAATGGAGGGAGGCGGCCAAGAGCGTGAGCCGGGGGTGGAACGCGATGCCCTTGACCCGGTTGGACTTGGACTCGAACTGTCGCACCGAGCAGAGATAGGCTTAGGACGAGTTCTCATGGACAAATGCTCTCATGGCTGACCTTTGTGAGCATCTGCATGCTGGGCGAGCTCCAAGTGCGACGTGAGTGTGGACGGGGACGGGGACGGGGTCGTGGGCGGGTGTCGGTGTGACCAGCGGCTGGCTGCGACTTTGACGACGTGGCTTGGGCCAGCAACGGCGCGCACTACAAGCAGATCCCTGAGCAGAGTACAGCGGGTTGAGAGCAGTCGGCACTTATCGACGGACCAAGTCGAATCTGGAGAGGTGGTCGAGTGGTGAGTGGTTGGGGGAGGGTGGGAGGTGGGGGGAGAGGACGGTGTAGGGAGGGGGTTCCAGTAGTGGTGACGGGGTGGTTGGTCTACAGCAGGCAGTCAGCAGGCTCGAGCAGGCCTGAGCGCCTGAGCAGGCACTGAGCAGGCTGGCCTCACAGGGCCTCACGCTGCCTCACTCTGCCTCACTGGCCTGAAGCGCGTCGCCAGTCAGGAATTGAACTGTTCAAGTCGCACCAGGCCATTTGAGCTCGGACCTCTTCTCGATGGGGAAGCGTGGGAGCCACCAGGCGCCCGCACCGCGCTCGCACACACCTTGTACGACCGACCACACACACACACACACACACACACACCCCCACCCCTCCCGGGCACACGCATCCCGCTACACCAACACCTACGCACCCGCCCACGCATACCTCATTGGCCACCCCATTCATCACCCCTTACATCGCCACCATGTGAGTACTCGCTCCACTTTGCTCGTCCCGAGCTGAGCTCGACAACGAGACCCCTCTCTCGAGGACACGATCGGTGGCGACCAGCACCCCTCGACCCTTGACAGTCGATCTGAACACCGGCACTGGTACTGAGTCTGATTTAATCCTCCAACAGGTCGACGATCGTAGACAAGATCAAGCTCATCGAGGATGAGATGGCAAGTTCACTCTTTCGGCTCCCTTGCAAAGTCTGCGTCCATCGACTAACACGTACATGATCTCGTCCCTCCTCCACCTCAGGCCAAGACGCAAAAGAACAAGGCCACCTCGTTCCATCTCGGCCAACTCAAGGCCAAGCTCGCCAAGCTCAAGCGAGAACTCTTGACCCCGACCACGGGAGGAGGAGGTGGTGGTGGTGTCGGCTTCGATGTCGCCAGGACAGGTATCGCATCAGTCGGATTCGTGTAAGCGAACCCCACCTCGTATTATTTGAGGTAGATGATGACGATCTGACCTCCTTGCCCAACATCACAGCGGCTTCCCTTCGGTCGGTAAATCGTCCCTCATGAGTGGGCTCACCGGAACAGAGTCCATCGCCGCCGACTATGAATTCACAACCTTGACCACGTACGTACCTCGCGAATGCTCCCTGTACATGCCGCAATACCTCTGACTCTTCGAACCGTACCCGAACAGCGTTCCCGGTACACTGCAAGTCCACGGTGCCCCAATCCAGATCCTCGATCTGCCCGGTATTATCGAAGGCGCCAAGGACGGTAAAGGTCGTGGTCGACAGGTCATTGCTGGTAAGCATGACCACAGCGTTTTGGCTACACCGTCCGAGTCAGGAGCTCATCATAACCTTCTCCAGTCGCACGAACATGCAATCTCATCTTCATCGTCCTCGACGTGCTCAAACCGCTCGGCGACAAATCCATCATCGAAAACGAACTCGAAGGGTTCGGCATCCGGCTAGGCAAGAAACCTCCCGCGATCACGGTCAAGAAGAAGGAGAAGGGCGGGATCGCCATCTCCAATACGGTGCCTTTGACCCACATCGACTCGGACGAGATCAAGGCCGTTTTGGCCGAATACAAAATGTCCAACGCCGACGTCGCGTTGAGGTGTGACCCCACGTTGGACGAGTTCATCGATGTCGTCGAAGGTGGGAGGGTTTACATCCCCGTCGTATACGTGTTGAACAAGATCGATGCCATCTCGATCGAAGAACTGGGTGGGTGCTCCTCTCTGTTGCCCATTCTCACTGGTCACTTTAGCTGACGCTGGCCCCACTGTCTTATCTGCAGACTTGCTGTATAAAATCCCCAACTCGGTACCCATCTCGGCTAGGGAGTGGCTCAACATTGACGAACTAATCGAGGTACGCATCGGTCCGGTTACCTATCTCGTGAAGTGAGCATCATCACCGACTAACTTCGAGGCTCGGTGTTCAGACAATGTGGGAGAAGCTCGACCTCGTGCGGATCTACACCAAGCCCAAGGGCAAGCAACCCGACTATTCTTCCCCCGTCGTTCTCAAGCGCGCAAGGTGTTCCGTAGAGGGTAGGTCCTCTGATCATCGTCCTGTGAGGTACGCTGCGATGCGACTGGCCGAAGCTCACTTTGCTTTTTGGACCGGCACAGATTTCTGCAACTCGATCCACAAAGATATCTCGAAACAACTCAAGTACGCGATGGTGTACGGCAGCTCGGTCAAGCATTCGAGAGGTCAGAGGTGTGGACTGGATCATATCCTGGCAGTGAGTGACCTCGCATAGCAAAATATTGTTATCTGGCTCGATTTGTCGTAAGCGACTTTACTTACGCTTGCTTCTGTGAGTCTCGAACAGGACGAGGACGTCGTCAGTATCTTCAAGAAGTAGATCAAGGCAACTTGTTGTCTTCCGGTATTTGGTACTACTTTGTCGAGATGAGCAGATCTTGTAAAAGAACAACACTATGCATGCCACCGGACGTTCCGGACGCCTTTCCTCCTGAAAAGCCCTCCGCACGAGATGGTGTTCACTCGGTGTCTACAGGATATTCCCGGCCCATGACAGCGAGAAACTTCTAGACTGTCCTCACACACTTCCCTTCTTGTACATCTTGGCTCCTGAGAACGGTCCGAAATGCTAAGCTGTGTTTGAACATCCTGCTAGGGGTTCGGGACTTGTTGCGCTCCGCAATGCCTCCGTAACATTCAAACCCTCGAGAAATTGCAACTAGCCGCGCGACGCCAGTCTCATACACAGGGGTGCTAGCCATTGTTCATCACGTCATCGGCTTTCATCAGATGGCAGGTCATCCAGGTGATAAGCTAACTACCAACAGCTGCACCGCGCATCAGAAGAGATCAGCGACTGGGAATATTCGAAGACGCAACCAGTACCGTCATAATGGAACGGTGCAAGGGCGATTCAAGGCCAATGAAAGAAAGGATGCTACAAACCATACAGAACACGTCATTCTGACACCTCTGATGACGACGGTGCTGACTGAGATACGAGCTTGGCAAGGTTCCAATCGATCAAACACAGGGAGCCGTCATCCCGTAGCAAAACATTGTCGCGCCTCAAATCTCCGTGATCGATCCCGAGTCGAGCGAACATCTGAACTGCTTGGCTTTAGGACCCACGCCACACAGACGTCCAACACCTGTCAATCTGATGCGCCAAGCCTGCGTGAGCTCAGATGCCAGCACTTTGATCACTCACCGAACTTTATCGTCGAATTCTGGGACGAGATCAGAATCTCTGATCTGTCTTCCACCATATTCCATCACAAGAGCAATGGACCGAGACGGCCCAGCTTGGAGATAGGTCCCGTAGTACGTGGGGAGGAGCTTCCGAGCCTCTTTGGGTAGAAGAGGAAAAACGTGCTCGTAGAAGAGAGACTCCCGGATGCCCGCCCCCCACCCATCGAAGATTTTGATCACCATCGGTGTATCCGTCAGCATCACCTTATGCTGCGGAATGGGCTCAGACTTGGTCGAATCAAGGCCAGCGAGTAGGCGTGGTGCTATACCCGCTTGAACCGACTTGTTCGAATGTCGAGAGGGGCTGCCGGCGGGTGCCTTCGTACGTAGTTGACCTCCATAAGCAGAGCCATATCCACCGATAGCGAGGAGTTGCGGTATCCGAATCTGCGGTAACGATTGCAAGTCGCACCTATCCAGCGCAGAAAGTGATGCCATAAGAAGTGGTGAGCGCTCTCCATCATCATAAAGCTCGCGGGAGAGATATTCTAGCAAAGCAGGAGAAAGGCGTTTCAGGCTAGGCGTTGTTCTGAACTCAGACGTTTTCACGAGCGCTTCGTTGGGAATCGATGTTTCGCTGAGCTTGAACACGACCGCCTCGTAAGGGTCTAGTCGGTCTGGCGAATACTCCCAGACAAGAGCGATCTGTATCTGTGCATGTAGCCGGCGCCCAGGACATAAAGATCAGTCAGCTAGCGAGCGTTCCGTCGAGTCGGTGGTAGTACGCCGAAAGAATGAGCATCTGCCACTGGATCTCGCAACATACCGAAGCTACAGACGTGTCCAGCGTCACTTGTACAACGTGACCACCCGTGCGCCAGAAGTCCTTCAACAGTGGTGATGGTGGCTGTGATGTTGCCTTCGTGCCCCGGGTGCGCCGTCTTTTTGCCCGCGGTGATTCAGAAGCTTCCGGTGCTTCGATTGCGCACTCAACTCCGATTGCCCCGACGGTTCGGTCCAGCTCCTGCGGGTCAATTGAATGTGCGAACAGTAGTTGAAGAGCTTCGGGTGAGGGGGGCGCTGCTGTTGCGATATGGTCAATACCAGCGGCCAGGAACATAAGCGCGACGGATATGTAATCGAATAGGAATGGCTCTTGATGGGGGATTGGGGGGCGTCGTGAGGCGGTGGTGTAGATGCGCGAGTACAAGATCCCCATCTCTTGAAGGTTTTGGGGGTTTACAACTAGTGTACAGGAACATGCAAGAAGGAATGGCGCGTAAGTTTCTTTTTCTACGCTGCCACGGAATGCCAAGCTAGCTCACCTGCTTCGGCCAAGATGACGAAATGAGAGCTGATCATCATGCCGAATCGTACAGGGACTTCCACCTCACCCGTCTTGTCATTTCTTTCATTGGCCGATTCCATGAGAAAAGCCAGCTGTGTTGGCATTGGTGTCAAACAAGGAAGCTCGGCTTGGCATACGATATAAGCTGTAGTGGGGCATGGTCCGCACCGTGTTCGACGGACCTTGTTTAACATCGCCTGTGCGCCATGGCTCCTCTTTCCGAGATCAAGAGGGATCGGACCATTATGATAAAGATGAAACTTGCACTCGTCGTCGCGCGCAAACAAATTCGGTTGAGGACCGTTTGACATGAAGGACGCGTCCTCCTCAAGGATAATCGAAAGGCGGGACAAGCACCTTCCGTTGCCTCTCATCAGGGCAAGCGTGATCCCGGGTGGATGAGAACGCTGTGGAGCCTCGAAGCGAAGGTAGTACAGGCTGTTGGGCCGCTCGCTCGTATCGGAGTCGCCAACTGAATCGTAGTACCGCTTCAACACGAATAGGAGCAGAGGTTCTAGAACGCGTATGCGCAGGTCGTGGATCGTTGCGGTGCATTCGGGACTGTTGGTGCACACGATCCGACCACAAGGTCGGTCCGACCGGAGTAGCCTACCGACCTCGTCGTGCACTTCATCCATCATGGTGCTCTCGTTGAGAAAGTTCTCGAGCGATCCTCGAAGTCGTGGCTCGAGCGAATCGTCCAGCATTGCTGCAACAGGTCGTCGCCATATTGAAGCCAACGGCGGGGGCTCGAAAGGAAGACCGCCTCCGCGAAGGTCGAAGCAATCTGGCCCTTCACAGGGTGCGTGCCTGATGTTGTCCTCCTCGAGAAAGAGCCCCAGGTGCGATCGGAACATGAGTCGAGCTCAGTGGAGGACCGTATGACCGGATAGCTAGCTGTATGCGCGTGCCGACCTCGTCAAGGCAAGAGGCGCGCGCGCCGATCGTGTAAATCCATTGCAGCTGTTATGGCTTTGGCAGGCTTTGGCTATGGCGCGCGGGCGCGTGAGAAACCAGGGGCAGCTTGGAAAGATGTTTCGTGCGAAATCGTCAGACCCCTCAAGACGCTCGCAGTAGTCTGTTGGAGAAGAGCTCAACCTGATGCGGTCAGACACCGCCTGAACCGGCATCTCGTATGGCATCGGACGCTCCCGTCAAGTTCCAGTAAAGAAATCTGTCGGAAAATCTGTACCAACACGCTGAGTGCCGCTGAGATCCACCAAAATGCGCCGAGTTCCCTTCGAACCTGCCATCAAGTGGAGGTATTATGCGAGAATATTATGTCTCAATTTGTGAATCGGCAAACGTCGCTAGCTGTCGCTCAATAGATAACTGCCCACTGTGGGAACGGATCACTTTCCAATCCTTGCTCCCAAAATCAACAACACGACCAACGCCGGCGGTGCCAAAAAGGTGGTGGCGGCTCGAGTCGAGTCGATCCCGGAGGTCTGGTCGGCCGCGAGCTTGAGAAGGTATAGAGACGAGCCTGAAGGGGGAAGATATCTCCAGTCAGATACTTACCAATAATCTGGGACGTAGCTATACGCGCGTCATACCTTGAGCTCCGAACCAGATGGTTGAACTGAGCATCGACGAGGGGACAAAATCAGCAGTCCGGTCCGTTTAAACTTAGGGGGCGTCAAGCAACTCGTGATCAGTGTGTAAGGGACTCACCGGAGCAGGGAAACAATCTTCGAATTCCCAAAGATGTAGACGGGGTTGTATATGAACCTCAGAACAACGCTAGAAGGAGATGGTAGTCAGCTGCTGGGTATCACGAGCTGGCAGAGTTCAGACTCGATAGTGACTGACTGTAGGACGGCAATTTGATTCAACTTCTCTGTCGGTACCGAAGCCCAATTGGCGGAAAGCTGAGGGATAAAGATTGAGAGATTACCACCCGTTGTGATGTGTGGAGGGAGAGGAAGGAAACGGGGCGTACGATCGCTCCGACGAAGAGTGAAAGGTTCTCCAACCCGTTCGTGTGAGCCGCCGAGGCTGCGATAGACGAAGCCGTGTGAACATCCAGGTATCTGATAACATTATTGAGGGTCTCTCACCTACCTCGCTTGAATTGGGCCAGCTTGTGCGCTGGCAATCTCGCCGAGGCGGCATCGACGTTGCCCCTATCCAGGATCCAAGCGCCTCAGACACTAGTTGAGCCAAGGATCAACAGAGTATCGTTTTTGGAGTCCGAAGACGACTGACCTTGGTGATGCATTACTCCATTTTCCTACGGTCAAGATCATGGCAATCTACGTGTCATAGGAATGGCTCAAGGATCAGTCGGCGATCTCCGGAACGTCGACCCGAGCTGGAAAATTTACGGACCTCCATGTAGACGTGGGGAGCAGGGCCAAGATGTAGGCGAGTGGAATCGCATAGAGGGAGATGTTGACTTTGGTCAGGTTGAGAGAAAGGTGCTGTTGCGCTTGCGAGGTGAAGTACTCCATTTGTGGGTCAAATGGGTCGGAGTGGTTTTCACGTGGTCCTCAAAGCTCAGAGCGCTCAGAGCACGGAGGGACGGCGATCTGTGCCCGGGCTTGTCATTTGCTGGTCAGTGCCAGTCAAATGACTGAAGTTGCAGCAGTCGTACTTACTACTGACTTTGTCGGATGGTCCAGGGGTTAAGCCTTTCGGTCAGTCCTGATCAGAATTAAGCAGCAAGTGGGGCGATGAGTGCAAGCCACGAGCCAAGAGATGACATGTGAAGGCAGTAAGTTGAAGCTGCCAGCGTCATCAGTGGAGCGTCCGACGGCTCGTCTCGGCGATGCGCGCATTAGCGCATTAGCGGCACTGCGGGCGCGGCTGGTGCTCAGTGCTCACGCGCTCAATTACAGTCTTGCCAAAGCTCGCCAAAGTCCCAGCCGAGCCTGCCCAGCAGAGCCCAGCAGCCGCCGCCCTTCTCGGCTTCTGTTTGACAACCCCGCGCCAGGTGTAGGCTCCCCATCGACCCCTACACGACTCTTCACAGATTCTCGTCTCGAGACTGTGGGTGATTGTCTCGCCAGGAGAGGGTCGTTGGATTGGATGCTGGTTCAGCAGGACCATGCGTCCGAGCTTCCTCGTTCTTCGTCGCTGAACTTGGACGTGCACCACCCTGTCCACCCAGCGCCGCCGTTCGAATCGCCGCCTCCGCTCGCAGTCGCAGCAGCACTGGACGCCTCCTCTTTGGCTCGGCAGACTCGCACGGGCTCGGCCTCGCACGGCATTGAACTCGGTCCTTCAAACGTCGGCAACAGCATTAATAGCAACAACAAGAAGAGGAACGACGACGACGACGAAGCCCAGGTCAACCCTCTGTTCGCCATCTCGCAACGCGTACAGGCCGGCAGTCTCGAGTCGGTGCACGTCATTGACGATCGCTCCGTCGTCTCGGGCCATCCCACGCCTTCTCTGCTGCATCCGAGTACCTGGTCCGCTCCTTCGATACCTCTACTCCACAAGAACAACCACAACACTAACAACGACAGCAACCAGAATTCGGGCAAGGACAGTGCCGCGGCCATGGTCCACCTCAATGGCGCTCCTACCTCGTCCGAGTACCGCAAGGGCACCATCGCACGAACGACCAGTGGGCTCTCAACCTCGTCCTCGTCGGCCGGCGCATCCCTCACGAACGGCAAGAGCCATGTCTCCAAGCTCAGCCAACGCGAGAAAGAGCGGCAACGGGCCATGAGTGGATCGTCGCAACACTCGGGTCACTCGGAGCGCTTCGTGATGCACGGCGAGGGCGACGACGATCCCGCGCCGGACGAGAACACCGTAGGCCATCTCCGAGAGTACCACGTGCATTCGTCAAAGCGAGAAGCGTGGAAGATGAAGGCCTCGGACTGGAAGATCGGTATGAGGGAGCGCATGCACAGCGGCGACTCGAGCTCGTACCATCAAGCCGACCACCACCACTGCGACGACCCCAGCATCTCGAGCCAGCTCAGCCGGTCACCGCGCCCCCAACCGGTACATTTCGATTCGCACGAGCGACCGGTGATTATTAGTCCGAACGAGTTCACGAACGAACCCGTTTCGATGGTCCTTCCCGAGAGCGATACGCCGACGCGGTCGGAATCGCCAGTATCGATGATCGCTTCGACCTCGACTCAATCTGGGCTGAACGGGACACGGAGCAACGCCATCGCCGGTCCTTCCGGCGCCTCGGCTCTCCAGGGCGCCCCGATACTTTCCCCGATATCCCGAGTGACGTCCTCTCCTCGCTCCGCAATCCCCGTCCTCAATGCGCCGGGTTACCTCGTCACCAATTCCCGCATTCCACCCGTACCGACCGTACCCAACGGTGTCTCCACCTCTGATCCGTCAATTAATGGTCATGACTCTCCCGCACAGCGACTGGTCCCAATCGATTCTCTCACTCTCCCTCTCCTACCAGGCGACATCCCACTCACGACCGTCACCTCCGCGTTCTCGGGCGATCCCTCGTCCGTTTCATCCTCGAGCCGAACCCGACGCAGTCACTCGTCAGCAGAAACGACTCGTCCGGGGTACGTATCACCTCCCACAGCGACCACAAGCCTTCTTCCGCCGCTCCAAGTACCACACCGAACCATGTCCACTTCAATGGTCACCTCGCCAGAGTCGACCGCGGCACCTTACGACGAGGTCGAGTCGTCGATCGCGGCCCAGGCTGAAGTGATCCGAAAGAAGCGACAAGAGAAACGGGCGGAGAAAGAAACGGGCGGGGACAACTATGGCACATCGAGCAACGAGGATAGGTCGGGGAGACCGGGGGCTCCGATGATCAAGCGCAGAAGTACGCGCTTGGGCAGCGGGGACGGCCCGGGGACAGGTGTGCTCGTGGGGAATCTGATCGGGCAGGACCATGCCAACTATGTCCTGATGTACAACATGTTGACGGGAATTCGAATCGGAGTGAGTGACCGCGTAGAAATGGACCGAGTGGGGAGCGAGCCTTTTGCTAATGGCTTGCGCTTTCCCAACCCAGGTCTCGAGGTGTCAAGCAAAACTGAAACGTCCACTTACTGACGCCGACTATACGGCACGCCACAAGTTCTCATTTGATATGTGAGTACTAGGGAATGAGGGAGAATGGTGAGCTTGTCCACTGATTTCGTGTCATGTCCTGCGCACAGCGTTGGGAACGAGTTGACCCCTTCGGTCAAGTACGACTTCAAGTTCAAGGACTACGCACCATGGGTGTTCCGTGAACTGCGCGAATACTTTTATCTCGACCCTTCGGATTACCTCGTATCCTTGACGGCAAAGTACATCCTCTCCGAACTGGGCTCACCGGGCAAGTCGGGTTCCTTCTTCTACTTTTCCCGCGACTATCGGTTCATCATCAAGACAATCCGCCACGCCGAGCACAAATTTCTACGATCGATCCTCAAGCAATACCACGAGTATATCAAGGAGAACCCGCATACCTTGCTCTCTCGATTCTACGGCCTGCATCGTGTGAAGCTCCCCCGCGGGAGAAAGATCCATTTCGTTATCATGAACAACCTTTTCCCTCCTCATCGCGACATCCACGAGACGTACGACCTCAAAGGCTCGGCGATTGGGAGGAAGACGCCGGACGAGAAGGTGCAAGAAAACTCGCATGCCATCTTGAAGGATTTGAATTGGATCGAGAGGGGAAGGCAATTGGATCTCGGGCCGGAGAAAAAGGCTTTGTTCGAGGAGCAGCTGAGAAGGGACACAGAGTTGATGCAGAAGCTGCGCATCATGGATTACTCGCTGTTGACGGGCATTCACAACGTTCGACGGGGGAATCAGGACAATCTCAGGGACAACATGCTTACCGTCTTCCAGGTTAGTTGCGTCTTTTGTGGTCGCTCATTCTGTGCGAGTGCTCACGCAATGCCTGTGAACTGCTCCGCGCTGCCAGCCCGACACCTTCAAGACCCCGCGGCGCAAGCTAACCGATGCGAAGCGCGACTTTGATGCCGCGGCCGTTCGCAAAGCCGTACAGCAATCCGATCCTAAAGCGCTGTCGGAGACGAACAAGCTTCCCGACCAGGACACGTCGGAGCGGCGCATGTTCTTGTTCTACCAGGACGAAGGCGGGATTCGCGCCACAGGTGATTGCAACGAGGACCTCGGCGTCATATACTACCTTGTGAGTCGGTATGCGCCGTGTCATCACATAGATCGACGAAAGCTGATCGCGACTTTGCTTATACAGGGTATCATCGACATTCTCACCCCTTACACGTTCGTCAAGAAGGTCGAGCATTACTGGAAGTCGTTCAAGCACAATGGGGTACGCGCTTCGGATCCATTATGCTCCTTTGGTCTCCTGCTGATTTAAGCTACTCTACCCACACCAGCACATGATTTCGGCCGTGCCTCCGGAAGAGTACGGCGATCGTTTCATGGCGTTCATCTACTCCCTTATTCGGGGCAATGATACCTCGAAGCGACCGAAGATGTACGAGCACGATCCACCGCCGCCGCCTACAGCCGCTACAAAGCCAAAGACAGAGTAGTTTCAGACCCTATACCATATCCCTGGTCTCTGGCAACTATACCTACGTGCCACCTCTCTGGGTCTCTGTACCTGAGGTATCGCTCCACGCTCGTTTACCCCCATCCCCTTCTGCTGAATCCGAACTCCGTTGGTTTGTTCCCCATCACACATTCTCTTTCTCCTTCTTGTCTAATTCTGTTCGTTCTTGTTTTCTTCGAGTTCCGATGATGTCGATGTGATGTATGAGCATTATTTTGATCAATCGTGGGGGCCGGGGTGGACGATACTCTCATTCGATCACTGAGAGTGGAGTGGGTAAATCCTGCGTCTTGACATTGCATCCGCACTAGAACATCCTTCTACCTCGTGCCCTCTCGTGTCCGTCGTCTTATACCTTGAAACAGATTGCAGCCATTTGTCAGTCCAAAGAAGCGGGTCGCGGAAGTAAGTCGACTAGCTCTGACTTACTGGGAACGTCCTTGTGGGTCAACCGGTGCGGCAAGTGATAGTGATCTTACTTGCCAAGCATTGTCAATTACATAGTATCTTCCCGCACAAGGGCAAGCGATGAGGAAAAAAAGAAGGTCGGTCAACCCCTGGCAAACCCAGCTCCATCCCCCCCAATCCAACACTGGCAAGCGATCCGTGCGCTCCGGAAGCGGTTCACCTTCACAAGATATTAGCACAGCCTCCCCAGCCTCCCCCTCCTCTCTACTCACTGTTTATCGCAATACCCAATACAGGGGCCGTGCCCGGCATGATGCGACAACGACATAAGAAGAAAGCGTCCCATACGTGTTTCATGTATACCATCAGGTCCTTCCCTCCACGGTCGGGCCAAAATGTTTCACCATCTTCGCGACCGTCCGAGCAAATCGCCGCACCATCCCGAGACAGAATACAAACTAAGCACTCATTCGTGGATACCCAACTTATGTTACAACAACTTGAATGCGCTCCAAAACGCATGCGACGGAACACCCTACCCAAAGATCTCATCGATCTCATCTTGATCGTCCCGATCCTTCTTGCTCTTCTTCTTCTTCACCTTTTTCGGCTTGGAAAGGTTTTCGGTGGCGAGATCTCGACGTCGTTTCTTCTTCGAGACTTCGTCGATGGGCGGAGGCAAGGATACCGTTGCCACGTCTTCTTGCTCCGGTGCTGAGGTCTGTTCCTCAGGAACCGGTACCCCCCTAATAGTCTCCTTGTTCGAATCGTCAACCACCTCGACAGTGGCAATCTTCCCTCGAGCCAGACGCATCAACTCCTCCCTACTGATGACGGTGCCTATATCGTCTCCGATCCCACCTTCCGGTCCATTATCCGAGATCACGATTGGCGTGAGGTCTGTCGAAACTTGTTCACTGTTCAATCTCGAGGTCGTTATAGATGCCAAAGCCAGGTCGGTCGAATCCAGATTGGGTACGAACGCGCGTAGCTCGAGCTGCAAGTCTCGGTAATATCGTCGAGCTTTTTCAACAAGATCCTGAAAAGAACAGGCGGCGACGTTTAGTCTATACGAACAAAGCATTTGGTACTCAATCCGCCTCTCGAACTCACCTCGCTCGACTCGACGGAGCGAATCAACTTGGCGACGATGCGCGCTGCGTGAGCGAGATCTTGTTGAAGGGCCAAGGTGATGGCGTACAAACGCGCATGGAGGGAGGTCAGAACCAAGGAGAAGGGGAGAAAGGCGCGGGAATGGACGAGTTGAGAGAGTGTTCTGCGTGAAGAAGTGCGCTCAGTGGGCCAAATTCTCGGACCCTGCCCAGCTCGATACATACTCGGAGGAAGAGAACAGGACTTCGATGGCCTATCAAATGGGTACAAGTCATGTTGAGGGTCAGCCAAAATCGTTCAAAGGTCAGCAGCGGCACCCTCAACGTACTTTGGTGACGACCAGAGAAGCTCGAGGCAATCGCGAGAAAAGGACAAGCAGCGACGAGGGTTCCAGAGTCGCGTTCTGGTCCGTCTCGGCACTGTGCGTAGGTCAAAAGCATACATATGAGTTCTCCCCACACGTGTGTCCCAAGGTACTGGTGGGTGTCACTGACTCGAGGCCCAAAGCGACGAGCAAGCTTTTCAGCTCATCCGTGAGCCGGCCAATGACACGATCGACGTGTATGATCCTCTTCCACCACGCGTTGGCCTTGTGCTGGTTCTTGTTCTTGTAGCAGAAGCGACGGAGCAGTGCTGCCTCCTGTTGCAGCTGCGGCAGCGATCGTTTGAGTGGCCTCAGCGACGAGACCAAGCCCGGCAGGGAGGCGGCGCTGAGGGAGGTCGAGGCGGTCGAGTCCTGAATCGGCACAGTAGTAGGTAGCTGCCGCTTGATCATGGCATTGGGGCTTTCTCGAGCCGGAGCTTGTACGAGACGGCGAGCCCAGAGAAGCAACGAGCTGAGGGGCCCAGAGATGCGTGGTCTGGGTTAGCTGAGTGTATGCGCACAAAGTGGTAAGGCTGGCCGTGAACCGACCCAAACGACTCGATTTGGCGATTACAAATGCGCGGCTGGCGTGCGAAGGCGCTGACGGGCGCTGACTCGCGTAGTACTCGCGTTGCGCTGCGATTCTGCGAAGCAGTGCGAAGCTGTCGGGCGGGCTCACTTGGCGAGTCGCGCCGATTGCTTCACTTCTCCTCCTCCCCTCGTTGCCTGAAACACACGCACGTATACGCAGACGCAGACGCAACAGTCAAGAGCTATAACGCACTCGGCCAGGACACGTACCCGATATCGACAGGCTTTATCGAGTAGAAAGCTGCTCGTGAGCGTACTCGCTGTCCATCTCCGTCGCTTCGTCAGCCGATCCTCGACGACTTGCAGCTCCTACATCCGCACTTGCATCTCGTATCATGAGCACCAACGCAGCAGGAGTAGCCTATGTGGCACCCGCACAACAGACCGCTTACGTGCTCTGTGCTGGTACGTACCTCTCTGCTCTTATCGACCTCTGGCGCCACACAGCCGAGCTGAGCTGAGCTGAGCTAAGCTGACCAACATGACTTTCCAAACATGATTTCTCAAACAGACTGCGGTACACCAATCGAGCCAAACAATGCCAATCTCTGCGTCAACTGCTTGAGGAACGCGTGCGTTACTCCCTTCGAGCCTTTGGTCTCGCCGAAGATTCGTTCCAACTCCTGAGAGCTGATCTTGCATCTGCGACTTTCCCAATAGCGTCGACATCACCGAAGGCATCCCGAAACAGACGAGCATCAACTTCTGTAAAGGATGCGACCGATACCTGTCCCCACCGACGACGTGGACCATCTGCCAGCTCGAATCGAGGGAGTTGCTCGCCATCTGCCTGCGTAAGCTCAAGGGGCTCAGTAAAGTGCGCCTCATCGACGCCGGCTTCATCTGGACCGAACCCCATTCGAGGCGATTGAGGGTCAAGCTGACCATCCAAAAAGAGGTATGCAAGCATGCCAGCTCTTTGCTCACCCTATCAACTCCCCGCTGACCTTGTGGCGATCTTAATCCAGGTCTTCACCTCGACAATCCTGCAACAAATCTTTGAAGTCGAGTACGTCGTACAAGGTGCCCAGTGCCCCGAATGCACCCGATTGGCCGCAAAAAACACCTGGCGTGCTTTGGTCCAGGTCCGACAAAAGGTCGACCACAAGCGAACCTTCTTGTACCTCGAACAGCTCATCCTCAAGCACAACGCCGACAAGGACACCATCTCGGTCCAAGAGGTCAAGGATGGGCTCAACTTTTTCTACTCGACCAAGCAACACGCTTTGAAGATGGTCGACTTTCTCGGTGCCATCGCTCCTGTCCGGTAAGTTATGCCCCGCAATCATATTCGTGTGGGCCACGCATTCGCTGACCCCCCAGAACCGCCTCTCCTCCTTAGAGCCAAGACCTCGGAACAGCTCATCTCGCAAGACATTCAGAATTCGACCACCAACTCGAAACTGACCTACTCGGTCGAGATTATTCCCATCTGCAAGGATGACGTTGTGTGCCTGCCTCGCAAAGTCGCCTTGGCCATGTCCAACATCTCGCAACTCGTCGTCTGCCACCGAGTCGGGAATCAGATCTACCTCATCGACCCTTTGACCTTGACCCTCGGCGATATATCCAGTTCGGTCTACTGGCGAGCGCCATTCAGTCCCCTGGCCGATATCACTCAGGCGACCGAGTTCATCGTACTCGACATTGAGCCGACGTCGCACCCACCCAAGACGGCCAAAGGCGGTCGTTTCCTCCTCGCGGATGCGCAAGTCTCCCCCGTCGGCGGGTCTATGAACAGCGACGTCATCTTCCACACCCGAACCCACCTCGGTGCCGTTCTCAAACCGGGAGATACCGTGCTCGGATACATGCTCGGATCGTCCAACTTCAACAACGACGCATGGGAAACGATGGACCAATCGAGGGCGCCCGAAGTCATCCTGGTGAGGAAGACGTACCCGAATCGAAGAAAGAAGTCCAAGGCGCGTGGGTGGAAGCTCAAGTCGATGGTCAAGGAGGTTGGTGGTGCTTCGCTCGAAGGCGCCGACACGATCGGGTTGGGTCGCGAGAAATCCGAAGGCAAGAAGAGTCGTGGCGCCGGTGCGGCCGAACATGCCAAGGCTGAGGCCGACTACGAGAGGTTCTTGCGCGACATCGAAGAGGACGAAGAGATGCGTCAGACCTTGCGCTTGTTCAAAGACCCCAAGGCCGTGCAACAGCAGGAGAACGAGATGATTGAAGAGTCGGATGTCGAGGACGCCGAAGACGACTTCCCCGAGATCAACGTCGATGACTTGTTGGATGATATGGAAGGCCTCAACATTGAGCCGGACGAAGAGGGCGATGCTGGTATGGAATCTGAGTAGTAGTGCCCTTTCCAGCTTGTGCAATCTCACCGCTGTCATTGCTATGTAAATCTTCATTAAGATCTCGTCTTCGTTTCAAATCCGAATCTGTTCATAGCACCGGAAGAAAGGAAGTACAAATGCAAGAAAGAGGGCTTGATGTCGATGCTATACGTATACAGTGTCGGGAAAGGAACGAAGCAACAACGACCCAGTCATCCAAGCGGCCAGTTCAACCAGAGCAGTCCATCACTCTGGAATAACAGCAGCCGAATTCCTGGCCAGCGATGGAGCACTTGCTGTACCGTTGGCTTGAGAAGGTGACGGATCTCGATCCCTCGATCCTCGACCAAAGAATAATGTAAAGCTAGGTCTGCGACTCGGCGGTGGCGGACTGCCCAGTTCCGGCAGGATCCTCGATTGACCTGGCCCTAATAAAGGCGGTGACAGTCCCGGTGATCCTGGTGAAATGGGGGACGTCATCCCTGGTGGAGAAGACATGCCGTCCACGTTCTTCTTCGGCAAGGTCGTCGAGGTGAAAGGAGCGGCTTGATTCGCTTCCTTAAGGAGAAACTCGATAAAGAGGTTCGAGAAGCTCTCGTTCTCGCCAAGGCCATCTTCCTCCTCCTGCGTCGTCGCAGCGGCTTTACCTTTCCCTGTACCTGCTCCTGATGACCGAGCGTGTCCTCTCCCTGTTCGCCCCGAGGAGCCGGCCGCGACCGAACGTTGCAGTCCGACTTGTTCGCGCTGGTCGTCCGACCATGACAGGATCGAGGATAAGAGCTGCAGCATTTCGAAGCGTTTCGTGTCGCCCCGGGGAGTGTTGAGGAAACTGATAAGCACGTTCGAGACGAGTCGTCTGGAGAGGCATCATGTTAATAAGGGTCAGCACATGTCGACAAATCAAAACTAGTCAACGGCTAATGCTTCTCACCTGTCGACAGAGTTCTCGGACGAGTCTTTCTTAAGCCGCCGCAGAGCCTCCGTAAGATGCTCATTCAGAATTACAGCTGATGCATCATCTCCTTTCCTGTCAGTCATTCCGTCTCGCAGTGCTATTCCCTAGGGCTGAGACCACGACTCACCTTCATGCCGCAGCTTGCCCGTCAGCAGTGTCTTCTCCTTCAGCTCCTTACTGAGCGTGATGACCTTCTCCGAATCATTTTGCGCGGACGCGAGGTTTGCCTGGACCATGCGGCAATTATGAGACCAGTGTCAAGTCGGGCGGCACACTCGACGTGGCTACTCACCTCGGCGGCTATGGCCCTCTGCTTCCATATCCCGATCGAGTCGTGAGCACCGTCGAGTTGTGCTTGCAGGTCCCCTGTTGTCGACCGAAGTTCCTTCTCTTTGGCTACGAGTATAGTAAGTTTGATCAGTTTCTTCATTGACACTAGACTCTGTACCCTCCGCACTTGAGCTTACCTGCTTGAAACTCCTCCAAGACGGTTTGCAGATTCGACGCGCTCTCGGCTTCCCGATCCCTCTCTTCCCTGAACGCATCGCGGTCGGCCTTGCATTGGCCGAGTTCCATTTCGAGTTGACCTAACCGTGTCGACAGCTCCTCCCTCTTGACGCGTTCCCTCATAGCCTCGCCCTCCCACTCGTCGCGATCGATCCGAATCCGCTCCGCCTCCTCCTGTGCGTCCCGCAGGGCCATCTCGCGTTCGGCAGCCTCGTCTGACAAACCTTTTTGGGAATCAAAGGCTCTGGCACGTAGGCTCTCGAGCTCGGTATGCAGTCGCTCCGAATCTTCGTGGGCCTGTATTAGCTCTGCCTTGAGGGTGTCGATCGTCGAGGCGAGGTCGTCGATGTGTAGCCGGAGCTCGTTGATCTCTTGTTCTCGTCGGTCCAATTCATCCTATTGAAGAGAAGAGTGTTCGTTAGTTCTATCTCTGGGGTGAGCTTCCTCGCCATGACTGAAGCCGCCTCGAGGTTCCCCCCACTCGCAGTCGTTTGCCCCCGCTCGTGACGGACGACGAACACGTTGAAAGCGAATGTGACTGACCGCATCCTGCTTGAGCTTATCGCCGAGCGTGTTCCTCATCGTGGTCAACTTGCTAAGCAGACCATTGTACTTGTCCTCGAAGGCCTGCTTGTCCTCGCGTGTGCGCTGCAGCTCCCACTCGAGCTCGGCGACGCGGTCCGTCCCGTCTAGAATTGGGCCGGCCTCGCCGTGTTCGTGTTCGTGTTCGTGTTCGTGTTCGTGTTCTTCAGGGTAGTGTGCTTCCTCTTCTGTCGGCGCCTCTTGGTGTTCATGTCCATTGGGGATGGTAGCCGTGCCGTCCCGCGCGTGCTCTTGTGCATGTTCTGGCGCGTGCTGGTCGTGTTCTGTCTCTGGGTCGTGATGGTGGAGCGGCTGGGGATGGTGATGCTGCTCCTCGACGTCGGCGTCGGGCGTCGCACCGTCCATCGCCCGCGAGTCGTCCTCGTTCCCAAACCACGAAGCATCGTCCTGCTCAGCATGCTCGAAAGGGTTCGGCGTGTCGCCTTCTTCGGCCATCATCCTGGGCCCGTCAAAATCGCACACCAGCTCGATTCGGTCCGCTCAATCGTCGGCTTCGTCGGCTGAGCACTGCTGGACGGTGGGGGGAGCCAGGAGCACCAACGGCGGTGTGCCCAGCCTGGCAGCCTGCAGCCTGCAGGGCAGCGCGCGCTCTAGCACTGCTCTAGCTCGGGGAACCCGGCTGCATTACAAGCTTAAGCTACCGGCCTGTTGTTGTAGTAACACCGAAATCGAATCCTCGCAGCAGGGCAGCGGGTTGGCAATACTGTGTAGAGACAACTCAGGAGCAAGCTTTCAGAAAAATGTCGCGACGACAATAAGCGCATCAAACTTGCACAAAGTACCGCTTGGCCCTAGGCTGGTGGTCCGGCCGGCGGGAAAGACGGACAAACGGGTCAATTTTCGGACATCCTTCGAATGCAGATATTCGAAAAAGGACGATGCGTAGGAAGATCATTGGGCCGGTGTAGTACAGCAGGAAGCGGTCTTATGACCTTCGCACCCGCCTTAGTAGATCGAAAACGTTGCACATCGATCACAACGTGCCGATCACTCACGCGCTCACGCACGACTCGCGGCGACGTCAACTGCTGGCGGCCACCGCTGATACTGAGGCTCCTAGCCGCCGCGCTCCCGGAAGGAGGTGGTATAATAGTGCCGTTCGAGCGGGCCTTGGACGGATGTGATCTGGAGTTTCCTTCCGTGGTTCCTGCCTTGAGAATGAGCTTGCTTGCGCACCTCAACAGGCCGCTGGCGGCGGCGCTGGCGTTCGCCGGGAAAGTTGAGCATGTGCAGGTGCAGCCCGGCAGCCGACAGCGTCGTACGAATCTTGTCCCCAGACTCCCAGAGAAGGAAGCACGCAATTGAACTACACATTCTCTCTTTGCCCCCGCAACATCGCCGTACCCGGCTATTCACCCGCTCGCTTGCATCAACAGCTGCCAGTGAGGAAAGCTGCGCCCGGCGGGGACAGATCGACCGCGGGCCGCCGCCAAAAGCCCACCCGGCCCCTCCCCAGCTGATTTGTTGGATGCAATCATGAAAGGCCCAGTGCACTCTCGAGGTTCCTCTGAATCGTGAAAACCGGTTGTGTTTTAACGTCCCTTCGGGGACGCGGATCGACGCCGAACAGGGGCTACTTGGACTCAGCGCTCCGGAGATCGGAGCCTCGAAACACTCGATCGCGGCAAAATTGACGCTCTCGCGTAAGGAGCCGACCCATTCGTGCCGCAAGGTGACGAATCAAAGCATGTAGCAGCACTTGGCGCATGCATATCGTGCGGGGAGACGAGGATGGCTGGGTCAGACGCGAACCCCCAAATCGCTTCTGCTCTCGTCCATCTCCGCACTTCCCATTTCGCGAGTCCACACTTGCAGAAGTGATGCGATTTACCATTCTAGCGGACTTGGTTCTCCTCGCTCCAACATCCCCTCATTTGGCAATCCCCTGAAGCCCGTCCGTGGCAAAGCCCAATGGGAGTCTCGTTCGTTAACCGTTCAAAAAACTCGCTGCTAAGAACACGATCTCAACGCAGCCCAGACTCGAAGCGCGGAGTAAGAAGAGGTTCAAATAAGCCTGACAAGACCTATGTGCCGAGGCTTGTTTCCTGATGACCCCGTTCTTCTTGTAAGTTTAGCAAGGGTATCTACTGCATCAGGTCAGAGCATCTGAAGATGCTCCCGCTCCTTGACTGCATCTTGGATTGCGCCCACATATGCCACGCCAAATAATGTGGATGTCAACCTCTGCCGCCAACGCCCCGCCAAGCCCCGTCAATTCTGAAGTAAAAGTGCACCACCTATAGAGGTGGCAGCGGTAGGACGATACGCAGCAGTGTCAGAACCGATAGTTGAGGAACAAGTGACTAAAGAAAAGCTAAACAAGGGAGTCCGCATTGCGAAGGCATAGGCCCACGCGCAAGAATATAATCCACTCAGACACTAAGTTTAATCCACTGCCTTAAAACCAATCGAGCCCCTGGGCGCGCGCCACGCCTCGTTACCGATGGCCTACCACCTAGACAACAAATTCCTCCCTTCTCACAACCCGTCCACATAGCTTCTCTTACTATTTTTGCTTTGCTCCTGGATATTGTAACGATGGGATGCCCGCGAAAACTGGTCTTGCAATAAGAGCAAAGCCCCCATCGATAGCGTCGTGATAGGCGCGAATGCTCCTAAGCGGGACTGCCGCTGCACGCTCTGTTCCTCGGCAGTTCCTCACTCGAGCATGCGTTTTCGAACTCTCAGAATTGGACGCCCATGACAAGGCTGCCCCGAAAGGTGCGGAGGCTGCATCGCGGCCGAGTCGCTTCCCGCGGGACCGACTACGGACTCGGCTAGCCGTTGCCACCGATCAGGCATCCTCATTCGGACCGAGGAATAGTTTACCGGGCGCCACGGCGAATCAATAGATGACTCCTCGACTCTGTGATCGGACCGTGATCCTCTTTGGTAAACCACCGGGTCACCTTCGAAAAGCCTTGCCACAATTTCAGCCCTCGCCTTCCGAGTATCCTCAGCTTCTGCCGTCCACCAAAGCTCTCCCCTCCCCTATCATCTCCACGCCTACGTCTCTAGCCCCACCGAAGCCAGTTGGTGTGTTGGGAATGAGGGTTAGGAATCGCGCGCTCATTGGTAATCTGTTTAGAAGCGCTCGTCTGTTTAGTGAAGCCTGGCGATGCGCACCAACCGTTGTCTTCTCTCCACGGTTGGATTACACGCTCGTCAGGAACGCATGTTTAGCTTCACAGTCACTTTCGTTGCAATCAACTGACGGTTGGATTACACGCTCGTCAGTCTCTGATTCTATCGATTCATGATTAAGCCGAACCGACCTCTTGAACCCAAGCCATCGACGGAAAATCGTTCTTGATCGAAGCCCTGAACCCTCGGCCAGGAGATAGGTGCCGACTCAATTGTGCTCGTTTATGACAGGAGCCTATCGTACATGGTTCACTGTTCAGGAGGCCGCAACAAGTGCTTGGCTTATGAACATTCGAAGACACGTCCGCTCACTTTTGACTTCGTCTTCGGTTTAGCATCTGAAACTGCGTGCAGTCGTGACATGCCAACGATTTCGGATACAAACCTCATGGAGTTGGGAGCGTCTTGTACACTGTCTTCAGCGCAATTGTAAGCGCGTTGCTGGGCTGAGGAGATTAGCATAATTCGCTTCTGCAACGGGCACGGACGCGAGGCGAATGGCATCGACAGACAAAAGAAAAAGAATGCTTGTTTTTCATTTGACATTTTCAGCGAAAGATAGACCAGCTACAAATGGAAGATCCCCACGGTTAAACGAGCGCTCGCCAAAGAGATAGAAGCCCAGACCCAAACCTATGATGACATCCCGGGATAGACCCAATTACTTAAGAAGAGAGAAACGCATGATACGACTCGAGGTTCAAGTTTTACATGGGGGAGGGTTGCGTAAGATTGATGTGCACGGCCTTGACGGCGGTGTAGTTAGCCAAGGCGTACTCGCCGAGCTCGCGACCGATACCAGACTGCTTGAAGCCACCGAAAGGAACAGACGAGTGCAACTGGTTGTAGCAGTTGACCCAGACCGTACCGGCCTTGACGGCGTTGGCGGTCTTGATCGCTCGCGAGATGTCGCGCGAGAAAACGGCGGCGGCGAGGCCGTACATGGTGTCGTTGGCCTGGGCGATGACATCAGCCTCGTCCTTGAACTTGGCGACGACGACGACGGGGCCGAAGATCTCCTCCTTGACGATCTTCATGTCGGGCTTGACGTCCGTGAAGATGGTCGGTTGAATGAAGTAACCCTCGGTGCCATGTCGCTCACCACCAATGTGGACCGTGGCACCCTCGTCCTTGCCGGACTGGATGTGAGCCTGAATTCGGTCGTACTGAAGCTGCGAGGTCTGCGGGCCTTGGAACGTGTCGGCGGCGAAGGGGGAGCCGACCTTGATCGTCTTGACCTTCGCCGTGAGCGCCTCGAGGAACTTGTCGTAGATGCCCTCCTGGACGAAGATACGCGAACCGGCGCAGCATGCTTGGCCGTGGTTGAAGAAGAGACCGAAAGTCGACCACGAGACGGCTTGGTCGAAATCGGCGTCGTCGAAGATGATGTTGGGCGACTTGCCACCGAGTTCGAGGGTGACAGACTTCAAGTTGGAAGTAGCAGCGGCCTTCATGATGGTTCGGCCGACCAAGGTCGATCCGGTGAAAGCGACCTTCTCGATGGCCATGTGCGAGGAGATGGCGGCGCCGGCGATGGCACCGTAACCGGTCACAATGTTGACGACTCCGGGGGGGAAGATCTTGGCGATCAAAGTCGAGACATAGAAGGCGGAGAGAGGGGTCGTCTCGGCGACCTTGATAACAATGGTGTTACCGGTGGCGAGAGCGGGACCGAGCTTCCATGCAAACATGAGGATGGGGAAGTTCCAGGGGATGATCTGGCCGACGACACCGAGGGGCTCGTGGCGGGTGTAGGCCATCTTGGAATCCATGACCTCGAAGACCTTTCCGTGGTTCTTGTCAGCCCATCCACCGTAGTACCTGGATTGGGGAAGGATCGGGCATGCTTGTTAGTCACAGGCACGGGAGGAGATCGCCCAGCAAAAGCTCACCTCAAGCATGCGGCAGCCTCGGACACATCGAAGTGGCGGGCGTATACGTAGGCCTTGCCGTTGTCTACATCAGGGTAAGCCAGGATGCTATATGATCAGTTCACTGGAGGAGCTACCTAGTGTTGGACAAGTCATGTGTGTGACATGCAAGCGCGCGCTCGCGTCGCAGGGCCGTGAAGCCGAGATGAAGGACTTGGTTTCGGAAATCGGAAATTGCGTGAGACCCGGGAAGACTTACCGAGCGATTCGATGGAAGCGATCGTGTCGGCGTGTTCCTCGATGGCCTCGGCCAAAGCGATGAGCATTCTATTCAGTCGAACCAATGCCTTCGTCAGTAGATGATCGGACAAAGGTAAAACTGTTGTGCAAAAGTCGACTCGGACTCACTTTCCTCGCTCGTGGCCGGGGGTCTTCTCACCCCAGACGGTGTCGAAGGCCTTTTGCGCAGCCTCGACGGCGATGTCGATATCACTAAGAAGAAAATTTTGAGAGACAAGAATTAGAGTCAAATTATATATCTATGGGCGCGAGCCAAAAACATCGCGAAATGAAGGGATACACATAATCGAACGCCTGCAACCCGGTTAAAGAAGAGTCGAGCATGGCCCGGGCGCGGCGCTAGCCCAAGGAAAGAGGACAGCGGCACTTACGCGGCGGTGGCCTCGGCAACGACACCGACCTTCTTGTCGGTGGCAGGGTTGATGACATCGATGGTTCGGCCCTCGACACCGGGGACGTGCTCTGTTGGTTAGGGTTGGAGCCGCAGACGTGGATGGGTGAGGTTGGTGTGGGCGTGGGCGAGGTGGGGCGGGCAGCGGGCGCAGCCGGCATGGAAAAGAGGTGGGGCGCAACACAGGGCAGTGGGGGAGATCGTCAACCACCGCACTGGGCTAGTCACTGCGCAATGTGGTGGGGAGAAGCTACGTACTGTTGTTGATGAAGAGACCGGTCGAGAAGGAGACCTTGGGGACTGTGTCGTGAAGTAGGACGAGCAGCACGGAGGGAGGGGGTCAGTCAGACTGATCGGGAACACGTTGCGCAGCAACAGCGACGGCGACGACGACGACGACGACGATGACCGGGAAGGAAGTTAAAACTGACTGTGGTGGCCTTCAGGGAAAACCAAATCAACGGAGGGGGCAGACATGATGATGTAAGTGAGGTGTGTGTGTGTTTGGTTAAGATTAATAAGGGGAGAGTAAAAGGTCTGAGCAGGATGCGGGGGAAGGAGGGGAAGAGGAAGAGAGAGGGGGGTATAATGTCGATCGTCCCGCTGCGCCAGTCACCAAAAAAGTGGCGCCCGGAACGACCGACCGACTTGAATGGTCCTCGAGCGCAGACACCGACAAGCGCTCGTCTTTGCGGGGACGGCTAGTCGTCACCGCAATCTCGACTCGGAGTGTGTGGTGGTGGACCTTTTCGAATTCGGCGCTAAAAAAAAGAGTCCAACTTGTGGGCCTGGGAACGGCCCTGACCGAAACCAAAACCCGTTGAGCCCCACCAAGCTCTAGTTTTCCTGACTAATGGTCACGACCCCACTCAGGCCTCCACTTGTGCACCCGGAAATCGGTCCCGTGATCACCGACGGGGCGACTGCCCGGCAAGTCTCGGAAATGTGTCACTCAGCCTGTCTCACTGCCATGAACAGAGCAAGTGCAATAAGAGGTACTATACCATCTGCATTACAAAAAACTACTTCCATGTGCATTGTTGTCGGCTCTCAAGCACTTCTACCGGCAGTCGAGTGCCGACGATGAAATCGCGGGAGCTGTCGGAAGCCAGTTGTCGTTGCCGAGGCTTCTGGAAAGCGGAGAAAGGCCCCGGTCGATCGCTGGAGATTCCCATCTCCGAGGAAACCGCTTCCTACATGACTTACGGTCCAGAGGCTATTCGAGAGGGCTCCACAACTGCCAAATGCCCTCATGGAAGTCGTTTCCAGCGACGAAACGACTCGCTGTCAGGCAAGCGCTGTAAAGCGACGTATGGGCCCCTCTGCGGCGAACGGAAGCGCCCCCACACCGACAAGTGGCGCTCCATCATGTGCGAAGTCGAAGTCGTTTCGCAGAGCTCTGATATCTCGCCGACAATGGCTTTACCATATAAATAGAACCCCTGATCGTATTACAGCAAGTGTCTACACATCGCTTCGATTTCTCTTCCAGCCGCTCACTGATGCTGGATCTCGATCGGCTTCCCCGGCGCCCACTCTCGACAGACATTCTCGACGTTCTCGAGGTACTTGAGCTTGATGATGGCGTTCTTGGCCTGCCCTAAATCAGGATTTTGCGCATCCTCGAACGCTTGAGAGAGCCTTTGGAACGTTTCGTCCATTTGATCTAGTTCGGCGGCAAGCGTATGGGTTGGGAGTCGTGAGCAATCTTGATCGTCTGGCGTAAAAGGGTCGCAGTCTGCTTGCGAATGAACCTACTTTGGTTGTCTGATCGGATCTGTGCGACCTCCTCTTCGGTCTGAGCATCCTCCAAGGCCTCCCTTGTCTCCATGATGGCCATCAGCAACTCGGGGTCCGTCACGGCCTCTGCTTCGCCGAGCTCGACTTGGGAAAGTTGAAGCTGCGAGCGCAATAGACAAGGATGAGAGCCGCAAGCACTGCTATCGTACCGATCCGTAACATAATGTCTACTTACCAAGTATTCTCCCCTCCTCCTCTTATCAACCAAGGTCTTGTACTCGTCGTTGACCCTCCCACTCCAGACTTTGGCCCACGCCTCCTTGTCCCCCTGACCGGCAAAGAGATCGGGATGAACCTTTTGCTGATACGTCAAAAAAGTGCGTTTGAGTTGAGGGAGATCGATCTCATACTTGGGCTCAAGGTTGAAGAGCTGGAAAGAGGTCGTGTCGAAGGGCGGAGGGACGATGGAGGAACAAGAGGGGCAGGTGGGGACGATGGAAGCGGGGAGAGCGCTTTGGCATGACGGACAGGGTCGTGATGACGCGGGGACAGTTTGAGTCGATGTAGATGCTGTCGATTGGCAGCGAATGTTGGCCGAGATTGGCTGAGCAGAGTGCGGTCGAGTGCGACGTATTCCGGCGCTAGACGACGACGCCGATGCCGCTGTGGCCGACGATGACGAAATGCTTGCGAAGCCACGATGAACCTTCGTGAAGGCGATGCGGAGCGGAGCTTGGCAGGGCGTGGCCGCACGGCCCAGTGCCCTCGAAATGATCCTATTCGATGTTGAAGCTACGGACGGCATGGCTGAGATGTAGTGAGTTAAGGTGAGTGCCGGGCAGAGGTGAGAAAGCAAGGTGTTAGGCCGTGTTCTGCCGCAGAGCGCCGATGGAGGTCGGCCGAGATCGGCGAGAGCGCTCGTGTTCTTCTCCCACCTCTTGCCACCTCACCCTACAAGAGTTCAAACGAACTATCGCACTACGATGAATTCAGCCTTGCTCCAAACAACACGATCCCTGCGATCGGCCCTTCTCGCCCGCCCGATCCTTGCACATCGCCTTCTGACGACCTCCTCAATCCGTGCTTCCTCCTCCTCCTCCTCGACCGACTCGGATCTGACCCACCCCGCTCTCCTCAAAGACCCCCCAGCGGAGAACCCCTCAACCGCAACCGATCCCTGGACCCTCCAACCTCCCCCCCTCCCTCCATCCCCTATGCCCGAAATGACCATGTCCCAACTCATGTCGACCCCTCACCCGGAAGGAAGGGACGAGGAACCCGTCGAGGTCTTGCGCAAGCGCTTGGTCTACGAATCGAGGAAGCGGGGGATCCTCGAGATGGATTTGATACTGTCGACGTTCGCGAAAAAGTGGTTGGCCGAGTTGAGTGAGAGGGAGCTGAGGGAATACGATCGAGTGAGTGATACCGCTTTTCTCTTCTTCCTTGTGGTCCGTCGGTAAGTGTGACGATGTGCTGACGACTTTTTCGGGTATGCCCGTCCCCTCATGCAGTTCTTGACCCTCCCGGATTGGTCCCTCTACTATTACGTGACGGGAAAAGCACCCGCACCTCAACCTTGGAAGCGCAGCTGGGTCCTACAGGCCTTGTTGGATCACGCTGAGAACCGAGGGAGGTCGATCCGACGGATGCCCGATTTGGACACCAAGGCATAGAGGGGGCACGGGATGGCAAGGTGTAGTCGCATGGTTGAGGAGCGGGAAGAATATCGAGACTAGTGACGTTAGATGGTGTAATATGACTGGGAGTAGTCGCTGTATCTCTTGAATAATTGAAACAGGGCAAGTCTTTGTCCGAACCCGGGGCTGTCAATACCCGGAAGCGTCGTGTGCTCAGAGCAAACCACACAACGCGTCGGATGTAAATCACGAAAATCAGGTAGGGTAATCCACATGTCTCAGCGAGCACCCTGTGAAAGACTGTGCAGGCCAAATCTTCTGCCCGTGCGCAACACGGGCTTCCTATGCCACGAACCCAAGGTAGCCTTCCGCGGTGAAGGTATCACAGGGCAATCTAATGTCAGTCATGAGCGTGTGCCAAGAGCGTAGTTTTTCACAAGATTTGTGCCCAAGTACGTCCATAGCGAACCGGTCCTCACTCTCAGACTTGTTCTTCTTTTTCGAATTGGGATCACATTTCAAAACCCTTCTTCCGGAGCTTTCAAAAACGCTTCCCCCAAAACACCTGCGAAACGACTTTTCCTCGATCAAGAGACTTGCTGCGGAAAAGAAGACGTTTATGCGACGATCGAGACGACACCACCGGCCTCGACGATCTTTTGTTCGGCACGACGGGAGACGTATCGGGCCTTGAGGATGATGGGGAAGGCGGGCAATCGACCCTTGGCCAGGACCTTGCCGTAGCCCTGAAAGGAGGAAATTTCAAACAAGTCAGCCCTAGGAGGTCCCCTTCAAAGACAGGATTGAGTTCGTTCGGTGGTAGACCTACGGCAGCGAGAGTATCAACAACGGGGACGACGGCGGAATCGGCGGAAAGACCCTTTCGTTGGGCTTCAGGGATAAGGGACTGTGCGACGATAGGTTCCAGGTAGATGTTAGCATTCGGCTCGTTGCTCGTGTCCGTAATGACGTCGTTCAAGCTCGGCATGCTTCCATCCATCGTGTCGGCCTCTACCTCGCCGCTGCGTGTCTCCCTTGCCCACGTGATGCTGTCCGGTGTCCCATCGTTCCCCGTCTGCCATGTCTCGGACCTCAAGGTAGGTTCCAAGTACGATGTGGTCGACTTGTGATGGCCATGGCGTCCAAAGCGAGCCGATCGTAGAAAGAGAGAGGGTATACTCACAGCGAGCTTGTCGCAGTTGACGACAGGGCGCCACAGGGCGGCCTTGTTCTTGTGGAAATGCCTCATACCAACTTTACCGAAGTATCCGTAATGGTACTGTTCACCATTGAGAATCAACATCAGTACCCCGTTCGCATCAAGCTAGGACTCTTCCTCCCGTGGGACCCGTCCCCGTCCTGCCCGGCTTTGCTGGTCGTTGTAGCGCAGGCCTACCGCCAACGCGAGATCGGTAGGCCGCAATTTGCATACGTCGCAGGGCTGAGGCCTGAGGGACGGGGCCGTCTCGTGGGGTGTGCTGCTCACCTTATCGAAGTTGGTTCGGTGATGATGTTGTCCACCTGCCTGTAAGAAGAAGAGTGGAACGAGGAATGGGTACTCTGTAGCCGATCACCGGGGGCCAGAGCGCTGTGAAGACGTACCAAACCACGTCCACCCGGATGCTTGCGGTGCTTGCCGACACGACCGTGACCGGCCGAGACGTGACCCCTGTGCTTGCGTGTCTTGCTGAATCGGGTAGGCATCTAGAAAGGATAAAAAAAATGACGTGGAAATGAGCACGACTGGGGTATGTGCGGGTGTAGGATGAGATGATGTGTCGTGGTCGGGGGCCGTCGCTCGTCTCTTCGTAGGGCCTGCCAGCCGCGCTCAGAATGGCGCGGGCGGCGGCGGGGTGGGCCAGGCTCGAAAAAATGAAAGACGCCCGCGCTCGTCGCTGGCGCTGCGCGGGCTGGGCTGAACTGAGCCTGCAGGCACGACGTCGCACGAGCTCGAGCTCGCCTCGACCGTCGACGCACAGCCTGCTGTAGAGCGTAGGACGCTGGTGGCGGTGTCGATGTGGGACGAGACGATGTGGTCGGAGTTGCAGGTGTACGTCGTTGGTGGTAGGTAGGTGGTGTGACTTACAGTGTTGGCGACCTGAGTGACGAGAACCAGAAGCTGAGATCTGCCTCGATTCTTGGGCGCGCAAAAGTCGTCCGCCGGCGTGCGGGGTGCAATTGGGCATTAGTTTGGCGACTCACCGCCGCATTCCGATTAGAAAACGGTGAACGACACGGCGCTTGTGGCACCCCGGCTCTTTCTCTCGCATCCGCTTTGCTCTACCAGGCTTGCGTGTCACCCATCCCTCCTTCCCTCCATCCTTGCTTCGCTCCGCCGCCCAAACATTTCACCCGACATCTCCGATCTTGACTGATCGACGGTATAGCTCTCCTCCTGTGGCGAGTTTGGACGCGCAGAGACGACCCCCGCGCAGCAGGAAAAGTCCCCCCTCTTGACGTCGTGGTGAGTGATGCTTCCCCCGCTGCGCTCTGCGACAACGACGGCGTCGATGCTTCAGGGCCCACGGGTGCACTCTCACATGGGAAAGGGGACAAGATGAAGAAACAAATGTAACTCAATCTGTCAATCCAAGTATTCGCGCCGGCACTACAAAGGACCTTGGTCCCAGTCGGAGCGTTGCCGCAAACACATTGCTCTTTCTGATCCCCTTTACGACCTCTCTCAAGACCCTGCCGATGCGCCATTGTCGTCGTCGTCGTCGTCGAAACCCGGTGGTGCATTCATCGTAGACCCGGTCCAGAGCTGACAAGACTCGTCTTCTACCGCAATCAGGGTTGCTCAGCCGTGATCCAGGATGAACGCTCCTTCGCGATACGATCAATTCGTCTTGGCCGATGGCGAGCCGAGGTGGGTTGATAGCGGTGTTATCATGCGATGCGTTGTTCGCCGCACTGATGAGAACGTCCACTTGATGCAGGCTCGTCGTCGATGAAGACACCAAGATTCCCAACGCGGCGACGGTGACCATCAACAAGCAGGACCACACCTTGGCCAACATGCTCCGAGCGTCAGTCCAATGTATTCAAGCCTACACCACCTCTCAGACGATCCTGACGCTCACTGCTTCCTCTCTGATCCCCCACAGACAACTGTTGTCGTTTTCCTACGTGACCTTTGCCGGCTACCGAGTGCCGCACCCGCTCGAGCCCAAGGTCGTGCTCAAGATCCAAACCGACGGGTCGGCCTCGCCGCTCGAAGCGATCGGGGACGCCGTGCAAGCCATCATCGTCATCCTCGCCAAGATGAAGGAGCAGTTTGGTCAAGAGCTGATCAAGGCGCGTGCGTTGGGCACGAATGACGAGGGGGACTTCTATGGCGGTGGGATGGAAGGTGTCGAGGCCCAGGCTGGGTTCCTCTGAGGAGTCGATCTTATAATCGTTTCTGTTTTCGTCATGTTGTCAAGTTCTTTTTGAGGATCGATCGATTTGTTGTAACTAAAGATGAAGCCATGTTGTACGGCCGGTGTTTTTTCGCACTCGCGCTCGATCATCGATGCCTCTGCTCCGCTGCTCGTCATCGATCGCACGTTTGCCTTCATCCCACACACTCCACACACTTATTCGCTTCGTCTGCAGCAGCACCACCATGCTCCGCCGCGCTGCCCGAGCCCTGCGATTAGGGAAAGAACGCTACTTCAGAGGCCACGACTTAGAAGGTTCGCTGTGTCTCCATGCACGACAATCCCTCCCCGATTGAGCTGACATTGAACCTGACCTTTCGCAACGGCCGATGTGGGGTGCTGTCCCGCCGTCATCGCTTCTTCCATCCGGTCGTACATTCCTCCGTCATCGCTGCATTGTCAACGAATAGGCAACAGCTTCTATGAACGACCAGGGGAAGATCCAAGTCAGTCTTTGAGTCCTCGTCGATCATCCCGTCTCGCTCTCGTGGCTGATCCAGAACATGCCTTCCCCTTCCTTCTCCTCTTGCCTCAGAGGACTGGCGACAAACGAAACGCACGATAGAATACGTCATCGCACGACCTTTGGGCGATTACCAATTCAATTCCATACCCGGTAAGGATCGTGTCAAGCTCCCCCGGCATCGGAACCCCTTCCGAGATCTCCACCTCTGATCCGAAATGACGAACTGAACTTTGGAACCCCGATCTCCCCAGCTCAATGGAACGGCTGGCTTCGCAAAACGCGCAAGGAACCGCCTACGATAGAGGAACTACAGCAAGATTACGAAAGGATGCAAAAGTTGCAGACCAACGTCGAGAGGTTGAGGCACGAGTACGAGATGGAGAAGTTTAGGTTGGCCGAAGGGAAGAGGCCGGATTTGAGGATTGGGAATGAAGGGATCAAGAAGGGGGTGGAAGAGAGCGTGCATCAGAGACGAGAGGGAACGGAAGAAAGTGTTGGTGCTGGTCGAGGAGAGGAGGACAAGGTGGTGGAGCCCGCTGATTTGCAGAGAGGGGATGGGGAGGTCGAGGTTGGCGATTGGATATTGGCTGAGAAGAATCGGAAGGCAGCCGAAACGGAAAGAGAGATGGCCCAGAAGAGGAGGGAGGAGTTTGGTCAGTCATGCTAATTTCCCTGTGGTAGACTAGAGGAGACGCTTAAACGATTCCATCTCTCCTCTACAGCCAAACAAGTCGCCTCGAAGCCGAGGGGCAATCCGAGCGACTCGTTTCAACCTGATGCCTGGGCACCGACGGCGGCCAAGCGGAGGTAGTAGCGCACGTCTCGACATGCAACAAGGCACGCTCTTCGACAAACTATTGTTTGAAGTCGCGAGGAAAGGTTGCAGGGCTTCTGCGGGGCTTATTTAAGTATCTACGCCGTCCCACGCACGATCGATGCGCAACAATCCGCGACTGCTCTCTGAGAATGTTAGGACTCAGAAGAATAGGAGCTGGAGGCCCAATTACACGCTAAAATAACCAAGATCTAGACTACAGATCTAAGCAGGGATCGTCGCGCGCCCCCTTCCCTCCTTCAGGCGTAGTGCGAAGAGTCATGTCTCCAAGTCAAGGCGAAAGGTTCGGGGCGAGAACAGTTGTCCGCGATGCCGCTCGCAGTTGCGGTGCATCGCGAGAGGAATGTTGCTCGGAGAGTCCTTGGTTGCCCGCTCATGAGGAGTGTCGGATATTGTTGTGCTAGAAGACGAGCCCCTGGTCATCTTGACTCATGATGACGGGTTGACGAAAGCCGAAGACGAGTCCAGACTAGTATCTGCGCCGTCGCTGCGGAGCGAAGTGAAGCTTTGCATGTGGCCATGTCGGTTTCAATGTTGACGGATGAAAAAGAAGGTGCAGCGAGCAATCTATGGCTTGCTTTGAAAGTGAAGAGCCTGTGGATAGTCAAAGGTAGCAGAGAATGAGTACAAAGTCTCGAGTATCCCCGTCCCAAACCGATGCGTGGTGACTCACCTTGACCTGAGGAGGACCGGCGACGCCGCGAAGGTGGTTGAGCTGGTCTAGACCAGACATGTGTTTTGTGGCCGGGTCCTCAACTAAAGGCTCTTTAAGAGCCTTAAGGACACGTCGCATCATCGAGGAGGATTTGGGTGCCTGATCGACGGAGAAGGCGAAGCGCGATGGGTCAGTTGCTAAAGCCCTTCTTTTCGACTCGACGAAACGCAAGACTGACCTTGGTACTTGTGGTCGAAGAAGAGGACTTCATCAAGTAGTTCTTGGACATGGTTGACGAGAGCGTCTCGTAAGAGGAGTTGTTGCTGGTAGAGAACATCTTGGAGTGGTGTTGATCGTACGTGAGGGTGGAAGTCGAAGATTGAAGAATGATTTTTGAAGAAGGCTCTTTCTGCAAAGTGATGGAGAGAAGAGAAAGAGAAAGAACACTGCGACTTGTTCAAGTCATACGATTCGGAAGAGATCAAGATCGTCGAACAGAGTCATTCTACCGGTTTATACACGACTCATCACTCTCGGAGCCAGAGCCCTGTTCGATCGCGCATCGGGTCGAGTCACGCCTCTCGGAGAGCCCACATCCCGAGTCAGGCCGGCGCGTATTGTCGGGCAATGACTCGATGCGCGAGCTCCGACGGCCGGTTGCGGAAGCTGTTCCGGAACCTGCTTCGATTGCTTTGTCAAACAGCTGATCCAGGCGTACCTCTAATATCAGTACCTATACCTCAGCAATCGGTCAGATGACTCAAGATGTAGGAAGAACATCGTCACACAAAGATCTCACCGCTAAGATCAAGACTGAGTAGACGTCGGTCGGACCGCCCCGGAACAGGATGAGAGTCTGAGCTTAAATCTGAAAAGGGGGCGACAGAACCTTGACGTTGGGGCTATGTTGAATAGTAGTCAACAACGATGACTGCACCAGATAAATACACACTTGGCTGTTCACTCCATAGCCTTTCTGCCTTCGGTCCTTCGTTTGCCGTGCGCGCTCCCGACAGCCTCGGGCTCGAGCGATCGCAGGCAATCTTCCACTTTCTTCACGTCGGTAGGAGCGAGCAGCTCACGTTGGCGATGGAAAAGGGAAGGAAACCAAGTGTTGGTAATGTATAACATAAGACGAAGAAAAGCGAAGATACGAAGCCAGTCACAGAACGTAAAAAACAGGGGGCAAGGGGGCACTTCTCAAGCGGAGCGAGCTCATTCCCGTCTACTTGGATCCCGACGAGAATTTTGTGACGGCCTGGAGTATTCAAATGGAGAAGGATGTCAGTGAGCGTGGTCGCAGGCTAGAGAAAATCCAGCCGCACTACGAAAGAACTGACCTTTGTGCCTTCCGAGATGGCGTGCTTGGACAGCTCTCCGGGGAGGATCAATCGGACCGAGGTCTGGATCTCGCGCGACGAGATGGTCGACTTGCGGTTGTAGCCCGCGAGCTTGGACGCCTCGGTGGCGATGCGCTCGAAGATGTCGTTGACGAACGAGTTGAGGATCAGCATCGCCTTGTTCGAGATACCGGTGTCGGGGTGGACCTGCTTCAACACCTTGCTGTGGACGGGCCAAGGCAGGCGAGGCGCGAGATCGAGTCCGAGTTCAGGGGTCAGCGGCTGGGCCTCGAGCTCGGAAGAGCCAATCTCAAAGTACGCACTAGATGTACGACGAGTAGGTCTCCTTTCGGACCTTGCGCTTCTTCTTCTTGTCACCATCGGCAGCGGGGGCCTTCTTTACAGCCTTCTTGGCGGGCGCCTTGCCAGCGGGCGCCTTGGATGCGGGGGCCTTGCCGGCGGTCGAGGCAGGTTTCTTCTCAGCAGCTTTGGGGGCCATTGTTGGTGATGGATTTGGATGGGTGAGGTAAGGGTTGAGTAGTGGAGTGGGTGAGGGGAAGGAGAGAGCGCGAACTGCTCTTGGGGACCGGGGTGCTTGTCTTCGAAGCGCGCGTGGAAGCGATGTGTTTCGTCAAACAAGTGTGTTTGACACGCTGGCATGCCCTGGGCCTTCGTTGCTGAAGCTATGACAGGCGTGAGCGTGACCTAGGCCGAGTCAGCTTGGGCGCTCGTTGCGCCGCCGCGGGGCCCGACTTGTGCACGCGTAGCCCTCCCTAGCTGGAGTCGACGGCTGACGCAGCTGCCACGCTGGCGACGGCTTGGATCGCTCACGACCTCCCTCGACCTCCCTCGACGCGCGACAATCGCCTCGACTTGCCCTCGCGCCTCGACAGTTTCGCTTTCCTTTCTTCAACCCACTCAAACCAACCCCTCACCACCCAACTCCCCAACCCCAAACCCCTCAAATCTCAACCATGTCTTCAGGCGGCAAATCAGGTATGTCGGGTTCAGTCAACCCTACCCGACAGCAAGAACTCCTTTTGGCTGACACACAGCCCGGCACCTCGTATGATTACAGGTGGAAAGGCCAAGGCCGGAGCCGACTCCAAGACTCAGTCGCGATCGTCCAAGGCCGGTCTTCAATTCCCCGTCGGTCGTATCCATCGATTGTTGCGACGAGGCAACTACGCCCAACGCGTCGGTGCCGGTGCGCCCGTCTACCTCGCCGCCGTGCTCGAGTACCTGGCCGCCGAGATTCTCGAATTGGCCGGCAACGCCGCTCGTGACAACAAGAAGTCGCGTATTATCCCGCGTCACTTGCAACTCGCGATCCGCAACGACGAGGAGCTGAACCGTCTGCTCGGCGCCGTTGTCATCTCGCAAGGTGGTGTCCTCCCCAACATCCACTCCGAGCTCTTGCCGACGTGAGTCTTTCCGCCTGATTTTCTGATCCTTCGATCGAGGCTGACATACTTCTCAAACGTTCCAGTAAATCCGCCAAGGCAAAGGCCAGCCAAGAGTTGTAAATGAGCGAAGGGTCTGTTGAGCGCGGAGAGATGTCGTTTCGATTTTCTGAAGTTGTAGCTGTCTTATTACACTTTGTTGCCAAAGCACCCTTTATTGCGGGCTTTATCGCGCGCGATCCGTTGTGGACCAAACATGGAGCACGTGACTTGCTCCACCTCCGCTGAGATAGCGACGTCAGAAAATGAGTCAAAAGACCGATCTGAGCTTCAGCTTGCGCGCGTCGAACGCGGCTCTCTTCCTCTTACCTATCATCCCGCACATCAATCGATTGATTGATCCTCAGCTATCTGCAGACAATGACAGAAACTCGGAGGCATCAAACGAACAATCCTTACGAGGCGCAATTCGGCTATTCTCGAGCGGTCCGCCGGGGCCAATTCATCTCCGTATCCGGGACCACCTCGCTTTCGCCTACGACAGGCGACATCCTGCATCCGGGCGAGGCGTACGAGCAAGCGCTGGTCATCTTTGCCGAAATCATCAAGGCCGTCGGAGCATTGGGAGGATCACAAGACGATATCATACGGGTCAGGATGTTTGTGACGCACGAAGAAGACACGACAGGGGTCGCTCGCGCCTTGAAGGAGACTCTCGGTCGCGTCACGCCGGCCGCGACCATGATTGTCGGAGCGCGATTCGTGGACGCGAAGATGCTGGTAGAGATTGAGGGTGATGCTGTGATAGTATGACAGCGTTATGGAACAAAGACTCGCTACGGAACAACCCTTGTGGTGGCCAATCGCCTCCCACGCAATCGTCTCCTGGCTTGCCCCCACTTTTCCTCTGTGGACCCCTCGCGCGCTTCATCCGCTTCGCCCGCGATCTCGGTGTCTGTCAGAACTTCATCCTCGGCAACACCGGATCTCCTGCACCAACTTCCTCGCTCTTCTCCCTGTCGATCTCATCCCCCTCGATGTACTGCTCCCACATCTCGTCACGTTTCACACGCCTCGATGGTTCGCTGGAAGTGAACGGCGAAGGCGACGTGTTTTTCCGGTCTAGATGATGTTTGCCTTGATGCGATGCCTTCTCATGAGGGCGAGAGAATTGTAACCATCTGGGTCTTGTCGAAAGACGAGACCGGACGAGATTTGCTCCGAAGCCAGCGGTGCGGCACTGGTTGTCGGCAGGGGTGCTAGAGTGCAGAGGGCGAAGACCAGAGCGAGCAACAACCTCGTGGACGAGTAGGCCCCTGCGCGCCGTTGGGCACGACTCCCGACTTGCATTCGCGCTTGTGAGGTCATGCAGTGGCAGCTAGAGAACTCTGAGTGTGACAACACATGTAGTATGTTAGCGTCAGAATTCCGAAAGTTGTGTAACTACCCACGAGCTGAACTGCCCTCTACGGCTGTGAAGACCTACAAGCTTTGTGACGGGTACTTCCGAGCGGACGATCTCGGCAGCAGCGGCTCTGAGATCTGAGGCCCTGAGGCCTGAGGCCTGAGGCCTGAGGACGAGTTGAGCTGCAATATTGATGGAATATATGTGCGGCGGAACCTTGAGGACGGGGTATACGGATAATGAGTCTGAGTCTTATGGATGTGAAAGAAGAACAGGGGGGAATGATTATTGAATACAAGGACTGGCGATGAGTCGAGGCGTTTGCAACTTTGCACCGCCTGGAACGGTTGGCTCCCGCGAAGCTTCGGGGCTGCCGAACATCCGGCCCTTGCCCTTCTACCCGCCCACGTTCCTGGGTGCGGCCGAACGGGGTGCCGTCACTGCCGTGCTTGACGGCCGTCTCGGACTCAGATCGACGTCCAAGTTGCATACAGCGATCGGCGACCCAGGTCCCGCTAGGCCGGCCGAAAGGCAGCAGCAACAATGGGCGGTTGCAAGGGGTCGTGGCATTTATCAACGGTCGGGATCCGCTATGGCGGCGCGCGCGCTCGTCAAATCCGATGTGTTCTAAGATCTCTCCGGCACCCGTCGGCGACCTGCACCGTTGCGGAACCCGAAGTCATTCTCGTTCCACCTAGGGCACGAAATCACTACACGCGATCAAGCAAAATCTCGGGCCTTGAAGACGATCTGCGCAAGCGTGTACAGGTTCAGCGCTATTTGGAGCAGGCTGGTGTGGCGATGATGCGTCGAAGGAGCGGTGGCTGGGTCAATGCCGATGACACGACAGTGGGTACCCACATAGTGTACGCCTTCCGTTTCGAATCGACAAAACGTTCCTAGCTTCTGTGAGCAAGAGCCTGTCTTTATCAGCCGCTCGTCACACTACCTAGCGCCTCGACTCGGTGCAGGACCGTCCCGGTGGGTCTGGGTTGGAGCGTTGGTCCAACACGCGCCCGTGGTGGAAATTCACTGCCGACTTTGAACCGGAGCTCCGCTTGCCCCTATGCTAGGCAGTCGTCATGGTCTCGACACTCACATAAACTATTGCCATATCCATCGAAGAGCCAGGTGACTCGCGGTACAGAAACACCTGCCACCCATTTCCATGCTCCGTCTCCAATGAGCTTCGGATCTCTCGGGCGCAGAGCTATCGGTCGATGCTGGTCAGCAACCGGTCAACTCCTGAAAGGATCCCTGAAGCGAACCTCTGGTCGACGGTAGGCGCGCAAGGGGGGCTGGACCATTCGACGTGGATCGACGACCGTCATGCGAGGGAGGGACCCGGCAGAGAGTTGATACACCACGAGTCCACATACGTACCTTAAAAACCTCGTCATCTGCAACATCTACATGGGGGTTAGCAATCGACAAGACAAACGCCTTGACGACCAACTCCCTGTCCTGTCGCGCAGCCGAGAGTAGAGTAGTCAGTGGACCCATGGGAATGCGAATAATGACCTGGTCTCGAGGGTCGGATTGGCCATCCATCGCGCAATGGCTCGTGCTAGGAATCCCAGGAAAAAGCATCGTTGCATCGCACGAGGCCCGAGACCACTGCACAAAGTTGTGTTGTACGTACCGTTGGCGATAATTCTGTCGCCTTGTCAATTTTGATCTGGTCATCATGGCAAGACGGGTAGGGGGACGAGAAGCGGTCAGTGTCGCAAGATGCACAGGTAAAGGTCACCTGTGGCGCAACGCGCGCGCACGGACCGAGGGCCGTGCCCGTGATGTGACCGGCCCATCGTGGCAGCCCCTGGTCAAGTTCCATTCGACTCAGGGCCTACTCGCACCGATGACTTTGCCGCATGCGACGTACCAGCTTGGAGAAGGGGTGCTTGTCGTCTTCCTTGGGGGGCATTTTCTTGTTCCAGCAGTGGTCTCGGCGCAAGTTGGTAGCAAAGAGGGGCGCGACGACTTGCGAACGGTCGCAAGCGTCGACGCAGCCCGTCGAGGGCCGAGCTCACCGCGGCGAGCGCTCCTCTCCAGCAGTGCGAGGCTGGCACGTCCTGGCCTACATGTAGCTACCGGTTTAGCCCAAGTAGCGTGCCAGCTCTTCGCACTGGGGGTGATTTCCAGAGCCCCGTGGTGTAATCGATGTACCCGCGTCAAAGATCATTTACTATGAGGAGTGAGTTGCCATACATCCTACCTACCCGTGCAATGCATTAGCATCATGCATGCACCTCGCACTCATGCCACGACTGCAAACTGGCCCGCGTATTCTCTCCCTCGCATTTGCACTTGGCCGCGAACTTGCCCTAGTCCGAAAACTACAGCAAAGGGGACAGCTTCTCGATGCGGCCCCACAAAAAAAGCAGAAACGAAACCATGGGGCATATTGTCCCGCCACTCCCCCCCTTCTTCCCACTCCATTCCATTCATCCATTGTTGTTGCCGACGAGTTCCTTGACGAGATCGGTCGAGGTTCTGGCGGGTAAGGCACATCGTGGGTCAGCGTTTCAGTGAACGCACCGCCGAGCGCGCCCCGAGTCGGCCAGAACTCCCCTCTTCCTCCCTCGTCCAAGCCGATTCCAGTTCCACCTTGTCCCTTCAGGTGCACCAAGCTAGCAGGCCACCCATACAATCAGACCCACTTGCGGTGAGTTGAGATGAGTGTTTGATGTGGCACCTGGCACCCCTCCGCGGGCAAGCGCGCAGTGGCTCCTGACTAGTAGTAGGAGGCGCCCACCCGCCTTGAACTGGCTGATCTTGCCAAACTACCGTCACGCACACCCACAGGGTACAGTTCCCCCATACCAGCCCCCAGAGTCAAGTAGTACTTTACCTCGCCTCATCCACCGTCCTGCAACGATGCATCCAAGTCGATCCTCTGACGCGGTAGGTAGCGCCTGGTGCCCCGCTCTCGAGTCGAAACCCCGCCGCCCCTTGCTCACTCCAGCACTCCCTACTTTTCTTCCTCACTCTGGCTTGTGCTTTGGCTCCGTCATTCGCCTCCCAGCGTCAAGGTTCCGCGTCGACCTCGAGCACGAACCCGATCCCGGACCAGGCCTCCGCGTCGCCTTTGGTCTCGGGTCCGGCTTCGGCTTCTACTTCCACTGCTATGCCCTCGGCAGCCAGAGGAAAGGCCAAGGGGGTAAAAGCCGACAAACCACTCGTTCTTGACGAGCGCATCGACGATGTCTATTCCTTTGTGCAAATCGCCGCTGCGAATCCTCCTCGATACCGCGTTGTTATCGCCGAGATCGACGAGCACGGGGTCGACGTCAAGGGATCCGCAACTACGACGATGACGCCTCCAATTGTGCCCTATGTCAAGGCCCTGCTACCCAAAGGTGATCCCGAGACCGGCCGACCGATGGAGATCGAGAAGGATGCGGCGCTCCACAAGACGCAGAAGACGGTTGGGGCCGGTCCTAGCGAATGCAGCGTATCCGCTGTGTTTGAACTATCACTATCGGGAGTCGGCGCACCGATGATGAAGCTCCCGGGCGCGCTGGGTCAAGTCGTGGCCGACTGGGCGACTGTCTCGATGAGCCTCGTCGCAGGGAGGGACATGATCCACAGTGTCACGTACGACTCGACCTTTCTGACCAACCCTCGTATCCCAACGCCTGATGACTCGAAAGCGGCCTTGACCCTCAGGAAGGCGTCGGTATCGATCGCCGCCGTTCCTTGCTCCGACACCGAGGTATCAGCAGCAGCAACCTTGCGCAAGATCCGAGAAAAGTTCTCTTCCATTCTCAAGGAGCAAGATGCGGAGCAGGAGGACTATGGGAGCGCCAGCGAGGATCAGCTCGATGCGGGACCTTCCACGGCGGCGGCGGGAAAGGCCAAGAGCAAAGGCGGGAAGCGCAAAGCGAAAAAGTGAGAGCACATACAAGGTAGTTCTAGAAACTGGTGCAATGGAAACAAAGAGATGACTGGATCGCGAATTGTGGTTTGGAAAACATCGGTGACTCGGCGATCGGACACATCGGATGCCCCTTTGCTGACCTTGACCGACCTTGGGCCCGGTCGGGATCAGGTTCAATGTCTTGCTAGAAGAGTCCAACTCACTACATCGCCATCCCTCTCGGCAGCTCGAGCGAAGGGCTACTGATCGCAGTGGTTTGTCATTGACGTGCCAGGGAGTCGAAACAACGGAAAGAAAGAAAGAGAGGACAAGACAAGTGGGCACCCGTTAAAGTCACGGGAAGCTTGGGCGGTGGAGCTCGCGGGGGTGGGGTGCGGACTCGCGCACCTATGCGGGTCAAAATAAGCCTAACAAATATACTACCCCGCGCGCGGCGAGTTTAGGGAGCTTTTTCGAGATTTGGCCCAGGAAAACGTTGGTACAGGGTAGGTGCACCATTCCCCTGCCAACCCCCAGCCCCCGGAGGCAAAACTGGTCACTAATTCGGGCACTTGCTACTTATCCCCGCTAATGGTCCATCTGCCTCAGCACCACGAGTTCCCCCCACTTCCCTCCACCCAAGGCCTTGCAAGCTTGCACCCATCGCTTCAAGCATGGACATCTTACCACACACACCACCACCTCTACAACCTAGCTCAGCATCAAAACGCACTGACAAGACCAAGCGCAAGAAGAGCACGACCGTGAGGAGGAGGAGGAAGAAGGTGACCTGCAGCAACAAGGACACGATCGAGAATGGGGCCACGACGTCGGTGGGAACGGAGGAGGAGGCGAAGACGAAGAAGAAGAAGAGGAGGACATTATGGACCAAGCGAGTACGGAAAAGGGAGCCATCGTTGTCCCCCGATAGCGAGCTGTTCGACAAGACGTTCGGCTTCAATTTCGGTATTTTCCGCTCTCCAACGAAGAGGCGTCCGAAACGGCAGCCGAGCCCTCCCCCATCACCATCGGTCCAGAGGTCAACGCGTCGTCGGAAGGAGAAGGAGCATTCGAAGAAATCCATTGCCGGCCTCCACAAATCATCGTCCGAGCCTTGGACTGACATTGCCGATGGCGCAACGGCGTGGCCTCTAGACACCGAGACCGGCGGTTTCGAGCACGACTTCGAGCCTAACAGCGCGCCCGACTTTGAGCCCGACTACGACTTCGGTCGCGATTTCGGTGGTGGATACTCATCTGGACCGGAGCATTCGCCATTCCACCCAGACGGTGCTTCTCAAGACCAAGCGCCCTCTTCACTTAAGCGATCGCGGATCGAGAGGAACGCCAAGAAGCAGCGCAATCGTCGCCGGACTGCGAGGGCCGAAGCTAAGACTAGGGCGTCAAAACGACCTGAACTTTTCCAGGCGTACCTATTGATGAAGAAAAAGGCCAAAGAAGTGCTTCGACAGAGCGGGTTTGTCCCTTCCCCGGACGACGAGGAGTGGTGCGACGCATGTCATGAACGCCGAGTCACCAGAAAGGTCCGGGTTGTCGACCTGTTCTTTGCAGGTAGGTGCTTCTGTTGCACATCTTTTGTCAACCACCCCTACGCTATCGTCTTGGACTGATTTGATATCCCCCAACCATGAGCAGGCATGCGAGAACTACGATACTGCCCATGCTATTCCGAGATCCAAATCCTGGCAGCTCACGGTTTTCTCCCGACGTCGTCATCTTCAAACCGAAAAAGAGAAGGCATCACCGCATTCACCTTTCGCACGATCGAATATCTCGACACCTACTGGGGGGTAGATCCTTTTGGTATCTATGGCATGTCCGAAGCGCTCATTCTCTTTTGGTCCTCTGAATTATCCTCGGAGGATCCTTTTAACAAGGTGGGCTCTGGACAGGGACAGGCCGGAAACATTCATTGTTTCTTACAGAATATATTGGAAGCTTCCCAGGGTCCAACCGTGCGTCAGCATCTTCAAGCCGCAATGGATGAATATCGATTTATGCAACAGCTGCAGGCAACTTTGACCGCCGAAATTCTCGGCCTCTCCCCGCGCGAGCGTCTGGCCGACGTTTGTCCGGCATGTTTTGGGCCTCGGATCGATGAAGCCGGCAAGAGCGAGAATGACCTCGATGTCATCATTGCTGTCGACGGCAATTTTCAGCATCGACGATTCGCGCGGGCAAATGCTGATCCTCTCAAGTCACGTCCAGCGTTATTCCTGCCACCAGACAAGATTCGAAACGAGCAAGCTTTGATCGATGGATCGACTGAAGCGGGCGAGAAGGTACCTTGGTGCTGCTGGTGTCGGGTCACCCGAACCCAATAATGAGTTGACCCGACTGTCTGTGATTGCTAAACGAGCTATTCTCCTATACAGGATGAATGCACAGCCAACTGGAAGGCCGCAGATGGTGGTGTGACCTCCGCTTCGTCAAATGTAGTGGCCGACACAGGCCTCGTTGCTGCAGTGTGCCGTCATGATCATTGCCTGCGACTTTGCAACCTTCATCAATCAGGTGAAAAGTATGTGTGGACTGGCCATCTGTGACTCCAGGCAAGGACACTAATAAGCTAGTATGGTCTACCGCAGGTTAGTATATCCGGTGTCGCTGTTGAAATGGATTCTCGAAGAAGTTGAGGTCGGAGAAACGGATTGTACTACGGGGCCTGCGCGTACCAGTGACGCTACAAACGTCGGATCCAGCTCGGGATCGGACTCCCACCAAAGTTCGAGTCAGGATCGAAGTCGCGTCGGAGTCGCGTATGATATCGCCTGCAACTTATCGTCGCACTTACGCCGAGTGAGTTTGTTCGTGACACTCAGCCTGAGCATTGGCTTAGTCCGTAGCTGAGCAGCTCATCTCTCCCCGGTGTCGCAGCGCAATCTTCTGGCAGACCACTTACCGCGTCTAGAATTTGCTCTCTCGTCGATGCATGCCTATGCGCACAAGTGGTCCTGCCAGGTTGACTTTGATCCGCGCTTTCTACCCAATTTTGGTTTGACTGATGGCGAGGGAACTGAGCGCTTGTGGTCGCAGCTTCGAGGCATGATACCCATGAATCGATCATCGAGTGCCTCCCATCGGCTGGAGAACATCAATCGTCGAGCGTCTGCTTATAACAAGCAGCATCTGGCCGATCTTGGTTCGCCTAAGCTTCCAGTCTTTCATGCACTACCTTACCATGTCGCTGATATTTGGCGTATCGATCATGCCCAGTGACCAAACTTAATTCTCGACTCAAAAACGCAATCAAGCTCAAGGCCGAAGCCGACAGAGTCATTACTGAGGTCGTTAATCGCTCCGAATGGACGGTCGCTACCCTCCTTGAACAATGGCACGCGCAACGTGCAGCGTCCAAGCAGATCCCTCTGAAAGAACAGCGCAAAGAGGTAGCCGAGATGCGCAACGTCATGTTCAAGCTTGAGCTGGTTAACAGAGATATCGCAGCATGCCGGTGGGTCTGAGCTATCGTCGTCGTTTGGGAGTGAGACACGAACCGGTGACCTAACTTCGGTATTCCTTTTTCGATTGCTACAGAGAAGAACTAGCCTGCGTGAACACCATAAATACGAACAAGCTTATAGAACAGTCGACTAAACTTCAACAGCTGGTCAAACAACGGCAGGTTCTTGATGATCGACTAAACTCCTTACGCACATCGGAAATGAACATCAGTGTCCTGGACCCTGGTACGTCACTCCCTTCTTGCATTCTGACCCTCCGGTGTGATCCCCTTTGTCGTCGCTTAAATATGTCAACACCTTTGATTGGCACAGACTATGAATTTGCCTGCACATTGATGGTCGCATCTCGCTCACTGTGGGACTTGGTCGTACAATATCGACAGGGAGCTGAGAGGCTGCGGCTCCCACGCCTAGGCGGTAAAGCCCTCGGTAGGAAATTCATGGTACGAGTCTTCTGCGCCGGCAGAAGGAACGCTGATGTGTAGCAATGCCTGCTCATAGGTACGAAAGCGGCTGGTCTCCTGGTCAAGAATCTTAATTCTTTGCGTCCAAGGCTCATGAAGGCAGTGGCGATGTATAACGACGAGGTGAAAAAAGTATGCTGCCATCCTCGCCAATTCTCAGAATTCCCATTCGATCTTGAGAACCCGAAGGGTACCGCCATCAGCCCCAGAGGATCTCAACGAACTGCTCAAACTCGACATCTTGACGCCGCTCTGGAACAACGGATTATATAGTCATCCCACTGAGCCGTGGGCCTACGATGATGATGTTCGTGTCGGCATTCCAGCAGTATTGTCTCGCGCAAGATGCCAGCAAGAAATCAAGCGACTTGGATGGGAAGTACGTCGCATTGGACGGTGGCTGATAAGCCGTCGCAAGAGGTTTCAGCAAGTTCGCCAGCAATTACTACAACTAGATGAGCAGGATGACTCTGCGATGATGCTGCTCGAGCGAGAAGAAGAGCGTCTTAGAACTATTGCGCGACGATGGTTCTCGAAAGGCGGCCTAGATCACCTGTGGGAATGCACCCGGCAAAGCGGCGAACCGCAAACGGAGGAGTGGGTCGAGCTCCGAATGTGGTGCACCGACGACGTTGAGGTTTTTCAACGAACCACAGCGGGTGGCTTGCCGGATCACACATGGCCAGACTGCATCATTGATGGGATGGTCGGAGAGTCAGACGACATCACCACGGATCATGACGCCCTTCTTGACATCAGTGATCATTCCGTCGACACTACCGATTACGGCGCCTTCAGTGACGAGATCAACGAGAACTTTGATGAAGACGATGGCGATGTTTTTGGGGAATTTGATATTGATCATATATAGTTGCAGTCTTTTGCCCAGTTGCTACTCGCAATAGTAAAGAGATCAATGATGCGTTCATTTTGCTAGTAGTTCTACACGTTATACGACGCTTTGCTAGGAAGTACAACAAGAGCGATCAGACATCCAAGACCCGGCATCGCTAAATCGCTCGATCTTGCGGTGGCTCGCTTGAAAAGTTTAATGTCGCTCGAGTAAAGCTGGCAACCGGAAGGCCAA